GAATAATATCAAATGGTTTATTACCTTTGGGTATGCTATGTAATACCCCACATTCCTTGCCTGCATTGGATGAAAACGCAATACACTTTAAACAATTTTCTATATGTCCTAATGATTTGACTTTCATGTTCGGAAACCAATATGTCTTCATCATTGCACTAATCATTTTATCCCTACCAATATGTCCTAATTCATCATGATACTTATACATAACATGATCCTCCATAGCTGCTGGTACATAAAATAATATCCTGCCATCATTCGTTTTCCTATATACTACCCCATTTCTCATTTCAAACAATTTCAGCTCACCTTTTTCTAACAATTTTCTAATATTTTGTATTTTCATATCCTTCGTCTGACAAATTACTAAATTTGTTTCTAAACTATTTGCTTCTGTTATCATAATTGTATTATAACATCTCGACAAAGCATCAACGTGCTGCATCCTGCTTCCAACTCTATGAACTATTTCATAATCAAATTCTTGTAACTCTAACGCCCACCTTGCTATCCTTGGATTTAAATCAATTTTATTTAAAGTCAAAGCTAATGAGTTACAATCAGTAATAATTTTAAAACGCTTTCCCTGTAAATATATTCTGAATCTTCTTAAAGCATAGATTATCGCTAAAGTTTCTAACTCAAAGCTATGGTACTTTGCTTCTGTTTCTGATGTGCGCTTCGAAAAATAAAAAATAGGATGAAATTTTTCATCTGCCTTTTTCTGAAAAAGTACTGCTCCAAAACCCAAGGCACTGGCATCACAATGCAATTCAATGTCATCTCTATGATCATAAATTGACAAAACTGGCGCTTGTAACAATTTTTCTTTTAAACATAAAAAACAATTAAGCTCCTTTTCACCAAAATTAAATTTTCTATCCTTTCTAAGTAAATCATACAGAGGTTTTGCAATAATAGAAAAATCTTTAATAAACCTTCTAAAATAAGAACATAATCCTAGAAAACTCTGCACTGATTGAACTTTATCAGGCATAGGAAAATTCTTAATAGCTTCTAAACCCTTATCATCGGCTCGAATACAACCTTTAGATATATGAAAACCCAAATATTTAACACAATCCTGCATAAACTCACATTTATCTAACCTTAATTCTAGTTTATTTTCTGCCAATCGAATCAAAACTTTCTCTAAAATTGCAAAATGTTCATCTATATCTTTGCTTGCGACCATTATATCATCCATATAAACTATAACCTCATTTTCTCTAATCATGTCCGCAAATACAGTATTAACAAATCTTTGAAATACTTGAGGGGCAGTTTTAAGCCCCATCGGCATTTTTAGAAATTCGTATTGACCCAATGGCGTCACAAACGAAGTGTATTTAACCGAGTCCTTATCCACAAATACGTGAAAGTACCCATTTTTTAAATCAAGTTTCGTAAATATATTTTTTCCTACAAGTTTATCTAACAAATCGTCTATTAAAGGCAACGGATAATTATCTCTAACCATAATTTTATTAAGGCGTCTAAAATCGACACACATTCTAAGATCCCCCGTTTTTTTCTTTACTAAAACAATTGCTGAGGCATATTCTGAACTACTGGGTTGTATAATACCCTCTTTTAGGTATTCATCTAACATAAGTTGTAGTTTTTCTTTTTCCGCATATGATAGTCTTCTAGGTGAACAACTAAATGGTTTTTCTTTTTCTAAAATAATTTTCATCTCGCCCCTAATGTTGGGATTTGCTTGCTTCTTTGCATTTATATATGTGCTTTCTAACATTTTTATAAATCTTGCTCTTAATGCATAATCCACTTGTGTCCCAATCTTATATTCTCTTTCAGAATCCACTACATTAATTTGCATCATGCTACTTTGAAAATTTTCTTCTAACACTCCTCTAACTAATTCTTTTGACTTCTCATCTAACAATTTACTAGCTAACAATCTATTATCTAACAATCTATTATCTAACAATTTACTGTCTAACAATTTATTATCTAACAATTTCCTGTCCAACAAACAATTTTCTGCTAACGACTTATCAACCAATTTGTTTCCTAAATTTTCACAATCCATATTCATTTCACTATTTTCTAACAATTGATCTGCTGCTTCCACTAACTCCACTTCATTTATTCCTTCCTGCTCCAAGTTTGGCCTTATGTTGTCTTTTCCATCTAATAGACTTTCAGTACGCTCATTACCATTCACATCAAGTTCACTTAAAGATAATTTTATACCATAAAGTTCCATAAAATCTCTACCTAAAACAATATTCCATCTCATAGACTCGTTAGGCACCACTTTTAAATCAAAATTAATTTTATTACTGTTCTTGAAAATGTGACAAAATATTTTTCCGAATACATTTAATTGGCTTTCATTTAATCCAAAATATAACACTTCATGTGTGTGTAATTTAATATTTGTTGGAATACATTTTTGTTTAATAAACGAAACAGGGCTGCCCGAGTCTATGAGGCATTCTGAAATTATAGATTTGTTATTACTATTACTAAAATAAATTACTAATGACCTTACAAAATTGTTTACGCCGCTGTCCTCCGTCTTCACCTTCCTCTTCGGGCACTGCGCCATTAAATGCCCTTCGTCACCACATCCGTAGCAAGATCCCGGCTTCCTCTTTGGCTTACTGCAATCTCGTGCCCAATGTCCCTTGGAGTTGCAATTGAAGCAACGAGAATTTTCTTTTATATCTCTGCCCTTCGCTGCTTCCGACTTCATCAGCAAACCACTCTGCCTAGGTAAGGCAACATCTGCAAATGCTCGCCGCATCTTCGCCGGATTATCAAAGCACTGTAATTTTGCCTGGATGCGTAGATTTTCATGTGGTATTCCCTCGATAATGCCATCTAATAACTCATCGTCGTCCATATCCAAATCTCGAGCCAACATGCACTTGTCCTCAAAGTATACGCTGAAATTTTCGTCCGATATCCACATTCGTCCAGCAAATTTCCGACGTAGCTCAATTTTCGGAAGTTTTCCACCAAACGCCTCCTTCAGTTGATCCAAAACTTGGTTTATAGGCTTCACCACACGTACCGGATCTGCATGCAGCCACTGCAACGCTTTTCCTTTAAGCTTTGCAATACATAATAATTGTCGCTGCATGTCGTTCAACTTGTGCAATTGTGTAATATTGTCAAACTGAGCAATCCAATTTCGCACTGGTGTATTTCCATCGTACTCCATTAAAATCTCTTTGGCCAATGAAAACGCCATGGATGCCCAGTCACCGAAATTTTTTTCAGCTGCCACATTTCGCTGAATTTCACAACTTGCATTTCCTTGAGCATCATCTTCTACGTCTTGGCATGATGTATCGTCGTCTCCCTCTAACTCTTGGTTTCGTCCATGCATGCGTAATTGTTCCAGAACATTCTTAGCGGCCTCGATTTCTTTGTACAAATTTGCCAACGCTTCTGTTCCTTTAAACATTTCAGCTTGTTGCGATTGAATTACGCGTCTTGTCTCCGCCACCAGATGATCATCCTCCAAATTGTCCACTCTTGGTGCATTTCCACGTTCTGCTGCTGGTACAGCATTAAGACGCACCAGCAACTCAGCTTTTGTGCCTTTTGTGGACAAACCCAATTCGCCAAGCCATTTTTTTAATACCGCCATTGCATAATTATCACCAACTATATCCATTTTTTCTGTTCTTGATCCCACTTCTGAATTTGTAGTAGTCTTTATTTTAATTCTGTAGTATTCTTTATTTTAATTCTTAACTTTTTAGCTTTTACACATGTGTTCTCTTCTTCGTCAATCTCAAAAGTCGGTATATCAAGGATGGTATCTTATCGATAACTTATTCAATCACAATCATATGGTAACTCTTAATAAGTACTACCCACCCGTTACATCTGGTAACTCTTAATACTACCAGCCTGCTACATGTCATCTCTACACAAGTACACACACGAACAAATGCACACATAAACACTAAGCCACACACACATACATACATATTGCTCATGTAATAACTAGTAATTTTGCAACGGTTATGGAAGATGGAGGAGGTCCAACTTTTGACTCTTGATTTCTCTGGCCCAAATGAACCTGACCAACTCGCAACAGCAACAACCAAGGATAACTGGCATTTAGGAAATCGATTGGGGATGGCTTATCAACAAGGGGATACCCTGTAAAATACTATTTAAGAGTTTTAAGCTGGAAGGAAAATAATCATTGCATACATATTTTTTTTGTTATTATTCAAAAATTACCTTTTAGATTTACTGTTAACTTGATTATATTATTCTGTAAATTTTGTTCATATCAGAAGAGGTTCTTTTAAATGGTAGCTATATATAAATCCCCTTAAAACTTCTGTAACTTTCAAACTTTAAATCGCTTTCCAGAGGAACCCAGCTCCAAATGCTACCCTCTGCCCACCGAAGTGTGGCCCGCAAATGTGTCGCATTCAAATGAACCAAAACTGAATTGTGTCTAAGCCATCGTTGCCCCTCCTCTATCTCCTTCTCCTTCTCCTTCTCTACCCCTTTTTCCGTACGCCACTGGCCACTGAAATCCTGTTGGCACATTTCGTTGTAGGTTTTTGATATTTTCATTACGTGCATCTGCCAGTTACGCCTCATTGTGTGGGTGACTGCCACTGTGTTACTATGTATATGTATTTGTGTGTAAGTAGGTGTGTGTGTACGTTTCAGGGGGCTAAGGAGTACATAGAATGTCGTACATGTGTCCTGGCCTTGGTTAGTTCCATTCTGCCGGGATTCCAGTCGCTTAATCTCTGCTGACATTTGGTGAAACAGAAACAGAAGAGAAACAGCAACAGTAGAAGGAGAAGGAGTAGCACTAGTGAAAAGGACAGATAAAGAGCGCTACTGTCCGCTTTACAGGCTTATGAATGCGAAAACAACTAGATGTGCAAATCTACAACTTAACTGAGCTCTTTCTTCAGCAAGTACGTCGCTTTCGACAATTGCAGTGCGTGTAAGCTGTTTTCACCACAAAGAGATGGAAGTACCTGTGCCATCTAAAATATTATTAAACTGTTTATTACCCATTAAATTCTCATATCACAATTTAAAAATACCATACTAGGATTACATAATCGTTAGGTAACAGCAAATTTTCGTGCGAGAAATTATCAAAAGTTTTAAAGTTGACCAGTAATGACTGCACTGACTACATTACACTCTCCTTTTCTCCTTTCCATTCTCTACTTATCTTGTTAACATTTAAAAAAAACCGGCTTCTCATCTCCATTCCAGTTAAGGCTTTCTTCCATTTTTCTCCACTTCAAATTTTGCTTGCTCCCCAGTTTTCTAACTTTCCAGTTGTCTCAATCTCCAGTTGCTTTACTCCTCAGTTTATTTTCTCTTCAGTTGATCTCCTTTCTGGTTGCTTTTCTCTTTAGTTTAAGTTTGATTTTGGTTTCTCTTTACTTTACACATTCTCCCCCTTCCACTTCTAGATTCCTATGGCCCTCCACATTTTCATCCTTTAAATTATTGTTCTTGTTCTCCTTTCTTCACCCCTTTCATTCCTCCCTCTTTAGTCGTTCGCCACTCTTTTGTCTTTTTTCACTCTCCCGTGTTTACTCCCAATCCTTACATGCTATCTCTGGAATCCAATCACCAGTCTCCAGCAGCTTCGGTAGATTACAGTCCCGCCCTGGAGGGAAGTGCCTCCTTTTGGCGCAGCAGCTGGATCCTGGGAACGGTGCGCCAGAAGAGGACGGCTCCTCGGTTGTGGCCACCGCGGGCATGGAGATCCGAGAGGCAGTCGGCCCAGTGGTTGTAGAGCGGCATGCTCGGCGGCTCGCAGGCGGAGAGCGGGGCTCCGGTGACTGCCATGCAGGCGGCGGTCACCTCCAGCGGATAAACCAGCCGGCTGGCCAACATCTGGATGATCACGGAGTTGTACTGCCGCTGGGTGCGGCTCATCGGCAGGAGTCGCTCGCAGAGGTGGCTCACGCAGCTGGTGGCCACCAGGAGACTCAGTTCGCCCAGGAGACGAGGCACGAGCCCGGCAAAGAGTCCGGCTGCTCCTTCGCTGTTCGCCAGGGTTGTCAAGCTGCCGAGGAGACCCTCGTAGGTTGTTTCCCTGCCCACAAACTGGGCTATTTGGCGCACCATCACCACGTAGAATGGCTGCGAGAGCGCCACAGCGGTGGCCATGCGAATGGAGTCCCTGGCGAGGTTCCACAGCAGCTCCTTCAGGCAGGGATCCTCGTGGGGCCCCCGCCTATAGGGACCGAATCGCAGGAAGACCAGCAGGACGTCGCCCAGGAGATGGTCCACTGTGCTGGCGGCCAAGCGAGCGGGAAGACCACGGTACATCCCCCAGTTGCCATCGATCCGGCGGATGTGCTGCACATACTCGTGCACGCCCGGCAAATAGAGGCGTGGTCTGCCGTGGATCAGCGGCAGCAGGAAGGGCTTCGCCTGGAGCGGCTCGTGTCCCAGTTGGATGAGCACCTTGGCGAACTCGTACGGATAGAAGAGGGCATTATAGCCCAGGCGCAGGCAGAAGCGCACCAGCTGATTGGGTTTCCCGTGGCCCGGAGACTTGCGTGGATCTGTGGATGAGGAGGAGGTGGCCACCACCTGCGACTCCTGGCAACTCCCGGTCGCATGGGCCACCTGATCCTGGCCAGCGGCTCTCAGCGAACGGGAACGTTCCGACGGTGGCTCCACCGCCGGCTCAATCCGCTGGCGTTGCCCCACCGCAGTGGGTCGTCGCACCAGGCCACTGTTGTCCGCATCGCCACCACCCATTCCCACTCCGGACTCACGGCGATCCGATCGGTACTCCAAGTGGGCCATTCTCGAATCCTTTTCCGCTTTTTCCTGTCTTAATATCGCCTCGAACGAAAGCAAAAACTCGAATTTAGTCGAACTCTCTCGGACAATCGAACCGAATTCCTTTCGAATTGGATAAATACTGCCTATCGATGGGAACGGAGCTTTGGTTGTTAGGTTTTGACATTTGAATCTAATGGTTACTGTGTTTTTAAACAAATTTTAGATATACATTTAAAATAAACTATCAACAATATGTAAATTTATAAATATATAATATTTTATTATATAAGTACATAAATTACTTTGAGGTCCTTAATGAAAAAACTACCAACTATTACTTACTAGAATCACTTTTTGTATATTTTAAGTATTAATCCCATGAAATTGGCCTGCTCTACTTTATTGAATTCAACTTACCACCGTTGTTTTCCACAGCCATCATTTTGTGCCCCAACTTGTGATTTCTTCGACACTTGATTACAAATCCCGGAAAATGGCTACCCCCGTTTTCCCCCTTTTTCATCACTTTTCCCCCTGCCGACGGCTCTCAGTTACTTTCGCAACATGAAAATTCAATTAGGCTGGCCCCGCAGCCCTTTTGCTGTTTTTCTGGTCAATTAAATGCAACCATACTGACTGGTCCTGCACTTCGCAGCTACATTTCTGCCTTTTTGTCATAACCTTTTTACTTCTCGTCGGATTTCGTTTTATTTGTTTTTATTTCTTCCGAACCCCAATAAAAGCCACTGGCCATCGGGAAATCCACATTAAGCTGGAAAACCAGCAAAGAGAGATAAGAGATTGATGCTGCTAACAAAAATATGAATAACTGGCTAACTAGAAAAAAAAAAACAATCAATTATTGCAGGCAAAAAGGTTCAACATCAATTTGTCAAATATACTATATAAAATCCAAGAGTAATTAATACAAAAAAGCATTTACACCGACTGGCATTTTCTGCTCGACCTAACAAACGACCTTGAACTTGGCAAAGGGTAGAGGGTAAAGGGTAAAGGGTAAATACCCCATTGCATATCATTATTGGATGACCCACAGCAATTTTCCACTTACTTAGATAGTCGGACTTCTGTTGAGTCAGTCGGGCTCGGGCTCTGGAGCATGGAAACCAATCACACAACCCACTGCCCATTGGCATACCCCCCCCCTTCCCCCCTCCTTCTACTTTTATCCCTTTCCCTTCCCCACATTAACCCCCCAATGCCAATCGCATGCAATCCATTGCGACCAAGCGACCGAACGCAAATGCAACTTATGCGACACGCACAGTTGATTAACAATGTCGCAATTTTTGAACCGAACCAACGGCGAAATCTCTCTGAACTGCGGCTAACATACACTCAGAAACAAAATTACAAGTGAAATAAGTTAATAACAGTTGATTAAAATAATACAAAATATGTTATGAGTAAATAAAAATAGGAGTTCGATTACAATTTTTACACTTTTGTTTACTCTAAGCTTATTTTTTTCGTTTATCCACTCAATCAAACTCCATTGATTGTTTTCAGTGTACTTCCCTCCCACTGTACCCCCAAACCTTCGCCCCCTCCCTTCGCCACTCGCACTGGCACGATTATTGCACATCACTAATTAGTGATGTGTGCGACGCATCGCGCCTAAAATTTCTGACCATCAACGGGGGGAGTTGGGCGGCAAAGGGATGGATATCCGTGGTGAGTGCCTGCAGGGCAAAGAGAGGCGGGAAAGAGAGGGGGAAAGAGAGGGGGAGAAAGAGAGGGGGAAGGGCAGTTGGCCGATGGCCGATGGCAGAGCGAGACCTGACGTTGACATTCCACTAACAGTGAAATTGTTTTCCAAATCCTAAGCTTGCATGTTAGCCACAAGCAACAACAGCAAGCATCATCCCAAAAGGGGTGGTGCAGCTAGTGGGTGGTTGGGTGGCTTTGGATGGCTGGGTGGTTCGTTGGTGGTGGGGCAACCACGAACGGCAGCAGCGAATGAATGGCAATGAATGCGACACTGGACGGACGGACCGATCGGCCGACGGACGGCGGGTAGGAGGAGCATTTTCGGCACCATGGCCATGGCCATGCATCACCGATGGTCACCGCCAATAGAGCACCACCACCACCACCCAACCAACCACCCGCTCAGCACCACCCACACCACCGCACGGCAGCGGATCCCACGTTGCGCGTGTGGTAAATAGTGAACTGTTCGCATTTTCCCTGACTCCGTCGCTTTGGTTGCTGCAGTTCTCTACGAAAATAGGGATCCATTAACTATTATACAAGTGTCTCAGTTAAGCTTTATATTTCTAAATATTGATTTTTAAAAAACGTTATTTGTTAAGTATATAAATTTGACTTGGGAATATATTTATTTTATTTATTTTGTATGTTGCTTGCAATTTAAATTAACACCAATTGAAATACATTTTTCCATGATATTGATATTGTTTTGGACTCAAAATTTTAAGTGTGTTCCCAACAGCTACGTTGGTGTTTAATCTTCGGAAATGGTTAAACATTTACAGAATATTTATTTACAAAATACCTATCCTTTGATCACACCCTTTGAGAAAGTCTTTTAAAAATTCATAATCATAAGCCCGACCTTTCCCTTCATAGTGAATCCCAACTTCTTGTTGCATTTGCATTCAAATATTTTTTTTTCGGCAGGGTACTGACGGTGGGTGTTAGATGGTGGGTGGTGGTTGGTGGTCGGTGGTCGGTGGTGCCGAGGGGTGCTGAGAGTTAGTGGACATCGCTGCTGTCTGGGGATTAAAACTGCCGGATGCAGTGCGGAAATCAAAATGCTATGGCGGCCAGCCATCGGACACAACTGACGAGCGGATGGAGCCTGCTACCGAGCCCCATTCCCATTTCCATTCCCCTCCTACCCCTTCCCCTTCCCCTTTCCCCACCCAAAAAAAAAAAAAAGAAACCCCGAAAAAACCTCCAAACGATTTGGAATCAAAATGAAGCTGGGATTCGAAATCGGACGAGGTTTCAGGGGCGGTAACAGCAGTTTAAATGGCAACTAATCGCAAAAGGCAGTTGCTAATGTACAGACAGAAAAAATACTTTAATTTCAAAGCTAATTTTTTATTTCTCTGTCAATTCGATCAATCAAAATATTATTTATTTCCTATGGTATTTCTATCATTTTGGTGGTTAAAGTTCGTTAAGTTTTGTATATTCACTATCACTTGTACAAAATTTTAATTTAACAATTCCCAAGGCAATTTGCATGTTAAGTTATAAAGTTCGAACCCTATAGAGTGCACACTTTTTTCTCTCTGTGTGGCAGAGCGCAACGGACATGTCCACGTTTAGATAGCCATGTGGAGGTGTTTGCATAATGAATGAGCCCCAACCAGCAGCGACAACAGCCGCTGACCATCAACTGCGGCTCCCGAATTGGAAAAGTGGGCGGCGAAAATGAGAGGAGAGGGGAGGAAAAAGGGGTAGAGAGGGGTAGAGGGGGAGATGTGGGAGGGGCTGGACTTGGTCTCACGCACAAGACAATGAAATCAAACGACAAACGCAAATGTGATCAATTACAGTTTGTGAATTTTAACGGCAAATGGCCAGAAGAGCGCCATTGTTGTGCATTTGCGGTGGAAATGGTGGGTGGTTGGATGGATGGTTGGTGACTCTGGGCCGCCAGGGTTGCCAACTTCATCCTTGCAGCTGCGTGCTGCATGCTGCATGGAAACGAGACCGAAGTGCCGGACGAGCCAGCTAGTAAGGGACACGGCAACAGGTCATTATTGTAATTATGTTAATATTCACCCCTTATCCCCGATCCCCGATCCCCGGACATTCCGGCGGGATTGGGATTGTGGATTGTACGGCGAACGGCGTACGGCGTACGGAGTACGTGCCCCGGGAAAACGAGACTGTGACAGGAGACTAAACTACTTGATGTCCTGGCCATCAGGCCGGAAGTCTGTCAATTTGCGTATAATTTGTTTATGAGCTTCGCACACACACACACACACACGCACATTGGCAAAAACGCCTCCAGAACGGATGCGGAAGCTGGAAATCTGAGCAAGGAAGCGTTTTGTTTTCATTCAGCCAGCTCCGTCTTTCTGCAGCTCAAGGAACACTTGTGGGGAAAATAATAGCCCAGCACGTATATTAAGACTTTAGTTTTAACTCAGTGCTAAATAGTAAAATGTTTCAATTATTTTAGATACTTTAAATTCAATTTATATAACCAAATGCGCTCCCCTCTTTTAATCCAATTAAGTGCCACCATTTTGACCGCAGCTGTGCAGTTCTAAGCTTCCGACAACGACTGGTTGCTGTGGAATTTTTAAGCACTTTAGTGGGTCAGGAGTTCATCGGGTGTGTGGAGCGGTGCCATGTGGCAAAGTGTATTAAAAATGAAAGCATCAATTCAAACAATAACACCAAACCGAGTGCAGTCAAATCCGAAATGCTTTAATAAAAGTTTCGAGCAGAAAGATACACATGCTGGAAAACACGCTTGAATGGAATTATATAGTTCACAATAAATATGCAGAGTAGAGAGCAAAACATAAAGAAAAATCAATTATGGAAATGGAAAAACAGGTTTAGTTACCTTTTAAATGGCAGTCACAGTCACATCTAGAAGGCTGCTCCTCGAGACACACTTTCACTTCCTATTATGTTCAGGTTCTGATTTCGGAGATCCCCTCTCAACACAATCGCGAGCTAAATTCCCAATAAGCGACACGAACACCAATGGCACGATATCTAGCACAGATCGTGGTCCTGGGCGCCAAGGCGGTTGGGCGGGCGCTGGTGAAGACGATGCGGCAGGAGATCGAGGCCCTCCAGGAGGCGGCCCGCCTCCAGGAGTCCTTGAGGGCCAGCGCCTCCAGCGCCACCAGCGGCAGGGACGCGGCGGTCAAGGGCATGACCTTGGTGGAGGCCCAGCAGATCCTCAATGTGCAGGACCTCGCCGATCGCCAGGCGATCGACACGCACTATCGGCACTTGTTCCTGGCGAACGACAAGTCCTCCGGCGGCACCTTCTACCTCCAGTCGAAGGTCTTTCGGGCCAAGGAGCGCATCGACCAGGAGCTGTCCAGGCTGACGGAGATGGCCCCGGCTGACCCGCACTCCCCACCAGCAGCCCCAACCGCAGCCCCATTCCCAATCCAATCCCAGAAGAAGGAAAATGAATCGGGCCACTAGAGTCGGTGACAATTCCCAACTGGATCTCCGGCCCGCATTTTCCATGGTGTGCAATCCATCAATCCATCTGTCCCGTTCTGTTAATCACCATCGCCAAATCGTCTTCGAACTGTCAGTTCATGTATCCATTTAAATCACCAATAAACACCTAACAACTTGCTAAGAAAAATTAAAGGAATCGGTTTTTTTTTAATTGGGCTTTAAGCTCTTAGTCATCGAAAAGCTTTTAATTAAATAGGGTAAACTTCTAGTTAATAAAAACATTTCATTTATTAATGAGCGGCTAAACAGTTAATAAGAAAACTTCATGGCATACTATATTTTATTTAAGAACTTTAAATAAAGTATAAACAAAATTGTATACCTAAATCTAAGTTTGCCATGAATTCAGAAAGATGGCCATGAAGAAAGCTGTCAAATCGGTGATAAGATTTGGATCGACCTAAGGGCCAGAACCCCGGACATTTTTCATTCTCGTTCCGTGTTTCGAAGGGGCAACAGCTCCAGCTCCGGCTTATTCCAAATTTTCAGTAAATATTTTTTGACAAAAATGTGAAAAAAAGATGTAACTTACGTGAAGGTGAAAAATACTCAAACTTTTCTATATTTCTAACAACTAAATCAAAGTTTTTTTTGAAAGGCTGCCGACACACAATTGTTATTGCCTGTAGAATGGCCCCAGGATTTAGTGCTACGAGTCCTTTGTAAACACACACATACACATACACTTAAAGCGGCGAGTACGCTCCATTTTACATCACACTCACTATCATTACAACAGTCGCACTCTTATCGAAAACCAACACCGACAAAAAACCAGCAAACAGAATGGAAAACAGCCAGCTGCAATCAGGATATGGTGCCAAAAAAATAAAAATACAAAATATGTAATCAGATGGTAAAGTGATGAATTTAATGCCTATTCCGTAAGCCTCAGAGTCTTCTTTGTTTAGAAACCCTTCATACAACTTTAGTGGACAACCAGAGGACTTCGTTCATTACCCTGAGGTTCAGGTGCATTACGTCTCAATAACCTACAAGGAACACATTAACTAACACACTTGTCTTGCAGCCATTCCAGGTATATCCTGATCTCCGATTACTGCTCTTTTTGAAGCTATATGGCTGTAAAATAGGTTAAATATTGAATATACATCGCATTTCAACACGGAACAAGCTCGCTAACAGAAAGGAAAATCGCCAGTTGCAATCGAAATATGGTGCTACATAAAAAAAAAGAAACATGGTAATGTGATGAATTCAATTCGTTTTCCATAACTAAACTTCTTTTTCAGTTTATAAACCTTTTACACAACTTTCCACAAGAGGTCTTTGTTTATTGACCCTGAGGATCGGGCCTTGCGAATCTGCAGCTATTCCATGTAGCTCCTGATCTCCGATGACTGCACTATTTTAAACTGATTTTGTATGGCTGACAAATAGGTTAAATATTGAATATACATCGCATTTTATTATATTGTACACAACCAAAAAAAAAAATGTATAAAACTGTTAAAAAATAAAAAAATATGTGCTACGAAATGTTAAGCCTTTAATCGGTATAACCTTTGGATTATAATCGAATTCAATATTGTAATTATTAAATGGTCCTCCTTGGAATAAGGTTCGTTACTAATTTTATTTGCCCTCGCTTATGGAAATGAAAAGAGCAACAATTTACATTCAAATGGCGTTTAATATCTGTTCGGGACATGTCATTGATCTCCATAATGAGGCACGTTTCCACCAAAGCAAAAGTCCGCCCATTCACACACACACACACACACACATACGCACATACGCGCACACACACGCTCACACATATGCATATTGTATTATGGCAATTTTCAATTTGTGTGTGCATTTAAAATGCAATTTTCTCTGGCAAAGCGAGAGGCGAGGCTCAATAAAATTCAAGTGATTTATTTATACGCATTGTTGGTCGACCGGCGAGCGGGGTGAACTCTTAATAAAAACAATTAAGCCAAATTGGCCACAATTGTAGGCAAAAATGAAATAAAAATCCAAATAAATTGAAACCGAAAACGGAAAACAGTTGAATAAAAAATAACACGCACACACACGCACGCACACGCACACACGAAAGTGGATCAAGATGGCGGAAAATGAGTGGTGCGAGTGGTGCAAGTGGAAAAGTGTGTGATGGTGCAAAAAAGGCGAGCACTTAAGTGGAAATGCAGTCGAGTGTCGTCATCATCATCAAGGGGCATCGCTCCAGGCTCACACACAAGTGCGAAATTCGAAGGGTTGACACTCCTTCCGACAGAGAACAAGTTGGCTCCAATGTTTATTATAGCTCCAGCAAAATATATATTAAAAAAAAACAATTCTTAATACAAGACAAAATATAAATAAAATACAATAAAACCAATTTTTTTGTTTTTATTTGCTTACCTTATTTTAAATGTATACTTTTTTTCTCCAGTGTACCTACAGATATTGGCAGAAGTGCAGCAACAAATGATGAGCAGCAAAGTCGACGATGCGATTTGCGTTCGTCGCTTTCTTAGCCGTTCTTGTGTCTTTTATGCGCTCTTTTTAACTTCTTAGTATGGAAAAACTATTCAAGTCTAATGGCACGAGAGAGAATAATGACGCACAATACACTTCGACAGTTTAAGCGGATTCACATGATTACAACCAAGTGAAGAGCGAGAAAGGAGCAAGTGTAGTGGAGTGGAGAGAGCAGAGAGGAGAGTGGAGAGTGGAGTGGAGAATAGAGTGTGGAGAGAGCAGAGAGCGAGCAGTTAGTAATGATGGCTGTCGATGTTTGCAGAAACTTGTTAACCATTTGAAGGCGACAAATGTCGATAGCATTAGACATAGTTAGTCGGGCACAGTGGAAAGAATTCTACTCTTAGTTGCTAAATTATTATTATCCCGCATTGGAAGATTTTTCTTTGTAAAGCCTCTATTTGGAAAAACTTGCATTCAATGTCCAAAAATCACGTTATCTCAACGGGAAATGCATTTTCCTTCATGTTTCTAGGCCTTTAACAAAATTGCATACCAGCCTTTTTGAATTTCAGAAAATAAATTTTTTCGAAATTTTTGTGGGGGTCCCCCTTGAATTATTTTAAAAATCGATTTTTCCGTTTTTTTGCACTTTTCTTATTGATTTTGCCTATCTGCGCCCACTGTGCGCGTCCTTAGCTCCAGCCGGCACTTGTCAGGATCTAGGATCTGGCTCCACTTGAGCTGCTTAAGCGACTGCTGCTGGAGCAGTCAAACAAATGGGCGAGGATAATGCATACCGGGCGGGGGGCGTGGCAGGTGCCTGTGGGGGGGAGGTGATAGTTTTCACAAATTTATGGCTTTTAATTGCACATATTTGACAGAAGCTGCGAGGCGAATCGATGAAGAAAACTCACAACCGTTCGATTACCCGATAAAGTGGGAAAACTCGTAAATTCAGAGGCGGCACTGCGGCTAGAAGTTGGTCTAAAAATGCGAGACATGTACAGAACGCGGACGGGGATATGTGTCTCTCTGATTTCCTAATTCAATTATTATTCAAATCATATAATTCTGTCCTTGCGACACGCACTGGCTGGCTGCGGTGTCGTTGGCAACCCTGGCAGCGTGCAGTAATCACATTACGTATACGACCGCAGGACCGCGCGCACAAAACTACATGGCAAGTGGCAAATGTGTGTGCGGGGTGTGAAGTGGGCCAAATCCAATTTCCCGCTGTGCGAATGAAAATTGCCAGCTTCATTCCTTTATAATGCCATTTCTTCGTGGCGCTTTGTCTCCGGCTTATCCTTCATTTGCCTGCATTTATTTTATTTTGCATATTAATATTGTTAAAAGCGAGCCGCCCGTCGCGCTCCACAAAATTAGCCCGCCATTCATGCCGCATTCCGTTCATGCTCATGCCATCTTGTGTGTGGACACCCAGCGTCTGCTTGCTGGGCTTTCCCGTGGGGTTTCGGACAATGGTGAGGGCTTGGGCCGGGGGTCATATCAATTTACCCACCGGAAGGCACGCAGCAGCAGCAACATCAGTGGCAACAAAAGAATGCGACCCGATTCGGTTCGGTTCGGTTCGGTTTGATTCGCTCCGTCTCGACGGGAGTTCAGAAATCGTAAACATATCCTACAGTGGGTGTGTATGGCACAGGTTAATTGTATGAATTTATTACAGGAAGTCCTCACAAATTGCAGACACTTGGAAAATGAATAGAAATATAACAACCACATTAAACAAAAAGCATCGCATTTTAGTTCACAGAATAAGACAAGATATAACTGCATACAAATGAATATTATTTTTAAGTATGAAACTACCAATTGAGAAAATTGTATTTATGAAGTGAATATTTTTCTCATATTTATTTATTAATTAAACATTATTTATTTCTTAAATAAAGCATCATCTTCTCACTGTTGCCATTTAATATGGTCGCGTCTGTACGTTTGTATGCACTTATTAATGCGTATTCATTGTCACATCCGGCGCGAGGAAATTATATTCCTCGCCGGGCGGCGGGAACGCCCCCTTTTCGGCCCCACAATCATCGACTCATTTGGCGGACTCGCCTTGCCTTGCGGGCAGCAGACGCTTTCCTTTTGTCGATTTAATTGAAATAATTGCAAAAATGCAAATTGAATGGACAACAGTTGACACAGGATATTAACTGTGGACGATGGCCGGCGAAGGGAGACTGGCGGGGCGGGGGGAGAAAGTAGGGAAAGTAAGGAAAGTAAGGAAAGGGAGCGGGATCCGGCGAAGGACACGCTCCCGCCGCGCAAGGAGCCTTAATGAGCTAACGAATGTACGCCGGATAATTGAGTGGAGACCACATGTGCAGCTGGCCAGGACGACCAGGTCGGGATCAACGAACTCCCACGCGGATCGGGACAGGATTGGTGCCCCAGGGACCACCAGTTGAAAATATGGTTAAAATATGGTGTAACCGAGACATTTTTCCGACAAATTATGACGGCTGTTATGAATTCGCAATGACTTGGTAATAGAGCTTTGAAAATGGATAATTATTGCCGTTTGAACGTTTCGGGGAAAAGTTTTTTATTACCATTCCATTTTCAGCTAACAAAGAAAAATAAAATTGTGAATTTAATATTTAGATTTTGGCTTTTGACCCTTTACCATTTCGCATTCGATACTCGATGCCACCAATTATATTAAATTACAGTTACAACTATTTCAAAGCACTATATATAATATAGGTATTTAATTTATTTATTTTTCCGAGTGTCCCGGATCTGATGTGTTTAAGGCTCAGCCGCGCCAGAGAAATTCCAGATTGGCACCTCAGCAATCCGTAATGAGTGGCCAGCATTTGCCACTTTGTGCAGCGGTTCATCCCGCTGCCGCTGGGCGTTGTGTCCAAGGAAGGGGAAAGGAGGCGTGGCCGGATGTGGCAACTGTACGGCGAACTCGCTCCTAAGCCGCATCCTCATCGAATGTTGTCGATGTCGATGTCGATGTTGCCGCTGTGTCTGGCCAACTTCCGTTGCAGCAACAATCCCTTTATCCCTTCAATGTATGTGTGTGCAGTTATGCTTCTATGTGTGTGTGTGCGTGTGGGCGGGGGCCGCAGGTCGTACCATAATTGTGTTGATTAGCTAATTAGATGTAATTTCGCGGCCGGAAATTGGCATTTGCTGCAGTCGGTCTGCCATTAGAAGGACAATTTCTGCATGGGATTCCTCGCTCTTTTTTGCGCACCCCCTCACCCCACCTCCCCTCCCCTTTCCCCTTCCCTTTCCCCTTCCCTTTCCCCTCCCCTTTCTTCCATGCAAATTGTATGGTAAGTGCAACAGCAGTTGGGTAATCTCGTCATGAATATGTTTGTTTAGCGCGCAGCCATGTCTCGCCTTCGAGGGTTCCGCTACAACAGATTCTGACTGGTCTTCCCCCTTTCCCCCCTTAACCCCGTTTTCCATCCCCCGAATGATGGTGACGTAAAAGTCGCGCCATAAAAATTCATTGCCAAACGAGCCAAAGTATTGCCGCAGTGGATGAGGACGAGGATGCGGATGAGGATGTGGCAGTGGCAGTGGCAGTGTGGCAATTGCCCAGAGTAGTCCAGACTGAGCTGCAAAAAAGCTGGGTAACCGATCCGAAAGTTGAGCTCAACCACGACGAAAGACGAAAGACGAAATTGGACGGAACACCCATGAAAAAATCATTCATTTCGGCTTACATGGCGTATGAGTGATTTTGGTAAATGGTATTTGTTATTTGCTTGTTATTTAATACGTTATTTCTTATTCAATCCACCTTTACAGATATATAATATTTAATATTAAATGTAATATATAGCAAACAACCTAATATTTGTATTTTCTATTGAATTTCTCGATCAAACTCTCCATGCTTTTCAATTCGAGCTCTACCTAAGGCGAACAGCTCATTCAAAGTTCAGTACACAAAAACCTTTCGCAGCTAATACACTTGTTTCAAAAGCAAACAAAAGAAAATCTAAATTTTCGGTCAACATTTTTGTGATAAGTTTGAATTTAGTTTTAAGCATAAAGTGAATTTTGTAAGTGGGAGTAGGTGTACTATACAAAACGTATCAATCGTAAAACTTAACCGTCGTCAATCTGTTGCTAAGGTTATGTCAAACAGCCTCGTCATCATCTAAACAATTAACGCAAGGCATGGTATTTAAATAGCAAACGTATAAACAGTCAAGCCACCACAAGATGTTCAAAACATTAGAGCCTAAAGATTGTCATCATCTAACTAAATAGAAAATACTGCAGTCAAATATATAGTCAATTGGTCTATATTGGTCACTACGAAAAATATTACATGGATGTTCACAATCTGGTCAAACATAAAAAAAAACTGGAAAACAAAGCTTTTCAAAATTATTCGTACGCAAAAGAAGCCAAAATCGCCTGTTTAAACCAAATGGCAAACAAATCCATAAAATATCGATAAAAATGGTGAGTATTACTGCACTTTTTTAAAATTATTCACTAAACCAATTCTTTCGATTCGGGAATGTAAGGAAGTCAAACCACCGAGCTGTGCACCACCACAATCTACTAACCACTATATTGGATCTTGTCCCTGCTCTTTGTGTCCGGCACTACTATTGTCTACTTTATGGCCATCTATTTGTGAGGACACTATCTAACAAAAATACACTTGCATAGAAGCAAACTTCCATCTTTGGTCTCTATATAAATTTCTTTACATTTTGACTAATTATTTTTAAGTCGATTTTTGATTTATGGCCTACGGGCGCAACCACTGTGCGCTGTTCGGCGGTTTGAATCGAAAGTTTGTTATCTCCTAAGACAGCAATAATCTGTCTGCGAGATTCCTCAGCAGTTTTTCCCTGTGCGAAATAAAATCTCAAAATTGCCCGGATTTCTGCGTTTGTGAACTCCATTTCAATCGATTGTAATTATTTAACAAACTATATGTCATTTTAAAGGTGATGCCGATACCTTTGCCAATTACGATTATATTTGACTTCACAAGCGAAACGCGAAATTTGAATGTAAAAACCGGTATGTCATTACCAAACAACCTAATATAGAGTATATTTTTTTTTTGGTTAATACCAAACTGTGAATGATACCCAAAAACTGGAAAACGTCAGGCATTTTATATAAAGAATTGCATCAAGTTTCGCTCCTTTTTTAGCTGGCCTTCCTGCTAAACAGCACAGCGCATTAAAGAGGTTGATTGGTGGGTGTGGAAAAGGCGGTTGGGGGGAAATGGAAAATGTAGAAGGGGATTGGGGGTTGGGCTATGGGGTATGGGGAATGGGGAATGCTAGATGCTTTGGTAGATGGCGAATGGGATGTATCGCCTCAGACGCTGACTGCGACTGCCTCGAAAACGACATCGCAGGCAATGAGCTTAAGTTCAATACATTTACTTGAATTTCCAGCGAACGACAAGGACGAAGACGATGTCGTTGACTAGTTGGCTCCCAAGGATGAGTAGGAAAACTGAGGTGGGGGGCAGGGAACGGGTGGCCGGAAAATACCACTTGGAATAATTTCAGGTCACTTTTTTGGGATTTTAAATTAGATTTTAGTTTTCATTACGAGGGTATACAACATTTAATATAACCTAATGTGATTATCATTTGTGAAACTCTTTTCTAACCTTGCTTTAACCCCAGTATATTTTTTTAAAAAAATTTAAATAGCATATATTTTTGTGGCAGTGTATAAAGCCGAAGCCGGGCAACGTTGTGCCCATTACAGACAGTTTTTGTGGCGAGAAATTTCAAAAAGCTCAAATGTGCGAGGCGATAAGCAAAGCAGCAAGAGATTGCCAAGGATGGGTGGACTGCCGAGGCGTCCTGCAAGGGATGAGAGATGAGGGGAAGGGGGAGGGGAAGGGGAAGGGGGACAGGGGGATCAGGGGGCAATGGCAGCACTTACATGTAACCAGTCGATGGCGACAACGGCAGCCGCAAATGTTGCAAGGATTGCCGGCAAGAAGCACACACACACACACCAAATTGATGTCTATGTGTGCGGTGGGTGGACTTGGATTTCGGAGGAGGAGATGGTGCTCTGCTGAAGGACAACTATTCGAAGGGAGGAGGAGGGGAAGGGGGGATTGGCGGCAGATCGGCGGGGGTTGATTCACCAGCGCAAGTTTTGGTTTTCAAAATTTATCGCTTTTAGATAAAACGTTTTGCGTTTTTACGATACGAGCAGCGAACACTTTGGCCAACTATCCTGAAAGCCATCCGCCTCGCAGCTGGAGGGATGTCCTTTGTCCTGGATGAACAAGGAATGGGGTGGGTAAGTGGGTAAGTGGGCAAGTGGGCAAGTGGGAGTGGCACTCGCCGACTCTGTGGATTATGAAGTAATTTAATTAAAACGCCTGGCCCGCAAATAAATCCGGAATTATTTATGCCGTCTCGCTGGCGAATCGTGACATCCAAGGAGCGGGTAGTCGTAATCAGTACCATTCGCCTAATGGCCGCTCCTTGAGTCCTATAATTTTTGGGCATTTATTTGGGTCATCCCACCAGCAAGTAGGAACATGAAAGCCTTGCAGTTTTGAGTGGCTCGCGTTCTGGGTTGTAGTTAGTAGTTAGTTTGTGGATGGCCAATTTAGTTCAATTAAATATATATAAAGAGGTATAAAAAAAAAACATTATTGTATTTGTTCAAATAATATAAAAATATTATATAAAAAACCTTGTTAAATATATATGAGTAATATTTATGAAAAATAAATCAATGATTTATTTGGAAAAAGGGTTTAAAATAGAACTCTAATAATTAAATGGATATTGTAAGTTATATATTATACTTAATTATTTGCTTGATTTCTTGTATTGAAAAAGCATTTTTGCTTTCCTTCCCTTGATTTTAAGTCTAGGCCACAGGAGTTCCAGGAGGAAGACGGCCAGAGCACCCAGATTGGCCCAAAGGATGAGCCAGAAGAGGGCTGCAAGCTCCTTCATGGAGAGCTCATTCCGGCGAACGGTGGCCACCAGCTGCTCCTCGGAATCGGAGAACGTGGGATCGCCATCGATGCCGTCGAGGGTTCTGTACGAGGTGGCGGCGATCCTGGACACACTCTCGTCCTTCTCGTCGACGGCACTCACAAACTGGCGCGTCCAGTGCTCCAGGAATCCGTGGGAGTGGGCGTGCCGGATCTGCCTATCGAGCACGCCCACGAGATACGAGTGACGCCTCACGTAGAAGGCCAGTTGCTGGGTGTAGATGCGTTCCCTCACCAGGTGGAGTCGCCTGCTCATCGGATGCACCTTCCTGAAGTAGCCGAAGTACTCGTACGGCGTGAGGATGGCCACCCTCGCCGATGAGCCACTCTTCGCCGCCAGAGCTGGAAAGGATTGCAGCTCGCTGCCCGCCAGGTGAACCAATCGATGCGGGTGCAGTTCCGGCAGACTGGCAAGAATCCTCGCCTCGTTGCCCTCCTCCAGTTGGATGGTGAACTCCTGGGCGAGCACCTCGGCGATCGTTTGCGGGGGATTCCGTTGGGTGTCCTGCCGCAGCAGTTGGTACATTCCCGACTGGTAGGCACTCCGCAGGATCAGGGTGCCCAGTAGCCAGGTTATCAGCACCACGCGACCGAAGATCCTGCGCGGCAGCCGGCGATTCTCCAGGTTGCCACCCATTGTCATCACCAGCAGTTCGTAGTACTGGTGCCTGGTCAACTCCCGAACATGCCAGCAATGCTTGAGGATCGCCAGGAGGAGGCAGGCCAGGATCAGGAGCAGGGCAACCACCTTCCACAGCAGCGGACTGAAGGGAAAGGCCAGCTTCTCGTAGGCGGAGTAGGCGCTCTGCAGGTTCGTCACCAGCATGATGTGGCTCATGAAGTAATAGGTGGACTGCGAATAGGGAATCTCACTCCCGGCGCTGGGCTTAAAGTGGAATCCTCCCAGCGAGAAGTCAGCGTGGCGTCCAAAGATCTGAAATCGGTAAAACCTTTACCATATTTCCTACATTTCCTATTATACGTAACTCTTATTATTTTTCAAGCAAACTCACTTCATTGAAGATCCTGCCGGATTCATCGAAGGTGGCCAGCACCTCCTCCTTGTTCATCCAGTAGAGGCCCACGCTGAAGTTCAGATTGTTGGCCATGAACTGGAGGAGAGCTCCCTCGATGCCCACAAAGGAGCCACTGCCGTCGCGTCGAAGGACCAAGTAGGGCATGTCCTCCCAAGTGGCGCAGGTCAGCAAGCAGCCGTAGAAATTCGCCAGCTTTTCGGGAAAGTAATCCCCACTAACCCAGTTCTTGGTTGCCAAATGATAGCGATTCACGACGCTGGCGGAGATCACCTGACAACCGTGATGAGCACTGAATGGAAAGTAGCTCGCCATGATGAACTGATTGCCAGGAGCACGCAGAACAACTGCCACATTCAGGACACTGAGCCGCCACAAAAGCTGGAGGGCCAACTGAACTTCACTGCCGTACACATCCGTGGGCAAGGACATGTAGACGAGGGTGTGCGACAGATCCTGGGTGGCCCTGATCCCCTCGTAGAGCGCCGCCAGAGCTGGCAGATCGTCCACCAAGGCCAGAACAGCATGCACATACGGCTTGTACTCCATGGATTGCTGGTAAATCAGACTCTTGGCCTGCAAGTCGGCGGGCAAAGTCATCAGGACCTCGGTGAGCAGCTCCTCCAAGTGGCCGCCAGTCGATTGGGAGCTCACGTAGGTGTAAATATGGAGGGTATTGAAGCTGCCCATCTCTGAGTTGGCCACAACTTTGGCCAATGCTTCGGCCAACTGCCTATCCGATTCGGTTTCCTCCGCTTTTGTCAGCAAAAAGCAGGAGAAGTATGCAGTAAACAAATACGACCAGCACTTCATCGCGAAAGAGTTGCCCTCCAAATGTGGGAACAAAAGTATTTTAGGCTGAAGTTTCCAAATCCCCGGAGAAATTTCGGTAATGGTCTAGGGCATATCTAGTTAATCATATCACATTTGAGGGCAGTTCCCTTGGGGGAATTAAATTGGTTACCTTTTGATTAGCTATTAGCTATTACCTACAGTAACAATTTGAAAGATTGTATTTAACATTTAATATTGTAAGTTTGCATTGGGGATTCCCAACATAAATTTAACTGATTATAAAACCATCTTGTTTACACATTAATAATATTTAATATTGGTTACCTTTGAATGAAAACTGTTAGTGGATTAGCCATTAGCTATAGTATCAAATTGAAAGATTGCATTTAATATTGTCAGATTGCATTGTGGATTCGCAAAAAGATTTTACTGATATAAAACCATTTTGTTTACACATTAATAATATTCAATATTTATTTGTATTGCTATTGTATTACAATAAAAGTCAATCATCAACATCATCGTCATCGAAGTTGAAGTAGTCGATGTCGTTTTCATCCCGCTGTTTTCTGCTGCTGGGTTCACTGCTCTCCTTTGGATCCTTCAGATCCTCTGCATCCCGATCGTCCTCGTCGTCCGACTCCTGGAAGGGTTCCTTCTCGAGGGAGTCCTGGGTGTCCTCCTCGAACAAACTCCGTTCGGCGGCGCCCAACTCGAAGATGGGTTCGTCATCCTCCTCCTGCTCCTGCTGCCTTTCCTTGGACTTCTTCTTGGGCGTGGATATCCTGCCCAGAACTGGAGGCTCGACCTCCACGCGGGTTAGGTTCGTGTGGTGGTTGAGCATGCCCTTGTAGAGGTGCGGAAACCTGCGCTGGAAGTCCACCTTGATGCGGAGCAGTCGCTCCAGCATTCCGGGAGTGAGGATGCCGTGCTGGGTGCCCTGGCCCATGATGTGCGTGTCCCTCCGATGGCGATTGTCCTTCAAGTAGGCCTCGTAGCTCCCGCCCCCCGAGTAGAGGGGATGGTGTGGGTCGTAGGGCTTCTGGTTCCAGGGATCATCCGGTCGGGCCACCGGCAGGAGGCCCATGAACGGATGCAGCAGTCCCTCGTTGACGGTGAAAATGGAGCCCACTTGGGGATCGGATGAGGGTGCGATTTCGGATGCGATTTCGGATGCGGTTTCGGATGCGGTTTCGATTTCGGTTACGGATGGTGCTGATGATGGACTGGCGAAATGGACGGATTGGGATATGCAAATGGAAGATGCAGATGAGTGTTTAAGTGAGTATGCTATAACTACGGTCTACGATTAGTTAGTGGGGTTAGTTGGTTAGTAGCTTCATGGGTTGGGTGCTAAGGCTCTGGATTGGATGGAGTTTCTGATGGTGGTGGCAATGGGCTTGCGTTGCCTTCTGCGCAACCTCTTCCGCTTGATGGACTTGATGGGCTTGATAGATGATTGCTGCGTTCGCGAAAGACTATTCCCTGTTCTCAGGAGGCTGGCCTTCTTCTCCTTCTGGACCTGCAGACGCAGCAGATCCTTGAGCACGTCCACCAGGCTGTCCAACTTGGTGCTGCTCACACTGGCCTGCGTGGTGACCTGGCTGCTGGTTGACTTGGCAGTGGGTTTCTTCGCGACAGTGGGCTTCTTCGCCCGCTGCGGCATCTTCGCCTGGCGAGTGGACCGCACCCAGGTCTCCTCGTCCTCCTTCCTGATCCAGGGACTGCGGGTTCTTCTCGCCGTGCTCCGCCTCCTCACAAACTTCCCCCGCATCGCATAGGGAGTCGGAGTCGTTGGGACATCACTCGAGTCACTGCCACTATCATTGAGAGCCGCATTGAGAAGCAGAGCTTGCTGCTTCATGGTCAAGGCTCGCTTGGACTTGCCCTCCGCATCGGAGGAGGAGGTGGCTTCGTCGGCCTGGAACTCCGGGTAGGTGGAGTACTCCTGGCTGGCAGTTGCGTCGTAATTGCAGGGCTTCGCCATCTCGAGGTTCTGCGTTTGGGGGAACTGACCCTCCAGGTTCTTGGTCAGGAAATCCGTATCGTAGCCCCGATTGGCCAGGATGCGCTGCCAGTTTTGCTCCTCTTCGTAGTCCAGTTTGTTGAGGGGTCCGTAAGGGTCATCTTCTTTGGCCTTGGCGCTCGCCACCTTCGATTTGGCTTCGGTTTGTGGAGTCTCAGAGGTGGTGGTGGTGGTAGTGGAGGTGGCTGTCACATCCTCCTCTTCCTCCTGCTGATCCTCCTCCTGCTCCACTGTGGTCTTCTCCTCCTCCTCTTTTCTGCTCTTCTTTTCCTCCACCTTCGGTTTCTCCTCTATGGTTTTCTTCTCCACAGCTTCTTTCTTGGCAACTGACTCCTCCCGCAGTTTGTTGTTCAATATGATCATGTTGCACCTGGATTTCAGCTTGATCATCTCCAACTTCAGCTTGTCCACAATGGTGTGCAGCTCGTGGATCTCCTCCTCCTGCTTGCTAATCGACTTGGTCACATGGGAGCTCTCGGCCATCGAGTCCTGCTGCATCTCCGGCTCCTCTTCCCTGGGAGCTTCAGTGGTTGTGCTGGTTGTGGTGACGACCTCAACTTTAGAGGGAGCCTCTGAAGTGGACGTACTTTCCACTGGAATTCTCGCTTCAGTGGAGCTCTCAACTGGAGCTGCTGTGGATGTGGTGAGACGGACAAAGTCCTGGTGGTTGTACTGATGCTGATGCTGATGGTGGGAGGAATCCGGCTGCTGCAGTTGCTCCTCCTCTAGAGGCTCCTGCTGGCCACCACCCTCCTCGTACTGATCTGCCCCGATCTCCAGCGGTTCCATGCTGGCCCGCTCCAAGGCTTCCCGAATGGAGGCGGCATTGTAGCGCATCAGAGCCTCGGCGGGATCTTCATCCGGACTCAGGGTGATCTCCTTCAATCCAAGCTTGTATTCCCTGCGCAGTTCGTTGAGGGAGCCCTCGTCGATGGTCTCCAGGGTTCCGTACTCGGCACTCCTCCTCCTTCGTCGACTGCTCCTCCTGCACTGACAGGAAGACCCTGTCCTCTCCTGTCTCCTCGATGTCTCCAATCCCCTGCCACACTGACAACTCCTGCCGCAGAGGCAATCCAATCGGCCGCAACCACAACCCCTGACCTCTGACCTCTGGTCATCGCGCGGAAACCTGTGGAAGTTGGCTAACCTTTTGTGGACTCGATGCGGTGGCGGTTGCTCCTGCGGAGCTGCTGCTGTTGTGTTGGTCCTCGCCGGGGGATCAGAGTCCTCCTCCTCCCGCCTCTCCAATCCGCCGACTTGGTCCGATTGATTGGGGTTTATTGTCTGAAATGCGTCGCCTGTTTAATGCCATGAGAAGAAGGCGAATGAATCGAATGAAATGGATCAAATGCATCAAATGGAGGCAACTGACTACGTGAGTGTTCGATGTGGTGTTTTAAGTGGGTGTGGTGTCTCTTGTGGCTCTGATTTAAATAGCTAAATAGCTGAAAAGCTAAATAACTAAATAGCTAAATAGCTAAATAGTTGAATAACTGAATAGCTGAATAGCTAAATAGCTGAATAGCTTAATGGCTGAACAGCTGAATAGCTGAATCTGGATCTCAACTCACCCTGGCCATCGTCTGGTGCTGGCGCAGCATGTCGTCCACCTCCTCGTTCCCAACGGCAGCTCGGTAACCCTGAGCTGGATAGGAGCTGTAAACGGGAGCGGGAGCGGGAATGGCAGCGGGATACGGGTTGGCCCGAACGGGAGCTGGTGATCCGTAGGCATTAGATCCGTAGCCACCGCCGCCGTAGCTGGTGCCATAGCTGCTCGGATAACTCGGAACTGGCGCTGGACGCTGGGGCACCTGATAGTAGTAGTTGATCACCGCGGGACGCGAAGAGTGCGAATGCTTGGACTTGGACTTCTTGCGGTTGCCGCCGAGTCCGAGGGGATCCCCGCCTGGTTGCGAAAGAGAGTTGCGCACTGAGTCGCGGTTGCGGTTGCGGAAAACGCCGAAGAGATTACCTTTGTGCCGGGCCTTGCCCTCGTTCTCCGCCATCTGTGGTCCGGCCTCTCCGAGGATTGTCTCCTTGGACTCATCGTCACTCTTGCTATCATCATCATCACCATCGGGTTGTCGCTGCATCTGGGCTGCCATCTGGTTGGGATCCTGCTGCATTGCCTGCGACTTCTCCATGGCCCACCGCTGGGCAGCTTCATCCTCCTGGTTGGCCCACTGCCTCGGTTGCTGTTGCATCTGCTGTTGCTGCAGCTGTTGCATCATCATGGGGCTCTGCTGCATTCGCGGTTGCTGCTGTTGCTGCTGCATCATCATTTGGGGGCTCTTCATCTGGCGCTGCTGCATCATCATTTGATTCTGCTGGATCATCTGCGGTTGCGGTTGCTGTTGCATCCTTGCCTGATCCTCAGCCCACTGCCTCTGCTGCATTTGGTGAACCTTCGCGGAATCCTCTGTCCACTGCCTTTGCTGCATCATCATGGGATTCTGTTGCATCTGCTGTTGGGTTTGCTGGATCTTGGCCTGCTCCTCGGACCACTGCCTCTGCTGCATTTGCTGCATTTGTTGAACCTGCGCGGGATCCTCGCTCCACTGCCTCTGCTGCATCATCATGGGGCTCTGCTGGATCATCTGGGGGTTCTCCATCTGTCGCTGCTGTTGCTGATTCTGCTGAATCCTGGCCTGCTCTTCGCTCCACTGCCTCTGCTGCATTTGTTGCACCTTTGCGGGATCTTCGCTCCACTGCCTCTGTTGCATTTGTTGAGCCTTCGCGGGATCTTCGCTCCACTGCCTCTGTTGCGTTTGCTGAACTTTGGAGGGATCCTCTGTCCATTGCCTCTGCTGCATCATCATGGGGTTCTGCTGGGCCATCTGCTGTGCCATCTGCCTCTCCTTCTGCATCCTCACCTGATCCTCGGCCCACTGTCTCTGCTGCTGCTGCTGGATCATCTGGGAGTTCTCCATTGGCTGTTGCTGGTTAGGACTCTCTGCAGTTCTGTAGGCGGCGTAGACCTTGTCCTGCTTTCCCTTCTCGTTCTCCATCTGCTCGCTGGCCATGCGATACGCATACGCCATGATCTTCACAATCTCCTCCTTGGTCAGAGTGGGATCCTCTGCCTTTGCCTGTCGCTTGAAGCCACCTGCCTTGCGGCTGATGTGAGCCGAGGTCCTGGCCTTCCTTTGCGCCTCCTTGGCCACCAGACGACGCACGTAGTCGTCCCGCAGAGCGTGCTCGATGTCCGAGCGGGTGATCTTGTGCACGGGAGTGCGGCTCAGGGAATAATTGATCCTGTAGGGGGAATCGGGGGAAGTCTGCGCGGCACTCGATCGCATCTCCTTGGCCATCAGCTCGATCTTCTGCAGCATCTTCAGCTCGGCGATCACCTGGCGCTCGAAGGCGCGCAACTTGGCCTCCACGCGGAGATCCTCGAGTGTCTTGTCCTCCAGTTCATCGGTGGTGCTGGTGGTGGTGGTGGTGGGCAGACGGAACCACAAGAGCGGCACTCGCTCCTGATCCTCCTGCTTCTCCTGCCTATCCTGCTGCCTCTCCAATGCGGACTTGATCTTCAGCTGCGCGTATTGAGCCTCCGGGGAGTAGGGAATCTCGGGACGCACCCGCACCTCGGAAATGTCCGAGGCCTGGGCATCCGCTCCCGCTGAAGCAGCTGGCACCGTCGCCGGGAAGAACTGCCGCTGCATCTGGGCCACGAAGTCGAGGTTCGGCGCCGGCAGATTGGAGAGATTGGGCACCGCCTGTCCCAGCAGACCGGCGGGATCGATGTTGGTCGGATTCAGGAGGGCCATGGCCTGGCCCAGGAGCGGTTGGATGCCCTGACCCAGAGCGGGCAGCGGCGAGTCCGGAGCAGCAGCCGGAGCAGGTGGAGCCGGAGCAGGAGGAGCCGGGGCAGGAGCAGCTGGAGCGGGTGGAGGATCGGCCACGGGAGTGGGAACCGGAGCGGCGGCACCCAGGAAGCCACCGGAAGCCATCGGCGGCAGCTGGGCGAGGAACTGACCCACCTGGGGTCCGAAGTCCATGGGCGGAAGCGGGGGGAAGTTGGCCTGGCTGAGGATGTCCTGCGGAACGGCCGGCCAGTTCATCATCTGGCCGAGGGGATTGGTCACCGGATTCTGGCGGGTCACTCTTGTCTTGGTAGCGGGATCGTCCGCCAGGACGAGCACCACCTTGGAGGCGGCAGCCGTCGGCTGCAGGTTGTCGGGCACGGCACTCAGGATCGAGTGCGCCGGGAAGAGGCTGCCCCACCGGAGCAGACTTGCCAACGCGGGGAACATCAAGTAGAAGGCGTCCATCTGCGGGTTGCCAGTCCGGATCGGCGAGATCGGGGGCACTTGACCCAGGATCTGAAATAGAGTTCATTCGGAGTTCATTCGAAGTTTATTATGCAATTCATTACTTGCTTCTAGGAAACATCACTTCTAATTTATTTATTTTATTTTTAATTTTATGAAGGATTTTTTTGCTTCTGAGAAAAATTACTTATTATTATTTACCAATTTTATTTACCATTTTATGAAAATGAATTCTTGAACTGTGATTTATTACTAAATTTTTACTTTTACGATTGCTTAAATAAATGGTTCTGTTATTGATCATCAGTATTTTGTATTAAAATTAATGCATGTAAAGTCAAATCATTAATTATGCAATTCATTTCATATAATTTTCTTTTTCAAGGATTTCTTTGCTCCTAAGAAATATTAATTATTATTTATTTTTTTTGTTTTTTTTTCATTTTATGAAAATAGTTCTTGAACTGTAATTATTTATGGCATTTTGATTTTTTACGATTATTTAAATATTTGTTTCTGTTATTGATCATTAGTCCTTTGTAGTCCTTTGAAATTAATGCATTTAAAGCATGTAAAGTTCCAGAAATTTGTAGGGATTTATAGATAGATTTCACACAAGTTCATTAATATTGTCAATAAATGTTAAGTAAATCCAATAATCGCAAACTCTGAGACTGAACTGTACTCTGTTTGAAATCAGTATTTAAAGTTCTTAAACCACTTATTTTTCACTGGTAGGAAGAGATAGATAATCCTACCCAAACTCACCTCATCCGGGGTGGGAATCCTTGGCCTTGTGGGCGCGGTTGCATTGCTGGTGACTCCATCGTCCGCCGAAGGATTCTCGGCGGCCACATCCGTCGATCCGTCGCTCGGACATTCGGCCTGAGCTCCGAGGAGCGCCAGGAGTAGCAGCAGGCAGTGCACTCTCATCCTGTTCTAAGGAGCTAAACTAGGCAAAGCACGGCTTTCGATGATCAATGTTCGCCGGAGCTTCTTAACCGACTGACTACCGATTGCCGCTGGTCGGTGGTCCAAATAGATTTTTTGCCAGCGCGTCGGCGGCTCCAAAGTGCCGACGTCGTCGAATTCGTGACCCGGACTTGGGTCCACCACACGCACCGGGTTACCTTCTTCTGTGCTATTCTGGGTTTCCATGGGTTTCCATGTGTTTCCGTGTGTGTGCCCCCGATCGAAAGCCAGCCAAACCGCAGCAGCCGCCGCAGCTGCAACTGCTGCAACAGCTGCATAAGCGGCAAAAAACCTTGCCCAACTATTCCGCTGGCCAGCGATTTCCACGAATTCAGCGCAAATGATGCACGCTAAACAGTACGGGAAATGCCAGGTGCGGAGTCAAGCGGAAAGGTGCAAAAAACAGTCTAAAGATCACTGCAAACACCGGATAAACTTGTCATGCCGTATGGTATGGTTAACTTCCGAGAAACCATCATAAATGATAAATAAATCTACTCGAACAAACTGTGACTAACCAGCTATATTTTCATTGATTTACTTCCGGAAACTTATTTAAGCTCGATAAAGATAACTTTTCGATTGATTTGATAAAGTAATCATGTTCTTATCCAAAATCAGTTAATATTCCATTGTTGAATTAGTAATATATTTAAAGATAAAGATCTAAGATTAAAATCTAAAGCATTACTTTTTAATTGATTTCATAAAAGTCATAATTTTCTTTTCCAAAAGCAGTTATTATTCCATTGTTGAATTGTAATACATCTAAAGATAGCTTTTGGCCCAATGATTTTTCCATCTGCCTTTTGTTCTATTAACTTTAATTAAACTAAATGAGATCCCTCCGATGAAAATCCGCTCCTGACTTTGTTGAGGGCCGTGGTGGTGGTGGTGGGGCTGCCCTTCAAGCGTCGATCCATGGAATTCTTGCGATCGTCTTATCGTTTGTGTGTCACCAGAACCACAGCCACAGAAATTGCCGCCGGCACCACCAACACCACCAACCAACCAACTGGCGGTTTGCTGAGGTCAGCGGTGGTGCACCTTGTCCCAACATGAAAACAGAAAACAGAAAACAAAAAGAAAGAAAGAAAGAAAGAAGTGAAAGGTTTCTGGAACCGCAGCGGGTGGTTTTGCTGAGGTCAGCATTTCGCTGCGAAAAAGAAAAGAAAAGCCGGTGCATTTCTTCAGCTTTCGGTACAGCGACCTTTGGTTGCCTCAGATTCGATTTAAACAGCCTCCCAGATCATCATTCAATTACTCACGGCCCAAAGAAATCAACATTTAATCACGCATCTGGGCAGACCAGGAAAATATTCATTCAGCAAAAATCCAATAACTTCGTATCAAGATAAAAAGTTGTAACTAAAGTATATTTTTACCGGTCGAGTAATATTTTTGTTTTGTTTTTATTTATTTCTCTAGAACATTCGGGAAATATTTCCGAGTCGTCAGAAAATGTAATGCAAAGGTGTTAAAAAATATGTTTTCTTTTTTTGATCGTTTAAATGCCGATGTAATCAAATAATATTCGTAACCTATTTTTGCGAATACTTTTTAATTGACCTGTGTTACTTAGCTTACTTTGTATTTACAACAAATGTAAAAGCAAAAATAAATTATATATTTAATGCTAATTTATTGTGCATTTGCATTTTCAGATGATGTTCAGCTGATAGAGCTTTCAGCACGCCATTTGACCTGCCAGTTAAGTGATTCCTGTTTAGATTATAGTAATGAGACAGTACACAAATAACAATTACTCCTTCTGTAATCTGTAAATGAATTTTTCGGAATTTAAAAAAAAGTTTTTAATTCGAAAATATTTTTAAAAAAATTAATAAGTATGCCACTTAGCAATTGCATAAAATTATAAAGTCAAATTAAGATACAAAGTTATTTCGCTTGGCTTTCTCTACCATTTCTTTGTTTTCAGTGTGGCGAGCCATCATAAAATGGCGGTTGCCCAGGGCCAGGAGCTCAGTTGGCCAGGAGCCGAAGGTGGACGACCATGCTGCCCAGTTCGGTGCACAATGTGAGCCTGGTCTACGCACTCGTCTGGGCCATCGACCACTATTATGGCCAGGGAACGAGCACTCCGCTGGCGGTGGTGCAGTTCGCCACCAGTTGGCGGAGCAGGGGATTCCACAACGATCTGATAGACGCCGCATTGGGGACTTGCTCCGGAAAGGGGAGGATCCAGTTCCTGCTCGAAGATGATCGCGTTGAGTCAAGCGAAAAGGAGAAGGAGAAGGAGAAGGAGCTTCCGCCGCCGAGTGGATTGAGTGGAAGGCCGTTCGCCATTTGGTTTCTGGACAGCCTGCGCTCGTACTTCCGCCTGGAGATGTACCTCACCCAACTGGGCAGTCCGTACAAGAGGAACGGTTTCTTCCTGGTCGTTTACACCGGCGTGGAGGAGGAGCCCATGGAGGCCGTCACGATCATGTTCCGAAGGCTACTTCACATGTACGTGGTGAACGTGACCCTGTTGCTCCCGCGGATGGGGATTGTGCAGCTGTTCACCTACTTTCCCTACGGACCACATCGCTGCCTCTCCGCGCTGCCCGTCTACTACACGTCCTTTCAGGACATCCCCTCCCAGGGATTCGGCCTCGGCAAGCCGCTCTTCCCCAGCAAACTGGGCAACCTGCACGGCTGCGAACTGGTGGCGATCACCTTCGAGCACCGGCCGTACGTCATCATAGAGGATGACCCGACGGTTCCGGGGGGCAGGACATTGCACGGCATCGAGGGCATGATCTTCCGAGCTCTGGCCGAGCGGATGAACTTCACCATGCGAATGGTGGAGCGGAAGGACAAGGATCGCGGGGAGGTTCTGCCAGATGGCAACTACACGGGCATTCTCAAAATGGTAAGAATAACGTGTGAAAAATAAATCAAACTTAATATTAACAAGAACTGAGTATAGATATTGTCTGATCTCTACATAGATCCATATTAAATACTTATTTCCTACAAGACAACAGGTCGTATGCACAATGAATCCTCTAACACATCTCCAAATCAAGTATACGCCTGGTAATCCCATTTCAGATGGTCTGAACTTTACATAGAACGATAAATGGATTGGTGTTACATAAGTATTATCATTAATACATGCTACTTATCACGCCACATTAAACACGAATCCTCTAACACATCATATACCCACATATCAAGTATACGCCTGGTAATCCCTTTTCAGATAGTCTTTACTTTACACAGAACCATATAACTTGCGATAGAAGTATTAGTATTACATACGTATTACATACTATTTATCACGCCACATTAAGCACTTATTACCTCTAAAAAATCTGCAAATCAAGTATACGCCTGGTAATCCGTTTGCAGATGGTCGACGGCGAGGCGAACGTGACCTTCGTGTGCTACATGTACAACAAGGCCCGCTCGGATCTGATGCTGCCCAGCGTCTCCTACACGAGCTTCCCGATCGTGCTCGTGGTTCCCGGCGGAGGATCGATGACGCCGCTGGAGCGACTGACGCGTCCCTTCCGCCACATCATTTGGTCCTGCATCCTGGCGAGCCTGGTGCTCGGAATGCTGCTGGTGGCCCTGCTGCGAATCTGCGCTGCTCCGCTGCTGAGGATCCTGGTGCTGGGCGGGCACAACAGCTATCCCTGCTTGGGGCTGTGGAACACCCTGCTGGGCAACCAGGCGATGCACAATCCGCGGCGGAACTTCGCGCGATACCTCCTGCTGCTGTGGCTCCTGCAAACCCTGACCCTGCGGGCCGCCTACACGGGTCAACTGTATCTGCTCCTGCAGGACGTGGAGGTGCGATCGCCACTGAAGACGCTCGCCGAGGTGATGGACAAGGGCTATGTGTTCCACATGCTGCCCGCCCTGCAGGTCGTGTTCAAGGACTCGCTGCCCAGCGATCACATGCGAGTGGTGAACACACTGGACGCCTCACTGTACCGGCTGAGGGAGGAGGACGACCCGGGCATTGCGGTGCCGCTGCTGCAGCCCACCGTCTACTACTTCGACTACCGATCGGGCAGGAACAGCCGCCACCTGACCACCCTTTCCGTGCCCCTGTTGACCGCCCCGCTGACCCTCTACATGCGACCGCACTCGTACTTCAAGCACCGCATCGATCGCCTGCTCATGGCCATGATGTCATCGGGCATCGTCTATCGGTATCGCCGCATGTATTTGGATCGCATCGAGCGGCTGGCCAAGAGCAAGCGGAACATGGAGCCGCAGCCCCTGACCATCTGGCGACTGGGCGGCATCTTCTTCCTCGTATCCGCTCTTCATTTTGTGGCCATCCTGGTTTTCATACTGGAGCTGTTGGCCGCCAAGCATCCGCGATTGCGCAGGGCTATGAATGCAGTTAATCGATACACAGCTTAAGCTTTGCTTCAATGCACGAAACTGTACTTTGTTGTTAGTTACATATTTATCGAGAGTTATCGAAAAAAATATATTATGCAAGCAATATTAACTTGAATATAAAAATGTGTTTTTAAACTAGATTTGCTTGATTTGTTTGACTCTTTTGAATAATTAATATTTTTCTTTTTTTATATATATCGATTTAAAAGCACTTTTTGAATACCTATTCATGCATTTTATAATGTAATACTGTTTCTTCGCTTTTTCACTTTCCTTTTTGTTCAGCTAGCTTTTTATGATTGTTGAATATAACTTAAAGCCTCTCCATGACATATGCTAATCTCGACCAGCGGCGCCTCCGACTGAGCAACTCGAGGAGGAAGACGCCGATGGAGAGGCCGAGGGCGGCCATCAGGCAATTGAAGGCGGCCAGGACGAAGCCCATGGACTCGGCGAATCCCTTGTCCAAGTCCGAGGAGTGGACCGACTTGTCGGTGGAGTCCGTGGTGGTGGGCATGCTCTTCCAGGCCAGAACCTCCGCGTGGTGCTGGAATATCCCGAAGCTGCGCAGGTTGAAGAGCGGCATGTTGAACTCCCAGGCGAAGTAGGAGCCGTGCGGGAAGTAGATGCACAGCATGTTGTCCAGGATCTTCTCCGCCAGGATGACCAGCCGATTGCGGTGCTCCCGATGCTTCACCAGGTGATCGGCGAGGAAGGCGCGGCTGGTGAAGGCCGCCGTTCCCCAGGGAGACTTCAACAGGGCATCGAACACGTCCACCGGTTGGCCCGGCGATATGGTGGTCCTACCCGTGAACGAAGGCAGCTTCAAGGTCATCCGGTAGGTGGCGTGATCGGTGATGAACTGGTAGCCATTGTCCAGAGTGCTCTGCAAGGTGCGCGGCGATGGCTTCACCGGCGAGTTGTGGATGAAGTTGAACACGGAGGCCTCGTAGCTCGCGCGAACGATGAATGTCCAGAGCAGCCAGCCGGCCAAAACAGGAGACGGCATTCGAAAGCATCTGTTGAGGAGGATGTGGATGCAAAGGATAACGAAGAGGAGCAGCCAGGTGGACTCCGCGTAGGGGAAGAGCATTATCTCGTAGATACTGTAGCCACCTCTCGCTCGCATCACAAGCACGTACGGCATTTGGCTGTAGGGACCCGTCGCCGCCAGGAAAGTGGCTCTCTCCGGCGTGCAGGCGGCACATCCGATGGTCAGGTTGGCCCTCCTCTCCAGGAGCATTTTGTAAGCACCCGTTTGGGTTCCATTCAGGAAGCTGGCGCCACCGATCAGGCCCGCCGGCTCATTGGGCACCAGCTCGATCGTGAAGTTCATCTTGCCCGCCATCAGCCGTATTAGCTTGCCATCCAATCCCTCCAGCCTTCGCAGGGGATCCTCTCTATCCCAGTGGACCTTCATGTAGGGCGGAATATCCCACACAATGACGCTTAACGGACATCCGTGCAGGTTCTTCAATCGCCGCGGAAAGATATCGAACAGTCCGGCCTCCTTAATGTCGACCTCCACGGGCTCCAAGTTCATGCAACTCTTCGGAGTGTAAGGCCAGACATTGAAGGCTCTCACCTCCTCCAAATCGGGCACCAGGACCAGGACGTTTATGTTGTACCGCTCCTCCATGAAGTACCTGAATATCCTGGACATAATGACTCTGGCCTCGGAATCCTTGGGTGGGAAAAGGAGGAGCACGATTATACAGGGATTATTGTGCTCCAGTTGGCTGGCTGCGGATCTAAATTTAAAACAGTACATGTACTAATATTATTAATTAATAACATATAGTATATTAGCATAACATAATAACACATATTTATATACACATTTATTTAAATTTATATAATTGATTAATTTATTTGTTAAACTATACAAATAACCCTAAAATATTATTACTTACACGGCTTCTTGAGCATTTTGGACGAAGAGCAACTGGATGGCCGCCGGGGTGTTCAGCCTGCGGGGCAATTGGGATGCCAAGATAATGGGCACTGGAGTTTTCGGGTGACGCAGACTTTGGTCCAGGACCCGATGCACCAGGTTCACCCGATTCCTGTCCATTTTCTCGAAGGCGGTGCTAATAAAGACACTGAATTTAAATGTAGACATTGCATTCGCTAATATATTCTTAAGAGTGCCGGAGATCGTGACGGAAAGCCGCTCCTCCAAAGGATGCTGTTCGGGCCACAGAACTGCCTGCACCTGCAGGACACTCAGGAGCACCAGGAATACTGCAACAGCACATCGAAGTTTCATGGCGAATGTGAAACATTCTGCAATCTTTTTGCGAATTTATTCGATTGAGTTTTCGCCATCAGCAGAGCGGGATTTGTTTTGGTCAGGGATTTTGTGTGCCAATCGGTGTAGTATCTTTTTTGTAAATCTACTCTGCATACAGTGGATACGAAAAGTAAAACACCTTTAAAGAAGTTAGCATACTATAACAAAATTAATATTATTGTAATACTTAGTAGAAGTTATGAAAAACATAGTAGTTAATATTGATTGGTTTTTAAAGAGCAATATTAATGTTTTATCTGTAATTTAGCATTGTTTATTTTCGTTTCAAACAACCCACTGTTCCACCAAGCGATCAGTTATTTGATTTTCACAAAAAGCTAACCCCGAGCGATTTGAATTAATTCCAGTGCCGTGCCAAAGTAAAGGTAATGCATTAACAAATCTGTGTTCATCACTTAAACTAATTGCTGCGTACGGGCCACCAGCCAGGCACCCCTAGCCCCCTGGAGCACCCAAGCCCACTCGAACCACCCCTTGAACCACCCCCTGAACCACCCACATGAACCGTTCCGAAGGCATGTGCGTGACAGGTTTCGGTGTCAGTATTATGCATGAGGCGCATAACCATAAATTAACACCATCAGCGGCACAGACACACACACCTGTGGGTGTGAGTGTGTGGAGTGGGTCACGACGAGTGGGTCATGAGGTGGTTTTTCGGCTAGCAGGATAGGTGGCTAGGTGGATAGGTGGATGGGTGGATGGGCGGATGGGGGCAACACCCCGTCAGTGTCAGGTTCATGCAAACGCCATGTCGCCCGTAAGAGGTTTACAAGTAGCTGGATAATGTCCTGGCCTCCGTGGAAACCGCACGGTTTCACAAAGTCAACCACACTCGAAACAAAAGCTAAACAAAACAGCAAAGCAAATAAAGATTCATTTAAAAGCACACGGTAATAATTTACACACACTTAATAAACAATTTAGGGAATTACTTTCGAAAGGAGTTCCTTATGTTAAATTATTAAGATTAATTGCTTATAAAATAAAATCTTCTATTACATATTTCAAATTAAGATTTTCTGTAGCTTATAATTAGTAGAAAAACAACTTTCATCGAGCTACTATATTTATATTTATATTATATTTTATTTATTTATTTATTATTTAGGGAGCTATTTTCGCCAAGTGCTTCGAGAAGAGTCTTTGCAGGAACCAAAATCGCTGGGAGGCGAGCTCCAGGACGAAGACCACCGTTCCGAGACCCAGCCCCACCAGCACCATGAGGAAGATGGCGTACAGCTCGACGAGGCCGAGGATCTGGAAGGTCTGGTCGCTGCGCAGGTAGCTCTCCACCAGTTCCCACCTGGCCCACACGGCCAGCAGGCCCACGGAGCGCATCCACATGATCTCCTCGTTCAGCTGGTCGATGAGGAAGGAGTGCTTGCCCAGGTACATGGTCAGCTGCATGTTGATGATGTCCTCCGGAACGATCTCGTAGTGGGCACCCCGTTCGCCCCGCCGATGGATTCCCTCGGCACTCAGCCGATTGAAGTGGATGAAGATGTCCAGGGCGGAGGCGGTGACGTGGTGGCGCAGCTGGTGGTTCGCCTCCAGGAAGTAGAGGGGTTCCAGCTCGGAGTTGGACGCCTCCAGCAGGCGGAACTTCATGTGCTGCACACTGGGAATCTCGTCGAGAGTTTCCTGGACGAGTGGCGTCAGCACCACCGTGTAGTTGCGCTGTACCAGCGACTCGATCGTTTGTGGCCAGCGGTTCAGCTGGTGGGTTCGGATGAGGTGGTACAGCAATCCCTGGTAGACCGTCCGGATGATCAGCGTGTACATCATCAGCATCAGGCAGTAGAGACGGGCCGAGTGCGACCTCGGAGTCTCCAGCAGCGGCATTCCCACGAAGATCAGCTCCAAATTGAGCCACGCCCGCGATCCCGTTCGCTCCTTCAGCATCCTGGCCACCGCCAGCTGGAGGCAGGCGGACAGGAGCACCACGCCGAGGATGCCCATCCAGATCTGCAGGCGGTACGGGTAGAGCAGGATGTCCAGGGAGCTCAGCTCGTAACTGGAGGCCAGCACCCCGAACACCTCGCGTGTCTGGTGGTAGTTGTGCGTCGAGGTCGCCCTCAGGCTCCTGCCCACCGTCTGCCGGATCCCGCCCAGGGTCAGCTCCGCCTCGCCGCGATGCAACTGCAAAGTAATAACATTCAGCAAAAAAGACCTCTGAACAAGATTCGAAAATCCATTGATTTAAGAACCAAATGATTAATTTATTATTTAATTTATTAACCTACATAAAACAACCAAAAATGTTTTTTTTTTTAATTGGGAAGGTATTTTCTTCCGATTTTCTAGCCACTCTAAAAAGTTCCCTACCAGGACTTCGCGATTTCAAAAAAAAATTTTAACTTTTGCAAACTTTTTCAGGGGTACCCCTTACATATTTTTTTTTTTTTGTAAATTTGTAGCACTTTTTATCCGAAAAACCTGCATAAAATTGCCAAAAATCATGTTATCTCAACGGGAAAGGTGTTTTCTTTTATGATTCTAGCCCTATATTAAAGTGGCATATTGCTTTTTCGAATTTCAGAAAATTAAGAAATTATTTTTCCTATGGAAGCTATACGATATATACTATATATACGATACAGGGACTCACCATCTCTAGGGCCTCGTCCATCAGACTGGCGTGCACCTTGCGCACGGCGATGGAGAAGTTCATCTTCTGGGCGAGCGCCATGAGCAGACGACCCTCGTAGCCGCCGCTGACCACGAGGAGGCCGTCCTGGGCCGCATCCTGGCGCAGCCGGACGAAGGGCGGGGCGTTCCAGAGGGCGCACCGCAGCGGGCAGCCGAAGAAGTTGCGCAGCTTCGGCGGGAAGAGCTCCGGCTCCACCAGCATGCTGCCGTTGTAGCGGTTGATCAGCTGCGGCTCCATGTCGGAGCACCCTCGCTCCCCGAAGGGATGGTAGCTGTAGAAGAGGACGTCCCCGTTGGACTTCTGCACCTGGACGCTGCAGTGGATGAGCTGGTAGCGCCAGCAGTAGTCGAAGATCAGCCGCATCTCGCCGAGCAGAAGGCGATCCCTCGCCTGCAGGAAGATGAAGTAGTGCTCGTTGTAGTTGTACTCCCTTGCATAGTACTCCATCCGGATCTCCTCGAAGGCGGCGAAGGAGTCCGTGAAGATGACGTTGAAGTGCCGGCGACCCGGCACCGGATGCCAGGGAACGCCCCGTTCCACGTTCACGATCTGCAGCGGGGCCAATCCCCACTGGCGGAACAAGGTGCTCATCATCTCGTTGTAGAAGTTGCACGTGTGGTTGCTCCGGCAGCAGAGGGTCAGCACCAGCGACGGGGTCACGCTGAGGATGTAGTGGTGCACCACGTGGAGCAGGGCCCCGGCCACGAACTCGTTGATGTGGTTCACCTGCTCCCCGGACAGATCGTAGTACGTGTTGAGCAGCGCGCTGATGTTCATCCCGCCGGGACACTCGGTCGCCCAATGAACCCAATGGGTTTATCTCAGTCGGGTTTTCCCAACCAGGTTTTCCGGCTTGATGAGCTCCAAGTCGCTTTGGAGTTTTGTGTAACTTGCCGGGTTAATTGCTCCAAAAAGTTTCCCGATTAATGGTTGTGTGGCGTAGTTTCCAAATGGGTTCTTTTACCCATAAAAATTGGGTCAATATTACAAGTACAAAAATTGTATGTCTCAATTTATACAAAATATTCTTAAAAATACATTGAATACTTTTTGTGAATTTTTGTTCATTATGTAGCTAAACTTGTGTAATGCTTAATCATTTTTTTATATCTTCACTATTAAATGGATATCTCTAATGGAGATCTCTACATTTAAATTTAAATCTGAACCAACTTTGACAACGCTTTTTAGAATATTGTGAGATTCCAGTTTCTCCGACGGGACAAAACCTCGCCTGCAAAAACGAGACTGGCCAGCAGATACATGCCCGCCATGATCACGTAGATCCCGGAGAGCTTTCCGTGGCTCACAAAACTCCGGCTGGTGGACTGGGCGTGCTCCCCCCGACGATGGGATGCAAATGCAGCCCGTCGCCAGGCGAGGATGAATCCTCCGGCATCCAGTCGCCTGATGGCATCGTCCATTTTGAGATAGAGAAACGAGTGCTTGGGCATGTACATTCCGGCGAACTCCACATTCACGGGCTGTTTGACCACATGGAATCCCGTGGGATTCAGTGAAGATCGTATATAGGATTGCGCAATATCCTGATTGGCAACGGCGAATATCCTGCGATTCCTATTCCGCTGGAGGGCATTCAAGACGTCCCAATCGTATGGAGTGTCGAGGGCGCGAAAGCTATCCGGATTGCGAGCCGCCTGCGGCATCTCGTTGAGCAGTTTCTGGGTGTTCGTCGAGCAGATGCCCTGGAAACCCTCCTCCAGCAGCTGCTCCAGCGAGGCGGATGGCGTGCTGTACAACTGGAGGCGGATCAGGTGAAAGAGCAGCGATTGGTAGCAGATCCTCAGTGGGATGCTGGCCCACAGCCAGTGGGTGGCGATGAGGCGATGTCTCCACGGCCTTGGCAGGTTGGCCAAGGGAGCGCCCAGGAGCAGGGCCACCACCTGAAGTCCACCAGCTCCTCCTCGGCGATTCCCCCTCCTCTCCGGCAAGTGGATGGCCAGGTGGATGAGGAGCGACAGGAGCAGGAACAACCAAACGGGCAGCTCGAAGGGAAAGGACAACAGAGCCAGGGAACTCAGGCTATAGCGCTCCAGCTGGAGAACGGCCACCAAGTTGGCGGAATAGTAGGACATCGGAGAGGTCAACAGCTGGCTCCTGAGAGCCGTTCTCCGGAAATAACCCAAGCTCAGGTTTGTATTGCGCTGCAGGAGCTGTAGAAATCAGGCGTTTCATTACAAGATACTTTAAGGTTTTAAAAAAATATTTTTTCATTTTTTTTTAAATTTTTTTTTTTAAGACCAATATGTTGAGAAAATTGTGTAAAAATTTTGAGTCAATTAGAGTCAAACTAACGTAGAAATATACTTTGAATCGATTTGCCCGAAAACGTTATTTTGAAAGCCGGTGAACATCAGAACTCAAAAACTACTGAACCGATCCTTTTCAAATTTTTAACACGAATTCTTAACATAAATACGCAGGTAATCAGGATAATTTTTTTTTTTAATTTTTAATTTTTTTCTATTTTTAAAAAATAAATTAACATCGTTTTTTTGACCTAAAATCGCATTTTTCACTTTCAAGTGCTCCGAAAAATAGACAAAAATAAATTTAAGAAAAAAACTCTTCCTGATTACCTCGAGAAATTCATTATCTTTACAGCGCATATCACTTTTTTTTTAAATGATCCGTTAAGATATTTTAGAACTTTTCAGAAGGTTTTTTGAATGATATTAAAATAAAGGGCTATAAAGGTTTCAAGCAAGTCCCCAAGTGATTTAAACTCACCCTTTCTATGGGTCCCTCATTGGCGCCGTCTGCCAGGCGGAATGCAGTTGATCCCAGGGTTATATTGGCCAGTTCCAGGGTGAAGTTCATCCGACGGGCCAGGTGCCACAACAGTTGGATCTCAAATCCACCCAGTCGGCTGCCATTTGTCTGGGGATCGCGGACTAACTCCACAAAGGGTGGCTGGTGCCAGGTGAGCAGGGTAAGTGGACATCCGTGCATCTGCGTCAGTTTGTCGGGGAACATCATGGCATTCCGCATCCAATCCCGACCATCGAAGCGGTTGATCAGCACGGGAAGCGCCTCCTGGCAGCCCTTCTCCGTGTAAGGATAATAGGAGTAGACCAGCACTTCGACCTGGGCAGTCTGCACCATCACGTTGCAGTTGAGCCAGAAGTTGGCCAGACAGTGGTCCAGGATCAGCTGGAGCTCCTTCGGAATGAGCTTGTCCCGAGCCTGCAGGAAGATGAAGTAGAAGTCCGGGTCATCGAAGAGCGCATTGCTCTCCGTGATGTTGGTGTCACTGAAAAGGGGAATTTATCAATCAAAGATAGCATTTATTTATGTGGAATATCTTACAGCAATCCCACGTAGGAGTCCACCATCAGGAGGCTGACCCTTTTCCTTCCGGGCACCGGAGTGGCCACCAGATCCGGACGGATCCGCAGGAGCTGCACGGCCATCATGCGCCACGAGTCCATCAGGTTGTTCATCATGTTCTCGAACCACTGGGCGGTGCCCAAGTGGCGGGTGGAGATGCCCACCACCAGGGTGGTGCTCAGTTGGGCCAGCACATTCTCGATGACCAGCCTGAGGGCTCGGGCCACGTAGGCATTGGCGTCCTCCGCCTGCATGTCGATCCGCGAGTGCTCTACGTAACTCCTGTAGATCCAATGGACTCCGGGTGCGTAGCTCAATCTCGAGCTCGAATTCAAGGGGGTATCCCCGAAAGGGGAGCTGGTGTTCATGGCGTCACGTTGGAGCCTCGACTGAGGGGAAACCAAAACTGGGTTAACTAACTCTCCGATTTTTCGGGATCGGATCTGAAGGGAGATAACACTAATTAAAAGTACATAACTGGAGATATTATATTATGGTTTTATAGGTATAGATATTATATTATGGTTTAAACATTATTTACAGATTTCTCATTTGTTATATTTTAAATCATTTACAAAGATTTTATTTTAGAAGTACCATTTTGATTTATTTTAAATAACTTAAAACATTGTAACCTCTTTATAAAGTTCAGTGTAAGAATACGAAAGTGTATGAGGTGGGCAGAGTAAAGAAAGAATATCTAAACGCGAGATTACATCAATCAGTGAATCAATATCCGGCACCTCATAAATCAAGGTGACCTGCATACCCCTAAAACTGTACGATTATCGACAGCAGTTACCATGAGGTTTGAGCACACAAAACTAGGTATTCACGAGTGTCCAGCTGATGAACGAAGTCGCCGGCTAATTGTCCTTTTTGGTGCGTGCCCGACAATAGTTTTGTTTGACTTACGAACCTAATGAGATGCAAACAATGCCGCGCTGGCCTGGCATCGGAGAATCGGAACCGGGGATTGGAATGCGCACGGCAGTATTCTTCCCGGTTTTCGGACAGACGAAGATGAACGTGACCAGCCTGCTGAACTTCGAGTCGATGAAGTACATTGGCGCCCAGACGCAGGCGGCGGCCATAAATCACCACGTGGCCCAGGCACTGCGCGTCTTCATCGAGGACTTCTACCAGCGGATCGCGCCCGCCTTCATCGTGATCCTCTCCTGCCGGCGACCCAGTCCCATGAACTTCTACCGCAACATCATGCAGCTGCTCTACGAGAGCGTGGACACCATGATCGTCCAGCTGGTGCTGGTCGAGTTCGGTCATCTGCATCGCCGCATCGAGGGACCCAGGACGCACAACCTGCTGTTGGTGGACTCGCTGGATGCGCTGCTGTAAGTGGGTTAGACTGAGATATAGCACCTCGAAATCAGTTGGAAATTGAAAGGGTAAGGGGTTCAGAAAGCGCAGGTTTGGGTCACCTTCCTGTTGGTTAGATAAAGGTATGCACCTCGAAATCAATTTGATATTGAAGGGAAGGTTTGGAAGGGCAGCTTTGGGTCACTTTTCTCCAAACCACTAATAATGAAGGGGAAAATATATGTACACATCTTCCAGGGACATTGAGATCCACACGTATACAGCGCAGTCGGATGCCAGCGAGTACTACTTCATCTTCCTGCAGCAGCGGGACGCACTGATTCCGCATGACATGCAGGGAGTGTTCGCGTACTGCTGGCGCCACCAGCTGATCAACTGCAACGTGATGACGCAGAGTTCCGGCGGGCAGGTGCTGCTCCACACGTACTTTCCCTACGCCCCGGGGAGATGCAACAGTTCCCAGCCGACGCGGGTCAACCAGTTCCTCGGTGACGCCTGGCAGAGTCGCGACTACTTTCCCTCCAAGCTGCACAATCTCAACGGATGTCCTCTGATGGTTTTGGCCAGGCGGGTGTCGCCCTTCTTCGAACTGGACGACGGAAAGAGGGAGCTCCGGGGTCTGGAGGGACGACTGCTGCAGGAGTTGTCGCGCAGGATGAACTTTAGCATTCAGTTCGTGGGAGTGCAGGAGCAGCAAAGGAACCACACAACCTGGTCGGAAAGACAGCTGCTCCACAAGTTGGTAAGTCCATACAGACTATATTCATTTAATTACACTAAAGGTGAACGCAATTTGTAGGTTCAGGGACGCATTGCCCACCTGGCGATTGGTTATGTGAGGAAGCGCATCCAGTTCTCTGCAAATCTCACTCCCGTATTTCCCCACTACTCCAATCGCCTGGTGGGCTGCCTCCTGCTCAACGCCCACAACCTGACCAGCCTGGAGATCTGGTCCTTCCCGTTTCAGGCTCTCACTTGGCTGTGTCTGCTGTCCAGCTTCCTGAGCATGTCCTGCCTGATGCTGCTCCACTGACGCGGCGCCGGGGATCGGGTGGCGCTCGTAATGGCGGTCTATGCCGCCGCCCTCGGCCTGCCCATCGATCCCCCCGAGCGACCATCGCTGCAGCTGCTCTTCGCCAGCTGGCTGTGCTTCGGTTTGATCGTGAGGTCCATGTACTCGGCCCTGCTGTTCCTGATCCTGCGCTATCACCTGCACCAGCGACTGCCGGAGGACCTGCCCGCCTTGGCCGATGGTGGCTATGCGGCGGTGATGAGTCGGGCCACCTTGCAGGATCTGAGGGAGGTGCCCAGTCTGCAGGAGCTGCTGGGCCTCAAGACCCTGGTGGTGTCCTCCGAACGGGAGGAGGAGGTGCTGCTCCAGTTGGACAGGAGCTCGCTGCGCGAGGGAGCCGGTTCGCATCCCCGGTTCGTTGGCCTGCTCTCCCTGGACGCACTGCTCCATCTCACCCAGCGCGGCCATCGGGCGGGCGCGTACCACATTATTCCAGAGCAAGTTCTGGAGCAGCAGCTGGCCATCTACCTGCAGAAGCACTCGCATTTGGTGGCCCACCTGGACCAGCTGGTCATGTCCATTCGATCGGTGGGCCTCGTTCACCACTGGGCGGGTGAGGTGGCCAGCGAGCGGTATTTCCGCAGTCGATTCCTCTACCGGGAGAAGCGCATCCAGCTGCCGGATCTGTATGCGGCGTACGTCTTATCAGCAGGACTCTATCTTCTATCGGTGGTCGTCTTCATCTGCGAACTCTTGGCAGCCAGACGAGCAGGAAACGCTGGGATCTAAGGAACATGTATTTAATATATTCTATAAATATATTTTGCTTGAGTTCTAAGTGTTACGAAACGTTGTACTTTGGCTTTTGCTAACCAATTTATTAGGACTAGATCATTTCCAGTGTTGTGTTAAAATGCATATTCTAAATTCTAACTGTAGAGGAAACCCAAACAATTACAAAAAACCATATTCTATATTTAATTATTCACTGTTTCATAATTTTATTATGCAAATCACAAGATTTCGGTAAATGCGACTGGGCACAAGTACACTTAACAATTTAAAAAAAACAAATCTCTCCACGATTACGACCATGGGGTCATAGTAAATGCATTTCTGGTTGAGGGTGGAAGCCCGTTGGTCTCCTTACAACTTCTCGATGAGAATGGAGGAGGCACCACCGCCGCCGTTGCAAATGGAGGCGCATCCGAGCTCTCCCTTCTTGAGGCTGTGCGAGAGATGGGTCACCAGACGGGCTCCGGACATTCCGATGGGATGGCCAATGGACACGGCGCCGCCGTGAACGTTCACCTTGGCCGGATCCACGTCGAGCTTCTTGATATTGGCCAGCACCACCAGGGAGAAAGCTTCGTTGACCTCCCACATGGCCACATCCTCCTTGCGAACGCCCGCTCGCTTCAGCAACTTGGGAATGGCCAAGGCCGGGGCAATGGGAAAGTCGATGGGATCGGTCTCGGCATCCTGGAAGGCCACAATCCGGGCCAGTGGCTGAACTCCAGCCTTCTGGGCAGCCTCGGCGGTCATCAAAACCACAGCGGCACCGCCGTCGTTTAAAGTGGAGGCATTTCCGGCGGTCACGGTGCCGTTTTCACGCTGGAACACTGTGGCCAGCTGTCCGAACTTGTCGAAGTTCACCCGCTTGTACTCCTCATCCTCGGAAATGACGACCTCCGGCTTCCTCTTCAGCTGGATCTTCACCGGGGCAATCTCATCCTGGAAGACCTTGTTGGCCCACGCTGCCGCGGACCTCTTGTACGAGTTGATGGCAAACTCGTCCTGCTGCTGACGCGTGATCTCCAGCTTCTTGGCCGTGTTCTCGGCACAGTTGCCCATGTGAAACTTGTTGTAGACATCCCAGAGTCCGTCGAAAACAATGCCATCCGTGAGATTCACGCCGCCATAGGGAGTGGCGCCTCGCTTGAGATAGTAGGGCACATTCGACATAGACTCCATGCCGCCGGCAACGACCACATCGGCGAAGCCCAGCATCAGGGATTGGGCTCCCAGCATCACGGATTTCATGCCCGAGGAGCAAACCTTGTTCACCGTGGTGCAGCAAACGTTTGTCGGGAGTCCTGCGAAAATGGCAGCTTGCCTGGCGGGCGCTTGTCCCAAGCCCGCTGAAACCACATTGCCCATGATCACCTCCTGGACATCGGACTTTGCAATTCCCGCCTTTTCGATGGCCGCCTCGATGGCCCGGGCTCCCAATTGGGTGGCCGTCAGTGGGGCCAACTGGCTCTGGAAGCTGCCAATTGGAGTGCGGGCAGCCGAAACCACAACAACTTCGGCAATTTTCGAGCTGTAATTGCGCTGCTGGGCGCTCAATCGGCGTGTGAACTGCAGCAGTCGTGCGGACATCTTGGAATTTTATTAGGTTTATTGACTACAAAAGCAAACACGCTCGGAAATAGCAAGAATCCAATTAGAAAAACACTGCACCTGTTGCTTGCGTAACAAACCGGTAATCGGAAAATCGATAGACAACAGCTGGCGTGGCGACAGTATTGGATAACAGAATAAGCTGATGACACTGAAAATGCGTTAATTGAATTTAACGGCATTGATATGTAATAACATTTAGTCAATAAATATTAAAACTCAGTTATTGATCATAAGAGTTAATTTATTTCATACAAAAAAATTGTATGCTTTAATTTATTTTTATAACTAATGCAAATTGCACAATAAATGGCATCGTGAAAAAAAAGTTACTGCTAATAATACGCTTGCAAAATATTGCAACACAAAAAAAAGAGTGTAAAAAAAAGGAATATATATATATATATATTACGGAACTTATTCCACATCACAACGCTCGTAGTCTCCATGGTTTCCATGGCTCGTGGTCTTCACAATCTCTGATTAATCCAATTATATGACCATCTGGTCGCGCGTTGATAGCTTCTGATGGCCACTGGCCACCACTAAAGATCGTCGCATGCGATTCCGCTGAAGCGTGGAGTTCCGCTCCCTCACCGATTGCCTCAAATGCTGACGGCGTGCTCCTCCTGGTCCTGCGCCTCCACCCGCCTCCTTCTCCGCCGCATTCATGGCAGCCAGCAGCTCGAAAGCTTGTTTCTTCTGCTCCTTGGTCCACAGATTGGCCACTGGAGGAGCTGCCGCCGTCTGGTCCTGGGTGATTGGTGGCTTCACAGCCAAAGGAGGACGTTGGGCCCTCGTCGAAGCAGCCTGTGGAACCTGATTCACCGCTGGCAGGGATTTGGAGGTCGCCTTATTCCCGCGACTCAGTCCAAAAAGCGATAGAATGGACTTCCTGCGAGTGGTTGAGGCCTGACTGTCCCCGGAATCATTGCTGGACACGCTCATCTGCATGGGGACAGCAGCGGGAGGTGGATTTAACACCGAAGTAGCCATCGGAGGAGGCACGTTCTCGATTCCATAGGTGACAAACTTCTGGGGAGACTGGAAGGTAACCTTTCGCAGAGTATTCAGCGATTTGGGAGCCGGTAGAGTGGCCAAATTAAGTTTTGCCACCGTAGGCGATGTCTCATTAAGTTCAATTGTGCAATAGGTGTCGTCATGGTGCGGCTTCACGGGTTTCCTAGGCGGAATGGGCGGTGCCATTGGTTGCCGGCAACTGCAGGTGTGCTTCTCCTGCTGCAGGATTTTTCTTGCAACTGTCGCTCCAGCGATTGGACACGCTGCTCAGCCAAGTGCAGCTCTTGTTCCCTGGCCTGCAATTCCTCCAGTTTCTGCTGCAACAGGGATTCCTGGGCACGAATGGCATGGAGACGGGTTTTAAGCACCTCATCGAAGATGTTTTGGGTGAGAGCTCGCGGACTGCTGGTAACCTCCTTTATAAGATTATCCTTATCCCGTTTTTGCTGTTCCTCATCCTTCTTGCGCCGCCGCTCCTCCTCCAGTTCCACCTGACGCTCCTCCGCTCGCTCCTCTCTCCTTATACTTTCATATAAAGCGGGATCCGATAGCTGGAGCTTCTTGGAGGGAAAGATTTTCCGCTTGGCGGAGTAGAACAGTTCACTCCTCAAATCTGGGGTGAAAACTCCGGTTACACTGAGTCTCCTTTGTCCGTAACCCTCATTAAAGCTGTACTGCTCCGTGAACAAGGTGCTGGACAGTTCCGGCATCAACTCCTCGTCTTCGTCCTCAAAGAGCCGGCCTCCTGATGGCAGGGTATAAAAATCTTCACCAGTTTCCACTAGATTCGGAAACTTTCCATCCAGTTCGCTGATATTACGCACCACCAAGGGATGCCGAATGATGACCTCGATTCCGGGACGCTGTTCATGATCCACGGCCAGCATAAAGGCAATGATCTCCTGCAGATCGGCACTATAGACCCCTGGAATTCGGCTAAACTCGCCTTGGGCGATCTTCTCGGACAATTGATCAAATGCTCGACCCCGGAACGGTGGTCTTAGGGCACACATCTCGTAGACCAGGCAACCGACGGCCCAGACATCGCTCTTGCGGTCGTATTTTCTGCCCCTCACCAGCTCAGGACTCATATAGTGTGGGGTGCCCACAAACGAAGCGGCAAAGCTCTGATCTCGTCGCAACATCCTGGCCAGTCCGAAATCACCTAGCTTGGCGTTGCCCGCAGCATCCAGAAATATATTCGCTGGCTTGATGTCGCGGTGCAAGATGGTTCCATTGGGAATTTTATTGTGGCACACTTGGAGAGCCCGACAAAGTTGAAAAAGCACGCGCCAAATGTAGGGCTCCTCAAAACGCTGTTTTTGCGATCTTGCTCTCTTTACAATCTGGGCAAGATCACCGCCAGCACAGCACTCCATTACTATATACACAGATTTGGCTTCTCTATTAACCAGATGATGATAGTACTGCACAATATTGGGATGCTGAAGCTGCCGCAAAACACTGATTTCAGAGACCAAAGCCTCACACTTCGCCTCGTCCAATTCATCGTAGTTCATTCCCTTCCAGGCGAATAGTTCACCGGTGCTCTTGTCCCGCACCTTATAGCAGGTTCCAAAGGATCCATTGCCCATCACGGCTAGAACTTCGTAGTCCTGCAAGGTTTTCTGCGAAAAGTCCATGCCGACCGATTCCTCTCCGCTCATGTTTTTGGTAGAATCTTATCCACTTTTTTCGATTACTCCGCCGCCTAGTTTGCTCGATCCTCGCGCGTTCAACTCCGAAATACAATTGAGACTGGTTTTTGGGATGCAGGATTTTTGGGCTCTCTGGATTTCTGGAATTCTCATTTTCGACACCCACACAAACACACAGAGAAACCGGCTACCTGCAAAAACAGGGAAGAACAACCACAAGTGGAAAAACGGAGGGGACAAGTGCTGAGCACTTGTCGTTAACCGCTGGATATAGCCAGAAATGTTTGAAAAGTTAAAAATGCATAGGTTTGTTATAAAGAAAAATAACATGGACATGAAACTTTTTTAATAATACATAGTAAGTTTTTGCTTTAAATCTGCAAGTCTTTAATTAAGAAGATTTTTTTAATAAACTCACCTACAGACGGCCATTGTACTTAAATGTATAAGCAACCATTTTTTTAAAGAAAACTATTGCGGGATTTATTTTATTCCTTTTATTAAAAACAGGTAAGTCTGACCTTCATTTTAATTCCTCAATGCCATTAAACCATTTCACACATAGTTACGAACGCATAATTTAGCTATTTTCCCGCTAAGATCCTTCAGCACTCTTTTGTTATTGCTGTACGTCTGCATTTCTCGTTGCCGGATCTCTTCCAGGAATGAAGATCGTTTTAATGCTCCCTCGCTCACACCAATGCGCCCAGCCCATGCATTTGCAAATCTCGTTTGTCTCCCTCTCGCTCACCGTATCCCCCGCTGTGAGAGAATGCACTTGTAGGGCGAAAATCTGGAAAATCCCCACCCCCACTTTAAATCCCACTGCGACTGTATACAAACTGCTGACCATTGAAAACAATGGACAAGAACGAGGCAGCACGCCCAAAGAACATAATTCCAGCGATTCATCACGCTCAATTCTAAACCGAAATCCAAACCCGAATCCGAAACCCGTACCGCCGGGCCATAAAAATAAATTAGTTTTGTTGCATTGGCATTTCAATTTGCTGCCTTGTTTGGAAAAGTGGAAATGTCCTTATCAGATTTCATTTTTTATATTTAAAGAGATTCTCTGCTGTGCGTCTAACGGTTTCAGCTGAAACCTCTTAAAAACAAAGCAAAGGCGTGGGTTAATATGGAACAATGTATTTTAGTGAAGTCTTTGGCAATACGCTCTTCTTTTTTGATGAATAAAATGTAAGCTGATATTGCTAGAAAGTTTAAAGCTTAAAGAACACTCTGAAGTATTCTGTGTATCCCCCTGATCCAAACTAAGTAGATTTCATGTATGGTTTTTGTTGCTCGCTCTTACCATGTCTCAGGTAGATCCCTTGAGAAACCAGTTATCTTTGGATTTTCGGGGTTTTAGGCTTATCGTTAGAACGTTGTGTTGATGTTTTTATGGTTTTCCTTGGTAAAACAAACAATGCTACGCAATCCTTCACAAATAAATCACGTTCCTAACCGCAGTTCTCCTCCTTCTTTAAGCAGGTAAACAGATATTCGTGTTTTTCACATTTCTCCGGTTTATTGGGCGACAAAAAAGAAGAATATAGGATAACAACGCTGGGCGGGATTACTACCAGGACGGGGCCTTATCCTGACTGCCACCGGAACGCCCGTACAGGGCGCTCTTGTCCCGGAACATGGTCATGCGTTCCGTCTCCTTTTTGTCCAGGAAGTGCCCGATGGCGAATCCCAGCAGGGGCAACGCGCCCCAAAGTGCACGCTTATCCAGTCCCAAGACCATTATGTATTTGCTATGTAGCCTCTATCGCTGATTCCTCAACTGGGCGCTCTGTGCCAACTGGAGTTGTTGGCGTTTCCACTCGCGGGTATGCGACCAATCTGCGTAAATCGATCCGACTGCAACAGTGGGAAAGAATATCACTGCGCCGTACTTTCGAGCCAATTGCACCACAATCCCACTGCCCATAAGTTCTGCAAGACAAACAGCACGAGATGGTTTTTGTTAGACACAAATGTGTTATGGGATTTGTTATGTTATGGGGACACAACTTTTGCCGGATTACGTAATGAAAATGAGTGATATCTCCCAGGCGGTTCGTTGATTAATTTAAATTTTCGAAACCTTACACACTGTGTGTGTACCGAGCCTTGAATTTCGTTTTTGTGGTAATATTCCTCGATTTTTGACTCCAATTTGCTAAAAAAAAGTTTTGTTTTTGACTTACTTATAGCATCGATAGCACTAGGGCTGTCGACTCGTGTTTAGATTATGAATTTGACAGTTCAGTTATATCGATAAGCTTGCCAGAGATGCCACGTAGGTGGGAGCTGTATAATTAGCTAAAATAAATACAGATTCCGTTTGATTTAAATACAATTTGTTATTTATATAAACTATATGATTCTCCAATATTGTTTACAGACTTTAATTAACTTTATTAAGAAAAAACCATACTTTTCAAATTAAGTGTGGTGAAAAACAAAAGAAGCTGAACGAAGATTATATTTCAATACAATTATAGGAATGATACTAACATTTATAAAACAAATGGGTTCCAAACATAAAAATCTTTAACTAATTATGGCGCTAATCCAACATTTTTAAATCAAGCCGCACTTATCGATAAGTGGGCTGCCAGACCTTCGACCTTCGGCCATCTCTGAGCCGCCCGTCAATTGTTTTCATGAATTGACGTGTCGTATCGAATGCGAAAAACCGCTGACTAGACCGTAAACACACTCGAATGGAATTCCTGAAGAGTGGCATAAAGACGGTGTTGGGCGGCACGGAGCCGGGCCAGCAGCCGAGTGCCGCCGAAACGGTGGAGAAGCTGGTGGACCGCGTCTACTCGTCGACGCTCCTGGAGGATCGAAGGGATGCCTGTCGGGCACTGAAGGCTCTGTCCCGCAAATACCGTATCGAAGTGGGCGCCCAGGGGATGCCGCCACTGGTGCAGGTGCTCCAAAATGACGGACAGGATGCGGAGATCATCAGCTATGCTCTGGACACACTGTGCAACGTGGTAACCAGCGAGGAATTCGACGAGGAGGCGGACAACCCGACGGTTTCAGTCAATGTGGGCGAGCAGTTCACGGAGATGTTTATTAAAACTCCGGAGCATGTGACCCTGGTAATGGGTTACCTGGATGAGTACGATTTCAGAGTGCGTCGTGCCGCTATCCAGCTGATTACGTCCCTTATCTCTAATAAGACAAGGGAACTGCAGGATCTTGTGCTAGTCAGCCCAATGGGCGTATCTAAGCTGATGGATCTTCTGACTGACAGCCGCGAGGTCATTCGCAACGATGTCCTGCTGTTGCTCATTGAACTGACCAAGGGCAACTCAAATATCCAAAAGATTGTGGCCTTTGAGAATGCCTTCGACCGCCTCTTTGAGATTGTTCGCGAGGAGGGCTGCTCCGATGGCGGTATCGTGGTGGAAGACTGCCTGATCCTGCTACTGAATCTCCTCAAGAACAACTCCAGTAACCAGCAGTTCTTCAAGGAAGGCAGCTACATCCAACGCTTGGCACCGATGTTTGAACTTTCCCAGGACTCTGAGGAGATTGGCTGGTCGCCGCAAAAGGTCTCGAACTTCCATTGCCTACTTCAGGTGGTCCGGGCTCTGGTCACGCCGAGCAATCAACAGCAGGTGGTGGCCGCCTGCCAGCGTGTCATGCAAAAGTCCCGCCTGCTCCATGCCCTCTGCGAGATTCTCATGAGCAGCGGTGTGCCGGCGGATATACTCACGGAGACGATCAACGCGGTGGCGGAGGTCGTTCGCGGCGATCGGGACAATCAAGATGAACTGGGAAGGGTCATGGCCCCGAGCAGTCCGCCCCGACCGGCGATTGTAGTCCTGCTAATGTCTATGATCAACGAAAAGCAACTATTGGCTCTGCGCTGCGCCGTTCTCTATTGCTTCGAATGCTTCCTGTATCGCAACGCCGATGGCCAGCGGGCGGTGGTGCAAACCCTGCTGCCCTCCAGTGCCTCCGATGTGAGTGCCCTTTCGACGGGACAACTTCTTTGCACCGGACTCTTCTCCACGGATGCCCTGGCCAATTGGTTCTCGGCCGTCGCGCTGATGCACTCGCTTGTCGAGAATGTGGCTCTCAAGGAGGAACTGTTGCGCGTTCTGCTGGCCACTCCTGGTGGTCAAAGACCCATCACGCTGCTTGAGCAGTGCACCAATCTCATGCAGCAGGAACGCTATCGTTTGCAGAGTAAGGTGGGCCTGCTGATGCTGCTCAGTTTGTGGCTAGCCCATTGCCCGGGCGCAGTGAAGGCTCTGCTGGAGACGCAGGGCACCATGGCCTACCTGACAGCCCAATTGTGCTCCAACGAGCACGACGAGCGCGAGTTTCTGGTTCAAGGCATGTGCGCCTTCCTCATGGGCTTGTGCATCCAGTTCAACGATAACTCGCTGCCCGGACAGAAGCGCGAGGACATCAGCCAGCTGATCATCAAGCGAATCGGGCAGGAGAGCTTCTGCAGCAAACTGGCGGAGGTGTCGCGTCACGAGGCGTACAGTCGGGCCTGTAAGCAGGCGCAGATCCGGGCCAAGTCCGCCGGAGAACTACTGCTGGATTACGAGTACTGCAAGCTCTACAAGGGCTTGGAAGCGCTGATTGCAAAGCTGGTTAGCGGATTCGATGTGGATGGCATCGAACTGACCGAACTTACTTTGAGTTCGGAGGCCTCTGCTCTGGTTTCCCAGTACAAGGGAATTATCCGCGGCATGGATGCCCAGATCCAGGCGCTGCAGCAATCTTCCAAAGAACTGGAGCAGGAGAACGCCGAGCTGAAGGAGAAACTCGGGGAGGAGCAGTCGCTTAGGGCGCAACTTTCGGATCAAAATACGCTGCTCAAGGCGCAACTGGGAGCTTCAGCGGGTCAGGTGCAGCCTGCCCAGGGAACGGAAGCCACTCCGGCCAACGAGGATGAGCTGAATGCCGCCCGTTACCAGGCCAACATGTACTTTGCCGAGAATATACGGTTGACCAAGGAGTTGGAGACCCTGCGGCAACAGTTTACGGCCGAAAAGCAAAGGGCCGATGCGGCGCAAGAATCACTAGCGGCCACGCAAAAGGATCAGGAGGATCTGCTCGAACTGCTGGCCGATCAGGAGGCGAAACTCACGCGTTACGAGAAAGCGGACACAGCGAATTCCTTGCAATCTCCCAGTCAAGCTCCATCTGCAGCTTCTCCGCCCGACGAGGAGAGTCCCATACCAAGTGGCACCGCTAGCAGATAAGGAACGCTCCCAGGATGAGTTGCTGACCACGTATTATGACTGGAAATTGCTCGACTGCCCCTCCAACCATCATATATACACACATTCTACTTGTTTTATATTTATATATATTTAATTTACGTACAGAATATATATCTAGATTGGAATTGAAAACCAAATTTAAATTGTTTTGGCGGGATGCGCTGCAAATCGCAAGAGATAGCTATACCCGCGCACGTTTTCCTATTTCCGTCTCTTTCCAATCAGTTCTTTACTTTCTGTTTGCTTCGCCCATAGGTCAACTATTTTTATTTTGTAATTTTCAAGATTCGATTTAGATAAATATTATTTGTACGTTCTTTTTTTTAGAAATTAAAAATGTATTCATTAACTGTCAATGCCAAACCATGTTTAATTAAATTATTGTCAAAACTGTTGCATTTAATGAACGAAAAAATAAATAAAAAATAATAAATCCACGTTCAAAAACCACCATTCGTATTATTTACAATGAATATCCAAAGAGGAACTATGTTCCATTAAAACTTTAAAAAAAACTTTAACAACTGCACCACTTGAAGTTCCACAAAACACTGCATTGTATACCATTTTTTCACATTTATTTAACATAAATGATTACAAAGTTTCTTTTCACCTCTCGTAGACCATGTGGATGTGATCTACGTTCAGTTTCTGCTTAAACGAAGAATGTGGGTTCCGTGTCGGCGGCATTTACTTCTTGTCGCTGGAGATGGAGCTCTTGGACTCGCGGATGGAGGCAGAGCGGCGGCGCTTGGCCTCCTCACGCTTGGCCTTCGATTCCTTCTTGCGCTGCACCAACAGCTTGGCGTAGTCGGCGGCGGCCTCCTTGGAAGCGGTCTGGCGCTTCTTCTTCAGCGCAATGCGACGGTGCTTGCGCTGCAGCACAACGGGGGTGATCAGACGCTGGATCTTGGGGGCCTTGGAGGTGGCCTTCTTGTTGTCCTTGGCGGGCAGAGGGCGGCGCACAACATAGCGACGCACATCGTCGTCCTTGCTCAGGTTGTAGAGCTTGCGGATCTTGCTGGCACGCTTGGGTCCCAGGCGACGGGGGATGGTGGTGTCGGTCAGACCGGCGATGTCCTGCTCACCCTTCTTCAGCACAACCAGAGCCAGAACGGACATGTTGCTGTCCACAATGCATCCACGCACAGACTTGCGCTTGCGCTCGCCAGTGCGGCGTGGGCGGTAGCACGAGTGTCCCTTCTTCAGGAGCAGACGCACACGACCTGGTTGATAATTTAAGTGAATATTAACTTGGTGTTCAAATGTATTATAGATATAGCCAGGGATTGGAAAGCGTTTTTCAAATGGGTCTACAAATAAAGATAACTTTATTGTTATAGGTACTTTCTGTTATTAATAACTCTTCTTCAGGGTACAACATTCAATTGCATGAAGTTTTTATATACAGGTAACTCATTCCTAGGTTATGTCTGGCAATGTGTTCTTTTATAAGAAATTTATCCTACAGTAAATATATTTTACCTTTAGGTCTTTTATTTCAATATTTAGAAGTGCTAAAAGCTTTAGAAAGACAAATCGTTAAGTTATTGTTAACAAAATATGCCATGGGAATAAACTTATGTTTGGGAATCATTTTTGAAAGCGTGCCAATGCTAAAGCACTATATCTTATGCTGGGATATATGTATATACTTTCAGAAGACCTAGGTTATATTATTAAAGATGTACGAGGAGTTGTCGCAACAAAAACTATAACTCTATTACTTGTATTAAATCTGTAACCAAAGAATACTATTTCTTCATTAGGGAAAAACTAAACTATATTGACAGCTCTGATTGCAGAAGTTAAAAGGTAGCAAGTATGCCGGCTAAAACCAAGCCTAGTAAACAGAACTAGATCCCTCTCCAATCTCTGGTGTTTATCTCATAATTTAAACGCCAACTCACCGTGGGTCAGGACACCCTGCTTCATGGGGAATCCCTGCTTGTCGTTACCGCCGGCGATGCGGAGCTGGTAGCCCTTCCACTCGTCTCCGAGGATATCGGCCTCCACAACCTGGCCCATACGCTTCTCGTAGAAGACACGCAGCTTGTGCTCGTCGACCACCTCGAACAGCTTTTGGCATCCCGTCGCGGGATAGGAAACGTTGAGCTGCAACACATAACAAAAACGCACACACAAATTTGTATCAACAAATCGTAATAAATATCATCTGCGGATTTAAACGCAATCACTGGTTGTTTTCGCTTGCAATTCGATCGGAACACCGCGCCAGTGCTTGCGCTTTGACATTTTCGCAATATTTTCAATAATCACTCGGCTTATCATCCGAAATTCACAAATTTTTAGCACACCTTCATATTGTCGGTCTGTTTGCACGCAACGCAGAAAAAAAAAGAATCGGCCGAGGTCTGTTGGCTGCGAGCGCAGGGTTGGAAAAGACCGATAGGAGGAAGTGGAGATGGGACATTGACCGGTTGCTCCGACAGTTATCGATAGTTGGCAGTCACGTCATAGCGAAAAGTGGTGGGAGATGTTTGTTTACTTTACAACAAAATACAGAAAGGGGAGATAAAGCAATTCTCTAATTTTAACAAAATTAATGTTGGATTATATTTAAAATAAAATATATATTTTTGTCAAAAAAAGTTTGAGCTTTGCATAAAAATATTTAATTATTAAGTCACGGTCAATATTTAAGGTCACAGTTTTAGAATGGCCACCTAGACTTTCCCTGGTAAGCTATCGAAAAGGCAGCCCTTTCTGAACATTGCCAGATGGGCAAAAAATGTGTTTTGTTTTTCGTATTCCCGGCCAGCTGGCAACGTCACAGATTTGTTGCAACACGTGTAGTGATTACAGTTTCTTAGGTTTTATTGTTACGGTCGTAAGCTGAGACTATCCTGGTAAAATGGGCAAGCCGAAGAAGGCCAATGTGGCGACGATCAAGAATGTGAACCTGGAGAAACAGATCACCGAGGGCAAGGTGGCCAAAAACAAGAACAAGGATAAGGTCAAACTGCGTGCCGAGGAATCTGCGGTAAGATGTTTAAGCTGATTTTACATTACGACACGATATTTATAATTATTTCCGCAGAATATAGATGCCAGGAGCAGCCAAAAGATTCTGGCCGCGGCCAAAATGCAACAACTGGAGTTAGACGAAGAGAATTTTCCCAGTTTGGTCACCGTTAAGAAAGTCAACTTCAGCTTGAGTAAGGGCCTCACATATCTTCTTTTTTGATTAAGTTGTTTGCGTAGAAACAAAAATCATTTGGTTACTTTAACCACCTTAATCTTAATCCTTAATCCCTTCTCAGACGACGGCAATGCCAAGGAGGAAGAGGAGGTCAACGAGACGGACTTCATGGCCGATCTGGACATGGACGAGGATGATGTGGCTGCCTTCGAGCGGTTTCAGCAGCCGGCGCAGGAGGGCAAGCGCACGCTGCACCTCGCCAAGATGATCATGCAGAAGATCCAGGAGAAGGAGGCCGATATACACACCAAGATCTCCGATGAGGGCTCGCTAAAGATCGAGGAGATTGATCCGAAGGTCAAGGAGATGTACGAGGGCGTACGTGACGTGTTGAAGCGCTACCGCAGTGGCAAGATCCCCAAGGCCTTTAAGATCATACCCAAACTGCGCAACTGGGAGCAGATCCTGTTCATTACGGAACCTCACAATTGGAGCGCTGCTGCCATGTTCCAGGGTACGCGGATATTTTGCTCTGTGCTGTCGCAAGCGATGGCCCAGAGATTCTACAACCTGGTGCTGCTGCCTCGCGTTCGTGACGATCTCTGCGAGTACAAGAAGCTCAACATGCATCTGTACAATGCTCTGAAGAGGGCTCTTTTCAAGCCAGCTGCCTTTATGAAGGGCATTATCCTGCCACTGCTCGAGGGCGGCGATTGCACGCTGCGCGAGGCCATCATCTTTGGCAGCGTGGTGGCCCGCAGCTCCATTCCCGTCCTGCACTCCTCCGCCTGCCTGCTGAAGATCTGCGAGATGGCCTACTCCGGTGCTAACTCCATATTTATTCGCTACTTCCTGGACAAGCGGTATGCTTTGCCCTATCGCGTCGTGGATGCCGCCGTCTTTCACTTTCTGAGGTGGGTATTGCTAATTTTGTAAATGAAATATGAAATTCACTAACACTTTGTTTCCTTGCAGATTCGAGAACGACAAGCGTGAGCTGCCAGTGCTATGGCACCAGAGTCTGCTCACATTTGCCCAGCGCTACAAGAATGATATTTCCTCCGAACAGAGGGATGCTCTTCTCCAGCTGTTGAAGTGAGTAAATCAGAGCCCATTATGGAAGCCATATAAAGGTATACTTTTGAATTGCAGAAAGAAGAGCCACTTCAAGATCACACCCGATGTGAGGAGGGAACTGCAGGCGGCCTCTTGTCGCGATGTGGAAATGATGGAGACGGACAATGGCTTGGCCGGACAGCCAGCCAAGATGTACACAGATGCCGATGTGGAGTACGAAGGCTAAGGCAGAACTAAATAGGGTTAATTTAAGATACACTTGTTTACTATTTAATACCACGAATAATGGATCGTATAGTCTATATGTAAATATATCTACATATGCAGTAAAATCAAATTGCTCGCAATCTTTTTCTGTTCGGGGTAAAATGAAAAGCACGTTTGATGTTTTGAATGTTTTAATAGAAAAAACAAATGTGTGTGTTTTTATACAATTTTGCATTCAATTTTAGTTACTTCTTTTTGTTTTTGTTTTTTTTTTTATATTTTGTTTGACAATGACGGTATCTTTTGGGGCCGTCGCAATCGCATTGGTTATTGACCAGAGGACGCCCGCGTTATACATTCATGTTATTCATGTATGTAGTTAATAATCTCAATTTTAAATGTAGTAATTATTAAATATAATTCTGTAACCAAAATCTTTCTAAAAGTTTCGTTTCGTCACTTTCTTTAGTCTCTAAGTATTGTTTCGTTATCTCACTCCAACATTTGTTTTGTTTTGTTTATCATTTGTGTTATTTAGGGGCATACTCCAAGGACTCAGACCAAGGACCGATTTGGGTCGGGATCAATTTGAATAATTTACAATAACTACACTGGACCATTTGAAATTAGTTTACCCAAGTACTTAGGCCTCGAGCCTTATCAATATTTTTGTTTCATTTTCGTTTTGTGTATTCCAAGCTGAGCTTTCGATTTTATAATACGATTTGTAAAGAGAGTGTATATTAACCGATCTTGAAAGCAATATGAATTTGGAAAGCCGTCAGTGAGTAAGAATTTCGAAAGATTTATTGGGCTCTTAAATAGGCGGTGATCGTTCAAAGCTAAAGCTAAAGACATAACTTGATATACTCGCATGTGGGGGGAGGAGTACAGTGGGCACTGACTACAAGCCTCACCTCGCGCCCAAATCGAGAAATGAAAGCGGAGAAAATGCTTAATACGCTTCTTGTTCTTGATCGTGATTTATTTCAGTTAATTGAATTACTTGTTAGTGTCTTGGTTTTGATTTTGGTTTTTGGGACCATCTTCAATCAAACAATCAAGTATTACCCATTGGTCCGAGTTGTGTTGTGTTTTCGATTCCAAAAAAGATACAAATACAAATATAGAATTACTTTCGTCTGCCTCAAATGGTCATTGGTTCCGCAACCGAATTAACAACAATTAAACGATATGTATCCATTTTGAATGGCATAGTTATGTTAACGTTAAACATTTTTTAAGTGGTTTCCCTTCTACTTGTCTACATTTTTGTCTTAACAAATCATTGGTTAACTCAGGCGAAAACTAACTTTTGATCAAGCTCACGCGTTTTTAATGTTTGGAATTACATATTTAATAAGTTAACAACCTCTATTTTTCGTTTCCCAAACTCTTTAGTAATTGAAGGATTCAAATCTGAGACGAGGAGAAAACAAACGAATCAAGGATGAAGCTACGATTTCGATTGGTATTGATTATTATTACGATTCGAATGATCCCAACTGATATGCTGTTTGATTTCAAGAAGCTACAACCATTTTTTCATTAACAAGGCCTTGAATCGGAGGTGTATACTATATAGTACGTATATATAGGGGATACACACGAGCGTAACGGGGGAATTGCGACGACCTTTGCAAGGCGATTCGAGAGAGAAACAATTAGGTATGCCTGGATCGCTGGACCTTACAAATCTAGTTAGTTCCATAATGACGTGGAGTTAACAGAGAGCTAAATGGATACGTTAGATGCTTGTATGTATATAAGATCAATATGTAGCCAACATAAACACGGCCGTTTTGGTAGTACAATTCGATTCGATTATGATAATAATGTTATGTTCTAGCGCTAAAAATCAATTTCTCGTCTATATGCGCGTTCGCCCTTACTAATACAAGTTTTTCTTCTTTTCGCTTGGTTTTCGGTTTCGGTTTTTCGTTTTTGGTTTTTGGTTTTGGATCTTTCGTTTTTTTTTGTTTTTAAATACACTTGACTTAAGCTTAGTATTCGGTTTATGCTATGTATCGTATGTTAAACAACCCATGATTAGAGTAAAAGTCGAAAATGCAATCCTGGACAAGATTCTTTTTGGTGTATGCATTTCCCGCGTCACAAAACTGGGATCTAGGATCCCCGGATTCCGCCGCGCCGTCATCGCCCCAGGCCCCCAACCCATCCGAATCCCCGATTCCGACCGACTCCGGATACGGATACGGAAAAGGATCTGTACTGGGACAGGGACAGGGACACGTACACTAGAAATAACACAACCATTTGGGAGGCGTTGGCTTTTAGGCGACCTCCATTCGCATGCTGCATGGCGGCGGGCTCCTCACCTGCAATTTTCGGTTATTTATGTGGTCCAATCAATCACCTGCTGGATCCCCACTTACCGTTCAGCACGTGGACGACCACTGTCTCCGTGATCTCATTGCCCAGCATGCAGGTGTAGTTGCCGGTATCCTGGCGATTGGCATTGGCGATGTACAGGCGGCTCAGCGCTCTTCCTGGCAGCATGTCCGTCTTCACACTATAATTATAAACAAATACATAATTATAAAAAAAAGAATTGTGAGATGAACTAATTTTTCTTCTCTATTAAATAACAATATTATTTGTTTTGGCTGGAAAGTCTTTACCAGGTTACTATCAAATCAATCATATATATCACATATCGTATCACATTGCTTTATCAACCCTTTATCTTAGTACGTTTTTAATAAAATTTCGCTGTTTGGTTGTTAATTTACCCACTTTATCTTATTATGACGACGCCGAATCCTACCTGATTCCACCGCGACTGGTGTCATAGTTCAGCAGACGCGGTCCGTGCCGCCAGGTGATGTAGGAGGAGGGATGCGGAATCTTGGAAATGACGCACTGCAGCTCAATGGTGCTGCCAGCCTTGTAGTACTTCTCCGGCGTGGCCGAGCCCCGTTCGTCGAGGATCTCCACGTGAGGAACTAAAAAGGGATATGGGGATATGTTCGAATATGGAAAGTTGACTCAAGTCCTGCCCAATTCCTGCCCATGCACTCACCAATTATCGTTAGGTAGACTAGCAGGACGAGCGGCGGATGCGAGGACACCTGGCACTCGTAAGGACCCTCGTCCCGCTCATTGGCAAACTGGATGAGCAGCTTCCAATCGTTGGGCTCCTCGAACTCCAGCGAGTAGCGCGAATCGCCGCTGTACGTGTGCTGGCCAAAGGTGATCAGGGTGAGGTCCTCGCCACGTCGTCGCATCCAGGACACCGTCTTGCCCTGCAGATCGTTCACCCGGCAGTGCAGGTAGACGCTGGACGACAGCTGGGTGCTGATGTTCAGCGTCGTATAGGGATCGGCGAAGAAGGGGAACGGCTCGTGGGTGGTCGTCTCCGTGACCTCCAGCTCCTCATCCTCGGGCGTGTCGGTGAACGGCGAAGAGAACTCCTGCCAAAAGTTCTTCGGAAACGTGTCGAAGGGATCGCCAGCTCTCGGTCGCTTCACTGTGAAAAAATGCAGATATTTTCATATACAAATTGTTCATACAGTTTTAAAATTAATAAATCACTGAAAAAAAATCGAATTTTCTAAATAAAATATAGATTTATTGAGAAGCATGATTTAAAAAGAATGTCTATAGTTACTAGAGAGCTGGTATTAATAAATATATGTACATAATATAAATAAATGTTGTCCTTCTCCAATCCAAAGACTGAACATAATAACTTAAGCTTCCACTGAAAATTGTCCAAACTTGAGTTGGGCAAAAGTTTGCGAAGTGATTAAGGAATTGGGGGGAGCAGACTCACATGTGGTCGACGTGGAGCCCGAGCCGATGTGATGGAGTGAGGAGTATATAATCGCCAGTATCCAAAACAGCCTCGATCTCATCACTGCAACAGAGTTTCTTCATATGCCGAGATACGGGACACAGGATATGAGATGCACAGCAACTGGCGCCACTCACCGCAGGATATGCACATATGAACGCGCCTGTAATCTGTTCTATATTGATCCAGCTGCATCGGCGTCCCACTGCATCGCCAGTGGAGTTTTATAATTAATTTTTTTCCTTTATGGACACACACGGCACTACGGATTTAACTGCTTATCGATTGCACTGCGGCAATATAATGGACATATTGCACATAAGAACGTAAATCCGTAGCTGGATTCACATTTCGCAAACAGTCGAGTCCTTTGCGAATATTTTTGTTTGCCCCTTTTTCAGCGTTCGGGGGAGCTAAGAGGGAAAAGTCGGAAAATTGGAAAATCGGAAAAGCGTTTATTAACCAGCTCGTGTTGCGTGTGTATTTATCTTTTTGCAACTGCTGCTTGGCCCTGGCTGCCCCATTGGATGGCCAATAAGCGAGAATGTAGGTCAGGACTTTCTCTGCGCATGGCCAGCATCCGCATCCCTTTTATCCTTACCGAAGGAGCCGAAAGTAAAAAATAAATAGCTGACTCACCTCTTAAATACAAACTACGCAGCTTACTCCAAAAAAAACTGTTTTATTGCGTTTGGCAGATGAGTTTCGCTTGGTCAAAATAAAGCTCTTTTTAGATCGACGGAGGGTTAGAATTTGAAAATACTGCCTGATAGATGCAATTGCCGGGCCGTAAACGTTGTTGTTCCCTCACCCACAATTGCTGCGGCACTGATTCCGCTCCAAAAGCCAACTTCTCTCTCAGCATCCTCAAACTCTAGAGATTTCCACCCACTAGTCAGGGTCTCAAAATATCACAGATGCTTCAAGAGCCAAGCACACAAATGATAAAATTATAAACATATCGAATTTAATATCAATACTAAAAATTCACCCAAGTGATCTCTTTTTAGCCATCTAAATAAGCTTAAAATTTGAAAACCGATTAAAAACGATAGTTATCGATGGCAAAAGGACGTCAAAGTAACTATTGCCATCTCGCTTTAACAACAAAGTACCGTTAGCTTAGGAGGCGTTATATACAACATCAAGCATTTAAACGACTTTAATTGCCACAGCAACTAAAATAGTTCAAATTAAATTGTTAATCGCACTTTATTCATGCTTCCTGCGCATGTGCCGTAAAACTTATTCGGTGGTTGGACTCAATACTTGTGTATTGGTGAGAACATAAAACTTACACTGACGTTGAATCGCAAACGCATACCCATAAAAAAAAGTATTACAATTAAGATTAATGTTTTTTTTAATATAGGATACTGTAGACAATCCATTACCAAATAGAGAGTCCATGTTTAGCACATTCTACAAAATTCCTATATTTTTTTCGGTGTTAAAAGTTGATGTTTTCATCCCCTTTTTTAAATCAGAGTGAAACATAATGGTACTTAGTAAGATTAATTTTTGTGAGCAGTGTTTTGCAGCCGCCCTTATCTCCTCTCTTTTGCGTTGTATGAGTGTGGTATGGAATGACATAAGTGGCGCACTCTCGCACACACGCCACCCCTCATGGGGCGGCCGCATGGACAGGGAAAAGAACCGTTCATTCTCTTCTGTGCCGTTGACAATTGACATTCAATTGGCTTTCCATTTGTTTTTATTTTTTGTTCTCCATTCAAAGAAAACACATTTTGAATAACAAATCAGGAGAGAAGTACTAGTACGAAAATCAAAAATCACGGCTGATTTTAAAGGGTGTGTGTGGAATTTACTACGAAACGACCACAGCTACATTTGGACGAACTCAGCGCAGTCGGCAGAGGCAAAAAACAGCGGCGTCAGCATTTTGGCATTGCAACTAAAAAATCAGAGAATCAGAAACTAATCAGCCGGCATAGGCTATAGCTGTCGTTCGGTCGTGAGACTCGATAATAACACTCACAAGGAAGCAAAGAATAAAATCCTCAACAATTAAAAAAACAATAATGGAGGAAAACAATTCCCGAGTGCTAAGTTTGCTGGGCGGTCTGGCTATTGGAATCGTTGGTTTCCAGGTCTTCCGGAAGGTCCTGCCCTGGATTTATGCCAATGTTGTGGGTCCGAAGGTTTTCGGATCCACCGTGGATCTTTCCAAAATGGGCGAGTGGGCAGGTAAGTCGGTTGCTAGGAAACAAAATCACCAAAAAGGAGCGATAATCGGTGGCCATTCTTAGACACAGTGAAAAAATTCGTGCAACTTGTAATAAGTGACTAAAATAGTGTCAATTTATTATATCCTAAAAATGTGCTTCCCTTTTTATATTTTGCATTTTTTTCCGATTTCATTTCAAATTCCTAATCAATTACCTGGTTTGTTGTACTCTTTTCACTGTGTGCGATAAGAACTTTCCCAATATTTACTGATAACGCATTGAACCTTTGGCTAACCTGTATAATTTGCAGTTGTCACCGGGTCGACCGATGGAATTGGAAAGGCCTATGCAAAGGAGGTATGTGAAGTGTCATCGAGGTAACCCTATCTTGACCAGCAAACAAAGTCCATTGTATAATGACTAGTGCAAACAGGAAGCGGGTCAGAAAACCCTAATGAGTAATTACTACTTAGCTAATGCAGTGCCGTCCACAATGACTTGGATTTCGGTTTTGCGGCTACCAATGCATTAGCCAAGTGAATCTGCACTTTGAATTCGATCCCCAGTCGGCTGACCAGTCGCAAACATTCCCTAATGGTGTTTGCTTTGTTACAAATTGCTACATTTGCAGTGGTTTTGCATTTCTACTTTTTGTTATTTATTTTTCCAAAGTGCAGTCGCAGCAGTTATTTTTTTTGGAAAACGGGCGGCTCCCGGTTTTTTTTTTCATAATTTCCACTTGAAACAATTTAAGTAAGAAGGTATAGAGAACACGTGTCGCCCCAACGGCTTTGGCTCTACAGCTATGCATATAAGGTGGAGTATAGGGCCCCTCCCGATATTTCTTCCGCATTAGCATTCGGCGTGCGTCGGACGCACAGAAAATGGTTCAATGTTCACTACAAATTTCTTGTTTCCTCACGTATGTACATACGTATGTTTTACTTACTTACTTATAAACTTTTATATCGTGGATATACATAGGCAGAAAAAGCAGGAAACCATTCTAAAACCACATATAAAACTTTTAATTTTAAATACATTTTTATTTAAAACTTTTAGTTGGCGCGTCGGGGACTGAAGTTGGTGCTGATCAGTAGGTCTTTGGAAAAACTGAATGTCGTGGCCAAGGAGATCGGTAAGTTCAATCGCCAAAAGCAACTTTCACTCAATCAGATAACCGGGGTACACTTTCAGGAGATAAATACGGCGTGGAGGTGCGCGTGATTGATGTTGACTTCACTGGAGGCGCAGACATCTACGAGAAAATCCGCGAAAAAACCACTGGCCTTAATGTTGGTGTATTGGTAAACAACGTGGGCATTAGCTATAGCCATCCCGAGTACTTCCTGGACTGCTACAAGGCTGATCCAAAGTTCCTTCGCGACATTGTGGCTGCCAATATTCACTCGGTTACACACATGACCGCACTTTTTCTACCGGGTATGATTACCCAGCGTCGCGGAGTAATCATCAACTTGTCCTCCACCGCCGGAGTCATTCCTAATCCTCTGCTGAGCGTGTACAGTTCCACTAAGGTGAGTTTTAAACGGATAAACCATTTCTAAAGTTCTTTCTAATATTCCTTTGATTGCAGGCCTTTGTCAACAAATTCAGCGATGACCTGCAAACGGAGTACAAGGAGCATGGCATTCTTATCCAGAGCGTTCAGCCGGGCTTCGTGGCCACCAACATGTCGAAAATCCGCAAGGCCAGCGTCTTTGCACCCTCGCCGGAAACTTATGTCCGCTCAGCGCTTTCTACCTTGGGCATTGCCACCCAGACGGCGGGCTATTTGCCACATGCTCTGCTCCAGCTGGTCATTCACTTCACGGAGGCGGTGTTTGGCGAGCAATTCGCCCGCAGCGTAGTTCTGAAGAACATCTTGGGAACCCGAAAACGTGCTCTTCGTCGTTTGGCCAAGGAGCAGTAGAGGATCGGGATCCTGAGAAGCTAGAGGCATTTATTGGGAGACGGTTGGGGTGGCGAGTCAGTTGGGTTGTAAGGGGAATCCGGCTAGTCAAATAGCTTATGAAATCACGGCGTGTCATACGAACAAACAGAAAGCTTCAAATACCAAAAAAATAAACTTTTTCAAATAAACTAAGTTTAGTTAGTTTTGTCATTGAATAACATTGTAAACTCGAAATCAACCATGTCATGAAAACAATAAAAAAGAAAATGTGTGCAAACACAGAGTAACTGGATTTATATCTAGTATCTAATAATAAATAATTTGATTTACTAAAGTCCCTTGAATGTTAAGTGGGGTTTCAGCTAGAATTTAGTGACAATAACTTCGAAAGAAATAAAAAGTGCAGCTTAAGATAATTAACGGTCAAAATATGGAATGTCTTACCTCTTTAAACTCGTAATGACCTTCCCAACACATTACACCAAAGCTGAAAAATATTTAACCACTTTATTTTTGATCATTTGTGTACTGAAATTACTTAAAATTCAAATTCCAATTTGAATTTATATTTGAATGAGAAACTGATTATGATATTCCCGATAGTTTCGCGAGTCATCGATGACAAATCGATAGGCCGTGCCCTTTGGTCTATCGGCGTAATGGAAATATACAATATTTTGCGCAGGGCAAAAGCAAAGGAAAAGGCCAAAGGCAAAAATCATAAACATAACAGTAAAGATAGTGGATGGCCGGGGCGTGAAAGTGGACTTGTGACGTGTTATCAGGGCCGATAAGCCAAGCCCAGCGACGTCAACTGCGCAGCAGCAGCGCTAGCAACAACAACGAACAGCAAGAACAACAACAAACAGGCAGAAGAGCTTGGAGGAGTGTGTAATCAGTAATCAGAGTCGCTTGTTTTGATTTCCTCGGAAACGAAACGAAACTCCGGATAACTTGTTGCGGGATCCGCTTCGTCGCCCAGTATTGATTTAGCACATATAGCCGACAGTTGTGATTCCGATTTCCGATTCCCAAGCCAGCTGTCTCTAATATCTGCCTTCTATCCATACATATATATACATTCTATATACGACGCTTCTCCAAAAAAAAAACCAATACCATACGATACGATACCATATTTGTGTTCGGTTTTTCGTTTGCTGAGGGGAAGGCGGCGTTGGAGGAGGTGGACACCAGACCAAAGCGGAATTGACGCAATTGTTGAGAACTATTTTTAATGGTCAGCGGGTCGAAAATGCACGAAACTCATCAAATATTCAGAAGACAAGCCGGGAAGAAGGAGAGGCAGTGATTCCCCGAAATCGGAGTCAATCGGCCGATGGAAAGCGAGGAGTACGCAGTGGGAACCATGGAGAATCGACGCTTGCCACTGTTTCCCATTGAACCAGAGCCATCTGTAACGCCCACACAGCGTCTTACTCTTTTGGCTACCCGGTAAGCCCATAAATATACCCTATCCTTTACGGGTAACTAAGCCAAAATATCCCTTACAGACTACTACGTGCTCTGCAATTGAACTGGCGGATTATTGTCTCGGGCATCACACTTACACTTTTGGCCGTCATCTGGTATTATCCCACCTTCTTTCTGTTCTTTGCCTTCGTTGTCTATTCCCTGGTCTTGGTCTTTGCGGGTAAGTCTTCCGCTTTTGACGCGTTTTGGAACGATTGAACGGTTAATAGTGAGTGAGTCAGTCCACTTTATCGGCCAATCAGTTCCAAGCGAGCGTCTAATTAAAATTGCCAAATATCTAATTGCCCTTATCTCGCCGACAGCTGTGGCGGGCACAGTCTATATCCATTATGTATTCACCACCAACGAGCCGACGCCACCAAGTCGCGTGCCCTCGCGATTGCTCTACAATGCCACCAAGTGAGTTCCGGACTTTGTCCTCCCTTTGATTTATGTACTATACATCGGTGTTTCCATTGACCCGCAGAAGCAACATCTTCGATCTGCCCAAGCCCATTAAGAATCCATCGAATCTGCCCTTGATATTCGGCAAAACAGTGGATCTACAGCTTCAACAGATTATTGAGTATGTGCTGAGGGACTTTATGCTGCCCTGGTTGGGGTAAGTTCATCTCTTGACCCATAAAAGCCTCCATTGATGGTTCGTTTATCTCGCAGCTATGTGGTGACCAAGCCCAAGTTGATCAACGATGTGGTGCGCGAGGATCTGTGGAATGCCATTCAGAAAATCCATGAAAGGGCCACCAAAATGGACGCTGCCAAGATAATTGCCGTGGACATGGTCAACCGGGTAACGGTGCATCTCGAGAAGATTCGCATTGCCGAGGCCAGAGCGTAAGTTCCTCACTTTCTCAAACTAATCTTTACTAGTTTACCAAATATTTTAGATAAGAATTATATTTTTAGCTCAAATACCAAAATATCGCAAACAATTGTGTGACAAAATGACAAAGAAATCTAAGTGAAGAATTTTTTTATAAGATATTAATAGATAAAATTTAAAAATTAATTTCTTTGTTTTATACCTGGAAAGCCACAATTGCTGTTTTTATCGACGTTTGTTTCGAGTCATGGAAGAATGCAATGCGCAGAATTAAATATAATTTATATGCGTCAGAGTATAGAATCATTAAGTTGGTAATCAATAAGCGGAAAGGCTACACCTGTGATGACTTTCAATTCTATTCTTTAACAAGCCTTAAGCTTTTAATAGTTTTCTGAATTCTGAAAATCAATTTAGATTAAAATTGAAATAGTCAAGAAAGCTTGCGTGTTCTTATCAAAATATTTCTTTTATAGGGCTGAAACGAACACTCCACCAGTTTTTAGCACCAACTCGTACCTCGCCGACGAGGAGAAGGAGTTGGAGTTTCTTCGCAAGCTCTGCGAAATAATGGTGATTCTGCTGCTGCCACGAGGTTACTCCTTGCCGCCTTTGAAGGTCTTGCTCAGCGAGATTCTTTCGTACAAAAGTAAGTAGTGAAATGCTCACAAGTCGGTTTTCGCAACTAATGTTATGTTATTTGAAGTATTCTTTCCGATGATCAAAATGCTAACCGCACCGGATTACATCAACCAGAAGGTGGTGCAGAACATTGAGACTCGTTTGGCAGCGGCGGCGATGAGTAAGCGAAGCTACGAGTACGCAGCCAGCTTCGAGGACTTCCTGAAGATCATAAACAACTCAGGCAATCTCGAGGAGCTCTCGCTCATCCGCAAGAGCATTGTAAACGACCTGATGCATGCCACGACCATGCAGAACCTGCAGCGTGCCAAAGGACTCGATCCGGATCACGAGGATCACTCTTTGTCCAAATCAGAACTCACGGCCGCCGTTCGGCTGAAGCGCTATGTCCGCCAGCTCACGATGGCCAAGGGCGAGTGCGAAAAGAACCTAGCTAAGTTTGGCTGGAATGGCAACTACTCCAGCGATGTTGTAAGTGATGCCTAGAAAAATGGCTTTAAAATGTAGTTAAAAATATGGCTTTTGCAGGATTTAACACTAGTTGAGATCCTAAACACCGCGGTGGGCCGTCGCTACTTCACATTGTTCCTGGAGCCGCTAAAAGCGAGCGCCCTGATTGGCTTCTACCTCGCCGTGGAGGAGATCAAGCATGCGCACAAGTCGGTCAGTCACCAGTTGGGCACAGAGATCTTCTACACGTACATCCGAGTGCCCAAATCGGAGATTCAGATCGACAAACACGAGCGCAAGCTGATCGAAACGTTTCTGCTGGGCGATGCCGATCCGGACATCTTCTTCGAAATCCAGCGCAACGTACTGCGAACGCTGGAGGAGAAGTACTATCCGCCATTTGTGCTGAGCGATCAATACCGCCAGCTGAAGGAGGCGCTGGACTCGAATGAGATTGCCGATCCAACGCTGTTAATGTGCCCCAACATCGGCGATGCCCCGGAACCGCTGGCGGATGAGCAACCGGGTGCGGCGGATGGCCTAAATGGTGGATCCGGCGGTGCCATTGATGTGGCTGCCCACACATCGTATGCACGAAGGAAATTGGAACAGATACAGGAACGCATCGACAAAAAGAACCAAGCGCTGGACGCCCTCAAGTACTCGGTGAAGCCGGAGTCCAAGGTGCTGTCTATTTTGGAGAAGGAGATGGAGTGGTTGAAGAGTGAGAAGCGCCAGACGGAGGCGCATTTACGTCGCACGGACGCATGGACGGAGCATCTTGGCAAGTGGAAGGCCACCATTCAGAGCGTGGAGGTAGGAATTAGGGTTTTTTCAGTCAGTATACAAGGTAAAAGATCACCAATATATATCTTTACAGGTCTCCGATGAGAAAGAATCGTTGCAGTTCATGATCCTGGTCCATGTGGACGAAGATATTAATGCTCCAGCTCAACCGACATCATTTAAAAACGGCGAAAGCGGTCATGCAAATATGCGCAAACGACCGTCGGGCATTTCCAGCGGCTGGGTGGTGATGCGGTCCCTCAACCAAGTGCACGTGGGTATTCCACTCAATTCTTCCTACATGTCTAAAACGTAACCTCTATTTAAAGGAGCTACAACGGAAGCTGCGGCACGTGAGCTCCAACCTGAAGGCCATCGATCTGCCCACAAACTTCAAGTTCTTTTTCCTGAAAACAGATCGGCATGGCCAGGAAAAGGCCAAGGCACAGATTCAGAAGTTTCTGAATGTAAGAATTTAATTTAACACTAAGCGCATGCAAGACTGTATTGATTTACTCTGGTTATCACTTAGTTTATACTGGAAGACGACCATCTGAATGGCAGCGAGGCCATCTACACGTTTTTAAGCCCCAGTTCGGACCATTTGAAGCAATCGCTGCCCTCGCCAAAAAAGTCCAAGTTCTCGCTAGCCACACTTTTCCGCAGCGATGCTGGAAAAGCAAACGAGGCCAGCAAGGCCACCGATCCCTTTTGGGGACTGCAGCGCGACGACGAGGACATCTCCACCTATCTGGATGGCGAGTCGGGCGGTGAGGCCAAATTGCTGGCTGCGGATCTGGATAGCAAGGATTCGATAGCGGAACCGATGTACGCCCTGATGGGGGAGATCTTTGACATGGGCGGTGTGTTTAAGTGGCTACGCAAGAGCCTCATCTCCTTCGTGCAGATCACATACGGCCGGACGATCAATCGACAGATCCGCGAATCAGTGGCCTATCTCTTCGAGGAGTCCATGCTGCACAATTACTTCTCGGCCATACTCAAATCCTTTTGGCCAGGCGGCGTCCTGGCCTCAGCTTATCCAACGCGATCGGAGGACATGCGCGAGATGACCACCACGGCGGCCAAGGCGCTGCTTACCGATCACATACCGGAGGTGCTGTGCAACCTGGTCGGCGCCCAGGCGGCCAAACGAGGTGTACTTAAGGTTTTCGAGGCCCTGCAGAATCCCGCCTTCAACAAGCAGCTATTCTACGTGAGTAAAAATAGGTTTTCTGACTGTGGATAGCCTGATTAATTGATTAATTGATTAATTTGTATCTGCAGGAGCTGCTGGAGATACTTATGATTGAGTTCTTTCCCGAAATCCGCCAGCTGCGGGTGAACAATGCTAATGGAACCAAGTTGAACACAGCCACAGCAGGAGCAGCGGCTGCCTCGGCTGCAGCGGCACTTGTGGCGGCCACGGCTTCGCTGCCTTCGCTAAATCACAGTCACAGTGCGTCCACGAGTGGCCACCACAACCATCAAGGATCCTCGACGGCGGGCGGACCCTCCACGGGGGCAAGTGGATCCCTCGTCGGTGGAGCAGCGTCGCACCAGCAGTCGCACTACCACCATGCAGCCCACCACCACCAGCAGCAGCAGCACCACCACTCGCAAACGGGTAGCTCAAAGTAGAGACAAAACCCGAATTAGTTTGCTTTACTTTTACTTAAACTTACTTTTTTTTAATTTATGTTTTTCGTTTGATTTTATGTTTGATGTTTAATGCTCTCTCTCTCTCTCGTCGGAACGGTGGATATTGTTAATTTAACCGAAGAAAGAAATTACAAAGAATAGTTATATAGGAGACAACATAACTCAGTAGTTACCAGTATCATTCCCTGTACAAATGCAGACGTAAAAGCAGTTAGATTTCAGTCCATTGTTGATTCGTTTCTTCACCGATTTCTGTAGCCCGATTTGTTTGTTATGTGTATATGTCTGTACATAGGTCAGTATTAAGCGTTGTACCAAATTGTTGTTTATATACTCGTATAGTAAAATGTGACACTCAGCTTTGATTGATTTTAATTATAGTTTATTAGCAGGTATTGAACCCAAAGTTGCGTCTTCAGTTGGCGGATTGTCGGTGCCTGTGATCCTCAATCCGCTCCAGCTGCAGATCCACCTATCCCACAAAAAGATTATAGATCACTAAACAAGCGCGATTAGCTTGAGGAAGGCTATTAAGGCTATTAATCAGTGCGTTCCACGGCCATAAGAAAGTTCTAGAGGTCACAATTTTGGTTTTTCCATGTTTTTATTTTATAACATGTTAAAAATTGTTTAAGCTTTTATTTATACTAAATTTATTCCATGTAATCATTTTTGTTTCAACTTGTATGTTTATTTTATCTAAAAACCTTAGATTTATTGTTTATATTGTTCATAGACCAAGAAATGTATTCTTTTTTCCTATTATCTATTGGAAGAAGTAATTTGTTTCACTTGTTTTCTTTTTAACTTAAACTTGTAATTGGAATTTTTACAACTGTCTTAAATTGTTATTTTATATGGCAGTTGGACATAAACATTTAGTGCTATGGTATCAAATAATCTTTATGACTAAACGTTTGTTTAAACTGTCTTAAGAACAGTGCGTTTAATAACAATAAAACAGTCATACATCAGGACTCTAAAGAAGCGTTAATCCTATAAGCAGAACTACATTTTGATACCAAATTTACTACACAAATTGAAATTATTACCTAAAGCTATGGCCGAATACTGTTTTATGGACCTGAAACGCCCATCCCACACCCACTTAGCACTAGGCAAAGCGGCACTTAGACGATTCATCCCAGTGCGCCAAACGTATCCCACTTAAGACCCACATCCAGAGTTTTTAGGCGCTTTCAATCTATTTATGTATTGCAGTTGTACACTTTTATGTGAAAATGCGAAATAAAGATCGCTATTTATGTAGATTTTGTCAGTCTTTTAGTTGTAATTTTTTTCTAAAACACGGTAACCTTTTCGACAAGTTTGTCCAAAGGAATGGCTTGCATGTCGACGACCACCACCACGATGTTTTTACTCATTTGAGTCGGTTTCTTGATCAGCAATCTGGCTTCGAAATACTTAAGCAAAAAGCGCCACTTAAGGTCAGCTTTCTCACGCTCAGTCAGTTGCTCAAACTTCTCCGGCCGAAGACCCAAGATCCTCTCCGCTGGATTGCCAGCTAGCCGGGTCTCAACGAGGGTGCCTGTTTGGTCAGAAAACTGGATGCTAATGTTGAAGTGGTTGGTGTATCTAATACCATCATTATTGTCCAGTAAAAACTCCATCTGACAGGCATCTGAGGCGCAATCTTCGACGTTTCGCGGCATGAGGCGATGGCAGCTGGTGCTGAAATTCCATTAATATGGTTCATAAATTTGTAAAGCTTTTTGCAAAATTGTTTGTTAGCTGCTTTAAAACACTTACCACTTCCTGCTAATATGAGACGACAATCCATCTAGGTCGAATTTGGTAACCATGCCATACAGCAACGATGTGAATTGATTGGGTGACGAATCCTGCAGTTCGCCCTCAGCGCGAGAATATATTTGTCTTACTGTCATCTGGGTTTGGATGCTGGCAGCTAAAATTGTATAGAATTAAGTAAAAGAGCATTGACGTTGGACCATTTCCCACCTGAAGGCAGGCTATTCAGGATATCCCCTTGGGCGCAGCCATCGATCATTTGGAGGGGCACCGAGGCGGCAAAAGCCCTCAAGGAACGGCAATACTCGCCATCTTCCTCAGGATTTTCGCAAATAAGTGTGCAATTGGAATAGGAGAGCACGGAACAACGGTGAAAGTCCGAGAATGCGACGCGCACATTCACCAAATGAAGAACAGTGCGACGTGGTTGCCATTGTTGGGCACGCCTTATCCAATCTGGTTGCCAAACAGAGAGCAACATGCCCTCTGGACAACTTTCATCGACCACAATGACCTCCAGGCAGTGAAGCAAATCCTCAGCCTTCCTGTGAGTCGCCTGCAGCTTTCTCTTAATCTTTCGTACGGGACGTACTGCAGCCACCACCACCAGTAGATCTACATGAGAGGCGATTATCTTGTTGGCGTAACCCAAACCGGAATGAACATCCGCCAGTTTGAGGGCGCCGCCGAGTGGCTTGATGGGATGTTGAAGCAGCTTCTGCAGGACAATAGCGTGACTGGAATCATCGCTGTGATGTCGAACCACATAACCAGTTCCTTCGTTGACCACCAGAGCGCAGGATAACGTGGCCTGTGGCTGGTAGCGGCGTTCGCCAAGCGGAACCTCCGGAATAGACATAACCTTAGCGCCCACAATGTCAACCACATAACCGATTTGCAAAATAGACGCGTACTCATCCACGCAAGCTCGTTGTCCCCAACACTTGCAATTGGTCAGGTGATTGGGGGAATCTCGAATTGTCAGGGTGATAACTCCTCGTTCGCTGCCACTTAACTTGTCGTAAAAGATATTTGGCGAGGATTTTGAAACAATCAAAGCCACAGTTGAAAAATGGGTCATTGTGGGTTGCATTTGCGACAGTCTCAAGAATTTTTCGCGCATTGTTATTTATTTTTTCAACGTTTCGTTTGCAATGCTTTGAAAACCGTTAAATTAATAACCGCCGTTTCGATTAATTGCTATCGATGTTATATCGATATCACATTATATCGATGTTTCAGAAAAATTCGTAGCATCGATGAGTCGATTGCAGATTCGCTTCAGTCTCCAGCCCTATTATTTATGTATTTGTTGTAAACAAAAAGAGCGCGATTTTGTGCAGAAATCGCTGTCTACTATAATAAAATGCACATCAAGCAGGTAAGTGAAAGGGATGCTTAAGCCCAGGACAACCCAGCAAACACCGAAGATATCTAATCACCCCCGCGATTCCAGATTATTATACAAGGCTTCAAGAGTTACAAGGACCAGACGGTGGTGGAACCATTCGACAAGCGACACAACGTAGTAGTTGGACGAAATGGGTCCGGCAAGAGCAACTTCTTTTATGGTGGGTTGTGCTCCATACCTGGATTCCTTAACCCAAGCGAACTCTAATCACATCCTTCCTTTTGTACAGCTATCCAGTTCGTGCTGAGCGATGAGTTCACCCACTTGCGTCCGGAGCAGCGCCAGTCGCTCCTCCACGAGGGAACCGGTGCCCGCGTCATCTCTGCTTATGTGGAGATCATCTTTGACAACTCGGATAACCGGGTCCCAGTGAGTAATCCATGCCAGGAACTCCGAAGATTTTTTGGGGAAGGCAAAACAGTATAGGAAAAGCTTTGGGAGTTTACTTCGAAGATAAACCTATTCAGTTTTGGATGCAGTGCAGAAGAAATAAGATATATGAGTGTTCGCTTTGACTGTATTCCATCTTTGATAAGACCACTGTAACTAGTAACGAATATACTTCGTGATACTACTTTCCACCTTTTCCCGTTTTTCAGATCGACAAAGAGGAGATCTTCCTGCGGCGCGTGATTGGCGCCAAGAAGGACCAGTACTTCCTCAACAAGAAGGTGGTGCCGCGCAATGAGGTGGTCAATCTGCTGGAATCGGCCGGCTTCTCCAGCTCCAATCCCTACTACATCGTTAAGCAGGGCAAGATCAACCAGATGGCGACAGCGGCCGATTCATATCGGCTGAAACTGCTACGTGAGGTGGCTGGAACACGAGTGTACGACGAACGGAAGGAGGAGTCGCTTAATCTGCTGCGCGAAACGGACAGCAAGGTGGACAAGATCAGCGAGTACCTGAAGACCATCGAAGATCGGCTGCAGACGCTCGAGGAGGAGAAGGAGGAGCTAAAGGAGTACCAAAAGTGGGACAAGACGCGTCGCACCCTCGAGTACATCCGCTACGAAACCGAACTGAAGGACACACGCAAGGCGCTCGACGAACTGCAGCTGCAGCGCAAGTCGTCGTCGGACAAGAAGAAGCTCTACAACATCGAGATCCAGAAGGCGCAGGAGAAGATCAAGGACGTGCAGAAGAACCTGAAGGAGGCCAAGAAGAAGGTGCAGGGCACCAAGGAGGAGCGGTCCGTCCTGATGACCGAACAGCAGCAGTTGCTGCGCGAGAAGACGAAACTCGATCTGACCATCGTCGATCTAAACGACGAGGTGCAGGGCGACAACAAGTCCAAGGAGCGTGCGGACCAGGAGCTGAAGAACCTCAAGGTAACGATAGCTGAGCGCGAAAAGGAGCTGGATGACGTGAAGCCCAAGTACGAGGCGATGAAGCGCAAGGAGGAGGACTGTTCGCGCGAGTTGCAGCTGAAGGAGCAGAAGCGCAAAGAGCTCTACGCCAAGCAGGGTCGCGGCTCGCAGTTCTCGTCGCGCGAGGATCGCGACAAGTGGATCACCAACGAGCTGAAGTCCATCAGCAAGCAGACGCGCGACAAGATCAACCACCATGCCAAGCTGGTGGAGGACCTGAAGAAGGACGCCACCTCCGAGAAGGATCTCGGCCAGAAGATCGAGGAGCACTCGTCGGAGCTGGAGCAGCTGCGTCTGCAGATCGACGAGCACAATAAGAAGTACTACGAGCTGAAGAAGACCAAGGACCAGCACCAATCCATGCGCAACGAGCTGTGGCGCAAGGAGACGCAGATGACGCAGCAACTGCAGACGCACAAGGAGGAGCTATCCCGAGCTGACCAGGCGCTGCGCAGCATGGCCGGCAAGCCGATCCTCAACGGCTGCGATTCGGTGCGAAAGGTGCTCGACAGCTTTGTAGAACGCGGCGGCCAATCGGCGGAGATTGCAAGGGCTTACTACGGACCCGTAATCGAGAACTTTAGCTGCGACAAGACCATCTACACGGCCGTCGAGGTGACGGCGGCCAACCGGCTGTTCCATCACATCGTCGAGTCCGAATACGAGGGCACCCAGATCCTCAAGGAGATGAACAAGCTGAAGCTGCCGGGCGAGGTGACCTTCATGCCGCTCAATCGCCTGCAGGTGAAGATCCACGATTATCCGGACGATCCCGACTCGATACCGATGATCTCGAAGCTGAAGTACGACGAGCAGCACGACAAGGCGTTGCGCTACATCTTCGGCAAGACGCTCATCTGTCGCAACCTGGAGCGCGCCACCGAGCTGGCCAAGAGCACCGGCCTGGACTGCGTGACGCTGGACGGCGATCAGGTATCGTCGAAGGGCTCCCTCACTGGCGGCTACTTCAACACATCCCGGTCGCGTCTCGAGATGCAGAAGAAGCGCACCGAGTACACCAGCCAGATAGCCGAGTTCGAGAAGAAGCTGAGCAAGCTGCGCAACGAACTCAAGTCCACGGAGAACAACATCAATTCGATCGTGTCCGAAATGCAGAAGACGGAGACGAAGCAGGGCAAGTCGAAGGACGTGTTCGAGAAGGTGCAGGGCGAGATTCGGCTGATGAAGGAGGAGCTGGTGCGCATCGAGCAGTATCGGGCGCCCAAGGAGCGCTCGCTGGCCCAGTGCAAGGCCTCGCTGGAGTCGATGACCAGCACAAAGTCCAGTTTGGAGGCGGAGCTCAAGCAGGAGCTGATGTCGACGCTTTCGGTGCAGGATCAGCGGGAGATCGACCAGCTGAACGACGATATCCGTCGGCTGAACCAGGAGAACAAGGAGGCCTTCACGCAGCGCATGCAGTTCGAGGTGCGCAAGAACAAGCTGGACAACCTGCTGATCAACAATCTGTTCCGGCGGCGCGACGAACTCATCCAGGCGCTGCAGGAGATCTCCGTGGAGGACCGCAAGCGCAAGCTGAACAACTGCAAAACGGAGCTGGTTTCCGCCGAGAAGCGGATCAAGAAGGTCAACGCCGATCTGGAGGAGATCGAGAAGCGGGTCACGGAGGCGGTGCAGCTGCAAAAGGAGCTGCAGCTCGAGCTGGAGACGCACGTGCGCAAGGAGAAGGAGGCCGAGGAGAACCTGAACAAGGACTCCAAGCAGCTGGAGAAGTGGACCACCAGGGAGAACATGCTGAACGAGAAGATCGACGAGTGCACCGAGAAGATCGCCAGCTTGGGCGCCGTGCCGCAGGTGGATCCCTCCTTCAGTCGCATGTCGCTGAAGAACATCTTCAAGGAGCTGGAGAAGGCCAACCAGCATCTGAAGAAGTACAACCATGTCAACAAGAAGGCGCTCGACCAGTTCTTGAGCTTCTCCGAGCAGAAGGAGAAGCTGTATCGCCGCAAGGAGGAGCTGGACGTCGGTGACCAGAAGATCCACATGCTCATCCAGTCGCTGGAGATGCAGAAGGTGGAGGCCATTCAGTTTACGTTCCGGCAGGTCGCGCAGAACTTCACCAAGGTCTTCAAGAAGCTGGTGCCCATGGGCGCCGGTTATCTGATACTGAAAACAAAGGATAACGAAGGCGAGGAGATGGAGAAGGAGGTGGCCAACTCGGATGCCTTCACCGGCATCGGCATTCGGGTGTCCTTCACTGGCGTTGAAGCCGAGATGAGAGAGATGAATCAGTTGTCCGGTGGCCAGAAGTCCTTGGTGGCTCTGGCGCTTATCTTTTCCATACAAAAGTGCGATCCGGCTCCGTTTTACCTGTTCGATGAGATAGATCAGGTGAGGCATTCCCTATACTATATAGTTTGTTACATTTGCTTATCGGTGACTTTATATTTTTGGTAGGCCCTTGATGCAATGCATCGAAAGGCGGTGGCGGACATGATCCACGAGCTGAGCGACACGGCGCAGTTCATTACGACAACGTTCCGGCCGGAATTGCTGGAGAACGCGCACAAGTTTTACGGCGTGCGGTTCCGCAACAAGGTCAGCCACATCGACTGCGTGACCAGGGAGGAGGCCAAGGACTTTGTCGAGGACGACAGCACCCACGCCTAGGCGTTAAGCTATCCGTTCCCGCATCTCCACCACCCCAGCCCACCACATCCATATCTCCTACGTTCACCCCTCGTCCCAGCCGGCCGAACCGGACCAATTATTAGTTTCGTAGGCCTAAGTTTCGTTTTCACATTCTTTCGATATATATCTATTTAGAGCTTTTTTTTTAAGCATACCTGCTACTTGTAATTTTCCTTAACAATCAGAGTTAGTTTTTTCGGTTTAAGCCGCGTCCGTTGCGTGAAACACTTCGGGCAGCGGGCGAAACGAGAGTTGAGCAACTCTAAACCCCAGATCAATATGTAACAAAGCGCATAGAGAAATAATTTAAACTATATTTAAAGTAAAAAGTGTATTAAAAAACTTATGCAAAACAAATCCGTTTAAAGTGTGTCTTCTCTTGGGTGAAAATGAATGGAAATTGAACTTTGTCGGTAATGAAACCTGTTTTCAAATAAGTCAGTCTTAAATTTACAGTCATTCCGAAGATTAATCAAATAAAAATTGAAAATATATTACGCTTTCTAAATCGCGTTTAAAATGCAAAGCTAATTAATGTCTTAATAAATAAGAAATCTATACAATATGGTTGCAAATAGGGAGCACTGGTTTATTAAACAAAGGTATTGATCAACAACGTACAGCTAGTTATTTATAGTCAAGCCTAGAATGAAAATGTGTGATTTGGGCCTGGCTAGCCAAGGCACCAGTCCCCGGCAGCCAGATGAGTAGCCTTCAGCTGGCCACCGCGTCATGTTGCTCCTGGATGGCATTCAGTGCAAAGATGGTGCTGAAGCACATGCCCACGGTGGCCACTTCCAGCTGTGTGATGTTATAGTGCAGCGGCAGGCGCCACAGAACAAAGTGGTTGAGCAGGACGAGCGAAGCCAGGCCGAGCGCCCACCAGTGCTCATCGACGACGGCAATGCGCCACAGGCAATGGACATTCCACAGGACACACAGGCCCAATTGAGCGGCATCCAGTCTGACGAATGTGGCGCCAAGCGAACTGCGACTGTCACCGAACCACAAACTGGTGACTGCCAGTGCTAGAACTCCGCTCCAGAGTCCAAAGGCCAGGCGATCCCAGTCTGCGCCAAAGAAGTCACCCATCCGCGTGGCGGGATTTACGGCCTGTAGCTCACCCACCACCAGGGTGACGAACAGGACGCTGGAGTAGCGCCTGGACTTGTCGCACAACAGTCGCTGCACTGCGCCCGGATTGGGGTGCGTGTGTCTAAGCAGGCAGAGCAAACTGTGACCGAAGTAGATTCCGAAAGCGGCCAGCGCCTTGCTGCCGGTGCTCCGTTTCAGGCCCCAGCCGGAGATGATGGCCAGCACAAAATGAATGAGGCACAAGGCCAAACGAGAGGATCCGCCACCGGCACTTGGCGGGGGGTCCATTGCTCGTCGGAAGACTTCTTTGGTTAACCATGGTATTGATTTGGTTCCGGTGTGAAAAAGCCGGTTGCCGGTATTTGTGGTTTCAAATGGAGGACTCCCCGGACAGGAGACCAATATCCCTCGGGGGTGAGTATGATTCGCTGCCCCGTTGCTAATATCCAGGTCGATTTGAGGGCTTACTTTCTCAATAATATAAATATTTTGTTATTAATTCGAGTTGAAATTAGTAAGACCATTCTATACCTCCCCAAAAAATCTCATCTTGAGAATGAACAACAAATTATTATAGTTTAAAATAAGAACTTTATTGATACACATGTAGTACAAAGGGGAACATAATTATTATTTAGTTAGTTTGATCGTCTCTCTGGGCATCTTAGACTTTAATAACAGTTTTTACATTTTTTCCACTCTTAATATACGAAATAACTTTATAAATAATAGTTTTCTTGAACCCCATAGCCGAAAAGTAATGAAAAATTAAATTTTTTGGCTGAGATGGTTTATTTGCACAATGTGTGCAAATCAAATTTCGAGGCTCAAGAGACATTACCGCGACTAGTCATTTTTAACCCGCATCCGTTCTTTGTATCAATTTGATACAAACTTTAACTTAAGATTCAGACTTAGGCGAAATGGATTCTTATATGGATTTGTGATTTTGGCTCAAGTTTTGTCTTTAAAAAATTCATATAAATCATTTTTTGTTCAAAATAAACAAACATTCATAATAAATATATAAAAAATTGGTTTCTTTTTTAATTTCACTTAATTTAAGCATGTTTTTAAACCTGTATCAAATTGATACATAGGAGCTAATATGTTACGGATTTTAAGGGACGGATGCGGGTTAAAGAAATCTACAATTTATTGTCATGCAAGCTGGAATATAACCGTTAGTTATCGTGTGCTTTGTTTATCTCTATCGGTTCTTGGAATTTTTTGCGAACATGTTAAATTTTGTTTTTTATTTCATTCCGCATACCTTATTATATTTTATTGGAAATAAAAAAGAAAAATACCAAATAATACCGAATTAGTATTTTTATCGACAGGGCAACCAGCTAAAAATATTAGCGCCACACCATTATTATCGATGTCTATAGGCATTTAAATAAACAATTTGCTTAAAACGAAACTGCGAAATCTTTTTATCTTAATTTTGTATGTGTGTTTTTAGTTATGTTTTCCAAATACCACTCTTAAATAGTTTCACTATAATAAAAATAATAATTCGGTAAAAAAATAAAATCGATGTTGTCATTCCCAGAAATATCGATAGCATCGAACCAACATCGATTCGATTTTACCACTTGCTCTACGTCAGTGACAAAAACACATACTAATGCTACATTCGATATAAATAAACAGCGAAAGGCTTGTGTTTATTACGACGTGTCTGCACTTGACCCCTTGCCCGGAGATCTGGAATCTGCAAGCCAGCCCTGCGACAAGAAGAACACCAGTAGGTTGGATAGAGAGCAGGAGGAAAAGCCGGAGGAGCCAAAGAGAGTGGGCGCAACGAAGGGGAGAGGGGAAGGAGGAGCAACTATCGAGGATTAGAAAAGGGATGGCTGGATCTGCACTGCGCCGCCTGATGGCGGAATACAAACGTAAGTCGAAAATCCATGGCGAACCAGCAGTTTACTAATGATCCAATGACATGGCCACTTCCGTTTGTTCCACTTTCCATCCCCTCCAGAGTTAACACTTGATCCGCCCGAGGGCATTGTGGCTGGTCCGATCAGCGAGGACAACTTTTTTGAGTGGGAGGCACTGATTGCGTGAGTTGAGACCCGAAGAACGATCCTTTATTATTAAGGAACTACCAACTTACCCCTTGAACTTTTGCAGGGGACCCGAGGGCACTTGCTTTGAGGGCGGCGTGTTCCCCGCCCGCCTCGTCTTTCCACCCGACTACCCACTGAGTCCGCCAAAAATGAAATTCACTTGTGATATGTTCCATCCCAACATTTTCTCCGACGGACGCGTTTGCATATCAATACTGCACGCTCCCGGCGACGATCCCATGGGCTACGAGCTGTCCGCAGAGCGCTGGAGTCCCGTCCAGAGCGTCGAGAAGATCTTGCTCAGCGTGGTCAGCATGCTAGCGGGTAAGGAGTCACCCAGGTGGTCGTGTTGGGTTGAGACCTTGAAAGTTGGTCATTTCAGTGATCACATTCCAGTTGTTGACATTAACTTGATGGCTCAAGTGTTCAGTTGCTGGTTTTTCAGCTCACTTGCTAAGCTGATTAGTTTTGTGTATATCTTAAGTTAATCGCTTGTTTACTTGGCCTAAAGGATCAGTATTAGTGAGATGTTTATTAAGACCCACAATTATGTTCCTCACTCAAAACCAACCCAACACTACCGAATAGCCTTTCCTGTGCGATCAACAACTGATTTCGCTTTTCCCCACCTAGAACCCAACGATGAGAGCGGCGCCAATGTTGATGCCGCCATAATGTGGCGCGAGAAGAGAGAAGAGTTCAACGCCATCGCCCGACGACTGGTTCGCAAAACACTCGGATTGCCGCCGTAGATGATGATCAACAGCAACTGCAAATGGACCTTGTCCGCCACCGTCGACCCAATTTTCCTAGCCCCCCAACACGATTCCAAGATTGCGACATACTGAAAATGCTGATCCATAGTTCCCCTCAAGCCCTCAAGCTGGCTAAACGACAAAGACGTTTCAAATTAGCGAAAATCAAGAACAAGAACCTAGCAATAAAATCGACTGTTAACCACAAACAGCAGGCAGCAGCAGTTCGTCCCCCTCTTATGTTTGCGTCCGTCACTGCAGCGGATTTAAATAGAAGGGGTTTTTTCACCGGAAGTACTCCCTAATTGGTAGTTAGTCATGAGGTCTGAACAATGTGAAAAGTTCGAAAAAATGCTTATATTTCCTATGAATAAATGTTTATTTTTATGTTTATATTTTCTGTTAGATAAACAACATTATTTGAACACACTTACGAGATCTTCACAGGTGCTGATGATCTTTATGGCGCTATTTTATGATTGATTTTAATCAAGCTATTCATCAACTTAAAGTGCACAAAATATTAAAAGACAGAGCGTTTTCATTTTGCTAGTATAAGTTTATTAGGTCTTATATTCGGTTTATATAGTCGTTACATATTCAAATAAGTCTGATTCCATTAGTTACCACTGATCATTAATCGAAATCCCGCAAGCGAACGATCATCGTCTTGAAATTGTTTCTATGTACTCATATATGTTTTACTACACAATTGTAAATGTTTTCACTTGATTAAGTAAATTGATTAATGTACACTTTGATAAGGCATATGACTGTGTGTGTATATGAATAGGTGTGTGGTAAACGCATTCTTAGTTAAGTGTCAACTGGTGTGGGGGTAAGGTAGTTATAGTTATCCAATTGCTATTGAAGGTTACTAAGCCACACGAATTTCAATTGACCGAACGGACCACCGCATAAATTTATGCTCTCTTTACATTTTCGGACCACCGATCGTGACGAAAATGTTTGCACCACTCAAGTTATTGAGTACCGTGGGCTCCACTCGCTTTTATGGCCCACTGTAGGCTTGCCAATTACGGAGCCAGTGTTTCCCCATTGCGTCGTTGCGCTTGGACTGCGAACAACCCACTGCACTGTGGGTAAGGGTCAGCGCAGACTGTCTAACTTGTCTACTGGGTCTACTTGTGTTTGGGCTACCATAAATGGTGCTCTTCTTATCTTAACTATCGCTGTTATTTGCTAAAGATTGGTCGTAAATTGATGGATTATTTTCCAATTAGATAACGGAATATATGGCGTATCGTTATCATTACGAAGTTTTTCTTATTAGAGTCTTCTGAGTTTGGTTAAAACCAGATTTTTCCTAATTGTTTAATAATCCAAGTTCTCGTTAATTAATTCATTTAAATAAATAAATTTCTTCTACCGGGTATGTTTAGTAAACATCTAATTTAATCGGTTTTCAAAAGCAAATTTAAAAAATATAACTTATTTTCTTTTTCCTTATATTTTTTATAACAGTTCAGTGAAACCGGAATTCTTATGGTTTAAGGAATAACATGTTCTTTAACTCGTAATTCTTCTCAATTAAATTGAATTCCAATTTCTCTTAACGTAATTTTTTTCCTTTTCCTTACTTAAAAAATGTTCAAAGATATCACCTTGCAAAATTAGTTTCTTTTGGCTTGTTTGGTTCCCTTGGACATGGCTCAAAAACAAATAGAAATCTGTGTTTTTGACCCACTGTGCGCGAATGTGTCATAGCGTGTTTATGCGTCTGTGAGTGGCGTAATTAACCTTTTGCGAAACCAGTTAAATATTTCTAGTGCCATGACACCGAGCAAACAAAAATAACAAAATGACAACATGGCCAATAGAACATATGCAAACGAAAGAAGGATGCAAACTGGGTTGGGTTTGATTGGGAGAAACAGTAACACAAACATGATTAATTGGATAATTGTATAATTTGACAAACATAAACGCTTTTGGGGGTAGTGGACAGCGCTGAGTCAACAGCCAACAAGCAAACTTAACATGGTCACTTAGGGTCAGTAAATTACAATTGCACACAGCGGAGACTAAAGAATAAAGATGTCCAGGCTGGCCCCGGCCAGCTAGTCAACATGGTACTCCGTTCGATGGGGCGAGCCGTGTCGCTTCTCGGCCACGAAAACGCTACTGACGCCCGCCAAGCTGGTCACGCCCCTCACGCCGGTGCTGCGGAAGTAGATCAGTAGGTACTGCTCGCCGTGCCGCAGCTCCACATCGTCGGCGAAGTCCAGGCGCACCTGCTCCTGCGAATTGGCCTCCTGCTGGCGGCGCAAGCGCTGCCGATTGCGATGGTGATGCCGACCCCTTCGGTGGTGGGCGGGCGTATCGAACGGATCCTGTTCGTGATTCGAATCGGATGAGGTGGGCGACTCGGCCTGGTTCACATACTCGTAGGCCGCGTAATCGGCCAAGCTGGCGTACTCCGCCGGATAAATGCCAATCCAGTCGTTGGGTCCCTCGTCGAACTCCGCCTGCTTGCGATACTCCACGGTGTTCTCGTCGCCGATCTTCCAGAGCGTCAGGGGCGAGAAGACCACCCCCGGCGCACGGACGTTCGGGTAGAGCTTCAGGGTGAAGTCACTGGTCACCGGCTTGTGATCGCTGATCGTGTACACTGGATGGGATTTATACGAGCACTGCTCGATGGAAAGCTGCATCTCGGGCTGCCTGTTCAGCGGCTGTACGGCGTACATGATGCGGTCCGTCCACGCCGGCCGTCGCTTCAGGTCGTACTCGGATGTGCCCTCGCGAAACTTGAAGGTGGGCGGAAAGGCGGGCAGGCGTTCGTGCAAGACCTGGAAGGCCTTCTGCGACTTCTCGCGCACGTAGTACAATTGATCCCGCTGAATCAGAGCCTCGTGCTGCGACTCATCGCGCAGCAGCTCGCGCACTTCCGTCGAAGAGTCCTCGCCGTGCAGCCGAAAGTTGAGATCGCCGAACCAGAAGACATAGTCGTGATCGTAGATCTCCCTGTACCGCTTGACATGGTAGTGATGGTTCTCCAGGATCTGCTTGTAGTCCTCGATGCGCTCGTCCAGCTGGTGGTCATGGGCAGCCAGGTGGGCCACCACGAAGGCCAAACCACAGCCGTAGAGGGTGAATCGAACGCTGACTGCGCCCTTGTTGCCCCAGATCCCACCGAAACCGGTGCGTGTGAACTCCGCCTCGATGTCCTGCAGGTGCTCCACGTGCTGGCGCCGTACGAACATGCTGAGCAGCAGGCCCTGCATCTGTTCCGTCTTTACAGCCACGTAATCGTAGCCGCGCAGCAGCTCCTTGGCCTTGTGGGTCCACGGATCCTCTTTGAACAAGCCGAGCACCTGTTGCTGCGGCTGGGCGTTGACTTCCTGTAGGCCGAGGGCATAGATGTCGGGCAGGTGGTCCTGCGCCTCCTTGGATGCCACATCCTGCAGGCCGAGCAGCTGCCGGAGGGAGATGTTCTCCGGAAAGCGACTGCCCACATTCCAGGTGACCACATACACACGGTACGTCTCCAGATGCTGCTTGCTACCACCGGCCTTCGCGCCGTCCGTCTCCGAGTCCGCCGCTGGGGATGATCTGGTCGCCTCCGTTTGGCTCATTTTTTTGCAAAGCGCGTAGATAACTTTAATTTAATGCTTAGCCACCGACAGCTGTTCAAAGCGATTGGATTGTTTACCCAACTAATTGGTTTGGTTGTGTAAACCGATTCTTTGCGCCTCTGCGGCTTTTGTTGCCCCGAATTGGATTATTTGGGGTGAGCAAACGAGCGGTAATTGTCGAAAATATTGCAGCACAAATAGTTTATAACACTTGTTTGCCCAGCCCACCAAAAACAATAACAACAACAGCGTCACCTGTGCAATAGCATGTCGATTATTTGAAATTGTTCGATGCATCGATAATCTGAAGCATCGATGTTTTTGCAGCCCTAGTTTCTGGCCTTCTCACCAAGCGAGAATACCCGCCTAACCTAGCGAGTGCACCCTCCTAACGTATTCGATTTACCCTCCTAACATTGCCAGTCCAATCCTAATTTATCCGGTTCACCACTTGACCTATCGATTACACTAACCATTATCCGAAATCAGCGAGTGCACCAACCACTGCTACCCTCGACAGTTATAATACGCGATCAAATTTAAGGAGCAGGACTTTAAAATTTGAAAATAATACCGAGCTATTTATTTCCACAAACCTAATATTTTTTATATATGTGACGAATGACTCTTAGTCCAAGAGTAAAATAAGCACGTAGATATTAGTACATTTTTTGAGGTATATTATCTTAAAAGTTTTATATATTCTTGCAAAACGGTCGTTTTGTTATATGATTTAAAGTAAATTTAAAAATTGTTGTTTTGCAAAGCCCACTTTTTGGTTATTTTGAAATATACATATAATTAAATTGAGTGTGGGCATACCATGTTTATTAAAATTCATATTGCTGTTTACTGTCTCTTATTTGCACATCAGTTTCATATGTAACACAATTGACAGAAATTTCATTTTGAGAACATCGGAAAAAAGTTTCAGTAGGATATTCAATAAATTTTCCGGAAATAACCCCGCAGAAATGTATTCTGATCATTTAAAAAAATTAAAATAATCTTGTTAATAAATTTTTTTTCTTACAATAATATTTTAATTTTCCCGCCCTACTCGCTATTCGCTGGATTTGACGCCTTTGATGTATTTATCTAGTATGTTTATGGCGTGTTTTTGGTATATTTTCAACCCTGCTCTCGGTATATTCGCGAGGCCATCGTTGTATCCACACTGCCACTCGCCGCATTTTTACTCGCCACTTTGGCCACACACGCGTTTTTTCCCAAATCGTGCTTTTTTTGTGAAGTGTTAATTTCGTTTGTTACAAATTTCGGCATTATGTTCGCGCATCCATTGAAAAACTGAAACCGCGGGCAACCAGTTCGAGTTGCAAACAAATGCGTGCATTTGCCCGCAGGAAAATGCCAGAATTCGTTCCGATTCGCAGCGCGTGTGTGTGTGTGTGAACAGAGTGAAGAAGAGGAACGAAGAATTGCGAAAGCAGTGTGTGCAAGGCGGAAGAAGCACAAAGACAAAAGAGGAGATAAAAAAAATCGGACAGGCGGTGCTGTCCGGCAATCAAAAAAGAATTTGAAAAAAAAAACAGCCAAAAACAGGCGGCATGCAGGAAAGCGGTAAGCGGGAATCTTGAAAATAAGAAAAGAATCCAAAACGCTTTGCCCGTATTTGGTTCCAAATCCTTTTTCCCGCCTCTACTCTTGCAGTGCCCAGCATTTATCCAGTGTGCGTAGTGGATGCCATCAAATCGAAAGCTAATGTAGTCAGTTTGTGGCGCCAAAAATAATAGTTTTTGAAAAATCGCCGCGTGTGTGAAATCTCGGCGAATCCAAAAAAAGCAAAAAGAAAAACCACGACGGCGTGCGTAAGCGCACTCACACTCTCACACACGCACAGACTGAGAAAGGGAGAGAGAGAGAGCGCGACATACACACGCACACAAACTCGCTGACAGGAATTGCAACAGTGTGTGCGCTCCTTTTTTATTTTATTTTACTTACGTTTTGTTGTGTGTGCGGCGGCGCTTCTTTTTGGCTTTTTGTGTCTCTCTTTTGTGCCGTTGCTTTGCCGGCTAAAAGGGAAACCCGAAATTAACCAGGCATAATGGATGGACAGGAGCAAAGGGAATCCTCGCAGGCGGAATTAGCCAAACTGCATCCCATGACGCCGCTAAAGGAGATGCCCGAAGAGGAGGCCGAGGAGGAAGATGAATCCTCGGCGGGAGCCCTCCACTCCGGCAGCAACAACAACGTAAGTACAGTCGTCGCCGGGAAAGTGGTTTCTCTCGAAGAATACACGCCTAATGCCGATCCCACTTGCAGTCTATCATGGGCAAGATGAAAATGCGCGTATCGAGCATTTTTCCTGCCTCTCTGAGCGATTGGTTTTCGCCCTCGTCCAAAGGAGGCCCGGAATCCGCCTCAACCACCTCCGCTAATCTCCGCCAGCCACAGTCACATCAGTCCAACGGACGCTCCAGCACGAAAAGAAAACGTGGACGCCGCCGCATCATGCTGGCCGAAGCTGATGCAGACGCACTGGACCTGGACGATGGCTCCGATGCCAAGGGGCTCAACTACGAGGAGGTGGCCCTGGCCGACAACATCGCCGAGCACGACCTAGCCGCCGAGGATGAGCAGACGCGGCGCAGCGAGTATAATGTGTTCCTCTTGCGCAAGGATAGCGAGGCACTTGCCGCTGCCGGCGGCGAGGAGGATGAGGCCGAGGAAGATGACCTTGAGGAGGAGGAAGAGGAGGGCGATGAGGAGGACGACGAAGAGGAACAGGAGAGCCTCCTGCAGTCCGCCGCCGTGCAGCCCAAGCGTCGGCGCATGGAGGTATGTTTGTCCTTCTTCGAAGTTTAACACGGATCTATCAATTCGATTGTCAACCCCTTTCAGCTGGAGACTACTGTCAACTTGCCCAACATGCGTCGTCTGCCCTTATTGTCATCCACGCCTGCTGCTCCACTCGTGGCTGCTACCAGCTCCTCCGCCTCTCAAATAGCGGGCTCCAGAAGCAGCAGCCAGTTGGCTCCACACCGACGCAACCACCTCAATTTGTACGGAAGTCAACGGCAGCGCGAACCCGCCTACAACTTTTTCACGGGCAACGAAGCCGCCGAGGGAAGCACCGGGGATCTGCCTCACAGGTGGGTTATGCTCCAGTCCATCCTCAACTACTTTTTGCCATCTGATCGTAATAGCATTGACAAAACGTGTTCTCTCTGTGTTCTACATTTAATCTTCGGACACACCCGAAAAATCTATTAAAACAAATCTCAGCAGAACACAGAATACAATAATGATACTAACCCTGAAATCATTTCAGCATTCGCCGGTCGCTGAACATACCTTTTGGAGGCGGCAGTACAACCACCAGCCACCACAGCTTCTCCAGCCTTCCCAACCACAAACGACCCTCGCTACTCGGCCAGCGAACACATCGCCGTGATCTTACCATGGATGAGACGGGAGTTGGTCTGGGTCTGAGTTCGGTTACCAATGCAGACGGTGATCGCCTCGATCACTTGTTGAGGATCACCAAGACCAACAACAACATTAGCAACAACAATAATAATAACAACAATGTCATCAAGTCGAAGACACGACGAACTGATTTGTCACTAGCCGCAGTGGGTGGCGTTGATTCGCACTCCGAGGGCGATGCGAACGACTATCACGACAATGGCGATGGCCATGATGGACTGCGGCCGTCGCACCACAACAGCAACAGCAATCTGGAGTTTTACGGCAATTTGCAGAGTTCCAAGTCGATATTCAACCGAAATACAGCCGCCACCGCCCAACCAGCGCACCGCAATTCCACGTGGTCGCTGAATTCGCTGAGCCTGCGACGACGCTTCAATGCCTCCATATACGGCAGCACGTCGGCGCTGAGCGACAGTCGTCTGCTGAGTCGCAGTGCCTCAACCTCTGGCTCGGCATCGGCATCCAGCTCGCCCTTCTATCAGGGACGCACTACCTTTGGCGGCAATTCCGCGAACAATCGCATCTTTAGTCGCAGCAATCTGAGCTCCTCCGCAGCCTCCTCATCGCTGGCCATCAATTCCGGCGGCAGTTCACCGGCGCATCCGCTGCAGGGCCCCCTATCCAGTGGCCTGGGATACGGCATGAAACCGGTGGATATGCGACCATCTGCCGGTGGCGAACCGACCAATGCGACCATCGGAAAGAGTGGCGGCAAGAAGTCTGGCTCTGGATTGTCGAACACCACGCTGCGCATCCTCAACCTGCTGGACAGCTACTCCACGCCACTAATCGATGCCAAGCGCATGGGCAGCACCCTCAAGGAGCACCAAAGCAGTCGCCAGCAGCGGCAGGGTGCGCCGGCCACGCCCTATCCACGTCCCACGTATGCCCAGAATGCCAGCCGCAGTGGTTCGGTGCCCAGCGTTACCGCCGAGCTGGCAGAGCTGCGCTCCAACAAACTGCTGGTGCCGACGATGCAGCAGCTGTTGGAACGCCGACGCCTGCATCGCGTCACCCAGAATTCGCGGGATCTGGTGCAGAACCAGAACTCGTCGCACGTTCGCCCGCAAAACAGTCAAGAGAAGATCAATCCAACCGCGGCGGCACCGTATGTTGCCCCGATTGATCATTCGGCCAGCCATAGTCACCACACCAATAAGATGCGCTCGCGACTTTCGCACCAGCCGCGTAGCAAGGAGCCGCGTGCCGAACTGGAGGAGGCACCACTGCCGCTGGATCTGCCACAGATCAGCTTCCCAGACATGGCCAGCGCGCCGAAGTTCGACTTGGTCATCAAGCCGACGGTGTCGGTCACAAAACTGGAACCAACCATCCCAACCTCGAGTAACAAGACCAACATCAGCAGCAGCAGCATTTCAACAAATGCCAAGCAGCTACCTAACTTCCTGGCCAATCCACAATATGCGTCGCCCACTGTTAACTTTTCGGCCAATGGAAACATGGCTCCAACAAGCGGCAGCAAGCCAACGCGACGCAAGTTTAGCTTCTCGGAGCCCATACCTATGTCTCAGGATTCGCAGGAGAACTGCGTGAACCGACCGGCGGATATCAGTCGCAATTACTCCTTCCCTTCGCCGGCTTCATTGGACGAAGAGGAGCAGCAACCGCCAACGGAACCTGCTGCACGGCCGTCGCAGCCAACGATGAACGGAGCACCGCCACTGATGGGCTTCGGCAATCAGTTCAAGAAGTCATCCAACGAGTGGGAGTGCGATGTGTGTATGGTGCGCAACAAGGCGGAGGTTAGCAAATGTGTGGCCTGTGAGACGGCCAAACCGGGCGCAACTACGGCTCAGGCAGCACTTGTGCAGGCAGCACCAACGACGCCAGCGATTGTGCCACTGGGTGGCGGGTTCGGAGACCGCTTCAAGAAAGCCGCCAATGCTTGGGACTGCGATGCCTGCATGCTGAGCAATAAGGCGGAAGCCACCAAGTGTATTGCCTGTGAAACGCCGCGAAAAGCGGCGGCAGCGCAACCACCGAAGGTCGACATCTTGCCGCTGATGACGAACAACTTGGTAACTGGATCTGGTTTCGGTAATGCCTTCAAGCCCAAGGCCAACACGTGGGAGTGCCAGACGTGCCTGGTGATGAACCAGTCGAGCGCCGCCGAGTGCATCGCCTGCCAGACGCCCAATTCGCAGCCAAGAAGCAGTAGCAGCAATAGTGAATCCGCCAGGAGTCCTTCGGCATCGTCCTCATCCTCGTCATCCTCCACCGGATCATCCTCTGGATCGGCCGGCTCATCGTCGTCCGTTATCTGCATTAGCTCCTCGAGCGACAGCGTCAAGTTCGGGGCGCCCAAGCAGGATGCGGGCTTTCAGCAGCTGGTGGCAGCTCAGAAGGTCGCCAGTTGGGACTGCGATGCGTGCATGGCCCAAAACGACATGTCGCGTATCAAGTGCATCTGCTGTGAGCAACTTAAGCCGGGCGCCGCCACTCCAGCCACCATGCCATCCGTGGCTTCTGCAGCTTTCTCCGGCAGCAGCGGATCGACCAACTCCGGCGGCAGTGCGGTACCCAAGTTTAGCTTTGGATTCGGAACAGTGAAGGAGGTGGTCAAGCCAGCCGTGAGCACCAGCAGCACTCCGGCCACGCCCGCAGTAGCTAATTCTCAGTTCAGCTTTGGATTCGGGCAGAGCAATCAGGGCAAGGATGTGGCGGACAGCAAGAAGGCGGAACCCGCGAAGGGCGGCTTTACGTTCGGAGCGCCCAAAGTGGAGCAGCCCAAGGAAACTAAGGTCCCTTCCGGCACGGAAACAACTGCTGCTCCGGCTCCAGCTGCAGCGCCAGTCCTTCCGTTTGTGTTCAAGGGCCCAACGACTGCTGCCACAACCAGTTCAACCACTACCACAACCAGCAGCACCTTTGCCATAACCACCACAGCAAGTCCTGCCCTGGGTGGCTTCAGCTTTGGTGCACCAACTTCAACCTCGACTGTGTCCAGTTCCACGGCCAGCTCCAGTGCGAGTTCCGCGGCGGTCAAGCCCATGTTTAGCTTATCGGGAGCGGGATCCTCTGGGTCGGGATTGGGAACTAGTGTGGTGAGCAGCACCAGCAGCAGCCAGACGCCAATGGCCAAAAGTGCTACCCTGAGCTTTGGTGTTTCCTCGAACACCGTGACAACAACGACGACCTCTTCAACGACCTTCGCTCTAACACCGGCAGCTACCCCGGCTCCGGCTTCCGCGGCAGCCACCTTGGCACCTGCTCCAGCTGCCACCTTGAGCTTCGGAGGTCAGCCAAAACCAGCAGAGAGCGCACCGGCGGCTGGAGGTTTCTTCTTTGGCCAGACACCAGCAGCCACGCCAGCGCCATCGGCCAGCACCAGCGGAAGCTCGATCTTTGGGGCACCGGCGGCGAGCGCGACGGCCAGCACCAGTAGCATCACAGCCGCTGCCACAACAACAGCTCCAGCCGCTGCAGCTCCAAGCCTTGCGCCTTCCGCGACCCCGCAGCTCTTTGGTAATTGGGGCGAGAAGAAGGCGGAGACCACGACCAGCAGTGCGAGCAAGCCCTTCGCCTTTGGATCTTCTTCCGGACCGGGGGCGTCTGCGGCACCCAGCTTTGGGGGCTGGTCCAGCAACGGAGCTGCGGCAAAGAGCAACAGCATCGCCGTGACCAGTGCGACGGTGTCCTCTTCCACGACAAATCCGGTATTTGGCAGCAGTTTCGTTTTTGGAACACCGGCCAGCAGTACCACCAGCAGCAGCAGCACAAGCAGCAGCACACCCTTTGGATCGACGGCAACTACAGCGGCAGCGACACCTAGTTTAGGTGGCAACGGAGCCTTCGTCGGAGTGTTCGGGAATGTGGGCAACTCGCTGGTGGCTCCCGGAGCGCCGGCAGCCACAATCCCTGCTCCCGCAGCCGTTCCCCAGATAGCCAATATGTTTGGCAATCCGACACCGATTGCTGCAGCGGCGCCTGTTTTCGGCAGCAGCAGTGGCATCAGCACAAGCGGAGGATTTGGAGCAGCAGCAGCAGCAGCTGCGTCGACTGCCACGACAACGCAACCAGGATCGAAGCTAGCATTTAACTTTGGCGGAGCAGACGCAGCCACGCCCGCAGTAAGTGTAATTTAATCGAAAGATCTAAGAGAGACCTAATCCCTGCTGTTTACTTTACAGGCCTCAGGGGCACCATTCAAGTTCGGGAACACCACCAATGCACCGCCCGCCAAACCTGCGTTCAACTTTACGGGCTCCGCGCCGAGCTCGACTCCTCAGGCGGCTCCCTTTAGTTTCTCGACCAATGCGGCGGCGCCAACAAGTCTTTCTGGCGGCGATGTAAGTAGATAGTTACAATGTAGTTTCCAATCGACCCAACACCCAACAATTCTCAAAAGTAAAACCAAACAAAAGTATAAAAGAGGTGATCGATGGGAGCCTAGCTCCCGATGTGATGATGAACAATCAGTCTCTCACCTTCATCCATGCAAATTTGTTTGCGGTTGTTTGTAGTCTGTAGTAGCTGTCCGTCATGTTTCCTTTTTGATTTACCCCTCCTCCCCGTCTTGCATGTCCACGTTATAGCGATGATAGCGATGCGCTTAACAATCGATCGATCCTCCTAACACAGCTGACCGATTTTTATTGATTTAGAACTAATTACCGTATTGATTTGACCTATTAACCTTGTATACATATATATTACCTATACAATATATATATATATTTATTTGTATTCTTCTCTCCTTTTCTTTTTATCTTTTTTCCACCACCCTTTCTACACACAAACGATCGTGCGTGTTGTTACCGTTAAAATATTGTCGTATACCATGTAATTTATGTATACTCCTTAACTACGCAACTTCCATATACCTGTATAATGTACACTATCTGTACTGAAAACTGAAATCCTTGTGGGCACGGGCACGAAACAACTTTACTACCATCCATCCTACTTACCACCTATGATTACCGCGACTTTGATTATGAACCCACTAAATGAACCGAATGGATCTCAACCTAAAACTGAAACTACTGATTCTGATTTGGAATAATACCAATCCCAACTGAAATGCAGTCGCAGTCGCAGCAGCGCGTCTTCCAATTTGGTGCTCCGCCGACGGCGACGGCTGGTACTAACCAGACGAGTGGAGCGGGAGGAGCCGCCTCATCTTCCGGCGGTGGTCCACCCATGTTCACTTTTGGCGCAGCGGCGCCGCAGATGCAGGTAATGCGAAGAAATTGACGATATCCAGAGAGTTCCGTCGACTGGATTTAAAGGCTACCCGAATGCTAATATTCATCTCATATCATGGGGAATGTCAAAGAAATCTGCACAGACTTTGTTTATCAGTCTTCTTTATACTAGTATAATAGTTTTATATTGTATTGCACTCGTAAAAAATGATTTCAAAAAACTTGATGTAATAACTGAAATTTTTTTTTTTAATAATTACACATTAGAATCAATTTTTGTCTGGAGTAAACTTGTTTTTAAATATTTTACTAACAGATTTTTTTTATTACCAATTGTGATGTATTTGTAAGCCAAAGGAGGTTTTTTGTTAAAGAACTAGTTGGTGAAAGGTTTCTGTGACATCTCTCCAGTAGAAGTCATAATTATTGTATTGTTTGTATCGTGCTTTTCTCATATTGCTTCATTTAGCTTTAATATTAGCCGCATGTTTAGTTTGACGTATTTTGTAGCTATTGAACTTCTGCTTGATAGTGTATGTGTTGCAGGGCTTGTCAAATATTTCTAGCATAATTAGTTAATTATTTTCTGTTTAGATATGTGTCATTTGTTTTTAGTGTAGTTTTGCATGCAATTACAGGAATATTTTGACAAGCACTCACACATGCACACCCAAACCTGCGTCCCCAACATACATACTCCCCAAAACATAAACACAGACGCAGACCAGCTGTCATTTTTCAAGTAGCAAATTCATCCTTGTTGCTCTAGATACAGAGTAAGCAATAGTTTTTTTTTTTTGTAAATAACCTCCAGCTTAAAACCCACCAGCCATCATGAACCGTCGTTCATAAAAAATTACTTGCAAACCAAAACAAATTTACCAAGAAAAAAAAACCAAAAATATTCTTTTTGCAGTCAACACCGAATGCCAATGCACCGTTCCAATTTAGCGCCGGTTCCCCAGCGCCAGCCAATATATTTGCGTAAGTAAGACAGAGACGGGTGATCCGTTGGCAGACGGTTTCCTCCAAGTCTCCCCAAATGGGTGCGAGCGAGATAGACAGCGGGCAGAGTGGGATTAATAACGTTTTTTGTCTTCCTCTTTTCTACTTTGAATTGGCAAATTTACCCACACACAAAGCTGCATTATTAACTGTTTTTATTGTATTTAACTTATTTATAAGGCATTTGTTTTGTGCGTTCGTCTTGTTTTGTTTTTATTTTGACAAGAAAAATGAAGATAAAGTCGACTCCCATATTTACACAGAAGTTACATTAACATTTACAAAGGTTTTATTTTCTATTTGGTCTACAAAATATCATTTTTTATATTTACATACGTACATAAAGTTTACACAAATGTTTTGACCTTTTTAATGAGATTTGTTTAAAAAGTAAACAAAGGTCAAACATTAAATGTGAACAGTTTAAAATGTAAAGCATTACCGTACCAATGCATATAACATATTCAACCTATTATTCATGGATAGATTAAACCATTATTCATTCTCATAAAAAAAAGTTAAACATAAAAACTGACAGTATAGAATCTGGATAAATGTGAAAAAAGTTTAAGAAGCGTAAATAATTTTATTAGGGCTAAAGCTTAAATGAGTTAGTTTCATCGCGTCTTAAATGTTTATGTTGCCTCCATTTCCGCATTGGAAAAGGAATGCATTGAACCTCTAGATGTTATATGTATTTCTGTCTAAATAGAATATATTTTGTGATTGTCATACTGATTGTTTTGTCTACAGTTTATGTTTGTCTTTTTGTGTGTTCGTTCATTGTTTAGTTTTTTCCACTGCACCACATTGTTTTGCCATATTTATTTGGTTAATGTTTTTCTTTGTGCATTTGTGAAGATTTGAAGGAAAAAGTATATCTGCTCTGCAGCCGCCCACAAAAGTCTCGAAAGTCGGTGGTTCATCATGACACTAATCACTGATTAATCCGCAGCTTCAATCCGCCAGCAGCGGGCAACTCGGCGCAGAATTCGCAGATGGTACGCCGCAAAATCAGGCATCCCATGCGCCGCCTTCCGCCCCGGTAGAAATGGCATCGCAGTCGGCCTTCAAGATAGCAACTGCACATGCTGAGGCCGTCATCGGATTAAGATCAGGATTGGAGATGCCAGTGGGGGGAAAGCAGCAGGAGCAGAAGCAGGCGCGGAAGCGGAAGCCGAAGTCGATGTAAAGGAGGAGGACCCAAGGACCGACAGCTACAAGTTAAAGAGCCTGACCCAAAGACGAAGTCACCGGCTCAACGGGCAGAACCAGAATGTTGAGCTGGGACTGCACGAAGCACTTAAACAGCGACGCCAGCAGTGGACGCGACCGAACAAATACCGCTTTGTACGCAGCAGTGAGGCCGGATTTAGATCAACCAGGACGAGAGGAAGGCGGGAATCGACGGAACAGCAGCAAGCACCAGGAGTAGTTGATGGTGGTACCTCAACAGTGCCACTGCCATCCACATTTAGCAGGCAGCGAACAGCGACACGCAGCAAGTTCAACAGCACAGCGATCTGTAGGCCAACTGGCGACCAGGAAGACAGCCAAACGGGAGCAGCAGGAGCACCAGCAGGAACACCAGCAGCAGCAGCAGATGAAACAGCAAGTGGACATGTGCTTCGGAGTCGCTACAAGCTTGTGCGGCGCAGGAGCTGCGGCGAGGCGACACGACAAGCCTCTGACTGAGACCCTGAAACACCAGGATGAAACCAATCACAACCTGAGGCGGCGGATGATGAGGATGCGCGGATTACCAGGATACCGCACTAACATATAAATTACAATTACGAGTTAAACAAATTTCGTTGGTTTATTCAAAACGCAACTGTCGCGCCAAATAAATAGGTCGACTGTGTCTGCAGTTTAATATTGAATATATATTTTTTAATATTTTTTTGTTGAATATAATACTTAAACGATAATTATGTAATAATTATTTTTGTGAAAAATTGTAAAGAAACCGCTGCAACAGATGCGAAAAAAATAATATAGCGCAAAAACTAAACTACATTATATATACATATATTAAAGTAAAATGATCTGTTTAGACAATTTTCGAACGCAGAAGAGAGTGCTCAGCCGATGAGCTGAGAAGATAATGGTTGCAGCCAGAGACGTGTGGCGGTGTACGATTGCATTAAGTCTTAGTTTTTGTTATTGATTTTAGATTATATATAAAATACATACGAACATTGTGTTGCCCAGGGGAGTCCTTCAACAAACAATGTGCAGCAGCCAAGGTGGAAAGCCAACAAATTAAAGCAAACAACAACTATCTAGCAACGTAAACATACAAAACCTATAGCTAACAGATAACAGATAAGCAGGCGGGAATAGAAAGAGACAGGTGGCAAAGATCGAGATCGAGAACGGAACAGTTACGATTATTATGCATGTTTTTTATATACATATATTCATAAAAAACATTGAATATTTTATTATAATTTTAAATTGATCATGTTTAAGTCGATAACAGAAATGGAAATCAGAAGTCTTAATGTTGAGAGAGAAAAGGTATCATAATGTAAATAAGTAAATATATGCGGTATGATAATTTAAACCTTGATGTGCATTTATACTGGCTGGATAAATTAGCGGCGGGTGAAACTAGTGCAATTTTGAGTTTTGGGCCTAAAAGAAAAACACTGACACTTCACCTATACTTAAATAAAAGTATGCATGTTGAGATTATTTTTTTTGTAAAGTGGTTATTTAACGTCTTTTTCAAGTTTAAATTTAAAAAGGCACTTCCCCACAGTTAAACTCACCATACTCTGGTATTCTTTTTAGTATCTTCGATACTCACGAAATAATCGAGATTTTTCCACCTCCAGATCTGGCAGCGATAGTCACGAAAAAGAATCGATGTTTCTCCACCTCTATTTCTGGCATCGGCAATTATTTTCTTTAGTTTATTTTTTTGTTCCCCGAATCGCTTGTGCTCGTGCTGTCGCCCCAAAAGCGATGTGCTGACCATTGGAGCAGGCGACTCGCTGGAGGATTTGCAGCAGGATTCGTGATTTTCGATTTTTGATCATCAATCGCCGTTTCCCCAGTCGCGTCCGCTGCTATGCGTCTGTGTGCGTGCCCGTGTCCGTGCGTTTGCCTGTGTGTGTGAGCTAGTGAGATCGGGAAGAAGTTGTTGTTTTTGTTGCTGTCGCTGTTGTTGTTGCTGGAGTTGCCGTTGCCATCGTTTGTTGTTTGTGCATTTTCCATTGTCGGGCGAGCAACAACTAAAACAACAAAAACAAGAAAAAAGGGCGGTAAAAGGCCAGAAATTTGGAGCACGGGAAATCTGAGTCGTTGAAGATGTTCTCGAAGAAGAAAAAGAAACCGCTGATCTCGATGCCCAGCAATTTTGAGCATCGTGTGCACACCGGATTCGATAAGCGGGAAAACAAATACGTTGGCCTGCCGCTGCAATGGGCCTCGATTGTGGGCAACAATCAGATCCTCAAGTCCTCGAATCGCCCCTTGCCGCTGGTCGATCCCTCGGAGATTACGCCCACTGAGATCCTCGACCTGAAGACCATTGTGCGTCCGCATCACAACAACAACAAGGCGGACACCACCTCGCTCAACAGCAGCAGCACCATGATGATGGGCCCCATGGCTCCCAATCCCATGGCACCCGGTTCGCATGGGCTGATGAATCCGCAGGGCATGATGTTGCCACCAGAAACGGGCGGCATAATCCTGCCGAAGACCTCACATGTGGCCAGATCGAATTCGCTGCGGAGCTCCAGTCCGCCGAGAGTACGCCGGGTGGCCAATGTGCCGCCATCGGTGCCCGAGGAGGAAGGTCCGCCGTCGGCAGCTGGAGGTGGTCTTGGTGGCGGCGGCGGCAGTGGCGGCTTTAAGCCACCCGGTGCCCATCCCTCCCTGCTCTACACCAGTCAGCACGCCAATGGAGCAACCGGACCGCTGGCCGTGCGCACGGATCAGACCAACCTGCAGCAGTATCGCAGCAACCTGGCCATCCCGTCATCCGGCTCCATTCCCCACCAGCAGCAACAGCAGCAGCAGCAGACCTCGCCCGTCGGCTCGGTGGCCAGTGGCACGCGATCGAACCACTCGCATACGAACAATGGCAACAGCGGCAGCTATCCCCCATGTATCCCACAAGCCAACAGCAACAGCAGCAGCTGCAGCAGCAGGCCAAACAGGCCGGCGATCAGAACCAAAACCCCTTGCATCCGCACGCCCATCCGCACCAGCACCTGGCCAAGTCAGCATCGAGGGCCTCCAGTTCGAGCGGCGGAGCGAGCAGTGCTGCCCAGCAGGCGGCGGCAGGAGCGGCCGGTCAGCCGAAGCAGGACCAGCGCCTGACCCACGAACAGTTCCGTGCCGCCCTGCAAATGGTGGTCTCCGCCGGAGATCCGCGCGAGAACCTCGACCACTTCAACAAAATAGGCGAAGGCTCAACGGGCACGGTTTGCATAGCCACAGACAAATCTACAGGTAGGCACTCGGGTATCTAATCCTGTCCAGAAACTAAGAAGAGAATTGAATTGTTTACAGGTCGCCAGGTGGCCGTGAAGAAGATGGACCTGCGCAAACAACAGCGACGAGAGCTGCTCTTCAACGAGGTGGTCATCATGCGCGACTACCATCATCCCAATATCGTGGAGACGTACTCCAGCTTTCTGGTCAACGATGAGCTCTGGGTGGTGATGGAGTACCTCGAGGGCGGGGCTCTCACCGACATTGTCACCCATTCGCGGATGGACGAGGAGCAGATAGCCACCGTCTGCAAGCAGTGCTTGAAGGCTTTGGCCTATTTGCACTCACAGGTGCGTGACCAGCATGACACTGCTCCGAACCCCTCATTTCCCTTTGCGTTTTCCCCTCTTCCTCGCACTCTCCTCTTCCATTGTGCGATTGTCTGGCGCAAGTGGACAAGCACTTCTGGCTGTAGTCGCCATGCGATTCTTTGTGCCATTGCCTTGCCATTTGTGGCGCTTTCTTCGCCCTCCGCTTTCGCGTGGCTTTGGTTTCAATTTCTAAATGTTGTCACCAACAAAAGTCGTCGGCCGCACAGTGGGTCGTCTAGTCGCGTTACCCGCCCGAAATTCCGAGTGAAATCGCACGTGCATGCCCTACCCCAAAAGTACTTGTTGGGGAGATATGTAGTTATTTTATTTCTTTGTGTGTGAAAGAAAGATCTTCAACACCAGTAGAGTTTTGTTACTGGGTAAAATTCAGCAGTAGAATGCTGTGTTTTTTATAGGTAAATAGATTCAATTTTCGTTTTAAATATAGTTTTTATTTTGATTTATAAGATTGCATATGATTTTTAATAGTTTGAATTAGGATATGAACGCTTGAGGACCAACTTAAAGACGATCTATTTTGTTTAGCAAATAAACTACATTAAAGCTTCAGGAAGCAATATATATTGTGTCCAAATCAAGCAAACTGCTTAGCAATAATTTCTTATTTCAATTTCAAGGTCTTTAATCTATAAATTAATATCAAATCACGAAAAAGTTACAAGTGTAAAGGTATTAATTCGTTAACTAGAAATTGTAGAACAATATTGAGCATCCAAAATATAGGTAGTAAATTATTGCTTTGAATAAATTTGATGCATTCCATTTGAACTCAATGAAATCAAACATTTCTATCCAAATTTAAAGCATTTATTTAACGGCTAGAACCAGTTGGATGCATTTCCTAGGCGAGGGGAAGCCAAGTTGCCCGCAGCAGGGAGTTCTTTTTGGGCGTTGCACGGTGGGTAGCGCTGGTTTCTTTTGTGCACTTCTGTCCCACGTTGGCTCGTGTAATGCGATAAGTGGCTGGGAGAAAGGGCGTGTGGGTGGGGGAAAACCGCAAACTGTGAGCGCTTTTAACCAATTTCCTTTCTCTTCCTTTCCATGTCTCGTTCGGTGCTTCCGTTGGCCGAACAACACAGGGCGTCATCCATCGCGACATCAAGTCGGACTCGATTCTGCTGGCCGCCGATGGACGGGTCAAGCTGTCGGACTTTGGATTCTGCGCCCAGGTGTCCCAGGAGCTGCCGAAGCGCAAGAGTCTCGTGGGCACGCCGTACTGGATGTCGCCGGAGGTGATTTCCCGCCTGCCCTACGGACCCGAGGTGGACATCTGGTCGCTGGGCATCATGGTCATCGAGATGGTCGACGGCGAGCCGCCCTTCTTCAACGAACCGCCGCTGCAGGCGATGCGTCGCATCCGCGACATGCAGCCGCCGAACCTGAAGAACGCCCACAAGGTATCGCCGCGCCTGCAGTCCTTCCTCGACCGGATGCTCGTCCGGGATCCGGCGCAGCGAGCCACCGCCGCCGAGCTGCTGGCCCATCCCTTCCTGCGTCAGGCGGGACCGCCGTCGCTGCTCGTGCCGCTGATGCGCAATGCCCGACACCATCCGTAGATGGCGGCGGAAGCCCACACCCACACCGACACCCACAGGACGCCGACCAATCCAGAAGATTGGAGAAGCAAACAGCAAACAAAATGAAATGGAACACATTCCCTAGCCGTGGGCATCCATCGATCGAACTCTAGTATTAACATTCAGTTTGGCAACTGTACTTATTCCCGAAACCCCCTCGAAACGTTGTAAAGTCATTTAAGCCAGCACACCCACATTTTAGCCACCATTCCCACAAACGAACACTCGAGGTTTCCGAAGAGAACGCAATGTGCCTTTCACCCGCCTCAAAACAAAATAAAAAAAATGGAAGAATCGCATCCAGAACATCGTTCGGAACGAGATCGATATACATATAGCATTTATCTGCCCGAGGACCGAAATCGGCCCTTTGAACACATTTATATATATGATAATTTCTGCATTTTGCTCTCTCTTCTTGTCAATATTAATTTGTGTGTGCGCGTGTTTGATTTTTTTTAACCAGCCCATAAACATTGTTCGAATATATATACGCTAAGAGATAATGTTAAAAATCTATATATATATATAAACACATATATTTTTTATAAAAACAAAACGTAGCCCTAAGTAAAGCGAAACAACGAAGGTGTGAATCGAAAAGAGACGGAAGCGTTGGCGCCGAAAACGAGAGAGAAAGAGATAGTTGAAAGGGCATTCGAAATGATTTGGACATATCTTTAGGGCCTAAAAAACAGTTACAAAGGCCACGTTAATGCATCTGATACATAACTGTGTGACATGTTAACTCTTCAGACCAACTATACATACATATAAACTCATTCCCGATTTCGAAAATATTTTAGATCTTTTAGCTTACATTCTTTGTTCTGTTTTTTGATTAAACCCGTGTAATTATTAATTAATGAATAAACATAAACGCAAAAATGTTCGATATTGTTGTTTTCATTTGACATTAAATGTTGCTCAAAATATTATTTCTATTCAAACTTGTGGAAATACTGATCAAAAATTCGAAAAATGTTGATATCTTCAACAATTTTCTGGTTATCCTTGATTTTTAATGCTGCAGTGAATATTCAAAAACTTAAGTCAAATGCAAATGTTATTTTTTACTTTGTTTTTATTATTGGTTGATTGATTGATTGATTGGTTGATTGATGGTTGTGAAGAATACATAATTGTGCCCGTGCAAATGGCCGCCTATATATTCGCGAAATATATATGCGTATTCATCGCGGACATGGAGGATGGGGCTGGCTCTAGATAGTGGGCGTGGTCGTGGTCGTGAGAGTGTGTGTGTGTTTGTGTTTGTGTGTGCGCGTGTGTTTTGTTTACAACATAAAATTACAAATATATTACATACACAAAAAATCAATTGCGAACTAAGAACTAAAGGGCAGATCGGGCTGCCACATAGCTAGCCATATGATTCGAAGGGGGAGGCCAGGGGAAATGGAGGGGGGAAAGGGGGCTGGGTGTGGGGTGTGGGTCACATTCCCGCTTAGTTGCGCTTCCGCAGGGCCAGACGACCGATGGGACGCTTGGGCTTCGACTCCTCCTTCTGCTGCTGCTCCGACTCCTCGGCGGCGGCATCCTCCACGGCTTCCACGGGCGTCGCCTTCACGGTCTTCGACAACTTGCGACGGCTCACTGTGAAAAAAATACAAATTAGATCTCCAAATTCTAAGAAATCAATCTGAGAAGTAATGGTAGCCTTTCTTTTGGTTCTTCAGAAAATTTCATTCTAAACATATTTTATCCTCACAATATTTCCCATATGGGGAAAATATATTCCTATCAAATATCACCTAACCGAAGTAAAATATTGTTCAAAAATTTTTATAGAAATAGCAACAAATTAAAGGATTATAAATAATAAACAAGTCTTGGAAATGTTTGTTGTATTGATCTGATTGGTAAAGTTTATCTTTTATGTTTTAAAAATACTTACATTAAAAAAGAATTGAGAAATTAAAATACTTTATATGATAAATATCCTCTGAAATATACTTATTTGGGGATGAAGCAGAAATCAGAAGGGTTTCAACACACATTATCTTTATAGTATATTTTAATTAATATTAATATTTTATTTTTACTTTAAGAACTTCTTGAAATGGTTAAACATTTTTTGTGGTACCTTCCTTTTTTCCCTTTCTTTCTATTTTTTTCTAAGGAATCTTAATTCATTCCCAGACTCTACTTACATGCCGAGTTGCCCTTGTAGCCCTTGGCGGGACTGGCTGCGGGGGCGGGGGCGGGCGCGGAGGCGGGCTCCTCCTGCTCGCCGGAGCTGGACTCCTCGCTCTTCTTGGCCGGCTTGCTGGGACTCGGGGGCTTCTCGGCGCGATGCTTCTTGGCGTTCGCCTGGCGGCGCTTCAGCGAGTTGAGGAAGTCGTCGTTGGAGCGGAACGGCCGGATCACCGGGCCGACCTTCTTGGGCGCCTCCGTGGTGGTGGTGGTGGACGAGCTGGCGAAGGCCGCCTCGTCGCCCTCCCTCGCCATGGTCGCCGTGTTCGCCGGCCTCCTCGTCGTACTCCTCGCCCTCGCCGCCGGCGTCCGCTGGCTGTGGCGCCGCTGTCGTCGTGGTGGTCACCTTGGCCGCCTTCCCAACGGGACGGCGCAGTGCGGCGATCCTCTTCGCCGGCGAAACAGCCGGACCACCATCCTCCTGGGCGGAAACGAGGCCGTAGCACAGGACGCAGACGATGAAGAGCAGGCAGCTGTAAAGGTAAATATTAAAATATTATTATTGCATAAATATTATTATTAATATATGGTTTTGAAACTTATAAGATCTTAAAACAGGTAAGCAAATTCAAAACACTTGTCTATATACTTTTTAGTTTTGTTTCAAAAGAAATGAAAAATAAATATAAAGATTCTCGTTTTGTTATTTATTTTAAAAATTCAAAGATATAGATTATCATAATAATAATGTTTAAACTAAACTGATAGAAGCTTAACTTTATTTATTATTTATAATAAATTGTAAGATGCATGTTTTAACACGGAATCTGAACACCTACAGAATTGCATAAAGTTTTCTTATAACAAAATTTAACATAGGCGTATTATTTCCGACTTTTATGAATATTTATTTCCTGAGTTTTTTTTTGAATCTACTTATTAGAAATAAAAAGTGAATATTCCAAAAGTACATTTCTTATTAGAAAGTGTTCGGAATTTTAAAGTTGAATGCACAGTTAAACCATTTAATTGCACATGCCCCCTTCTAATACTAATTTAGTGGTTTTTCATTCAAATTTTACAATAATAAATTTGGACTAACTGGCGTATTATTCCCAACGAACCAATAGGTTCAATGTTTTAATAATTGCCAGAATCGACTGGTAAATCTGGAATTGTCAAGACTTTGAAAGTAATTTGTAATGCAATACAGTGTAGAGGTGGCATTTATTTATGGGTAAACGTTAGGTAGCAAAGGGACCTTTTGGCTCGACGTTAACTGGCTTTGGACGGGATTCAGAAGTGGTGGAGCTGGTGAATCCCCCGGCAAGGTTGCCCAACCACGCATCTAATCCTCGTGACTTCCAGCTCGAACCCAACTCTCGAGCAATCACCAAAGTCTGGTTGGACGGGTTATTCAATACAGAACCTGAAGTCGTTAATATTGTGTACATAAACATGTACCCGCCCCTGCACATACAGTAAAGAAAGGTTAACAGAAACTTGGGAACATAAATCAAGTGGAATCAGCCTAAATAAGCTGTGTGTATAAAAAAAAATAGGTTCTTGATTTTAAATTCAATTCAAATCTTCTAATAATGTTAATAACTCGCTCACAATTAAATTAAATTTAAATGAAGAAACTCTTATATTATCTTTATTGAAAGCAATTTTAGGTTAGCCATTGTCCATCAAGCGGAATGAAAATTAAAGTGCTAACTTCAAAAATATTTAACAGTTTTATCACATTGATCTTTACATTGATATTTATTTTATATCGTTAAATATAGTTTTAGAGACGAATAACCACTGTTTATGGACCTGAGAAACCTTAGAAAAGTAGTCGCCTGCTGAATGTCATTCGGTTTTCCTGTAAGATTTGTTGTTAGTTGTTTCATGTGGCCCGCTGACGGAGGACGGACGGAGATGTGCTAACAAATATTAATGTGTAAAGGTCAGGCAAACGGGTTTGTTCACTTTCGATTTCGATTTGGATATGGATTTCGCTTTAATGCCGAATTCGAATGCGAATGAATGTTGCTCTGTTTCTGCTTGGCTTCTATGCCAGTTTTGTTTTTGTGTTTTCATTTAACTTTTTTGCCTTTTTTTTAAGTCTATTTTTTGTTTTTGTTTCGGTTTTTTTCTTCTCCTTTTGGTTTTTGATTTTTTGCCGCGACTTCAGTGAGTCAATTGCTAATATTTTATGCAAAACAAAAGACTTAGGCAGCGAACTCGTTTTGAAATTCTTTCCTAGCGATGTTGAAGTTGAGTGTTTTGTTGTTGTTGTTGTTGTTGGAAAGGGGGTGGTCTGCTAAGGGGAGTGGCGGGGGGGGGGCGGCCAAAGGAGACAGGTGCTTATGCAAAAGGCAGCCAGCAATCCAAGTGGGAAACCAGTTGGCAGCCAGCACCACGCCAGAATAAATTTAAGTGCGCGCTCACACTGCAGTTGGCAGTTGGCTAATAACGGTAAAATGTGCAAGCCAAGTTTTATTTTTAGCCAACGCCGTTGTTCGTATTTTGCATTTCATTTTATTTGCATTTTATTACTCTTGCGCTCTTTTACTTTGCATTTTACCCATGCTGCATTTTCCCCCCTCCCACCAAATGGGATTTATTTGCTTTTTGGGGTCAGCCGATCGGATGACTTGGTTATCCACGGATCGGTGGATATGGATGGCGGATGGCCCAGTTAACCGCCGGATTATGCAACCGGTAAAGGTGAAAGGCGTGGGCTCGATTTGTGGGTGCGTGCCTGGCATCTCCAACTCTCCAATGGCTCTGCTCCCCCATCTGAAATTTTTTTGCGGCCAAAATCATTGCCCGCCATCAGAGGCGTGCCCAGAAATATTTCCGAGGGGGTTAGGCCCATGATTTTCCAATTTTCACTGTGTTTTGCATTCGTAATAGGTCACGATTTGCATATTAGAATGAAAAGCCTACTTTCTATTTCCAGAAAAAGTCCGGTTTGCCTTTTCGTCATTATTTTTTTTAAAGTTTTTTAGACATTTCTAATATAGTAATAATTTCCAATTAATTCTGCTATGGAAAACATTAAGAACAAACATTGTTTTATTGTTTTAAAAATATTTAAAAAAAATTTTAACAAATTTTCATTCAAAATTGTAAATTGAATTCTTTTTGGGATCTGGTTTGTAAGAAATACATTAAATAAGTAGAAATTCGAGAGCTTAATATAATTAAAAGTGAAAGAATTCAAAACTGGACCTTTAGTTCTATTTACTTTTTATGACCCAGGAAAGATACACTATGCCTCATTATTTTGTAATCTGACTAGAACTTTAAACCAATAACTACAATAAGAGCCTTTGATGACTTGCTATATTCGACTTAGACTTTGTCACGGCTCCAGCTTCTATATATCTGCAGTTATTAATTACTGCACACTTCGACTTTGACAGCAGTCAAGTGAATTTGGCCTGTGTGGGATTTCATTTCAGTTCCCAGAAGAAGTGTCGCCAGGCGTTGGTTTCTAAGCGCAGCCACATGGATGGGCGACTTTTGAGTCTGAGCATGACATTTGGCTAGGGCTCGAGCTTCTTCGCAACCGGTTTGCCATTGTACTCAGTATCGTGTGTTGTGTTGGCCAACGGGAACGGGAACGATCGCAGACACTGGCAGATGCCAGTCCGCACCCACAACCATTCCACCGACTGCTAGACTGGTGGACTGGTGGACAGGTGGGTTAGGTGGGTTAGGTACAATGGGGCTTCAGCTCAGCCGAAGTGCTTGAGCATTTCTAGCCGTGGGCCTGTTTGTAAAAAGCGTCTCCTTAGTGCCATCGGTTCCAACGGCTGTCAGCCGGTTATATAAGCCGACATTAGTTGCGAATTTATGATAAGCATCGCGTTGGCGAGAATTTCGGCGGGGCAGGCGGAACCACTTATTTAATGCAGCCTCATCTCCATCATCGCCATCTTCCTTGAGAGCTTGGTCAACAAATTGGTTTGGCTCTTAATTTATTTCACTTCATTTCGCTTTTGTTTTCTTTCGTTCTGGCCCTGTATTTGTTTTTACTTTAAATATATTCCTACTCTTTTTTTTGCACCACTTTGTCGGCTCATGGCTTTCTGCTTCTTTATTTGACTTAATTTGATGGCGTCATTGGGCCTACTGCGGATATGGTAACGAAAACCACAGTAGAACTTCCATAACTTAAGGCTTCAAATGGCGGAAGTTGGTGTTTTTATCTTCAATTCGTTTATTTTTAAATAAATTTGTTAAAACAATGAATTTGAATTTAAGTATGTGTTTAACAATTCACTTGGAGTGGCATTTGCATACATTTAAGTTTTTAATCAATGCGAATTAAATTGAGTTGTATTAAATAAATTGAAATGAATAAATTAAAATTGAGTGTTTGATGTAATCTAATCTCTATAAGATTAGAAAATAAAGTATTTTTTTTTTTAATGATTTTCTTAATAATTACTTAAGGCCACAAATTTTAAGAATTTTAACTTGAAAATAATGGAACTAAAATTTTTTAGTTAATTAACTGATTTCAACAGAATGTCAATGTCAATTTTGCGCAAAGCTCTGATTGATTTTAATGCTGAGGAACTGCATTTCGGTTGCTTCCAAACTCTTGGCAAACCTATTACTTTTTTAATGAGATTTTCAATGATGTCTGCGTCTGGTTTTCAGTTCCTCGAATCGTTGATCTTGAGCTGGCGGCATGAGGTTTCCAATCGATTAGTCAGTTGGCTGGCTGTCGAGTGCGACACCTGCCCCAGTTAAACCATGCACGTTTTCTAATTGGTCTGGCGCCCTCATTACGCGCTAACTCCCCCTTTTGCCCCCCGTAACCCCTTCCCCATCCCCTTTGCCACCTCCAGCGATATCATACATATGTGTAGCCACTTATTACAGGCCAAACGTGCACATTCGACACCGAATCGGATTCAAATTCGAATTCAATTTGATTGTAACTACTTTTATTGCTGCCGTTGGATCAAGTTGAATCGAATGAAGTGAAGTGAAGTAGAGTTGGTTTCTTGGTTGGTTCAAAATTAAGGCGAAAAAAGCCAAGTGGCTTAAGGCAAGTGGGTTCAATAACGGTGCATTGTGTCGCTGTTAGTTGGCCAAGTACGTGTTTTCAGTTTTGTTGTTGCCGCTTTTGCTGGCTGCATGCCAAATCGAGCGAGTTCGCTGCCTAAGTCTTTTGATTTGGCCCAGAGTGGTGTTTATGTTTTTGTGTTTCTTTTATTTTTTTTTTTGCGTTTGTCTCGCATTGAATTCTCTTTGGCCTACGAAGTGCATATTAGTCACTCACATTGCCAATTTAGAGACTTCAAAGTCCTTGAATCTTGGATCTTGAAGGCATCGCCGCGCATTTTGTTTATCTATATTTAAATATATACAAATTGCATAATGCGGCAAAGGCGAAAATCCTGATTTTGCCGTCAGCCTGGCGCCTCCACCTCTCGAGTGATTAATTCCCGCATACAACGCGGCGATTAACACACATATAAATATGCATGCATATGTTTATATGGATATATGAACATATGGAAATGTATATATGTGTTGTACACATATATTACACAGCCGAGCCGAGTGGTATTGCATTTATGCGGCGATAAATGCAGGCAGATATGCGGTGTGAGTGCGGTCTGTCTGTCAGCTCGCATTAAAAATGCAACCGTTAATTTATATGACAACCACAGCAGCAGGCACGTCTGGTAATTAATCCAATATACTTAATTTGTTGCAGCTGCGGAAAGTCCACAAAAGTGGAGCTGCCGAATGGCGAGGGGCGAGCGGCGAGGGGCAGGGGGAGGGGAGTTTGTCTTTAGAAAGAGGAGCCACATCAGCCGGCGACCTTGAAACATTGTCACTTCTTCTCTCTTTCCCAATCGATCTCGCCATAAAAGGCGAGTTAACTTTGCCATTTCTTTGCCGGCAAAATGCCAACCTCAAATCCCGTGACAACTTCATCAGCCACCGTGATTATCACCACCATCATCATCATCATCATTGTCGCCACCGTCATGATGATGATGGTGATGACCAAACTTTGGCATTTGCGGCTTCGCTTTTTAGCAGCTTAGTTCCAGTTTCTAAGCGGCGGCGTGTTAAAGTTCAAATTGGCATTAAGCCGAGCTAACTTACACCTGCATGTGGTCGTGCCCCAAAAAGGTTGCAAGTCAACCTGCAACATGCAACCGAGGCGATTGCCAATGCATTTCGACAGTTGGCAACAAAGGTAGAGTTTTGTCCAAAAAAAAAAGCAAGAAAAAACCAAATTCAATGCGAAAATATCCTTTATAAGATTGAGGAATAAATAATCATTTATAATCATAGCACCTTTCCAAAAACTACTCATTTAACATAGATTTCATTCAGATCCATTAAAGTATTGTTATACAAAGCAAAACAAGCATTTAAAGTCCTTAAGATACGTAAACCTCGTTTCAGATTTTTTAATATTTAAATCACCACTAAAAAAAAAGGTTTTCTCTTCACAATATGGTTTAAAAAAAATCGTATATATGGGTTAATATTTACGGATCACTCACATGTTGAAGTACTTCATTTTGTCTTGTTGTGTGTGTGTGTTTTTTGTGGGGGTTCTGGACCAAAAAATAAAAAAAGAACTCGAGGCGCGCGCGTCTTAAGCTTAAACTAGAAAAAAAACACTTGGATGCTCTTTTTGTGGACGGGGGAGACGAGGGTTACGGCTATTTTGCTATCGAGCGGAACTGACTGGCCACGATCACGATCGACTTCTAGAGACAGACTGAACGTTACTTATGCCGTGTGCACACAGTTAACCTACGGCCATCCAATATTTTGTGGCAGCGACGGAGACTTCGACGGAGGCTTCGACGGAGACTGCGGCGCGGCAGCGGCAGTGGCAGCGGAGTGGCAGCGGCCGAGCAACAGGTTCAGACCGCCCTAGCCGAACCGCCTGCACCGCCAGCACCGCCGTGGCCACCGCCTACTCCTCCACCTTCTACTCCTCCTCTTCCTCCGCATCCACCTCCTCGTACTTCCCCGCCTCTCCAGCCGCGCCTTTGCTTAAGCTCTGCCTCTGCACGGAAAGAAAAACTTTGAAATAACAAGACCAGCTGTCCCTGGAAAAAATCACCCATCTGATCATAATCCAATCTTGATAAATACATATATGTATATAAATAGATGCGTTATTTACAGGATATATGTATTATATATAGAGGAAGATAAGTAGAGAAAGACATACGAAGCTAATATAATATATTCAAAAGACAAGAATCTATAAAAAAGTCAACATTTATTAAGATGTATATGGTAAACAAATTGTTAACAAAATCAATCAAGGAAAGGGATGGATTTTCTATTATTATTCAATAAAATAAGAGTGAAAGCAATATCGGAATAAACATTTACATTTATACATTTATTTTACATTTATTTTTATTGTAATGTAATTGTGAATTGAAAATAATCCAAGACTAAGGATACGTGTTTTTCGAAATAGGATTTAATTAATATCCTTACCATTTACCTTTCTTAACATAATTTCTGCTTTCAACTTCATTCATATATATTTTCTCCTACGAAAAATGCATTTTTAAATTCAGCCTTGAAGGAGAAGCTTTAAATTGTGACCATATTTAAATTAACCTAATGCCAGGGAAAAAGGCTTTTCAAATTCTTTAAAGCATAATTTTAAATTTAACTTCCCCTACTTTATTTAATAAACTAATCAGAATTTAAATGAAATATTTGAATATCTGTTGATTTTTTTCTGTGGGCCCATGCGCCTCGATGGCCGATCTATGCTGGCTGAGAGTGCAGGAGTACTTCTGGTTTTTCGGAGCCAATTTGTCACGGGCCCGGGCTCTGGTTATGACAGGTTTTTCGAACCCAATCCAATCCACTCCACTCCACTCCACTCCGAGCCAAGCCAAGCCAAGTCGGGCCAACCAAGTCAAGCCAATCCAATCCAAGACGACGTCAAAGCGACGTCGACTCCGACGCCGTCCGTCGTCCGCCGTTCGCAATTTGTATATTTTATTAATTAATTTATTGATTTTAGGCCAATTGTTGTTTTGGCTCTTTGCCGATCTGGTAAATCCCGATCGGGCGACCCATCTCCTTTCCCCAGAGCCCCGCAGCCCGAAAGCCCAGGGCACATCTGTCCCGCATGTAAATCTCGTGGTTTGCGATTAAAAGTCAGCCAAAGAAACTCAAAACAACCTGGTGAGGGATCAGACGAGTCAGCCCTCATCGAAAATCAAATACCCTTGATTGAATACCTCCCTTTTTCTGGTTAGCAAACCCTTGTTTACTTAATTCTTCAGAAAGAAGTGCAATCTAATCTTAAATAAGTCCAGTTTTTAGTAATGGGAAACAAAAACAATAAATTGGATGTATTCAAAAATATATACATCAACCTTATGACTAAAACTATTATTAAAAATATCTAAACAATAAAAACTTTTCAACAATTCATATTTTTTTTAAACTCAAACCTCTTTTTTATTAAATTTTTAATCCTGTTTTAAAACTAAGATCCGAATTCTCTACACATTTCCTTCATTTTAATGTGTCTAACACCCGAATACAATATTTGAATACTGTAAAACCTGTAAAATTAAGAACAAAAACAAAACTCGCTATATTGAAATTTGTTCTTTGTTAAATTTAAGTTTTTAACATTAAAATCGAATTGCAAAGGCAGTTTGCAAAACCTTGGATAGCCAATAAAGTTCTCTATTATAAAGACTTCATTTAAATAGTAATGAATAGAATACTACGTAAATGACGAAATGACGTTTTTATTCATCCGGAAATCACTGTGAATGCATTTAAAATTTTATAGTGACACCAGGTGGAAGAATCCCAATCCGCAGACCATAAAATCCGCTTAAAATCCATCTCGAAGTAAGACGGCCTGAACCAATTCAAGGTATACGTATGTATGATGGTTCCAAATTAAAAAGCTGTAAAGAAATATTTATGCATATTTTGTGGGTTCGCCGCGGCCTTGAACTGATTGGCCAGGGGTGGAGTTAAGGGACGGGGCGGAGGGGGAGTGACGTCCGATGTCTGAAAACTGAAGACGGTTAAATGGGTGACAAAGATGATGGGCGCTAATTAATCTTCCACACACCCAAGCTTAACGATCGCTTTGAACTCTTGCAGATGTTCTGCGACCAGGTGTTGATTTTTTGTCGGCCGAAGGGGGCGTAGCGCTTTATGGGCGTGGCCATGCTAATTAGCTCCAAAGCTCCCGCAGCGGTCTGGCCAACTCACCTTGAACTACAAAATGTCAGCCAAAATGCCAAAAAAAAAAAAAAAAAAAACAGAAACAGAAAAAAAAAGATAAAATAAAATAAAAAAAATTTGAGAAACAGATGGGAATTATACAGAGACAACGCAATGCTGCAAAGCATAAACCAGAAACTAGTTGAAAAATATTAATAAAATATGCAGCCGGGGACAATGGCTGCCCATTTCCATCCCAGTTCCATTAAGATCCAATCCAAATGCAAATGCAAATCGGCATGCAAATGGGGCTAATGGACCCAAAGACTCCGACACATTTCGATGCCTATCACGTATTTAGGGGCCAGATTAATGACCCAAATAAGAGGCGGTTTTAAGAGCCAGTTTTCACGAAGTTTTCTCGTTTAATCAGACTTTTCATTGGGCTTAGCCTAGTTAAAACTCTATTTTACAAACAAATATATCCGTTATACGTTATGCGGCTAGAAATTGCTTTCGATTCCTGTTGATTGTTCCGATAAGGCGATTTTACAGTCTCATCGTTCGTATAGTATAGTATATTCTGCTGCTCCAGAAGATCTATGATATGGGATAATGAACACAAAGAAACCAAACCAAAGCAAACCGAAAAGAAATCAAATAAATAAAAAACAGAAAACAAATGAATACTGATTTTATACACATTATCGTTTTATTTACTTGACGCCTGCAATTCCATTTGGATGCCAGTCGATAAGAATCGAGGACAAATGCAATTACAGACGTGGTTAAACTAGAGAGTACAATTAAACATAAACGTAATACGAATGATCATCATAATAATAGTGCAAATAAAATACAAAGTTAGATGAAAGCAGCACTTTGATTTCACAATCAAAGTCCGAGCTTTGCGGCCGATTTGCAAATATCGATAGACGATTGGCGATTAACAATAACCGACTACCGAACGTTTAAGGCCGGCCAGAACTTGAAAATATCGCTATTATCGTTAATTTTTGTTTTAAATGCAATTCGCTGGCGCCTTTCACTCTGTACACTCTGTAAAAACAAACTACTCAAGATTACAGAAACTCAAAACGGGTTCGAACTCATAATTAAAATCAACATTAATGGAATACAAATCATACAAATTGTCGAGTGCTAAGCTGCTGCCGTTTCCGTTGTCGAAATAAATAATTTGCTTAGCTTACAACTAGAACATATTGGATATTTAATACTTAGACGTAGCCTTTTACACACAACTCGGTGTCGCATCTTTCATTTCGTAAAGTTAGGTGTACCGTACTTTGCTTCACATCAGTTTAGTATAGTTTATAGTTTCGGTTCGATTCATGTTTCGCTCTGTCCTTGGCTAGAGACACTCTATTCCGTTTTCGTTTTCGTTTCCGTTTCCGGTTCCCATCGAGTCTTTCTTCGTTTTTTTTATGGGATAAAATTAGAAAATTTAAGAATACAACTCTTATACAACTTCGAGGTTTTAATTTCGTTTTGCCTCTGAGGCAAAGTGTTTGCAACCTAAAACCGATTTGGAATCGGAACTGGAAACTGAAACAGGACAGCATATTTAGTTTGCTTTTAAGTAACTGATTGATATTCGCTTTCCCAGCGCTCCTTCTTGTACACGTTAATCTACTATATATATTATGTATGTAAAAAAGAGTGCTCATTAAATGGAATACAAGTTAAAGCTTTGTAAAGTGGCTTTAACTTAGTTCTGGTTTGTTGATTGCTCGGTTCGTTTTTGTTGTCAGCTGGCTTGTGGCTTACAGGATATGCTCTTGGGGAAGTTAACATATATATTAACGTATATATCTCTATGTCTCTACGAATATATTGGATAGCTCTGTTCATGGTTATTTGTTATCTTCTCCCCGTCTCGTCTTACAACTAAGAACAACGTTTGGCCAATCGGATTCGCTACACAAGAACAACAAGTTCGTATATATATATACGTTATATATGCATATAAATATATATATGTGTAAAAAAAAAGTTCTTACAAGGCATCGGGGTGCAAGGGGGAGGCCACTGAAGCATCTCCCCTGTTGCGCCAAGGATTCACTTAACTAAGTACAGCTCTCATCATCGTTGTGCTGAGCGCGTTGACAGAATACAATCGCAATCGCAATCGCAAGCCATGGGGAATACCATATCGTATTTATATTTATATATAGTATATAAAGTACAGCGACGCGACACATCCACGGTTTATCTGACCCGCCTGACGTTGCCACTGCTCATCTACGTTCCTCACCATTCACCATTTCGGTTCGATTTCGGTTAGGTAAGCGTTAAACGAGTTGCATTGGCTTTACATATTCTTTAAGATACCGTTTAGTATTAGTTTTTGTTTTTGTTTTAGTTTTAGTTTCAGTTTAGTTGTAGCTTGTAAATTACTCAAAAAATATTTGTAGATTACTGTAGCATGTATGTTGTTGTTGTTTTTAAGGGCGTTAATTAAAGATAGTAGTTGCAGTTGTAGTTGCCATTCAATTAGCAGTTGCTCTCTCCCATCTTTCCTCCCTAGATCAGTGTATCGGTTAGCATATAGCATATAGCTTTAGTTTCGTTGGGGCTGGAGGCTGAAAGCTGCTGCATGGCCTGTGGCATGTGGCATCTTGGATCTGGGATCGACTCACATCGGCGGCTGGCGTTCATTTCAGCGATGAATTTGCTGGCAGCGTGGCGGAGCGTTGCACATTCACCGGATACGGCTTGTAGGAGGAGCGCGTCGATTGGCTGCCAATTCGTTTCGAATGATGAATTATGGTTTATGATGATGATGGTGATGATAGTGATGATCATGATGTTGATGATATAGTGGTGATGATGATTTGTTGGTGGTTAGCAGCGACAGTGGGTGGGAAGAGAGAGAAAGAGAAATACCAATCGAGATTAGAGACACACGCACAGACACGGGGAACACAAAAGCCGGGGGATTTTCGGGTTGGGATTGCCACACTTAGTTGGTTAATTCGGTTAGTAGTGGGTTGGTTGGTTGGCTGGTTGCTTGGTTGGCTTGGAAACACATTTGGACTGCTGCTGACGACCGGGCAACGTCAAGGGCTTAGGTCCTGAACCTCCTGAACCTGGTGCTGGTTTACCTGGGCGATATCTTGCTGCCATCGGTGCTGTTGTTGTTCGACGAGTTGGCCTTGTATCCACTCTTTTGGATACGCTTCTGCAGGCGCGCCACCCACAGCGACTGCTCCTCGGGCGTGGCGGCCAGCAGCAGCATGTCCCTGGCGCTGCGCGGATCGTGGTTCAGCTTGCAGGGCGCCAGTGGGTCGTGCTTGTCCACATGCTCCTTGTGAATCTTGTTGCGGCATCTGCAAAAGGAGCAATAGTTTGAATAAGTGGAAGTTCAGCAAATAATTTAAGGAGTATGTTAGAAAAATATATGTAAATACAATTGATAAAGTTACTAGTTCATATCTATCATTGAGTCATAGCATATAGTTTAAATGAATTGGAGTTTATCTAGTTCATTAATCATACAAGAAAACGATAAGCAATTACATTTCATAAAGCTACTTATTCATAACTAAGTGAATTCTATAACATATAAGTCTGATTATTAGAAATAATTGTTTGTGAGAACGTAATTTCTTTAAATAAGCTAGAATAGGCTAACTATTGATTAGGGATTTCCTATATCCACGAATTCTACTCGCAGACTAACCTCTTGCATTCGTAAGCCGCCGGCGGCTTGAACATGTGCCACAACGGCTTCGGGCACACCTCGCAGGCCGTGGGCATGTGGTAGGTGATGTGGACGAACTCGTGACCTGTGCAAAGAATATAAATGGGTTCAATAGGTTCAAAAGAAATGAGAGTGCCAGGATAGTATGTAGACTTACCCTTGTGGACAATGGTGCCCGGGCGCTCCTCGTTGCTGTTGCCGTGCAGCACGCTCACGTCCAGCTGACTCTGCTCGTCGGGACGATGGGAGGCGCCCTCGCCGGCGTAGAGCAGCTGGAAGATGCGCGGAATCTCTTTGGCATCGGCGCGAATGACATCGCCCTGAGTGACGCTGCGGACATGGTACACTTTGCTGCAGGAGCACAAGAACAAGTATATTAGCAAGGGATTGGAATAATAGGAAATCATTTGAGGGTTAACCACATGAAAAGAGAACACACTTATAAAGTCAGGAACAGTGATTTAAATACTTTAAATCTTTACAATCTCTTTTGTGTGATTTACCCGCTCTTGAAGTCCAAACTGCCACTTACCTCAGGTCCAGGATGAGCACGGCATCCGTGGTGTTGTGCTTGTCAATGTCCGAGTTGTAGAAGATGATCTTGCGCGAGGAGACGATGACGTACTGCCGCTTCCAGCCGTGGCCACGCCGCCGGTTCTGCTTGTTGGGCACACTCAGCCAGCCCTCGAAGACCGAGTCCTGTGTGAGGGAGAGCAGAGAGGAGTGCTACAGCGGAGTGGAGTGGTGTGGAGCGGAGTGGGGTGGAGCGGAGCGGACGGAGCGCGTGGTGTTTGTCAGAGACAGTGTGGGTTTGAGTGTGAGTGTGAGTGTTCAGTGTGCGCCGGCTACTACTGGCTAAGATGCTCACCTGGCTGTCCTCGGGATCGTTGTCCGCCGACGAGAGCGACGCCGTCTCGTTGAGCTTGCTCTGGAGGTGCTCGATCTCGGTGGCCTTGCAGTCGATCTCCATGACCATCTTCTGCTTGAGCTGCTGCTCCTCGGCGTGCTGCTGCTGCAGGTCCTGGTACTTGACCAGCAGCTGGTTGAACTTGTCGCGCTCCTGCGACAGCTCCTGCTGCAGCCGGCGCATCTCCTTCTCCTTCTTCCGCAGCTCCGCCGTGGAGCGGGCCTTGTTCTTTTGCTCTGAAATGGAAATGATGTAAGTGAAGCCTCCTTTCAGGGAATGGATAGAGAAATACTACTTACTGGGCAGGTCGGAGTCGCGTCGGTTCATCACCTCGGCCAGCTTGTTGACCGCCACCTGCTTTAGCAGCACCTCGTTCTTGCACTTCTCGAGGAGCTTGTTGATCTCCTCGTCCTTGCTGCTGCGCAACAGCGACAGCTCCTCCTGCTGCTTCTTGTGCTGCTGCACGAGATCCTCGCACTCGACGCCCTTCTGCGACAGCTTCTTGTGCAGCTCGATCTCCGCCTCCTTGAGCCCAGCCAGTGCCGCCTCCTTGGCGTTGATCTCGTTGCGGTGCTTCATCACAAAGTCCTTCAGCTCCAGCTCCTTGATGGTCTTCTCCTTCTCGAGATCGGCCACCGTCTCCTCGGCAATCGACCGGGCCAGCGCCTCGGAATCGGCACGGGCAACGGCCACTTGGACCTGGTGCTTCAGCGAGACGCGCTCCTCCTCGAGATCCTCGATCTTGACCAGCCGCTCGGCGCTCTCCTCGCGATTCTCGTTCGCCTGCGTCTTGTACAGCCGCGAGAAGCACTGCTCCGCCTCCAGTTGGGCCTGCAGCTCCCGGTTGTTGGCCAGCGCCTCGTGGTGGGTGCTCTTCAGCTGGCCAAGATCCTCCTCGAAGCGCCGCTTGGCCTCCCGCTGGGCGGCCAGCTCCTTCTGCAGCTGGTTCTCCCGCGAACGCAGGTGGGCCACCTCCGAGCTGTGCAGGCTGAGCTCCGAAAGCAGGGCGTTGCGCTTGCTGTGCTCCTGGTCGAGCTGCGACTGCAGGGCGGCCACCTTCTCCGACTCCTGGCGGCACTCGCCCTCCAGCTTCTGCAGGCGCAACTGGATCTGGCGGTAGTCCACCGAGAGCATGCTCAGTTGGCGCTCCTTCTCCTGCGAATGCTGATCGGCCTTGATGCGGGCGGACTTCTCCTCGTTGAGCTTCGACTGCAGGGCCTTCACCTCCTGCAGATTGGCCTCCTCCCGCGAAACGAGCCGCGACTTCTCCGTCTCCTGGTGGGCCTTCACCTCCTGCTGGTAGCGACCCTGGGCGGCCTTCAGCTCGAAGTCGAGGCCGGCGTGCGCCTTCTCCAGGTCGCTGATCTTCTCGAGCAGCGCCCGGTTGTCCTCCTGGGCCTTCTGCTCGCGACTCAGCGTCCGCTCGATGTCGTTCGCCAGCGTCTGCATCTTGTTCTCGGCCTCCTTGTGCAGCTCCTTCAGCTGCGAGCGCAGGTTCTTCTCCTGCACCACCAGAGCCGTTAGCTCGGCGTTCTCCTGGCCCAGTTCGTCCTTGTGCTTCTGCAGCGTATCGATCATGTCGGCCATGTCGCGCACCTTCTCCTCCTGCGACTTGACCGTGAAGCCCAGCTCGGCGTTCTGCTTCTTCAGCTTCTGCGTGTGCTCCGTTTCGGTTTTGTAGCTCTGCTCCATCTCGAGCAGCTGCTTCTCCAGCAGGACCACCTTGTCGTTGATGTTGAGGTCGCGCGCCCGCGTCTTCTGCTCGTTCTCCAGATTGCGCTGCGTCTCGACGAGCAGCGCTTCGGTCTTCTTGCGCAGCTCGATCTCCTGCTCGACCTTCTGCATGGCCACCTTGTAGTTGTGCTGGCGCAGGGCCAGATCCTTCTCGTACTCCGAGGCGATCCGCTGCAGCTCCGCCTCGCGTTTCGTAATCAGCTCGATCTGCTGCCGCAGTCCGGCGTCCTGCTGCTCCAGGGCCTCCGAGCGACCGCGTTCCCGCTCCAGCAGCGCCTCCAGACGCTTCAGCTCATTGGAGTTGGATGGCCGGTGGCGGTGGTTGTGCCCATGGCCATGGCCATGGTTATTGCTCGCCGCTCCGCTGTTGACCGCCCCGCTCGTCTCCTTGGACTCGGAGTCGACGGTGTCGCTGGACAGCAGCTGGTAGTCGCCGGTGTAGGTGAAGCCGATGAAGGGCAGGTGGTTGCCATCGAAGCCCTTGGGCACGGGGAACACCTCCTCCGGCTTCTCGTCCCGCTCGATGTCCTCGAAGTTGCGCGTATCGTCGTCGGAGGAGAGCTCCGGCACCACCGGCGGCACGCTCTCGCGGATGTTGTCAAACGACCAGGTGTCGTTGCGGAAAAAGGGATGCGCCTTGATGTCCTCGATGCCGTAGCGACCCAGGCGCTGTGTTCGGTCCGTGAGGAAGGCACGGATGAGGGCCTTCGCCTGCTCACTGATATCCACCTCGGGCGGGAAGCTGAGCGAGTTCTTGTGGTCCATGATCTTGCCGTAGGTGCCGACCAGGGAGTCGGCGTAGAAGGGCGTCTCGCCGAAGAGCATCTCGTAGAGGAAGATGCCCACCGACCACCAGTCGCACTCCCTCCCGTACTCGTTGTCCACGCCCTGCGACTGCAGCACCTCCGGACTGATGTAGTCCGGCGTGCCCACCGCATTGCTGGACACCACCTGCCCGTTGGCCCCCATCCGCATGCAGGTGCCGAAGTCGGCCAGCTTCAGGTGGCCGTAGCTGTCGAGCAGCATGTTGTCCGGCTTGACGTCGCGATGCACGAAGCCCATGTTGTGGATGGTGTCCAGGGCCAGCACCACCTCCATCGTGTAGAAGATGGCCCACTTCTCCGGTATGTCGTAGTCGCCCATCAGGGACACGATGTCGCCGCCGGGCATGAAGTCCATCACCATGTACAGGTACTTGGCATCCTGCGGAGAGAAACAGAGATTGTTGGGTGATTTTCGCTTAGACAGTTTGTTTACTTCATATTCCTGCGATCCTCTATAGTATAGAGGTATAGAGTCTAGACCTTTAATCTCTTTCAAGAAATTAAACCTCAACTAATGGCGACATTAAATATATTTTTATTATGATTTGTTATATTGCCATCCAAATAATAATCGCTACGTCATTTTTTTAAAGCTAGAGTACGCTTTCGTACTCTGAGTTCGCCCATAAATATTTCAGAAATATTTCACATAAATAGAGAAGATAAAGAATACGTCGGAGATTATACTACCACATATAGCTACTCAAGTGTAAGTATATACTTTACTATATAGACTGGTGGGGTGGTCTGTCAACAAAAGCTAAGCAAAAGTCATGGAAAAAAAATTTCACAGAAAATGTTTGGGTGTTTGTGTTATAAATTGTTGTGCGAAAATGCGTTTGGAGCTCAGTTTTAATCGGGAACTCCGGCGCTTCGCATACTTAGCATAATGAGATCGCACTGCTTTGCGATTTTTCTGTCAGTGTTGCTCTTGAATAGGCTTTCCTCTACCCGTGCAGAATTTTCTTCAGAGGATGGCTTTGAGAAGATTCTTCATGACAACGAAAAACTTAGATGCACGATAAATACTCTGACCGAAACTATTAACAAATTAAACACTGAATTAGATGTTTTAAACATACAAATCGAAATGAAAAGACATGTTGTCATTGCACTAAACGCAACTGTGAATAATCAAAAGGTGCTGATAACAAATCAAACAAAAACAATTGAGAATCAAAATAAACGGGAAAGAAGCATGTTTGAAGCTATCAGTCGACTTCAGAAAGTCCGGGATCAAAATGCAACAATAAATAAGTTGAATGCAAGCATTCAAGAAATGGAGAAACAATTAAAAAACCAAAGCGAAATTCAAATCGAATTAAAGGAAAATAATAATAAAATGAACTTACAAGATTTAGAAATCAACGACTTAAAGAAACGTCTTCAGGAAGAAGAGGACAAATTACAATATTGCACACAAAACAGTAGATTATGTAATGAACCAGTGAAATCTCTGCCAATCACAGTACCTTATCAATCTCACAAAAATGAATCAAATGAATATTTAAAGTGCAAATCTGGGAACGGCTGTCCCTATGGCTTTGGTATTTACGAAGTGAAAATACGCGGATTAAGCCCGTTCGAAGTGCCACTCCAAAATAATTGGATGATCGTCCAAAGGCGCCGGGACGGATCGGAAAACTTTAATCGACCCTGGCAGGACTACAAGGATGGATTTGGAAATGTGAGGGGCGAGTTTTTCCTCGGACTGGAGAAGATTTACGCATTAACTCAGAACCGCCGCATCGAACTTTTAATTCAGCTTGGCAAAGCTGACGGAAGCACCACTTCCACTGTGTATGACAATTTTCAAATTGGCAGCGAAAGGGATTCGTACGTGCTGAAATCGCTGGGAAATCAATTCGATGATTTGGAGATCTCCCTTAAATACAACCTGAACCAAAAGTTCACCACTCTGGACCGGGATAATGATGAATACATTTATAATTGTGCTTCCAACGAAAACGGTGGTTTTTGGTACAAGGACTGTGGGTATTGGTAAGCATTCTGCGCAATTCACTCGGCCACATAAATTAGAGGACTTTCCCTTACAGCTCGCTCAATGGAAAATACTTTAAGGAGGGTTACGTTACACAGCAACATAAAAATGGAATCCATTGCCGTCACTGGGACAACTGGGATAAAATCTCGTATACCTTTGTTCAAATTATGATTAAGCCTGCGGGAGTGTAAGCCATGTTGTACAGCCTGCCGTTTCAACACATTTTTATAACGAATGCCAACAGAACAAATAGCAAAGTATTGAACAAAACATATTAATTGTTCAAGGTTTCAAATAAAGTATTGTCTAAAAAACAAGGGAACCTATTTATTTTAAAGCTTTATATTGCCAAGTCGTTCGCTTAAAACCGATTGGTTCTTAGGGACCATAATATTTCTTTCTAGTTTGCAGCCAAACTCGAAAACAAAGCTTTATTGCATTTAAAATGATACATGGCTGAACACCATTAACAAAGTTATCTGTCTATGGAAAAAATTATAATTGTGAACTCAAAACAAAGAAAGAAAGAAAACAAAACAGAAGCTAAAAAGATAAGGCTAAACGAATCGTTGTGAAACTGTGATTATTTGCAAATAAATCCCAATTTATGGAAAGCATCATCGATACTGGGTTTTTCGAGATCCCCAGGTTGCGGTTCGAGTTCCAGCAAGGTTTCAATGCTATAACGATGCAGGAGTCCTCCTCCTTTCTCTTCGATTAGAATCTGTAATGGTTTGTGGAATGCGCGACGTGGCTGGTGTGTGTGTAGGTACTTAAAGTGGGTGAGATTTCCCCGGCGCGTCTCCCCTTCAGCAAGGCCTTCAGGATTCTGCTCGCTCGAGATCACCACCGACATGCCATTGCCGCCAAGGGATTCCGTCGCAGGGCTCTTGGTTTGGCTCGCCTGCTGGCCGTTGGCATTCCCCTTTTCGGACTTTAGTCTGGCCAAGTGCTTTGCCCGACGCTGTTCATCCCATTCCTTGCTGGTGGGTATATATCTTTTGCGGCCAGTCGCTCCCGACTTGTCCTTCCTTTCGCCATCCTTTTTCTGCTGATCCAGCAGATCCAGCGCCTTCTTCTCCATTTCCATTTCCATGAGAGCCTTCTCGATGCGCTCCCTCTTTGCGATCCTCATGCGGTCCACTCTTACCCTTTCCTCTGGCGAAAACTTAATCGGGGATCGGGAGAGATGAACCTCTGGTTGGACCATCTTAGTGCTGTCACCTGGTCCATCCTTGGTGGAAACTAATTCAGTCCTCATGCGTCTTTCTTCCGCCAATAACACGGCTTCCACCGCCACTTTTCGGCGATGAGAGCGACGCTTCTCCGTGGCACTAAATAACTTTATGACAGCCGGCGGAATCTGCTTGGAAACCGTGCGCTCCTCGCGCTTAGGAGGATCATCCTCTGTGGATTTTTTCAATCCCTTTATGCGGGGCACAATCGTATGGTCTTCGTCTTTTGATAGAACAACCAAAGCTGCTAAAACGAAAAGGAACTGAAGTATACCAAAGGCGATTATCAACAAAATAAAAACTCGATTACACTTCTCAGTATTCTCGGAAGATCCCTTCGATGATGAAGTTAGTTTTTCCTTCTGCTCATCCGAAGTCTGAAACTTTTTCTTGAATTCAGTCAAATTGACTTTGTCTTCATCTTTGGTAGATTCGCCTTTTTTTAAGCCCGGCACGAATTCCGGTGTGTTGGGGTTAAGCATAATTGTACCTCCGCCAGCCATGTTCTCAATCTCATTCATATTCCCCTCCGCTCTTACAACCTCCAGTTCCTCGTTGTCCTGGTCAAAGTAATCCTCTGGCAAAGGATTCCTGAGGATCTCGAAGAGGGCACGGCTCTTAATTAAGTTGTGCATGGCCACTTTAGTTAGCTTTTTATGTTTTGTTGGCACTTTTTTACTTTTTGCCAGTTGTTGGAATATTTTCTTATCGAAACAAAATCTGTATACAAGCGTATAATGAAATCGACTGGGTGAAGAGTAATTTGAAGTATCAAGCAGGGCCTACTATGCTAAATAAATTATTTGTCACATTGATTTCAAAATTGAGTCCCCTTAACAAATAAAGGAACTCTTTGCAAAGTCGTGCTTAGGTAGTTGGGCAACACTTTCTCCTAAAAGAACCAGCGATCAATAGGACCACCAAGTATTCTTTCGAGCAAGGAAAAAGCTTGGAAGTCGTCTCACCTGGAACGCAAAGTGCAGCTGCACGATCCACTCGGAGTTGGCGTGTGCCATGATGTGGCGCTCCTCCCAGAAGAAGGCGGAGTCCGGTCGCTTCATCATCTCGAACTTGGAGAGCCGCTTCATGGCGTACACCTGGCTGGAGGACTTGTGCCGCACCAGCTGCACCTCTCCAAAGGCGCCGGCGCCGATCAGCTTGATGAAGTCAAAGTCATCCACGTTCATGCGCAGCTGGTTGATCTGCATCGCCAAGGGTTTGTCTGCAGAATACAAAACAGTAAGTAATAAATCATTATTGAGAATGGCCAGCACAACTCACATTTGGCTGCATACTGTTCGATGTTCTTCAGCCGCCGCAAGGAGTCGTGGTCACAATCCCTGACCAAGGCCGAAACGGTGTCCAGCAGGCAGTCCACATTGCAGATGCTCGTCGGATCGCGCATCTCGCGCTCGAGCGTATTCGCCCTAGAAAACAAATAATACAAATTAGGAATAAGAATTGAAAATTCGAGGTGTTCCGCAAGCGGAATTAATCATCTGCGCGATTCGTTCATTGTTTACTTTCGATGAGTGTTTGATTGTTCAACTGTTCTTCCGCTGGTCGTCATGCAAATCGCTCGCATAAGCAAACAAACCGAAGAAAACGAAAAGAAAAAGCAACGACACCGAACTATTATGGGGGGAAAAGTGCGCAGATTACTCATGGACTCGTGGAAGTGTAAACACCACACACTTCCCGGTACCACCATCGCCATCGCCACCGCCATCCGCATCCAAGTTTCTTACATCCCACAGCTGCGATCCGACCGACTAATGGCATTAATAACTTCGCACATTCTCTGCATTAAAGATTTGTTATTGTTTGTGCTTCACCGAATTTAATTGGCCATGGTGCTAGAAATGTGCGGGAAATTTCGGCATAATGATAAGGCTATTTTCGTGGGGCAGTTCAAATGGGGGAAATGGCTTTTTCCAAGTCATGCGAATAATTTATAAGCTTCAGCAGCCAGCATTTCCCTACAACAAAAACATAGGTGCCTATTTTAAACCCCGGAAAATATAGTCTTATTATATGAGCTGTTTACTTGTGACATTTTTAAATTGTTCGTCTGCAAAACAAACTGATTTACAGAATTATAGTTTAGAGAAATCCTATGAGACTTTTTTAAATACGTTCAAAAATTGTGACTTTACAACAACAATTAAATTAATATAATATATTGAGGGGTGAATTTGTTGACCGCGACTTTCTTTAATTTGACAATATAAACAATCCGCAGAGATGGTACGCTTTTCAATTTTAAAAGGTCTCAGAAGTTATCGTTTAAGTGGGAATCCCAGATATTTGGCCCCCGATCCGGTGTTTCGATGGCAGACAGGCGGTCGGCACAAGTCGGTACACCAGAAATGTACACATTATCGCGACTCGAACACTGCGCCCCATTGAGAAGAACCTGGCTGGAGAAATAGAGCTGCCCGGAAGCGAGGGGATATCGAAGAAGAGCCGACTTTATCGCTCCACTCTGTTGACTCTGATAAAGTGGAATGGAATGGAAGGAATGCAGCACATGTGCCGGCCAGTGACAGTCACTCTCCGTTGATACGTCCGTCCGTCCGTCCGTCCCACTTGGGCAGTTGGACCTGCCAAGATGATGCCTTCATTTTGCTGCATTGTTTTCGGAATGGAGCACCTTGCAGCCAGCCAAGCACCTTGAAAACTAGACTCATGCACACAGACTTGGACAGCAAAGTGGCCGAGAAAACCCAACAAAGATAGTGCTCTTGTTGTAAGTCACAACTGATATTAAAAGCAAATTAATTGCGGTTTCTTAGAACGCCAACTGGGTCATTAATGTCTTGACTTTGGGCAGAGTAATTCTTTTTCATGCAAACTCACATTCAGGCTGCCAAAATAAAATTATTATTCATTTGCCATTAAGACATGTAATCAGTAAATAATTGTTTCTTTAAAGAATATAAGTCTGAATCTGAAGTTGAGTCTGAATTTTAAAATATACAAAAACAATTATAAAAGAGACAAGATTGAAAGTGCTTGGGGAACATTTGATAGTTAATGAAAACAAAAACGAATTTGCATACGAGATTACTAGACCATGAAAGATAGCCTTCGCAAATGGAATTTCCGAAAAGATTGGGAAACTTATTCGGAAAAGAACAGAGCCATTAAATTGGGCTAGGCAAATTGGGCATCCAAAAGTATTTACTGGAAAAGATGCTCCTCTCAAAAACATGCCAATTGTAAAGACCTAAATGCAATTAGCCGGCAGAAAGGTAAATATTTAAAAACTCAATAGCAGTCGAGTGGACAAAGTCGGAGGAGTCCGCCAGACGGTCAAATCGGATTCGAAGCGAGCTCAGCTCAACGAACGAAACACCGATGACAGTCGGCGCTAAAAATTGATACTAAAAGGTGTTTGAATTGTTGTGATTTCATCATCGCCACTTACGGCATGACAGAAAAGCCAAAAACAAAACGCTCAAACAGCGGGTAATAGCAGCACACAGCAAGCAAACAACTTGGGAAAGTGGAATTTTCAAAAATGCTGCGATGAATTTTCGTTGCCGCAGTTGATTTCGATTTGGCCAAAGCGGCAATGGCAACAACAACATAATTATGAACAACAACAACAGCAACAGCAGCAACAATAATAATACATAATAACCGAGGCACCACCAACAACAACAACAACAACGACGACAACGACAACATTATCGTCACCTATAGACAATATAATTTTCAATTTAATTTATACAACGTCGCCAAATTTGCGCTGGATAACAGTTGGCTTTAACGTTAACAAATTGAATGCTTTATACACCAGGACTAGATCATCTGCATTTGCGTTGCAGAATCTCTTCACACCCAACTAATTGTAATTAATTTAGCCCAGCACAAAGAAACGTTTAGCTTTTATGACCAAATGCGCAATGCAATTGGCCTTTGTTAGTACGCAAATAGGTACATTTCGGATTGCTCACAACAGATACCGAAGTGGATGGGTAATAAAACTACGGAATTTATATGCATAGTCGAAACTACGGAATGGTTTTTAGAGCCACAACGAGGTGAGGTGGTGGAGTCCGATCTGAATTTGGAAACGGAGCAGGACGAGCTGGGAGCGTGGAGAGCAACGTACCGTTCCGGATCGCTCGAATGGAGGGCGGCGGGCATTAGCCATGGCCACATGCCCTATATACCGTCTACTGTCCAATGGGAGAACTGTGGGTTCCTCTTTGCCGTTCTCTGTTTCTTTTTTTTTTTGTGATTTAACCCAAAACGATGCAGCCGATGCAACGCGACGCCTGCAACTGACAAAACGGCGGCATCTACAGCCACTGCGTTCGTTTCAGTTTGGTTTGGTTACAAATTTTAATGCGAAAATGGCAAATTTATTATAAAGTCGCCCCCCGTTTTGTTCACTCGCTTGTCAATTTGATTGCCGCGCTGTCGCTTTGAACATGAGATATGGAAGGTGTTTGCCAGCGGTGTATTACTTTTTGATTTGTTTTGGCCTGGCCCGTTTGGCTTGCGCTGAACTGTGCTAGCTGGCTGCCAGCTTAGAGTTGAACAAATCACAAATCAGAAATCACAAATCTGTCTGTACAAATCGCACGTATCTGTGCGATGGCTGTTGCTGCTACTTGTGCTGCCGCCATTCGGTCATTTCGGGTGACAATTAATTGAGTGGAGCAGTCGCATTTGAGCCGCCATCTCGGGCACTCACCGGCGCCTTCGTTCCACGTCCATGCTGCCCTGACTGCTGCTGGCCACAGGTTTTACTCCAGCTGGCATGCAAAATCCAAGGGGTTTAGTCGCTGTTTCCTGGCAGTTAGATGTTGCTCCTTCCGCTGGTTCCTGTTAATCAACTGTTGCTTGGCTTTCAGTGCTTCCAACTGGTCAGCTGCTGCTCCTAAAAGCGGTGAAAATGGGCTTAAAAAAATGCTGACTGGGAGATTAATTGATTCTATTTACCTGCCAGGAGATGGTCGTCGACTCGTATAGGGAATGTTAATGGTAATGAGGAGGCACGCGTCAAGCGCTCGCTGTTGTTGTTATAGCGATGAGGTCACGAGCGTGGCTTGCTGTTTGGCTAACTGCTGTCGAAGCGCCGAATAGAATCCTAATCCGCCGGGGGACTAGGATGCAAATGGAGCACTTGGCGCTGGCTTCTCGTGCTGGAGTACCGCCAACGCCACATGCGGACGCAGTCGAGCACCCGGGCGTTCCCAGATGCGTTAGTTTTCCGGAATCCGGAGCCCAGCGAACCCTTACAAGTACTAACTTGCGGGATATTCAAAACGAATCAGGTCGACCGGGTTAATCAGGATGTTTGCGGACGAACAGTGGAGCTAACCAGGATTGTCCCGTGATCCTAGGCATGCAACAGTTGGGCCAAACACTTGTGGAGCACCTGGCCGAGAGGAGGTGGTTCGTTGGGTATGTTTGAATACAAGCTTTGTTTCTCGGCTTTTAAGTTTTTTCCAATCTTGTTTTTATCTTCCTTTTTTTTGTTAATTCCAACGATACCTCTTTGCACACACACACGCAAACCAGCGTACTGCGAACGGCGAACGTAGCAAGCGCTACAACAACAATAACAAGGCGCACACACACACACCGACGTGCGTCACACACCGACGTGCTGCTGTTCGTCGGCAGCGGGAAGCGCGCGGGGGGTCGGGACGGGATTTGGGGGCGGCTGACCGCCCAAATTGCGAATGTCCAGTTTCGGCCGCGGCCAAATCGATCAATTTGGTTTTAATTAGACGCTGCGCGTTGCACTTCTTTCGGTTCGGTGCTGGTAGAGATGCCAATATGTTTACATATCGAAGACAAAATATCGGAGAGGCGGCAGTGTGACCATGGTCTAAGACGAAGAGGGATCCGATTGGCTCGCCGAAAAAATACCGCCAACAGGTGGCAACGCTTATAGTGGCTGGATGAAGCAAAGTTTTTCGATAAGTTAATTCAATAGCAACGCCTATGTGTATTTGAATTGGGTTTTAATTAACGAAGTTCCTTTTCAATGCGAAATAAATTGTCAAATCCAAAAAAGACATTTGTCGATCCCACTTTTAAAAGTAACGAGTTTATAAAATGATACAGTAAATATCATCAATATATCATTGAAACCGAATTTATATTTATGTTAAATATTATAGAAATTTTTTCCTATAAAATAGTTATTTTATTGAATTAAGTAAATTAAAAACCAATGCAATTTCAAGCATCGATATTTGTTCGCATTCAAGTCTTTTCGATAAATCGATACGACTGCCAGCCTGTTCCAGCTCTAATAACCGCAGCCAACTTCACGCGCCTTGTTCTTTTTTCCGGTTGACTTTAACGAGAAAGGTTGTGCTCAAATTCTTTTCAAGTGATTTACTATTTTTTTTATGTTTTGAATGGGTGAAATTAAATGAAAGAGCGTACGCCCGAATGCGGCTGAATGAAAGGGCGGGCTAAAGCCCCAGGAGAAGTGATTTTCATGGACAAAAACCAGCTGACAGTTTTTGTTGTGCCCGTGTGCTTGTGTGTGCGCCAATGAGCGAGTGTGTTTGTGTGTGTGAGAGAGTCGCAAAATTCGAAACAACGTGTTTTTGGCAATGTTTTAATGGGTTCCCTTTTTTACACCGCAGATGCCAGGCGTCACAGTGAAGGATATTGACCAGCACGCGGTTACCAAGGCGGTCGCCGTCTTCCTCAAGAAGTGAGTATTATAGATGGGCTACAATCCAACCACATAACCTCACAACCGATTTGTTTATCCCCCTTCCCGAAAAAGGACTGGCAAGTTGAAGGTGCCCGACCAGATGGACATCGTGAAGACTGCCAAATTCAAGGAGCTGGCCCCCTACGATCCCGATTGGTTCTACGTGCGCTGCGCCTCGATCCTGCGCCACTTGTACCACCGCAGTCCCGCTGGAGTCGGCTCGATCACCAAGATCTACGGCGGACGCAAGCGCAACGGTGTCCACCCGTCGCACTTCTGCCGCGCCGCCGACGGTGCCGCCCGCAAGGCCCTGCAGGCTTTGGAGCACGCCCGCCTGGTTGAGAAGCACCCGGACGGTGGCCGCAAACTGAGCTCCATCGGCCAGCGGGATCTCGACCGGATCGCCAACCAGATCGTTGTGAAGCAGCGCGACGCCGCCAAGCAGACCGGGCCCCTTGTTATTTCCAAGTAATCACACGGCGCCCCTTTCGGAATCTAAAATCGCATTTTTAGACTTCTATTGTAAGCGCTTTTTGTTTGCACGAGAGAGATGAGATGAAATAAAACCAACCAATTCACTGAAAGTCTACATAACGTGTTCGGATGCCTAAGAAATTATGTGTTTCGCCTGGCACGAGGGGAATAACTATTAACTGGAACTATTTTAATGTCCGAACAGTTGGCATTTTGTTATCAACAAGATATATTAATGTTTTTATTTGAATAACAGTTTAAAAAAGGACCATTAGTTATCCAAAGCCGAGTTAACGTGGCTCTTATTATGAAAACATAAAGCTGGACTTGGGTTTTTCTAAATTATCACTCTTAAATTAGCCTTTAGTTGTTTAATTACAAATAAGAATTTTAAGTCAAAATAGTTTTTCGGCTATAGAAAAAAAAGCGACAACTTGTATAAGGATTTTGAGGTTTCGAATTTTAACTTTAAATTGGTTAGATACCAATTTTAGGGATTCTGGTCATCACTTAAGATTGGCGATCTATTGTGTTTCAAAATTTTAGAACCATTCAAAAAAAGGAAATTTATTTTTCCTAAAATCCTGCAAACGTGCAAAATTGCTTGACGAAAAAAAACAAACTGGTTAAATTTGTATCCACCTGATAATTTTTCTATGTGTGGAGAAGCTATTTCCAAGGCGATAAAATTAAACAGTATTAAAGCGGTTATAACAATTAAGCTTCGACTTTAGTACAAAATAAAAACGACTGTGGCTCAATATATAAGTTTACACCGTGAGTTTATTAAGATTGTCCCATTTACTTTATTTGACAAGACATGTTCTTCACATAAAATCAAAAAGGTAATTTTATTATAAATCCATTTGGCTTTGTATTTTCACTTCAAAATATTTTAATGTGGCGAAATAACGTTGCAGTTTTACATACAAGAAAGTAATTATTATTCAGGGACTTGACTCGTATTGGTAAGATCTAAAGATCATCCAGCCTAAAAGATCCCACTTTAGCAGCTAGATAAGAAAGTTCAAAAGGCTTCGAATTTGGCTATTAATGATGCTGACGGTTAATTTATACTTCAAGTATTCATGGTTTGCGAATTACTGGCTGGTTCATTTATTTTTGTTATGGTCGTGAATAATGTGAATATCTAGTTATTGAATGAATAAAAGATAGACTGTCATTTGTCTCTTTTTATAATATAATTTATTTACGCATTTGTGTGTTTTCTGAAGGTGTGCAACGCATGAATGTTTTCGGAGCCTTAAGACTAGACACTACGGCTAACGATTGAGGTCCTTGTGGGGAATGGGATCCGAGGCGGGTGTTAAACCCTGTCCAGAGCCTCCACCATGACAATGCTGTTGCCGCGGATTACCTGGAAAAGAAGGTTCAGTAGTAAGAGCATTGAATGAAAGTATATTTCGGAAAGAGCCGCAATCTTACCACCATGCCGATGTTGTTCTTCGTGTTGTCCTTGCATTCCTCAACCGTATCGTCCAGCACCACGTTCATGAAGGGATCGAAACCGCGCAGAATGCCGGTCACGGCGCGTCCTCCGTTCAGTTTCAGCATCATTCGCTTGTCCATGTACCTTTAAGTTTTATTCATATATTAAAATGTAAGGCTCTGGCCTTTTGGCATCCTTTTTCACTTACTTCTTCAACTCTGGGGGATGTGCCTTCGACATTTTGGTAAAAATTGGCAAAAACCAGAAAACTAAGCAAAAATGCGGCCTTAGGGATAGAGATGAAACTATCGAGAATCTATAACACTTGCGATTATATCGAATTATTTGTTAAGTGTTGTAAGTTAGTGTTGTTTTGTTAAAAAAAAAAAGCGCCTCTAGCGGACGAGTTTGTCTAATATTCAAAGATTACAACCAATGGTGGGGTGATTGACTTAGGACATTTTAGACCCGTGGGGCTTACTCACTCTTTTCCGCACTTACGAGAAAACACCCTATAACACTACCTTTTATTTATTCCACCATGCTCTTCCATATCTTTAGCAGTGTTGAAAAACTAGTAAACGCGACGAAGGTCTGCGCGTCGGAGAACGGATCATTACATATTGTATTTAACTCCGCGCAAGTGTAAACGAAAACAGCTCGGTAACATATCGCCAAACATTATCACTGGTCAACAAGAAAACCGTGCAAGACAATACGCAAGTTGCTAACTAAATGCCAAGTGAAACGCTAACCGAAAGAGGTCTCATTTTCCCACAACGCAGCTACCTACTGGTACTAAATTTGTTTTCTAAAGTGTACTAGAAAATAGATTAAGATATGAACCAAAGGATTTGTTTGTTTCTTGCTTGAAATACATTTCAAGAATAATTTGTTAAAGAAATGTTGGTGACAAATACAACAAATGCCATAAAGAAGAACTACAAAATTATTTTTATTTTTTCTTTTGTGTCACACTAATTAAATAGAAACATAAGAAACATATAATTCATCAAGCGAAGAGAAAACGTAAAAACGCATTTGTTTAAATTCAAAACAAAAACGAATAGATTGTACACGAAGATTGATCTATGTGTACAGATGAAAGACAAGAATGATTTCGGTACACGGATCATGAAAAGTAGAACGATTTTGATGCACAGATCAATAAAAGTTGTGTCCGAGTTTGAGCGTTCGAATCTGTCAACTGAAGACATTGATTATCGTGCCAACAGGTTTATCTCGTCCGGTTTTTGTTGACCTTTTCGTTTTTTTTTTTTCTTCTTTTTTTTACCTCTTTGTTTTGGTCCGTGGCCAACTGTTTGTAACCCGTGTTTGTTTGTTCAACGATATTTTCCAGCACGCCCGCGATTTGCTTGTTTGCCCAACCAACCGATTTACGCTTGACACACATGGAGGCGAAATTTTAAAATTTCCTCTTGTTTACGTTTTGTTCACCGCCGGCCGAAAGAGAGGAAAAGTGAAAAGTGTGATTTGACGAAGCGAAACGATCGCGAAAAACCCAAGGAAAAAGCACAAGAGAAACCCCATCCACGAAATATGTGTACGTAGCACATAAATCGCAGAAATCGGGGCCAAACAAAGAACCAGAAAAGCGAGCAAAACTAGACGCGGCCACACGATGGCTTTCGGCCTGTCAATCAAGGACCACCATGGACAACTGCTCCTCCTGCTGCTGCTCGCCGCCACCGCGATGCTCTCGAGTGCGGCGCTGGGCGATGATGCCCCGCCACGCCCCTCGCCGCCGCCCACCGTAAAGCTGAACAAGTGCTGCCACCTGGGGAGTACCTGAACGCCAGCTCCAGCGGCGACTGCATCGCCGGCAGCGAGTCGCTCTGGCTGCCGATGGTCTACCTGGTGCAGCAGCAGCGCTTCTTCGAGCCGCACGGCGCCGGCCCGCGCTTCATGCGCTTCCTGCCCAACGCGCGACCCCACTGCCGTCCGGACCAGGCGCAGGAGCTCTTCCGGAGTCGCGGCGCCAACGTGATGCTCTTCCCCAACGGCACGCTCTACGTGCGGGAGCGCGGCCTGCTGGTCCAGCCGCAGGACTACTGCGTCGACTGGGAGGTGGCGCTGGTCTGCCTCAACCACACTGCCGACGCCCTGGAGGCTCCCGGAGGCACCAACCTTGCGCAGAAGGACCAGCCGGCGCTGCGGCTGCGCAAGTGCTGCGGCAAGTGGGGCAGCTACAACACGCAGCTGAAGAACTGCGACCTGCAGTCCGCCCAGCCGAACGACGGACGCCTCCGGCTGGCGCCACAGCTGCCGGAGAACAGCTACCTGACCAGCTACGGCCTGCCGGAGTGCACCCACTCGGGCGGCTACTCCATCGCCGGCGACTGGCAGGAGGCCAGGCTGGATCGCAGCACGGCCGGCCTGCAGCTGCCGCACAAGAACCTCAGCGCCGAGCAGTACTGCCTGGAGCACACGCAGCACGCCGGCGAGGTGAAGATCATCGCCTGCCAGCACCTGTTCCGACCGGAGGCGGGCCACACCACCGCGGAGGGGGCGACGACGCCCGCGCTGGAGGAGCTCGACAACCAGAACCTGCAGAAGGCCGTGCTCACCGGCGGCATACTCGTCTCGATCGTCTTCCTGGCCGCCACCCTGGTGGCCGGATTCATGCTGCAGGCAGTCCACCACGCCCTCCACTGGCGCTGCCAGCTGTGCTACGTCTCCTGCCTGCTGGTGGGCAAGGTCCTGCTGGCCATCGAGGAGCTGAGCGCCACCCTGCAGCCGGGCAGCGCCAGCTGCCTGATGCTGGCCATCGGCATGCAGTTCTTCTTCCTGGCCGCCTTCTTCTGGCTGAACACGATGTGCTTCAACATCTGGTGGACGTTCAGGGACTTCAGGCCCAGCTCGCTGGAGCGCAACCAGGAGAACCTGCGCCTGGTCCTCTACTCGCTGTACGCCTGGGGCGGACCGCTGCTCATCACCTTCGTGGCCGCCTGCGTGGACCAGCTGCCGGAGACGTCGCTGCTGCGTCCGGGATTCGGGCAGCTGTACTGCTGGTTCGACAACCGCAACCTCTCGATCTTCGCCTACTTCTACGGACCCATTGGACTGCTGCTCTGCGTGAACATAGCCCTCTTCGTGTCCACCACCCACCAGCTGACCTGCGGCCTGTGGAAGCGGGACGACGTCAAGTCCTCGACGGAGAAGTCCGCCTTGGGCAGGGTGTGCCTCAAGCTGGTGGTCGTCATGGGCGTCACCTGGATAGCCGACATCCTGTCCTGGCTGGTCGGCGGACCGCACGGCGCCTGGTTCTTCACCGACCTGATCAACGCCCTGCAGGGCGTCTTCATCTTCATCGTGGTCGGCTGCCAGCCGCAGGTGTGGACCGCCTGCCGCCGGATCTTCTGTCCGCGATTGCGCCACGACATCACGAACACCACGAACGGAGTCCATCACTCGGGCAGCTCCCAGGGCGTCCCGTCGACGGTCGTCGGCACGGAGATCACGCAGAACGTCAGTCTGGCCAACAGCCAGCACGGCGGAATAGGAGGAGCTGCCCCAATGGCGGCCGGGGAGGAGGAGGAGGAGCTGCCGGAGAAGTCGGCCAACGACACCGTACTCACCGTGAAGCGGGAGACCGCCTGCTAAACGTAAGTGGAACGAACACCCCTCAGATAGGCGGCGTAATCCCCGCCTGGCCAGCCCAGCTCCCTAGATAGACAGATAGCTCTGTTTGGCGGCGGCAAACAGTGGACGGGAATGGGAACTATCGTGTGGCATGTGAGTGTATAGTATGGCTTCGGGCTCACACTCGCTGATAGACTTATCGCACTCCCCATGCAAAGTGTCTCCATGAGTCGGCCAGTCCGCCAGTCCGCCTGTCCGTCTGTTCGCCGGTTTGCCGGTCTCGCCACGCTCCACAGCCGGTTCGATCCCACAAAGCACACGTTCAGGTGCGGCCAAAAGCACTTGTGGCATCAAGTGTGAGTGGAGGTGGAGGTGGAGTGATTGGGAAAGGGTTCTTTCCCAACATCATATCCATACTGCTATTGCATATGGTTTGCATACAATCACATTGCCAAAGTTTATTTAACCAGCCAACTTTTCTGTCAGCATTTGCATTTTTCCTGGCTGAGTAATATTTGTGTTACAATTGAGGTAACATTGAAAGGCTTAGGGTTTTATGTTTCAGAGCTTTTCTCATAATTTCACATTTTGATTAACTCAAAGGAAAAGGTTTGCTAAAGGTGTTATAGAAGCAGCTTAAACTTAACTAAAATTTCTTGAACGGACTAAAGATTGTAAAGTATTAAAACAACTCATCTCTCACAGTTCCTCTTATTTTAAATACAATAAATAACACCCATATATTATTATTATTTTCTGGAAACCTACGAAAACCATCCAATTCTGGTTACCTTTCACCGAGAAACACATTCGTTGAACCAATAAAATTAAGCAATAAAGAACTGGCTAGATCAACAAACACGAACTCCATTTTCCGGCACAAAACTAAACAAGTAGATAGTGTGATTATCACTTGTGCTAGACGGTTTAGATAATATTCTCTGTAGACTCACATGTGTGATAATTTTTTATCTATATCCCTCACCTAAGTACATCATCTTCGACAAATATTGAAACGCTGGCCCGTATTTGTCCGGCGAAGAGAGTGGATTTGTTTGCTTTGGCAGCAACAACCACCATTTGAAGGGCTGAATGGCTGAACGGCTAAGTGAAAAACTATGTTGGTGATTGAGGGTTTCTGGACGCAATCGTATGGGGAATAGGGAATAGGGTTCGAAATTTCCGAGCTACCTGGGGCGAATTCACAGCAAGGCGCCGCCCGAAAACTCCGGAGCGTTTCCACTTTTTTATGGCCCAGGGAAAACTGGCGTTGGCCTTTCTTTTCGGCTGTCAATTGCATTGGCATGGCCTTTTCTCCAAATTACGTTGCTTTACAACCATGTGCCAAGTTTACGATTTCGCGTGTAGCACTTGAGTTTCGAGCATGTCCATAAAGATGAAAATGATGCTATTGCTTTTGCGTTTTTCATCGGAAAACTGTGGCGCCGGGTCGAGCGATTTCCTGTCCATTCCATATCCATATGGCCAATAAAACCATCAGCACAACCCTTGACACACACGCAGGCGGCGATAATGGAAAATCTGGACTGGCCGAAAAGGCGAGCGGGAAAATGTCCGGTATCGGAAAACCGATACGCTGGCGCCGTGTCGAGCGATTTCCCGTGGACATGGCAAACATGGCAAGCAGAAGTGCCATCATCATCTGGACCAAATGGCTCACCGCCACGTTTAAACCCAGCTGAAAACCAGAACTTGGCTTTCGATTCGATTGTCATGCCTTCCCATCAAAGCGAAATACAGTCGCCTCTCGACAAATACGCAATTGTTCGAACATAAGGGAATAAACCCTGATCCAACGAACAGGACTCCCGAAATGCGAGCTAAGTGATCGTCAAATGCAACCACCAAAAATACAGAAAACCGGTTTTTGGTGTCAATATTATATGTTTTGCTTCTCATGTGATATGTGATACGAGTTCGTTCACTTGAGACTACACTGTTGTCATCCGAATAGCATTTGAGAAAGAATTCATACAAATTAACAAAGCTAAACAACCAATTAGGCAGGAATTGAGAATATAAATTTATTTATGTTTCCAAGATACAATTGAACGAGTCTTAGTTTTGTTCTGCTTTATGGGGTATACTTTTTTTGCGAGTGTCATACGAGTTATTGTTGTGCGAATGTATATAGTATCTCTGCTCTCGGGTTATTATTTGCCTTTTAACGTGGCTCTGTTTTGCAATCCGTATTTTGGGGTAAACAGGTGCTGCGTGTCCGAGATTACGGCGAGCGAAGGAGAAAGCAAAGCAGAAAACATTGGGTTTTGGCCTTGGTATCTCGGGGATATAAATTGTCTTTGGCGGAAGGGGCACAACAGTGACCTGCATTCGATGTTGCAACCGCGTGTTGCAACTGAAGAGACAAGAGAGGAAGTTAATGGCCCAGGCCGAACTTTTATGGGCCCCTAAATGCATATTAAAAATGTACTGGTTTTTAAAAATAATTATCTCGTTTTTATGGCAGCTGTACGGAACTTATTTCTGAAGTAGTAATACTTTTTAGTGAAATATCTGGAAATGCGGTTTATTCTAACAAGGGATATAGTTATTAACTCAACTTCAACTTGAAGTTTTAAAATAAACTTCACCTATATCCTCCAACCGAAAAAGTTATAACCAACATTTACTACCCTTTGGGTGTTTAGTGCCATGTTGATAATTATTTTGATAAATAGATCTTGTAATCGGACAAAAGGGAGGTCCAACATGGCTATAACTCGAATGCTATAAAGTATATACTATATAGTGTGTTTACCTACTGTTTAGGGTCGGAATTGTCTCGTTCGCTGCATTGCAAGCTGCTGAATGAATTTAATTATAAAATACCCTCTGCAAGGGTATAAAATGCAGCTGCTGTGCCATTTGTGTTCATTTGCACTGGAAAAAACTAAAAAGCAAACTTTTTTTTTGATTATAGAGAGTTGTTTTCATAAATAGCTCCGCTTTTTCTGTAACACAAAACAGTTTTCTATGTGTAGAACAAATGTGCTGGGTATTTTTGCACTTCTCAAGGATTAAAACGAGCGACTTCTTTTTTTTTGAGTGTAGAATAATCCCAGAGCGGCGTGTCCCCGTCACGCTCATCATCACCGCGACGATGCGAAAGTGAAGTTGCCGGGTGCGTTCGTTTTGTCAGGCAAAACTGCACGGATGCAGATGCAGATGCATAATAAATTCACAATAAATGCACGGCAACGGCAACGGCAACACACGTTGCAATTATTCAGCCCACGATCGGTGAGACGTGGTCATAGCCCTTTTGACACACTAAGTTCTGAGCAACTCCAGCACTGATTCGTGGTCAGAGATGGGTTTTAGGTCTTGACTATAAATCATACATTATACAGTGAGGCTTATTGTAGCAAATTAACTATAAATTAATAATTAATTATCTACAAAAGAACGGTGAACAATGAAAAAATTAGTTAAGTAAGAAAGGTGGGATATTAACTGAACATTATTGCTTCTAAGTAGATAAGCAACAAAGAATGTATATTCTGCAATGTTGGCAACTGTACCAATTTTCTACACATATTTTAAATGCCTCATAAAATAAATCAAATTATAGTACCAAATAACTTAAAAGTAGATCATTTCTTATAAAGTTTCTCCAACAATCGAATGTAGTTTACAGAAAATCTTTTGATTGCAATCTAATTTTGAGATCTCCCTCACAAAATCACTTTCTCTTAGGCAATTTTTTGTGATTATGTTGTGTGGGCCAGCAATCATGGTGTGTAAATGCGTGGATCATGATCAAAAAGCGGAAAATTGGCTGAGAACTATGAGCTTGGCCACGCTTGAGTTCCACCTTTTATCTCCATCAGCAATTAATACTGTGTGATTTTATTTAATATTTGTTTAAACACCTATTTAGCCAATTTGTGTTTTTGTATTTGGTGCATTGTTCAGCATGAGTTCACACGGAGTAATTAGTAATACGAATATAACGCCAGTAATTATAGAGTTATAGTCATTGTCAACGGAATTCCGTTTAGCTTATTGGATTTATTTTTATTTCTCCCCCCGAAGTGCAGATAGTTTTATTCGTTGGCGAACGTGACCGAGACTTCCCCTGAAATTGAACCGAGAAAACAGAAATATGAAGCAAAGCTGACTCGCTGGGTTATCTAATCGACTGAAAAGAAGTGAGAAACTTTAAGGTTTATATCTGGGTCAGCGTTTATCTTTATAGTTTGTAGTTTGCTGCTGCTTCTGAGCAAACTACTTGGCATCTTAATGAATTCCTTCCTGTTGACTTTTACACGAATCAGCCAAAATGCTGATGCAAGATTGCTTAATGTCCATTTCGTTCTCGATCTCGATCTCCATCGCGATCGCAATCGCGATCTCCAGATGCACTCGAAATCGCACACGCACACATGCTTCGCGTTAATTTGAGTTTAGCGGCAATTTTTAATTTGTACGTTCTGCAGTTTTTCAAGTTATAATTGCACTGTGGCCCATTTACATTTTACGCAGGGCATTATTTTTTTAATTTGTGCCTGCAACGTCGGTCGTCATCTGATTCTCCATCGAAGGTCGATGGAACGGGGAAAGGGGAATGGGGAAAGGGGAACGGGGAAAGGGGAAATGGGAAAGGGGCATTGGGAAAGGGGCATTGTTGTCATGGGCTCACAGCTGCGGTTAAAATAGTAGCTCTGCAATATCAGTTTTCAGGCGGTCTAATTGAGAAAGTAACTCAGCTAATTACATCCATTTTTTTACTCTATTTCCTTTATTATATGTGATTTTTCTTCGGTTAAGATTGCACTCTGATTTTCTGAGTTTTGCTTGTGTTGATCAAGAAACTAATGTTGGTCATAGGTTCACACTTCAAATCATATTGCACATGGTATCTCTTCTTAGGAATTTGAAAACAAAATAAATCTCGGAATCCGAAATTGCCTTGCCGTTCACTCTTGAAAGTTTTTGAGCAACCCGCAGATGTTCTAGTCGAGATACATTTGTCCATGTGTCTGACCATAAAAAGATTTGATTTGTTTTTTAACAAAATTTGATTGATTGCGTCCAAAAGAAGTATATGTGTATGTAGGATACACATGTACATACATATGTAGATGAATTTATAACAGGAGCCGGAAGAGGTATTTAAATTATTTTTAAACAATTTGGGTATAGGAATACCTAGTAATTCAGTATAAATGTTTGTATTCATGTTAGGATTGTAAAATTTCTAAGCCGATTTAGCTAATGAACTTGCTAATATTTTGGGAGCACTGTACCCACACACGCACGCATATCATACGATTTTGTACTTATTTGTGCCCCCTTTCTTTGCCTTTTTTTTGCAGACAACTGAGACGAGCGACAATGCGAAAGTCAGGCCCGGATACAAAAGTCCAGACCCCGAACGAGCGAAATAATGGCAATGGGCAGCTCCGCAGCGCGGAGGCAATGAAAAAAAAAGAAGAAATACTTATATAAAAAGCAGCAAAAGCTGGAGTTTCGAGACGCAGCACACACTTGCGCAATCGCAACAACGGCAGCAACAACATCGAAAACAGCAACAGCAACAACAACAGTAAGATCAACAGTCGAGCAAGCTGACCAGCTAATTGTGTGAGTGAGTGAGTGTGTGTGAAAGCGTCTTGCGCGTGATTTTGAAATCGGCCAACAACCGCTGTGGAACAAAAAGTACTCAGTATGCCAGTATTCAACTTCAATTTGAGCCGGCACAAAAGAAACGTATTATTTTATTCATCGTCATGATCAAGTCAACCAGCTCAACTCAATTCAACTCGACAAGCAAAAGCAGTAAAAGCTGACTAACGGTAAAGCAGTACGGGTCACATTAACACGTTCTAATTGGACACTTCACTTCGGTCAGTGTTGCGAAATACTTGCGGCAGGCAATTGGAATGTGCGGCCAAACAGGAATTTACAATAGACAAAACAAAGCACAGCTATTGTTGCTCTTTCACTTCCAAGCAACAAAACACAGAAAACAACAATGCATGCGTGTGTGTGTGTGTGTTTGTGTGGCAACCACAAGGAATTTGCTGTTGAGGCACTTTTGTTGTTTTGGTTTTAGATGGCTGCTCTGCTTTTTCCGACTCAAATCTCAAGTGTGAGAAAAACATCGCAGACACACATGCACATTTGGATGTTTAACATTTAAATTAGCTGATTCTGATTGGGACTCCACGATTCCATTAACTTGACACTGCTTGCATGCATCTTGTCTGTGTGTGTGTGTTTATATTCTTGACACTTTCATTGCCTAATCGTCACTTTTTTACTGGAATACTGGATGAACAACCGCTGACTGCAGCTATTTTTATGTTTGGCGCATAATCTTTCCACCGAAAACTTTTCTGTATGTTATTTTTTATGTCTAGAGTAAACAAATGAAATTTATTTACTTGGAGGCCTAAACAGAACCGCCTCACACACACTGACACACGGAAGCAATCAAATTGATCATCGAAAGTTCAACGATACTTATCGATCAAGGTTAAATGGTGGAAAGAAAAGCGATTTTAATTAATCAACGAACGAGCAGTAGACACTCAAACATGCGCAAACTGACCCAAATTCCAAGCAAGCAGTACCGTTGTCCTGCATCCTGACTGTGGCGCCAATTCAAATGTATTCCCCCATCCCCAAACGTATTTAATGTATTTTAGGTCTTGAAAACGCAGAAACTATAATGCAGTACAATCATTATTTCTCATTATTTTTATTTAACCATTTTTTTTATAATTATCTAATCTTAATTTATTGCTCGAATTGCGTTCGCACGTTCAACGTGCGTTTGTAACCATTGTATTATGTAGTTGAACTTCCAAAGTGTTCAGGCCAAAAGTAATTCTCACCGTATTAACCATACTGATACTGGTAGAAGTGGAGAGTATATGTTTAATTGTACATAATCAACGAGGATGTATTCTTTTTTTTAAATAAGTAGATTGTATTTTTTTAAGCGAAGCAACGAATCGAATATGAAACTATCGAATGACTGAAACAAAGGCAGCGAATACTTTACACCAACATAGATCATAACTTTTGATACTAACTTTTGACTGTTGTATATAAACGTATTTTGTACACCTTATTGGCTAAGCGATGATTTATTAAAGTATATGCACATTTGCGTGTGATCCCCAAAGCTCGAGTAAATCCTTGTTACTTCCCACAACGAATAGTGACTAAGTTCTAGTTTGTAAATCGATGCTAAGTCCCCCCCGAATCAGAAAACTTTTGGTAGATGACCCATGGAAGATATATGAACGAACAAGTCTGCAAATCCCCCATTTAGTCAGCGGCCTCTCGCCCCCAAAAGCGATTTTCGAATGATTTTCCCCCGAGAGCAAGAGTATTTTAACGATAAGTATCATATAATGTATGGCATTCATAAGGCATATATCAATAATTCGCTTTTGGAGGCGTGCGAGCCTATACCCCTATACTCCCATGCCCCCTCCTCCGCCGCCCCTGTTCGCTATTAATTTATAGCGCAGAGCGGGAACATTTTATAGATAAACATGCGGAACAAAACTGTCTGAAATGGCAATTAAATGAAAATGAAAACGAAAACGAAACTGAAAACTGAAAACTTGGCATGAATGCGCAGCTATATAGAATAGATATACAGATATACAGCCTCCGATATTTACAGAATGCACCCGCAGCAGAATACGCGAACGATTATGGCAATTGCCATTGACTAAGAAACCACTAAAATGTTTACATGTATTCACGGTACAATAAAGCTTTTTGGCAAAAATATCAATGAGAGTGAACGGAAAAAGAACCAGCGAATGAATGTCTTTCAATTCGATTGTCGAGGTGCTCGGGGTGTTTGGGCTGGGGGTTTTGCCCCTGGGAATTGGCATTATGGTGACCCACTTCAGACTCGGGCGTCTCAAACCTTTGTCGTCGTGGGACTCGGAGCACAATCTTCTATCGCCGCCTCCAGCAGTTTGTCAACTCGTCGTCCCCTTTTGTATGCAAATGATCCCCGGGCACAGTGGGCCACCATCCGGTTTTATGCAGCCAGCAGCCAGCAGCCAGCAGCTTACAGTGGAAACGGCTGGGGTGGCAATCAAATCACTCAAAATTCAAATAATTGGTTTGTTTTCCAAAAACACGGGCGAGATCATAACATTTAGATATGGAAAACACACGAGCAGATCTTAAGGCCAGATTCGTTTAACTACCTCTTAATTTATATGAATCAGGTACAAGGAAATTTTATTTGTTTGTTTTCAATGTGATTCATCCCGAAAACCTCGAATCTTTTTAGGATCTTACGTCGCAATACCAAAAGTATTTCAATGCTTTCGGTTCTTATTAGTTTAAATAAAGCGTTATTGTTGTTGACTGTTTACTTTTAAGTCAGATTTCTCTTTAAGATGTTGGTTGGGTTGGTAAACAATGTGCTTTTCAGTCCCACAGTGCTCAGGTGTGGTTTTTCCTTACAGTTTGTGGTGCAATCAACCTTTGAGGCAATGTTGAAAGAGCAAAAACCGGTTGAATATTTCAAATACGCCGGCAGTAACACCGTCATCACGTCTGCAAATAGCAAAAATAAATAAACGAAGTGTGTTGCGACAAAATTGTCGAGTTTACATATTGGCTATGTTACTGACCCAAAATTATGATTACGTCGGTTGCCACTGAATCACCACAACCGAATCGTTGGGAAAAATTTGCATTTGCACTAGAATTTATTTTATAATTTAATATCATAGATGTATTTTTTTTAAATGTCAATAAAATTAAAAACTTAAATTTTAAATTAAATTTTGTTAAATTTTAAAATTTAACAGTTTTGACGTAATGTAATGTAATGCTCTCTAACTTTGAGAGATGATATGGATTGGGGGTTGTAATGAAAGGAGTTTTTAAATACATAGTTATTATAGTCTAGTGCCTAAATCCTAAACAATCAAAAATAAAGACTTTTATGTAAAATTCTAAGGCATAAGAAACCCCGCGCAACAATTCAAAAGCAAATTACTCCTGGTCACACGTCAATAAAAATACCGCGCAACATTTCAGCATTCAAAGCAGCGCTCTAAAGTATGCTAAAGTATGCACGCAGGCGCATTCGCGAGCAGATCCATTTTTAATCTCAAAATTTTAGCTCTGTTTCCGATTTCTCGTCGTTCATACGGTAGGACAGTCAAATCGACGCGTTTGATACTTATGATTAAAAATATATATACAGCCTTTCGACTTGTTGCATACTTGCCAATGAAAAGCCTTTTACTCTATGAATTACGGATATAAAAATAGTGTTGAAAAATTTCGATATTGATCAACGCCATAGTTAGCTAGTCCACGCACCACACTTATCGCGGGTGCCCATGATATAACATACACTAGTATCGAAAGCAATGCATCATCCATTTATCGATACCTTACTTTTACAATAGCCCATCTCTAACACTGATCGAAAATCTTGATTTTCCATTTTTCCCCCAACATTATTAACAAAATAAACTGCGGCCAAATTGCGCATAATACAATTGCAGTTGCCAGCATTGCAAACACAGCCGGAAAGTCAAGAAAACCCGAATTTAGGCCAAACAAAATCCGCAGTGCTTGAAAAAATCATAACAAGTGAAAAGCTGCAAATAAACGTAAACTATGTGTAAGTTCATAAACAAAAGGAAGGATCCGAAAGAAATGCAGTAATTTTTGGTGCATTTCAACAATTTCGAAGTGAAAATAATAATTTCCGGGCGTATTTCTTTTGTTGTTGTTGCTTTTTGCGGGTGTTGCGTGTGTGTGAGTGTTGGATAGAGAGAGAGAAAGGGAAGTTATGCTGACGCCCCAGCAACAAAAACAAATTAACCCAGACGAAAGTAAAATTTCACCCAAATTTGTTTGTTTTTTTATTTGCTAAACTGGTCAAACGTGTTATTTGTTTTGTATTTATTTTTTTATGTGCTTAGATTGTTTTTGTACCGGCTTTCCGCGAAAGTTTTTTAAATGGCACTTTGTTAGTCTTTCTCTCTTCTTTGTCTTCATTTTCCTTCGTTCTTTGGCTCCCCACCCGCTACTTGTGAGTGTGTGTGAGTCCCGTTAAACTGGTTCTGGCTTAATTGCATCGTCCTGCTCTTTCGCACATAACGGTCTTAAATAGGTATTTCTTAACGGCTTTTAACCCGTTAGCTTCGCTTATCAGCATCACCCACACACAACACACAACGCACACACCTGGCAAAGTAAGTAGATAATAAACACAAAGCACAGTAAACGACGAACAGAATGAAAGAGATGAGAGATCCAAAGTGCATAATGGTAATGCCAATGTTAATCGCCCCGCAGCTGTCTTAGTTCCTTTCTATTTCTTTTACTTTTTTCCCCATCTTTTTGCACTTTTGCCTTTGTGCCCCAGCCACACCCACTTCACGGGTGGGAAGCCCTGGAAGTCGGCCAAGTAGGAAATAATGCCGATCTTCGCCAGATTTTTTTTCTGCCTATTGCGTCACAAAACGCTTCTACGGAACTAAGCTGAAGCGAATTTTGTATCTGATAGATTTTTTTTTTCAAATTATTGTTTATTGTTTAATTTGTATGTTGCAGAAAGATTTAAAATCCATTTTGTTGCATTTTCGTAAATTTAAAGGTAAATTTAGAAGGTTTTTCGCCATTGTCTTAGAACGCTTCTTATCAAAAGCAATCTCCCATTCTACGTTCTCGTTTTTACAACCGATAACAGCTGCTGTTCAAAAAAGAAAAACGATTGAATAAGGGCTTTTTATATACAATTTTTAATTTATTTTTATTTTTGCCCATTAGCACATGCAAAACATCTGTCTTATTCTTAAAAACTGGCCTGCAAATTAGCGCATACTTTTTCAATTTAATTGCCAATTATTTTTAAACAGCTCAGCTGTTTTAGTTCGTTTTTATTTTGATTGTAGATGTTTAAAAAAATGTTTTTTTTTTTTTTTTGAAGAAATTTTAAAATGCAATCGGAGTTGTAAACCTGACAAGCGACCAAAACAATAAATCCTTTTACCATTTGTGAGTTAACTTAAATTACTTGGCATCAAGCGTTATATTTTGAATCATCAATTGTTGTAGGGTTTTACTGTCTCATTCCAAAGCGCCCTTTGACGTCGCCCTAAATTGAGATTTGTTTTTCCAAATTTTGTAATTGTGTGCCTGTACACTGTTTCGGTTTGTTAGTAGCAAAAATTACTCACTTTATCTGCACCGTCACCACAAAATTCTCGTTTTTGGTTTCTTTTCTGGGTTACCCGTTCCTCCAGTTTGGGCGGTGAGGCGGGCGGTGAAGAAGATCAAGATCAAGACCCCGAAACCGAGTCAAGATCCAAATACAAATTTGAATCAAAAGTTGGTCAAGATGTGGCAGCAGCAGCAGCCGGCGATATACTATTCGACCGAGTCCGTTCGAGAAACTCACACAATATCCGGCGAACGTTGCCGCTCCCATTTACTTGCAGCTGACAACAACAGTGGATCTTGTGGCGGAGGAGGAAACGGTGGCTCCGGGAACAACAATAGTGCTAATAGCGGGAAGAACTCGACGCACAGGGTCGACGAGGTGTCCAGTGAGATCACCGATCAGTTGCTGGGGCAATGGCGCAAGAACTTTTACAGCGAACCGAAGAATCTACTGGCCCAGAACGTCTGCTCCCGCGTGGATCCCTTCGACGTGTGCCTGTCCCGGAAGGCGTTGGAGACCACCAACCATGTGTTCAACTACAAGGTGGAAACGGAGGGCAAGCCGGTGACCAACCAGAGGAGCTCCGGCCGATGCTGGCTGTTCGCGGCCCTCAACTGCATCCGCCTGCCATTCATGAAGAACTACAATCTGGACGAGTTCGAGTTCTCTCAGGCCTTCCTCTTCTACTGGGACAAGATCGAGCGGTGCAACTACTTCCTGAACAACATCGTGAAGACGGCGCAGCGGGGCGAGAAGGTCGACGGCCGGCTGGTGTCCTTCCTGCTCCTCGATCCCACCTCCGATGGCGGCCAGTGGGACATGCTGGTCAACCTGATAACCAAACACGGCCTCATGCCAAAGAAATGCTTCCCCGAGAGCTTTAGCTGCGAGTCCAGCATACGAATGAACGCCATACTGAAGAGCAAGGTAAGAAACCTTTTAGATTATCAAGTATGGTTAAAGGTCTTGTTTTAAGAAAAACGATTTCTTCATAAAGTTCTACAGTCATGGTTCAACTAGTTCCTCTTTTCTAGATTAAACCTAGATCATTTTCAGTTATTTAGTTTTCTATCTGTATAATGTAATCAATACCATATTTTTTGTAGCTTCGGGAGTACGCCCGCCACCTGCGCGTGCTGCTGGACACGAATCCCACAAAGGAGGAGATCGAGTGCAAGATCCAGGAGCAGATGGCCGAGATCTACAAGGTGGTGGGCATCTGCCTGGGCATTCCCTCGGAGACCTTCACCTGGGAGTACTACGATAAGAGCAAGAACTACCAGTCCATCGGTCCGGTCAGCTCGCTGGAATTCTACGAACGCTATGTTAAGCCGCATTTCAACGTCGAGGATAAGGTGTGCCTGGTCACCGATCCTCGGCCAACGAGTAGCTATGACCAGGCATACACCGTGGACTGCCTGGGTAATGTGGTCAACGGCCGACCCGTCCTATACAATAACCAGTCGGTGGAGCTGCTCCTGGCCGTGGTCACCAAGTCGCTGAAGGCCGGTGAGGCCGTTTGGTTCGGTTGCGAAGTCAGCAAGCGATTCGCCTCCAAGCAGGGCATCGAGGATGTGGATGTGTAAGTGTTTTCAATAATTATAAATCTCGATTTTTGAGCCCATAACTTGAGCAGTTGTATCCCGATGTCGTTAAGGCAATCTCTAACCGTTTGTTATTTTCTTGCAGCCACGATTTCAAGCTGGTCTTTGACATCGATATACAAACGACATTCTCTAAGGCGGATCGTCTAATTTACGGCGAATCGGCAATGACCCATGCCATGGTCTTCACCGCCGTCTCTGTGGACGTAAGTACAACAAATGCATCCCTCTGTACCTCTAGTAACCACAAATTTGACTTGCAGAAGAGCGGCGTGGCCCAGAAATTGCGGGTGGAGAACTCGTGGGGTGAGGATCGCGGCGAGAAGGGCTACCTGGTGATGAACGCCGACTGGTTCAGGGAGTTCGGCTTCGAGGTAGTTGTGGACAAGAAGTACGTGCCCGAGGATGTGCTGCGCGTGTTTGACATGGATCCGATCGTCCTGCCCGCCTGGGATCCCATGGGCACGCTGGCGCAGTAGGCAGTAGCTGGCGCCATCCACATATATATTTAATTATAATATATACAAAGCTTTACAAGCAGCAATCTTCGAGCGGAATCCAAGTGTTCGAGTTACTATCACCTTTCAGTTTTTGTGTACATTTTTTTTGTTTCTGTCCAGTTGTCACATTTTACAAGGTCTTCACACACCTCCTGCTTTCCAAAGTTCACGTCTATGCAATATATTCAGTGCAAGTCCCCCAATCTTTGTCAGTTCTGTAATATTGTAATTCCGTAATTTTGTTTGTGTTTAGTCTAAGTAAAAAAAATTTCTCAGTTCTCCCTCGAATTACGTTTATCTTTGATTTTGCAGCGGGCAGTTGAAAATATATACAATACAAACGAGAAATAAACAAATGAATAATGTAAATGCATTTTTTACGTATATACAATTACATATTAAATAAATATATTGAAAACAATTCTCTTTACCTACAAGTCACAGTTGGAATAATCGAAAGGAACACCAGGGCCCTCTTATCTCCTTCCCATTTAATCTACAATTTTACATAATTTTATTAGCAAAATTGGGTGGTCTTAGTTGCCCTTTTTCCGCATTCGCCGCTGCTCGTACTCATAGCTAAGTCGCTGCCAAATGCCCAGGCACATCCGCACCAAGCGGACATCCTTCTCTTCGTTTCTCCTCGCGAAGGCGTACTGCTCCCGGATCAGGTGTTTCGCCGTGCGTAGTTGACCCCGCTGGATTAGCGAAATACTGAAGTACAGCTTGCACCGCGACTGAAGGAAGGGATCTCCGAGTCGCAGGCCAATCTTCAGCTGCTGCAGTGATATCTTGCCGGCCGTTTCCGCCTAAAAATGTAGTTAAAGGTCAGTGAATTAGAAAGAGCGAGACAGATAGTATTTTGGCTCCCGCAAAAAAAAACCGGGGTCGCTCGGAATACTCACACATCGCTCGAACTGCTCGCCAAGGGCAGAGAATCCACCTCCTAATGTGGAGAGCCAGGACATGAGGTGCTCCACCTCGATGTGTTCCCACAAAGTGTGTGCGAGGATGTCCGCGAATCGGTAGTCCACGGTTTCCTTTTCCGGCGGCTCAAGGGTCAGCCAAACTAACTGAACGCCATGTTTACTTTGGAGTCCTCTCGCCAGCTCTTTTTGCTCAAGAAGTTCACGCAGGTAGTAGTTCCCATTGATGGCGTCCACCTGAATGCTCAGTCTTTTCAGGGATTTGGGTTTTGGACACGAGCCACCGGCTTCTCTTCTTGGACGGTTAAGGAAGTGACAGCGCTGCCAATAGTCGCAAACGCAAACAATTAAGCTATCAGACATCTGGGGAGGATTATGTTGATTATTATTACACCTTTTATCTGGCTAACAAACATACTTTAATTGTGCAGCCTATAAAAGTTTGGAGTAAGCAAAGGCAGTATGTTCATTCCACAGGTTCCTGGGTTTTGCAAAGAGTATTTTGCGAAGTATTCCGATTTGACTGGAGCTCTTTACTGTCGTATCAGCTTAGTTTGAGGTCTCATAAAAGGACAAATGCAGATCAAGTGTTATTTTGTATTTTTGCACTTTTATTAGAAGATTTAGATGTTTTTGCTCTGGATTCACCGAATAATAATAAACACAGCCAGACCGCCAAAAAATCCCAAAGCTATTTGATATGGCAACGCTTAAATTTTGTATGTTTATCGGCGCCAGAAACTATCGGTTTTGTACAATTTAAATGAAATTGGCTTTCCTTCTTTTATTGTTTTTAGTTGAGAGCCTTTTTAATATTCGTGTACTAATAAACTTCGATACTTAAGAATATTTGCTAATATAAAAAACCATTCAAGAATATGTAAGTAACACAAGTAATTTGAAGAGTAATGTTAAGAATATCAACAATGCTTAAAGATTTCCAAAACCAAAATTATGCATTAATGAAAGGCTACCCGCAGACATGCTTTTAATTTAAAAGTATAAGAATTCAAATCACATTCCACAGCTATTGACAGTTAAAATCCACAAGTCGTGGAATCCATTTAAGGCGCGTAATTCAAATTGTTATGGCACTTGCAATCCCTTTTTAATTTCGACAATGGTTCAATTTCAGACCGAGCTCGCTGCTCCATGTGTCAATAATTCCGCGTGGAAATGACTCAATTTCGCCGAAGTGCAACTGCATCTTTTGTGGGCCTTCAACATGGCCATTATCATTATCAAACAAATGTTTCGCTCCACGATTGCTCAGTGCCAACAAATCTGTTAGCAGTTGGCAATAATTGTGCAGCCAGCGGCAACATTGTCCCCACACTTTTCTCCATTCCTATTCCCATTCATGATTTTCCCTTTTCCATTTCCCATTTTCCCTTCTTATTCTGGCTATTTTTGGCGTTTGCCTTTTATTGTTGCTGGCTATGTTGTCATCGATGGCATTAATTTTGGTAAGTGCGCCCGACTCTACTATATTCTCTCCTTCGACTTCTTCGGCTCCTTCGACTGTATCCTCTTCTTCTTCCTCTTTCAACACACGATTTTTATGGCACGACATTTTTCTGAATTATGCGCTCAATTTCCGCCGAATCGAGCAGTTTCTCTGCCCCCCAAAAAAGCCCTTACATAAATCTCGACAGTTTTTTTTTATATGCTTTGTATAATATTAATTGGTCCCAAGCCATAAAAAAATATAATTTGTACCAACCAAAATGTCGTTATATTTGTTATCACTATTATACCCTCTTAAAACAATACTATAGTTTGCAGAAAAATGTATAAAAGTAAATTATTGCTCAATTAAATTATCAAATTCAATTTAAAAGTGAACATATTGTAGATTTTGAATAGTTGCTGAGCATAAAAAATATATTTAAATTTTAAAATTAGCTTATCCATTTTATTTTGTGGTTTTATTTTATATGCAAGTATAAAACATTAGTGTAAGTGTATTTAAGTAATTAATGAATAGTATTATCTGTTTAAAAAAAATTGCTTCCACCTTTTTTCAAATTTCGACTCAAAATAAATTATAGTTTAAGTTTTTTATTCATTTATAGCTACCAGGGTATTGAAGTTTGCGCTACCAAACTTATGAATAATTTTTTATGCAATTTTTGTTTCATAATTTTCACGCTTCGTAAAACGGCAGCAACATTGTTGGATCTTTTTCGAGCACGTGCGCCAGATGAAGAAGAGTTTTGGGGGAGACTCCCGGACTCCGTGTATTCGTCGAGCAATGACAGATCCACCAAGAGATTTGTTTGTGGGCGTGTCAGCAATATGTCAAAATTGCACTCGACAGTCGCGCATGCGTCTCCACAAAAAGGGATAACTCGTGTGCCGTCCCCCCCAACCATCACTCGTCCGCATCCTCCTGCTTTCATCCTTGATCTCCTTTTTTCGGGGTTGGTCATCCACTTGAAAAGATACAAATTTTGTAGAAAACGTTGTACTTAAATAGTCGAATTTATTGTACCCTGGATATTCTCATGTATTTGTATTATTTTTCGAAAACATTTCCTCAATTTTTCATTTTTCGGAACATCGAGTTTTTCGAGAAAAAATAAAAATCGGACAACCATATCATATAGCTGCCATAGGGAAGATCGAAAAATCTATATAAAATTAACGAAAAAATTATAACATCGTTGTTTTTCATAACACAAGCAACATTTTTGGAATATAATTTTTTCTTATGACTCTTGAATTTTCTTAGCCTGTTATTTTAAATCTAAATGTCACAAATTTTCCCGTTAAAATCCTTCGGTCAAGAAAAACATGTTCAACCAAAACTCACTTTGAATTACTAGGCGATCAGAATGCAATAGTTGTTGGCTACTCTTAAGATTTCTTTTTTATGAACCCCCAAAAATTATAATATGTACTTTAATGGGTTGCTGGCTTTGTCTAGTTTTGAACGCCTTGTTGTGTCGAATATCCTCCAAATACATCCTATCCATTCCATCCTTATAAAACGTAAACAAAGCCTCAAGTGTCAGAGACAACAATAACAACGGGAAAAGGGAAATTTTCGATGAGCGGAAAATCGAAGGCAAAAACATAAACACGGTTTCACTTTCAAAGCGATTAGCTACGGATGCGCCCCGAACTTGTGCCGAAAATCCAGAAAAGACAACAAACACACACTGTCGATAAGAACAACAGTTTCAGTTTGCTGTCCTAGCACTGAAAATTTTTTATAGGTATATTGTAAAGAATTAATGCATTAAAAAAAAGTAAAGTTTTGCAAACCAGTATTCAATATTTTATACATATGTTATTTTAGTGGAACAATGAAACAAGAATGTTAAAGTAAATTTATTTCAAAAGGTTTTTTATTGATATTTTAAGAGAACCAACTAAATATTTTTAGAATAAAAAAAGGAATTAAAATATACTATATGTATTTTTGTTCAAATCCTTGGGGAGCGCATAGAAATTGAAGAAAATGTTCAGGGTAATTTGCTAACATATTTTGTAAGTGTTAAATTTGTTTAATAATTATTTTACTATAAATGTAGCATTGTTTTTTATTTTATTTCTTAAAAAAAGATACATTTTTAATGTTGGCAACTTTTTAAAGTGTATTGGGGGACACAGAGTGAGCAATTCGACACCATGCGAGTGATGGAAACGACAGGCGACGGACACACCTACGACAAGCGACGTGGATGTGTGTGTGTGCCTAGAGTGGACCCACCACAGCGCCGGGCGACAATAAATATTCGGAATATTCACTTTACAGTGGCAGCGAACCGATCCCTGCCGACCATACATATTTTATGCCATTTCAAGTGGCCACCGTCCCGCACTCCCACCCCAATATATTTGGGCCACCCCATCCGTTGGCCATTATCACCACATAATGATAGCACTGTATATAAGTTGGATCGGCGATATTGTACGTCATATACCACTTATCAGACCCCGAAAACAGTGTTAAGCCGATAGTGAAAAATACTATAAAAGAAACCACTTCATTTTGCGGGAGAATTCAGTGGATTGGCCTTGTGAAGGGTTCCAAGTGACACCTTATGAGGAATGTAATGTCTGCGGTTTGGAACCCCAACACCCCATCGATTGTCCCTATTAGTCAGCCACTAGCTGACACATTGCTCCGATTTCTTACTAATCCATTTTACGCATACCTTCGAGTATCTTTTCCCGAAATGAATCACAGGAATGCTAGTGAATCACCTAGGAAAAGGTTATTCATTAAGTCAGATCCACTTCTACTTTTATTTTAGTTAAATTAGGTACATCCTTTTAAAAATTAAATTGAAAAACTGAAAACTTTTATATAACTTAGGAACTACTTTACCACTGTTTATATTTCTTCTTAAAACAGAAATGTATGACTATACCATTTCCTACAATAAAAAATGATAAATTTGAAAAATACGAAGCACCAAAATCAATCATATTTCCGTTTCCCGCCGACAATTATATAGTACAAGTATAGCAATGGAGAGTATCTATATAGGTAATCGGAGGGAACGATCGGTGGGGCATGCGACACATGGAATCTTTATCATTAGTAACGTCACTCGGCCGACGTTTAACCTGCAGACAGAACTCAAACTCAATTTCACACGCCCGAACAAAATGCCAGAGGAGCAGTGCTCAAAAACTGTGACAAGCCATCAAATGCGACATTCATTAGTCACACGGAAATGGTGACACGATGGGAGGTTGGTCGAGATTGATTGTACGGCATATTGAACTTTGGCCAGCGAGTCAGTTAACAAAAATATACATATAACAATTACCAGAGAGAGTAGGAAATTCCCAAAAGGGACGCAGCTTCAAAGAAATGCGAGTGTGTGTCTAAAATTTAATAACGCCATACATATTCCATATCTTCTGGCACGACTCCTATGAGAGGACCCATAAATAAGAACAAATTGGCATGCAATTCGCCTTAGAGCAGCGACCAAGTAGAACATAAATTTCTCATCACTTGCATAAAAATTTCACAAAAACAACGCCCAAGAACAAACAGATGTGTCGCCGACGGATTGAGGGTCGGGGGATATGGAAATGATATGGAAATAATATGGTATAGAGGCGGTGGGCAGAGCTGCTGGCAACCCATTCAAAAACAGGACCAATCAACCAAATGAAAGTGGCAAATAAATTAATAGTTTTTAAGGAAAACGAAAAGAAAGTTACAAATATGTAGTTATTTTTAATAAGAGCATACTTAAGTCTTTGGAGTTCTGTTAATCTCAGTTAAAGATCGCCATCACTTTATGACTTATTAAGCAAAGTTAAGAACATTTTTTTGTTTTAAAATGGGGAATAAAATTGTACACATTAAAAAGATATAGCATTGCATATCCTACCCATTATTTATGTGCACTTTGTTCTCTTTGTGTATCTTAATAATATATTAATTAATAAATATGTCTATATTTTACTTGATAAGTATGGGGAAGGGAATAGTTTTATATGAGGTATTTACAAAACAAGAAACTATTAACTTTACATACCTATCCTATGAAATATACTAAACAAGCGTTTTAATTAAGTTCCTATTAATACATGTTTATTCGGCTAATAAAAATTCGAATAAATCTATTCAAGTTAATGAGTAATGTGAAATCGAAACACCAGCGTACCCATGAAAAAGGCAAGTTGTTTTTGATTTTATCTACCCCTTTAAGTAATTGCACATGACAGCCTATGCCCAAAATCAAATCCCCCATTTGGCATTTAAATCCATTTCGAATCGATCGATGGCCTGCCAATTATTTAAAATACCTACATTCAAATACATATACATACTTCGAAATCTATATTTCATTGGCTGGAGATCCATTCGCCTTGTCAATCGTCGAGGGGAAAACTTATCAGAGTGTGTGGAAAACCTATTTTGAGGGTCGATGGACGCGCAATGATAACAAAGAAGTGCGCTGGAAAATCAAAGAGGAGGAAAACTGGAAGATACGACTTTATGGCTTCCTTTGTCGATCTCCTCTCCCTTTCCGTGGACCTCCATCGTCTAACACTCCTCCTTCTGCTCCTTCTCCTTCCTGAAACTTTATTCCATAAACTCCAATCTTAAAATATGCATATTTATATGGGAGTATCTTATAATTATATCTCTTGTACTTATTTTTAAGGAAAAAAGATTGAGATACATATGTATTTAAATAACCTTGTTCTTGATTAGCTTTTGTTTAATTTGATTTTATTTTGTTTGATTATATTATATTATATTTTTTCTAAATTATTTCCTTTTAAAATATTTTTTTTTAATGTAAGCCTTATGTATAAGATGAATATGAATAAATAGAACTCCACCTTTTCCACAGCTCCAACTTTTTACTTCGTCTGTTTGTACATAGCCCCATTTCCCCATTTTCCAACGCCTTTTCCAGCCTCTTTTCCTTGGTGCTCTTTCGTTGGTGTATCCCAATTAAAACAACGGCACATTTTGTTTAGAAAGAGATGGGGCACTCGTTAAAAAACGTTCTCTGAAGAGAGATGGAGATAAAGTGCTATATAGCATAAACAAAATGGTAAATGGAAATTTGTTTTCCCCGTGGCATTTTCCATTTCCCAATTGACTTCGTCCATTTTGAAATAAAATTTCGGTTTTTTTTTTTGTTAATTTATGCTTTCGTTTTTGATTTTTTTTTATTTTCTTGCTTTTATTACTCGAAACTGTTCCAGTTTTTTATATATTTAGAGAGATATGTGCTTGTATTTACATAAATAAAGAAAAGTAACTAAGTGTTAAGCAAAAAAAAAGAGTATATTTTAATTAAACTAGAAATTACACCAAGTAAGTTTATTGGCTCACTACATTTTTAGTTTCACACAAAGCAATAAAATTAAAGCCTAAGCTAGAAAAAAATATTTATTTTGGTAATTTTCTTTTTGTAGAAATACTTGTAATACTTGTTGCATTTATTTTCGGTTTTCTGGCTGCTAATACTTGAATCCTGCACAGTGCCAAAAATATAGTTTCAAAATCATGAATAAAGTTCACAAAATGATCAATAACACAACTCTAGATTTTAAAATTTTGATAAGGATGTTAAACCGAACTCAAAGATTCAGATAATGGATGGACAATATTGATTATTAATAGTATCCTTTAGTTTATAATGAGATTTAGTAACTGCCTTCAATTTGGATACAAACTCTAGATTTTGAAACACATTTCTTGGCTTTAGATCTAATTTGCTGTGGCAGGAATATTCTGTGCTTTAGAGAATATCAATAAAACGTTCTTAACTTAGAGTATAGAATAATTTATACAGACAATTTAAAGGTTACTCTCTAGAATATTAGAAGTGAATGGGATCCTTGAACCTCTTTGCTATATAGATTACCGATTACCGGGGTACCAGATCTATATAGCTGTTGGGTCGCATCATCTGATGGTGGGCCGCCGATCCGTAGAAACTGGGGTACGTGGCACCCATTCCGTAGGCGGCGGCTGCCGCGTGACGCGACACCTTCAGCTTGTCGTAGGCGCTGGCATACGGACCATGGGCGTGGCTGTGGGCGTGGGCGTGCCCGTGGGCGTGGGCGTGGCCATGATGATAGTGAGCAGCCGCAGCAGCGGCGGCATTATGATGGTAGATCGCTCCAAAGTTACTCTGCTCCTGGGCATAAGGTTGGCCGATACTCGAGTAAATATTGGCCGCCGTCATCACTTGTTGTTGTGTTGCTCCCGTTCCCGCGGATGTTGCTCCTCCCGTTCCAGTTGCTGCTGCACTTGATCCAGCTCCCGCTCCCGCCGAAGCAGCTGGTGGGGATGCCGAGCTCGTGGAGTGCGGGGTAAGTGGATGTGGTTGCGGCTGATACGCGTGGTGGTAGCTTCCATATTGATTCTGATTTGGACTTTGTTGCAACAGCGATTGCTGCTGGTTGGCCTGGTGTTGCTGGTGGAGATGTTGCTGCTGGCCTTGGTGTTGCTGCTGCTGGTGTTGCTGTTGCTGCTGCTGGTGCTGCTGTTGCAGTTGCTGCTCCATTTGGTAGCTGAGCAAGTCCGGTGAGTTGCCGGAGGTGGAACTGCTGGATGGCGTTGCTGGCAGTTGCAGGACTCCCTGTTGTTGTTGCTGCTGCTGTTGTTGTTGTTGCTGTTGCTGCTGCTCCACTCCCAAGTCGGTGCAACTCAGGCCAAAGTTGCTACTTGCCGCCGTTCGCTCCTTGAGTTGCTGCTGCTGCAGTTGCTGCTGCTGCTGCTGTTGTTGTTGTTGCTGTTGCTTCATGCGCGCCTGACTTTCGTGGCTCATGGAGGACATGCTGCTGGCACCGCCGGTGGTTCTGTAAATAAAATAGAGGTTGAAGGTTAGAGAACATCACATACAAACTGGGATAGAAAACATATGATTTTTGTACGAGAACCACAATTTGAATTATTGAAAACAAAAATCATAATTCTTACAATAATTAAACTTATAAAAAAAGTTGACTTGTCGACACTCAAATTAAATTATAAAACTACTGGAAATGTTGTTAAATCGTATATAAATTACGTAAATGCATAGCAATAAAACAGAACCAATGATAACATTTCTTTCTGTAACCCTCCATAAGAAAAGGTTTTATACCTAAGTTAAATTAACCTTAACCTTGGAAGAAACCAAAATGAAAGAGTTCAAATTAGTTTCCTTTAGTAATTAGGTACTTCGACATATGTGGATAATGGTTTTCATTTCCGTCCTTTTCTTTAAACTTGAAAGTTACATAGATAATTATTACAAGGCATTTAAGCTTCAGAAAATATTATAAATATTTGTGCCCAAGATTGTTCAGAACTCGACCGAAAAGCATAAGCCAAACAACATTCGGCAAATGCTTGAAAGTTTGAAACATAAAACTGAAAATTATTTGGAGTATTCCCTGTAATAAACAACTCGAAAGCATAGTCGTAAACAAAAGTGGGAATTGCGGACCGCTGATTTGTTTACACTATGCTGCAAAGTCGAGGCCTGCAGTTCGACAAATATGAAAAGCCCCCGAAAATTGTTTATGCCGCCGGCACATCTGTCAGTCGTCCCATCACCATCATCATCAGTCCCATTCTCATTCTCATTCTCATTCACATTCCCATTCCTTTGCCACTCGAATCATTCGGCTTCTGTTCCACATTTTGAAGTTCTTTTGTTTTTGAGTTATTGTTTCGGTATTTCAAGACTTTCGATACTTTCCGGGAATGTCTTTGCCCGTCGACCGAATGTCTAGTTCCACTTGGACTTAGGGACTTCAAGATTTTTGGTAGGGAAATGGGCAATCCTAGGAGTGGTACCACCAAAAAGTGGGTCAATTTATCAATCACTTCTGAAACTAATTATGTTTTCATATGTCATAAATTATGATGAATATTTAAACAAGTTCGTGTCACAAAATTAGTAAAATGTTCTTATTTTCGTTGTGTTTAAATTAAAAAAAAAGAGAGCAACAACTGTATTTCTAGCCTTTACAAACTCTTTATACGGTCAAATATTTTCTAATAAACTATTTATTTAACTACGGTTTTAGAAATAGACTTAACATATTTTTGGATATTTCTACAATATAAACAGCAAAACAAAATTCCTTAGGCACATTTTCTCTGACAAATGGTTTAACATGAGAAATTGCAAAGAATTTGAATAGAATGCGTGCAAATTTGTGTTACCTTCGCAGAGAAAATACTTCTGACAAAATGTAGAGCAGTTTGTTTCGCAATCACAGCACAAAATAAGCCAAAAAACTTATCAAGAATTGTTGACCAAGAAACATTTTGTACAAGATGTGGAATCTACTTACACATCATTGGTGCCGTCATCCCGAAAGCCTTTGGCGAATGGATTGCTGGAGATCTTCAGCTGTGTCACCTGCAAGAAATGCCAAAGAAATTTGGAAAATATTTTTATTGGACTGGAGAAGTATGCCGAAAATCAAAACAAATAAATTAAAGACCCAACAAATTAGGGGGAAATGTTTACAACTGGAATTCCACTGGCAGCGGCAGAAAGACAGGGAAAATGATTTGCAATAAATTTGAGGGCGGGTGGAAAAAGTGTTAACACCCACATTGAGCACATAAACAATTTAAATACTTTCGAGCATGTCTAGGCTGTATTTATAGCAAATGTACCCGATCCCCCGTCCCCGAAATTCCCCGTTCCACTGGCCAGAATTATGAATTATGCCCGAGACAAATTCGAGAACCAAAAACACTTTCGAATCGCCCCGTTTCGTCATCCGATTTGAGGAACGTGCGATAAGATACAGCCCGAAGTTCGGGTTACCTATAAATCTGATATCAACCCCCATTTCAAATAAAACATTTGTTTGTCCTGGGGAACAGCTTGCATTAGGTGTGTACTATAGTTCCAAGTATTATATGTCAACTTTTGCACCTGATGTCCCACCTTTGAGGGGAAGTTTTCCCAGAAAATATTATTCTGTAGAACCTGATCAAAATGTAATCAAAGAACCCATTTATTTTAATCGAACTTTAAAGAGTTTTTAATCACAATAAAAAGTCGGAGCATTTCGTAGTAAAAATAAATTAAAATTTATTTTTTATATAAAAACCATTTTTATATGAAAACCATTTAATATTTTCATGATTAGAGTATCTCTCTGTTCGGCGTTTGAAAATCCTGGATAGGCATACATTTTTTGTTATATATAATCAAATATATTTGTGGATGGGGTCGCAGCACCGCTTTCCGAGCTTTGCCCGCTGTTTGTTATAAATTATGGGAAAAACATAAACAATAAGGCCGAAATGGCACAAAATGGTCGCGGCCTCTTGTTTGGAATGCCAAGGGAAATTCAGGAGAACGAAAATGCGGAGGGGAATTGCATTGGGCAATTAGTGAGGAGGGAATTGGATTAATAAAAAGAAAACACTTTCATTCCCATAAATATTTATAACTTTAAAAGCTTTGGAGGCACACAAGTTGTTTTCGTTAATTATGCTTGCAGAAATTGCTTAAAATTAGAAAAACATTCATGTTTTGGCTGGCATAAATCATTTGAAATTTATGATAACTAATTTCTGCAATAGTTTTCTGAGTATTATATATTATAAACCTGACTCACCCGCTGATTCTGATAGGCAGTTACGGCCGTAAAGCTCGTCTCTGGAAAGATAAAAGTGCGGAAGTGACTGGAGTGCTCGTTCTCATCTAGGGACGCATTCTTCGGTGGCAAGTACACCAAATGGAATCGGGGCTGATAGCGATGCATTGAGTTCAGAATTATCTGCAAATGTGTACGAAAATAGAGGGAAACCAGGCGTCAGAAGAATACTTACAAAACACATTAATTTACGATGGTAAATGCAAGGCAAAAGCAAACAAACAGTAGTTGCAAAATAATAAATTAAAAGTGTTTCGAGAAACAGTAAAAAAAATGGTTATTTATAATTGGGATTTGGTGTATATTTAATATTAAATTACTATATTTTTTAGGGTGGCGCAATTGTTGGAGGTTGTAGAGAGTATAAATATTAAATAAATAAAATATATTAATTACTTAATATAATCAAGATTGAGTACACTGATATATCGATTACTTACATGCCCATTTTCGTCCAGTTGGTTGTTGGTGAGCTTTAACTTGTCGAAGGACACGATCTGCTTCATCCAATTGGAACCGGCGGCAGGTGAGTCGGGATGCACGTGAATCCTTGGCGGGGAGATGGGATCCGCTTTGCCGGCCACCACCCAACAGGAGCTGAAATAAGAAAATATAAATAATTTAAAATTAACAACAATATCTTATGTTTAAAAGGGTATAAATATATTTTAATTACATAATAAATGTTTAAAATAGAAAAATAGCATAAAGTAATTAAAAGAAATTAATTATTTTTAGGCGTCGCATATGTTTTTTTCTTATAGTGTACATTCAAAAGTTACGCATTTATTTATATAAAATATTACAACTTTTTTTTTTGAATTAAAAGAAAACATTTATAGGCACGTATACCAATATGTTAACAGATTTAAAATATTCTTTGAGGGAACAAATGAATTAAATATACTTTTCTTATTGTCTTAAGAGACTATTTAAATGTGCGTGTGTTATTACTTTAATTATGCATTAATACTTTTTTTAGTAACATTTATAAATCAATTGGGTTCTCAATTACTCACTTGTGAAAGGCGTAGCGGTAGCGCTTGTCGTCCATGGGGACGAAGTCCATCATGCAGATGTAGGTGGCGTGGGGATCGAGGCCCCCAATCCTCACCTGGAAGGTGGGGAACATGCGGCGGCCCGTCTTGGTGATGATCATCTCGGTGCCCTGGGCGTGGAACTGATCCCACAGCGCCTTCGTCTCCAGCACCACGATGGCCTGCGCCAACGATGGATGCACTGGCTCCGATTCCTGGGTAAAGAAGAGAAATTATTAAAATGTGGTTTAGGTTTTGTGGAAAGAAATGTTTCCAAGGAATAAGAAAAATAAAATTATAAAAATTATTTCACTTTTTAAGTGTTAAACACTTTCCTTATCCAATTAATAGTTAATGATAATAGGTTAAATCTTGTATAAATTGCTATACACCGAGCTTTAACAAATATTACACTAAATTAAATTGAAAGGATGAAAAGGGAACTTTCAAAGTCTTCCCTATCACTTACTCCCTTGCTGATGTTATTGCTGCTAGGCTTCACTGTACTGTTGTCTGCACTGCTGTTGTCTTTTTTGTGTTGGCCCTTGTACTTTTTGGATCCCGTGGATGCAGTTGCTCCTCCCGCCGCAGACGACGTTGCTGTAGTGCCGGCGGAGGTCGCTGCCGTCGAGGCTTCACTGTTGCCACCGGGATAATCGGGTGGCAGGAGGGAGGAGGACTGCTCCTGGCAACCAGAGTTGGAGATGCCATTGCCGCTGGATAGGCTGCTGCTGCTGCTGCTGTTCGCGGTGCCAGTGCTGCCTGTACTGTGCGTCTCGATGTCGGCCAACTTGGCGTCGATCTGCTCCAGCGGCTTGTACGAGCTGCGATCCTTGCCAGCCGTTTGGATGCAGGCTGCAAATGGTCAATGTTGGGTCAACTTTAGGGACAATAAACCAAATGGAAATTGGTCTTAAACTACAAACAGGAGGAACTTTTTTCTGCCACCGGAAACATAAAACCGAAAATAGGATTTAAAGATGGAATGGTTAATACCAATGATTTCTTTAGCATATTCAAATTTATTAATCATTATTTTTTTTTAATACATTTTTAAAACTTTCTTTACATTGATGTTTGAATGCAGGCTTGAGTTGCGTCATTAAAAACACTTTTATTTTATTTAAAACAAAATTATAACTTAACAATTACTAATGATCCACTGAATAATTAAAAAGGCTTCGGATATTTAAAAGTTAATTTCTTCAAATAATTTAAAATGACTTTACGAATATATCATTCACAAAAGAGAGTTCACCTACACAGTTTGCGTTTAATAAAAAAGTAAATAAAAATAATCGAAGAATGTGTCAATGTTTAGTTGATATAAACACGTAATATCATACGGACAGTACAACTATTTTGATTATCTGTTTGATCCAATAAAAAAAAGAGTTATTTAAGCTACATATTTTGATTGCATTAAACTTGTTCTGCCTTTTAGACATTTAATAAATTATTGAGCTTTAGTCACGATATCCTTAACTCATTTCTGTGCCAAACAAAAATTGCCCCAGCAAATAAATAAATAAGAGGCCATTGCAACCTAGTTCTCGAGATCCCTGACAAATGGGCGGAAAATATTCGCCTATAAATCAAACACGTACCGCGAATACGTTTCGTATGCCAAGTGAGTGGAATGACTTTATATATAGCCGCTGGGATTTGCTAATTTCATATTTAATGTGATTTATGCGATTTAAAGTGGAAGCCGGGGAAACACGGAGACGCCACGCCGGCGCAGAGTCGCGATTAAAGATCCCTTTTAATATGCTGCCACTCGCAAGCGGTAAACTACTATATATAATTAGCCGACTTTCGAGTTTCGGCTTTCGGGCAAATGGGACAACGTGTCCAATTATAAAAAAGGCGTCAGAGCAGCGGCTGCTGATTGAGTTGCCCGCTCTAAATTTAGGATCTCCCCTTTTTGGGGGAAGCCTTCCCGCTTTCGTGTGGATTTTCTGCAATTAATTGTCACCGAATCGGTCTTTTGGAGTCTCGAAGTTGCGAGAATTGCGGGAATTGCCGCCAATGACCCATGACAGGTCGCCTTTTTATCGCTTAATGAGACGCTATTTTTTTCGGCATTTTCCGCTGCACGAATGAATTCTAAAATCAATTAACGTTTGGCACAACAAATCGTTTTTCTGTCACACGACAACATCAAACATTAAACAACAACAACAAGAACAACGAAGAAATGCCACTTGAGAAAACGAGAGTCGAGTATCAAGAAACGAGAATCTCGGATCCGGGAATTCGGAGCTAATTGCTCGGGTTTTCTGGTTTTCTGGTTTCTGAATTTCTGGCTTCTTGTTGTTTGCTGTTTGTAATGCCGCTGCCATGGTCCGTGTATTTTGCTAATTACTGTATCGGAAACGGATTTTCTTTCAGTTTTTTGGGTCACCAGAAGACCAAACAAATGGCTTCAAACATATTTCGTTACCAAGAAAAGCTGCATGGAATTTGTTTTTGTTTCATGTGAGTTTTGTGTTCCTTTTATAATGAATTATATAATTTATTTAAAGCCAACAAAGTAAAAGCAAAGTTTTATTTTCCAGGTGAAAATAATAAATGTAATAAAGAAATGAATAAGTCTTTATTACTTCCTATATTTATTTAATATTTTAATATGAAACATTATGCATTCAAGCCTTTTTCAAAATTTCAATTAACCATTTGAAAAGGAAACGGTTTTTTTTTTTTATCTTGGTAAGCAAAGTAATTTTCTATCATTAAAATAGAAAAAGGTCAAATAAGTTAAGAAGATTAAAAAGAGTATAATATGGAAATGAATAATAAATTTTTCAGCAAAACGGGTGTCAATAGCATTCAAACTATTTTTTATTCATAAATTTTTTTTTGACAGATACTAGTTTAAAATATGACATTTATCATTAAAATATGATTAACATTTGTTTAGTAAAACACTTGTCCAATTACCACCAATAATGATTAATTATGTGATTAATTATGAGGTGTAATAAGCATAATTGATTCAGATTCTTCTTATTTGTTATTTTGCAGTCAAATCTTAAAGACTCTGTTGGCCTAAAATATTCTATCAGCTTTATTAGGAACTTGAAAGAGATGTTATTTTTCTGCATCAGAAATTAAATTGACAGAGGTCTTAGACAAGTTTTTAAGTGTTCAAAGATATCATAGGTAGTGGCTTTATCTTCTTTCCTATTATCATCTTTTTATGTTTTCTTCTGAACAAACTCCTGTAAAACTTAAAAGCATTTTAAAGGGAAAGGTAAATGATTCAACCTTTAGAACCTTCAATGCTCTTTATTGGAACCCTTTTGGTTCTACCTTTGGGACTTATAAAGCCTTAACTTAAAACTTGTTTAGGAAAGTCACACAAAAAATTAAAAAAAAGGAGAGGAAGGAAGGGAATTCCATGTGTAATCCCCTGCAAATCCCTGGTGCGGACTCACCTTCGATCTGCTTCATGGGACTGAGGCCGCCGGTGATGTAGGGCGAGGTCCAGTAGTCGTTGGCGTAGCAGTTGTAGTCCGGCAGACTGGTGTCCAGGAACTGCATCGAGGTGGTCATCATGGCGCTGGCGCACTCCGTGGGACCCATCAAGTGCGTCATCGCGAACCGGATCAACTAAGTATATGCTCGTATATCGGTATGGATATAGCTGGGGGTGGGGGCGGGGGGGTCTCACAGTAAAAAAAAGGAAATCGCAACGAATTCTTGGCCCATTTATTCCGATTTGATTTACTTTCGGCCGAGCTGTTTTGATCTCAAACGTTTTTCGCGCAGTTGTCAAATTTGATTATTGCACCCACACACTCTCATTAACTCACTCACTGTGCACTGCAAAAAAAAAACTGTATATACGTTCTATGGCCGATGAAGAAGTGTGAAAGAAATCACCGCAACCTTTCGCAGTTGTCAATCAGAATCAGAATCGAGATCGAAATCGAAATCGCGAGGGAAAATAAATTAATTCCTTTTTTTTTCCTGGCTCGAATGTGTTTTTATGGCCCGAACGCGTTGACTGGCGAAAATTTCCTCTTTTTCTTGTGTTTTTCTTTTTGGTTTTAACTGATTGATTGACTTGAACTTCTTTTATTTGTTTTCCTTCTATTTCGCCTGGCAGAAAGCGTTGAGTTGTCTCAATTGCCACCTTCTTCCGGCCAAGTGCGAACTGATTATCCGTATGTATAGTATATATATATCGCGATCACAGCACTGATCTCATCTGATTTGATCTGATCTGATCTGATCTGATATGAACCGATCTGATCTCAAGCGATCTCCGATCACGCACACATCCGTTCCGTAAAGCGCTTGTCCGCCGAATGAGAGTTCCCGTTTCGGAACAGCCGTACGTATCGGCCGCACTGCCTCTCGAGATCTTGACTATATCACCATATCGTCTCCCCATATCCGTCCGCCAATCGTCGGCGGCAGCATCCAAATTTAGACTCGCTCTACGAACCGATCGATCCACCAATGGCCGAGCGGTCTCCTCCTTTTCGGATCGGGTCGACATATGTTGGCTCTTCAGAGATCGTTTAGTCTGGTTGGGTGTATCCAAGGGATATGCCTGGTAGATCTCAGAGTAGAGTGCTACGAAGGCATTTACCAGATGTCCGTACAGTGAGGCTACAGTTTAGGAGGATCTTCGGAATAGATCCTAAGTAACTTCATAGCCTTGTCTGGTATTTCGATTGTAACTTACACAAGAGTTGTGTTCTTATATATGGAGCTATGGATCTTTTATATGAGTTACGTGAATGGAATTAAAGCTATAAAGCTATGGTTTTCATTGTCATTATAAGTTAATATACGGGTATACCAGGTAATATAAACACATAACTCACCTATTTGTTTTATCGTCTTAACTACAATAGTTTAATATGACTAAAAAGTCATTATTAAATAATAGTGTTCAGGGCCGTAGCTAGAGCCTCGGGGGCCCTGGGGCAACAAGTAAATTTGGGGCCCCCTATACGGGAGTCTTTTGTCAAATTTTATTCACAAATTCATAATCAATGCCACTGACGAGGAAATTTCGTTAGAAGCCGAAAAATTCATGAAAAATTTCCGTGATAACATTTCTTCCACATTTCCATCGCAATTACTCTCGTTGCGTTCAGCGTTCAGAAAACAAATCGGTCTGATTGATAGTGTGAAATAACTTGCTGAAATGATCATAATTGAAAACAGTTCCTTAACGTCAAGTTACTCTGATGTATGCAAGCGGCGTTTTTAATGGTATTTACCAAATGAGATACTGAGATATGTTGAAATAAAGCGAAAACATGTTGTTTTGTACACTATCTAATAAAACTGTAAACAATTTAGAATTTTTTTATTTTGTTAGACTATTGTGATCCATTTAAAGCTTATTCAGAAAGTCCGAAAGCCATGGTAAGGCTTTTTCATAACTAAAAAAGTGGTCGATAAGAAGGGGCCCCGGCGGGGCCCCTTTCCCTTCGGGGGCCCTGGGGCACCGCCCCACCTGCCCCATGCTAGCTACGGCCCTGATAGTGTTGAACTTGTGACCTGATTAAAAGGATGGACAATTTTTTTGATTTCTATCAACAACCATATCGGAAATTTTTTCCAATTAAGATATACCAACTAAAAAAATAATTCGATTTAATTTGTTTACTGTAAAAAGTTATCCTTCATTAATGAGACTTTAGAATGGTTTTATCGTAATATATATATTTTCTTTAAATACTTAAGATCTTCGAAATTTTATTTTGTAAAGAAAAATACAGCGGTTCCCCAAAGATTATAGTTTACTGTATCCCCTCCCCACCTCCTTCACCCCATTTAAGTTCCTATTTTTAAAGAAATTCTCTCTCTCTTTTTGAAGGGGCGTGGTCTTTGGCGATGGATGGTGTTTGGGAGGGGGTTGGGGGCGGCGATCCCCATCTGGATTTTGTTTACTTCTTGCAGGGGGCAGTGGGCGTGACCGCCGAGTGGGTGGCTGACCTGACTCATGCGCCTCATTTGGAAAACGCTTTTAATTGGACTGCGGCCACATGGTGGTGCTCATGGCTTTCGTGGTGCTCATGCTGCACTGCAGCCGATGGTGGTGCTGCTAGTGGCCATAAATACAAATTGCGCCATAACCTCGACACTAAATAAACCGTAAAAAGAAAAACCGAATATTAAGACAGTAAAAACAAACACCGGAAAAAATAAAAACCTTATCAGGCTTCAAAGAATTATAGAGTTTTATTAAAATAAATTTTAAAAGCTTACCCTTAAATACAGAAAAGGCTTTGACTAAAAATTGTTATGAAATTATTTCATCCCTAATTCTATAAATACTTCTTATATATGAATGTCTTATTATAAGGCCAATATAACTTTTTGAAAATGTTCAAAGAAAGGTTTGAATGGTAAATGGTGAAGAGTAATAAAATCTGTTGCATAAAATTTCCGCTGGTTTTCAACGTTTTAAAAAATTTTAGGATAAACAATTTCTTTTCCTAAAATATACCAAAGTGTTAAACAAACTAAAATTGCATTCTTGAGCTCCCATATCAGATAGTTACTAATTTGCATACAATTTCTCATTTCAAAAATATTAAAGATATATCTTTGTGGCGTTTTGCATGTTACAAATAAAAAGTCTGTGAACCATTTTCAGTTATTAAATTAAAATTCCTTTTTTCAGAGCCTTTATTTTTTTCCCCAGTGTACGAGGTACGAGGAACGCGGAAAACCTGGGGGCTAACGAGAAAGAGTGGGAGAGAAGACGAGAAAATGGCGTCGGTTGGCCATTAGATTCCGGGATCTGGGCCCCATGGAGATCCGGGGAACCCGAACCCGCAACTCGAGCCCGAAAAAGGTGGAAGAGTGGAAAACTGGACCGATCAAAGTGAACAGAAGCGATTCGCCGGGGGGCTTCTGCTTTCCATCAGCCACGGGCGTTCAATTAACGGTACCTGGTACCTGGTAGCGGGTCTCCTCCGCCACCGATCCACCTGAACCGATTTGTTTACCTTCCCCGTACACCATATAAATCTACGCATCCAGTTGCGCCCAGGATTTATCCATTATCCATTTATGGAACGGCTTGTTATTGTTTTTCCTTAATTCCCCGTTCGGTTTTTTTTCGTTTTTCGTTTTTCCACTCTGTTTACAATTATTTTGAGTTAAGTGGTTCCTTCCCCGAGCTCTTCGTTTATTTTTTGGCATTTTCGGTAGCATTTCGATCGCATCGTATCGTACTATGCACTCCATAAATAATTCATAAATTTGAAAAATTGTTATGGCATTGGCCATGCCATTACTTGTTAATTATTTGTTTGAGTGTAAACAATTGGGAATTAAATGGTTACCGCTTGGGGTAAATTAATTTGTGGCGGCGAACGGGCAGAAATCTCCATTTTTACTGATTCGCACTCGATTAAAAATAAATTTTAACAAAATAAATAATAATACCTTCACATAAAGTAATATTAGTTAGGAAATTAAAAATTAAAAAAAAATTAAAAAAATTTTAAAGAAGGTCAAGCAAACTGTACATTTTTTATTTTTAAAGGATATTATCATCGATTAGTTAAACCTTTTTCTCAAAATATGTGATACTTCCAGTTTGAAAATAAAAATTAAATAACAACTTAACCATCTACAAATTGCTTTTTGTTGTAAGGATAAATATTGTATTATATTTTGATTGGTATAATAAAAATTAATCTATGACAAGTGTTTGCATACAATCAAGAAAAAAGGTATTTAAAAATTGAAGCTAACCAAGGTTTATTCGGTTTCTTCTAACGCAAATTTAGATTTCAAATTGGCAGATGAAAAGTGGGTTGGGAATTTCGAATTGAAGTGTGTCAAAAGTCAATATGCAATAACATAAGAACTTCTACTTCCGTTTGCGGTTCTTCTTGGCCTTCTTCGTTTTGATTGTGGAGGTCGTGGCAAGACCTTTGGTTTCCGGTTTAATGGCGATGTCCACAGGACTTGATGGCAGAGCAATTGGCTCGGGGTTCAGAGGCTCCTCCTCCTCGTTCTGCTCCTTGCCAATTCGATCGACGGACTTCTTGCAAAGTGTATTGACGGACAGGAATTCCAGGCCATCGGAAGACGGGAAGAGCAGCTCCTCCAGTTCATCATCGTCCTCCGGAATTATTGAGTTACGCGTCTCTGGCAGATTGGGGATCTCACCGGCGATGTCCTCGCCATCCTGGTAATCATCCGAAGCATTGAGCACATCCACGGTTTTGGTCTTCTGATCGAAGGGTTCCATGGCTTTCTGATGGAACTTAAATCGGTCCAAGTCGCCCTCCTTTTCGCTCAGTTGCTTGGGCGTCAGGACAACCGGCTGCCAGCAGAGATCCAAGGTGGACATCCGCCGGATGCCCACATCCTCCAGGATGCTGTGATTCGCCAGAATGCGACCCTTGTACGTCAGCCGACTGAAGCCCATGGGCACGGATAAGTTGCTTCCGATTCGGGACTTCAGGTTTCCTACGGTTCCAAAACGATCCACCTCATAAATGCTTTTCCTGCCATCACGCGTCTGAATCAGGACCTGCATCTTTCGCATCCTAGTCGTCCTAACTGGTGGCCAAGCCTTTGCTAACTACGTCTTCTCGATCTCCGCTTATTATGTCCTCGTCCTGTGTTTTCAGCTTTGGTCTCGTCAATAAATTGTTTCTATGTGAATGCCTCGCCGAGCTGTCGTCATTGTTGGGAGTGACTGGCAAGTCATGGCATCGTGTCAAACACCTTTGACATTTCCAGCTCAACTCTAGAAAATAATCATACTATTTGGGAAGTACTATTTAGTACCTCAAATTTTTATCATACCATAAAGATGGTTAGGAGCATAGAATAGCTTAAATAACTAAACGGATTCATGTGCACATTGAATATCACAACAAAAATATTTAAACTATAAAACCTATACATATGTAATAAATTATATATCTTATATATAGGTACATTTTTATACTGTGAAAATTTATTTATTATATATTTATTTTTATTAATATTATATGTAAATATATCTTTTTTAAATGAACATTTAATAAATGAAGGTTCTCTTCGAAGTAAACTGATGTTTGGGTGTTGAACAATTAACCTTTTATCAATAAATAAAACCTTTAGTTTTTATTTATTCTCAAAAGTTACATTTGTTTAACAAATTTGTTTAAGCAAATTCATGTTTTTGAAATCTGGTTTGACCAAATTTAATTAATACGAAATCGTTTTACCAAACTAAATGTATACTTATTTCTTTACCAAACCTAATCGATACAAATTTGTTTCCACAAATTGAAACAGCCAACGTATATTTTGGCTTCCCTGGATCTGAGAAGCATCCACCAACTGATCTATTTCCGCACACCCAGTTCGATTGGAAATGGCCCCGGAAAAGCGAGCCGTGAAAAGTAATTGACAAACATTCGGAGGCGTCGACACATTTATGCACCCCTCATTGGCTGAGAGAGCTTCCGGTTTTGCTACTGCTTCTCCTTCTCCTTCTCGTTCTGGTTCTGAATCGGGATCGGAATAGAGATCCATAAGGGGGCACAGAGTGGTGCAGGGGCATAATGTCAACTGCAGCGCGGGCCGTCAAGTGCCGCCCGTTGACACCTCGTAAAACGCCGAATGCAAACAAAATGTTTGATCAATATTTGCCTTCCATTCCCATTCCCAGTTCATTTTCGTATTCAGTTTTCTTCAAAGCAAATGAGCAAAGAAACCAAAAAGGGGATAAAAACTATAAAATTAAGAAAATACAAAAAATTGTCATTTTAAGAACTGCAAAAAGAGATCGCTTCTTAAAAAAGGATAATCTCTCCTCAAAATACATATTTCAAACAAACTGATAAAGAATCTTACAACCTCTTGCTAACCTTCAAAAGTTGAATGAAAGTTTTTTTATTCAAATATTTTGTATTTTGTTATATTCACAACCACAAAAATTAATAACATTTTAAATTCCTTTATGTCTCATCAAAATTGTATCTTTATTTTTGTTCAAGGCAAAGACATAACAAAGACAGAGTTGTGTAAAAAAAAGATTAAATCAATTGTGATGCTGTAATGCTGAATTGAAACGTTTAATGCAGAGGACGAAGTCTTTGGGAGCTGGAATGGTGGGAGGACTGACTTTCATCCATGGACTCGTGCTTTTCGCATTCCTTAGAGCCTCCAGGCGGCCAGAAGGCCGGCGAGCAGAAGGGATGTGGAGAGGACCACGGAGACACCGGAGTCGCGGGCCAGCGGGATGAGGGTGTCGTTGGCGTTGAGGAAGTTGCAGCCGCGTCCCTCGCAGACGTAGCAGTTGCCGCTCTTCACGCACTGCTTGTTCGACTGGGCGGAGGTGAGGCAGCCGCGCTGGAAGGACCCGTCGACGGTGCGGTTGCTGTTGCGGATGTAGCACTGGTCGCCGAACTTGTAGATCGGGCAGATCTTCACCTCGCTGTAGTTGTCCCTGGCGCACTCCGAGGACGTCGAGTTGCCGGAGCACTGCAGGCACTGCGCCCGCGTCATCGGGAAGATGTTCTTGTTGCAGCCGGCGCTCGAGTAGCAGATCTGGCACACCAGCTCGTTGTTGCACGTGCTCCGGGTCGCGTTGTTCAGGTCAACGGCACAGCCGCGGATCGTGTAGCCATCTAGTAAATCATTTAAAGTACACAAATGAAAAAGTATATTAAAATGTAATAACTTAGCTTTAGCAACAGCTTAAAGTAGTGAAAAAAATAAACTATTTTTATTTTAGGTTATTCACCGCCCAAGAAAACGTTATAAATATATTACAAAATAATTTCTTATTTATATAAACCTCAAAGTGATTAATTTTTGTATTAATCTTTAGAACCATAATAAAGTATAACTCATTATACTGGAAATTTTAATTACTTTGTTTCCTTCTTTTTATTTAAGCGGTAAGCACTTGACAACCTAAATTAAACAAACAAAACCGTAAAAAACTTAATTGTTTAATAATCTTAAAAACATGTTATATGAGATTTTTTAAAATACAAAAGTCTTTGTAAAAATGTTTGCAAAATGTGTGCTGCTTAAATTTGGCAATTATTATATAATAACAAAATTGACAATGCCCATACAGACACAGCATTTTTTATAAATTTGATCGGTGTAAAAAATATTAATGAGAAAAACTTTAAGCTTGTGAATTACATAAAACTTTTAAACTAGTTTCCCTAATTATTGCTAAAATTGCTCTTTAAGGCTTTAAGGTATAAAAGTGACTAAGTGGAGACTTGCAGTACGTTAAGCTGCAGATGATGCATATTTTTCTATTTCCAAATCGTGGTAGTAAAGAAAACGAAGAGGATGAAGAAAACTCACCCAGGACGCGGGAGTAGCAGTCGGAGGATCCGTCGGAGCAGTTCCTGTTGAGCAGGCTTAGCGGATTGGTGGCGCAGCGCTCGTTGTCCTTGGAGTTGCACTGGATACAGCCATCTGTGAATGGAGCGAGGGGAACGGAGCTTTTCGGTTGAGTTTCGGGCAGGCCTGATTAGATTAGATTAATGGTTGTAACCTTCGCGTTCAAATTGACACAAGTAAACGGACTAATCACTTCGGTGCAAAGTTCCACAAAGTGCAATGCAAAAGCATTTGTAATTTTTTTTTTTATCAATTTTAAGCCCCTTCTCCTAATTCCTTTTATGTTTATAAAACGCACTGTACGCGCTGACATTTACTATCTAAGTTTTCCTATTGCCACAATCGATTCTTATCGGCAGTCTGTGTACATAGCCCCAAATGAGTCAACAAGCATATACTTATGTCCAGTGTAAGATAAGAAAAGCAAATTTACACTGCTGACAGCATTACCTGAGGTGTTTGCCCACAAATTATTATGAAATTATCCAAACCGTATTTATTACGGCGCTTATGATGAAATACGATATTGATATTCGAGATTAATTTTTTTTTGAAGGAACAGAAACAATAAGTGTTTACAAATCAAAGAAGAAAAAGTTTGTGCTTAAATTAGGTGATGAGTCATAATAAATAAAGTTCAGCTAGAAAAATAACTACATATGCATAGAAGTTTACAAATATTTTTAAAGTGAACATAAAACTGCAATTATGCCAGAACTTAATATATTATTTGTTGTTCGAAGTTTTAGTTTCCATAACATTTATAGATCATTTTGCATATATTTAATTTGAACAAAAATTACATGGATTAAAGCCGCCAACGCTGCTCATCAGCGTTATATTTCATCATAACATGAAATCAAACGAATGCTCACATATGGATATATAAATTCTATATACTATATATCAAGTTATTCGCCGGCAAAACACTATCACAAAAAAAAAAATGTTGCCCAAGTTACAAAGCCCACAACCTTTGAAGTTTCTATGCGAGCACGGCTATTGATATCTTATCACAAAGTTATTTCCGTGTCGATGAGACCACCGCTTATCACACCTTTTTCTTATATAATGCACTCAATAAATCGTTCATTTGAAACATAAAAAAAAAATGTAACCAGATTGAAATCGGGAGGGGAATCGAGCAGAAATAAGGGATTTACCACAGCTAATGTAGGTCAAAAACGACACGGCGGCGATAAGCAGCAGGTAGAACTTCATGTCTGATTTGGATATTCGATCTCGAACGAATGTGCTAAATTCAATTACTAATTTCACGGCGATCGAAGAAGCGACGCGTAGTAAGGCTGAAACAAGACTGAGTATCGATCGTTCGTACGGGGATTTGAGGTCTCCGAGCTTACAAACAAAAAACTAGATAACGCCGCCCGAAGCGTTAATACTTGATACTGATAACGCGACACGAACAAACGTTTCTGATTCACAGAGCAAATAAGTAACCTGTTTCATTTCCATTGTTTAAACTGTTTGGAGAGTGTAAACGATTGGCGGCCGTTAAAAGAGAACTGCGCTTTTGAAATGTTTTAAACGGAGTGTCAAAAAACTTTCAGGTTAAAATAAATATCTATATTATTTTCATATATTTTCATAAAGATAGATAAAGAATTATTACTTCCCTCGTAACAAGTTCTCAACATAAAAATATTATTTTTTTTTTTTTTTAATTAGAAATAGAAAGAGATTACTTTTCTTTATTTGTAACTTGTAACTTTGTTGTTGAGTTGTTTTTGATTTATTTGTAATGTTATATTTATTTATTCGCATATAAAATACAAAGTTTCCGTTTTATTAAAAAAAAATTAAGTTATTCTTTTAAATTCTCGCGCTGCTTTGAATGCGTTCCACTTCTTGCAGAAACTTATCGATAAGTGCTCCTTGCCAGCCCGTCAAACAACACAGTCTGGCAACACTAAACTTCTTGAATTATTTTTATTTTTAGAGATTACGGGGGAAAAAATCGGCGGGCACACCACTCCAAAAATAATAATAAAAAAAGAGTTTCTCTCTTTCGGTTTCAAAACATTGTAATTTTCGATACAAAAGAGAAAACACCGGGCGATGAACAGGACGCCGCAGACACCTGCCACACCGGGAACTCCTGGAACACCTGGAACTCCTGGCAGCTTGGCCATGGAAGTGGCTCGGGTCCAAAACTCTGCACTGGCGGAGTTCAAGAAACCCTCGCCAATGGTGCGCCGTAAAAACAAACCGAAGATCCTCACGGAGGAGAAGTATATCGAGGAGATGTCCAAGATCATCCAGCGGGACTTTTTTCCGGATCTCGAGAAGCTGCGCGCCCAGAATGATTACCTGGACGCGGAATCACGGCGGGACTTTGTCCAAATGGCTGAGATTCGGGAGCGATACAGTCTGGGCAGGATTCCCGGAACGGGAAGGAACATGGGCAGAAGGAACAACCAGCGAAACAATGGTGGGTATTATCCAAGATCAGAAAAAGTATTTATCTATCTATCAAAATACACATTTTGCCAACATTGTTGTATGGAATTTGAATACTGTCTACCTTAATATCACTTCAGTTGCTGCTTGGGGATTCATTGGGAACTAGAATATTTAATTGTTTTAAAGAATATATAGCTATAAAGCTGGGTCAATTGATGGACAACTCAGTAGTCTGATGAAATGAAGTGCAAGCAGTAATATGATTTAGAAGAGGATGTATCGATTTTATGTAGTACATTTAATTTCCCCCTACGAGTATATCTTAGATTCCTTATACCTTTTCCCTTAAAATCATTTCATAATGAACCATTTCCTTTAACCCTTTAAAAAAACTTTCCTGATGTCTAAATATTTCTCATTTCAGCCATGTCTCCGGCCACATTTGAGACGCCAGTTAGCCAGGCCAACGGTAGCAATACCCCGTTTCCCAATTCCCGGGCCAACGACACCCCTTTGTCCACAACCAGCTCCGAGAAGAGCATCGCCGAGGGCAGAGACACAACTTCGAAGCTCTCCCTCGACGCCTTCCTGCAAAGCTACACCAGCGAGGATAACCAGAGCTTCCAGGAGATCATCGAGACGGCGGAGGCGAAGCTTCGCCAGAAGTACGCTGTGCTGTACAACCACGAGAAACTGTCCGCGGAGCAACTGCAGCGTGCTCTAATGCTGCCGAGCATAGAGAAGCAATTCGAGGAGCCGGATCCGTTGAGGAAAATAGAAACGTGGAACTACACGAACATGAACTCAATAATGTATGTGCCCGATGGCGTGGAGTACACGGAGGAGGAGCGTGTCCAGTTGGCGGAGCGTAAGCAGAGCATCCAACACAATGCCACCCGGCTGCCAGATGAAGCTAAACACGAGACGGAGGGTAAAAAGATGGATGAGGTGCCCGCCAAGGGAGCAAATGAATCCACTGCCACACCAAGGATACGAGGATTTGATCTACTGCGTTCCCCATCCCCAAGACCCGGAGAGGCCTTCTCGCCCATCATGACTTGGGGTGAGATCGACGGCACTCCCTTTCGTCTCGATGGAGGCGATACACCATTGCGACCCACGCAGGGACCCTCGTTTCGGATCAACGAGAACTCGCGGCGCGAAAACATTGCCATCGCTCTGGCAGAAAAGGTCAGCGAAAAGATGCGGAACCAAAAGCAAATGGCCTTGGACACGGCGCGTCGGAACATTGGATCCCCACTGATTCGCACTAACATGGAGCGACTGGCCAGCATGTCGCCAGCAGCTCAGTTGCTGGCCACCGGAAAGCTGGGGCTCCGCGGAACGCCAAGATCATCGCACACGCCGTCGCCTCTGAGCGCCCGCAAACGCAAGATTACGCCTGGAGTTGTGAGGAACACCACCACGACGCCACTGGGTCCACCGAAACAACAGCCGGGCAAAATTAGCACACCGGCCAAGAGCTCCGGCATTGATACGGGCTCCACGCTAACTGATGACCTGCTCAAGATTCCCACAAAGCGACGCACTGCAGCCGATTTCTTCTAGCATATATTACCTTCTCTGTTCAAGTTTAGTTTCAATGCAATACCTCATTATCCTTGAACTTTACTGCTAATAACAAAATAGAAAGACCCATTCCCAGGAGTTGGTTAAATGATGATAAGAGATTTTTGAATGCGAAATCATAAACGTACTATTAGCACATCTGTTATCAGCTAAATGATTATGTTTAGCTCAGTGCAACTCTTGGTAATCTCCTAATCTTTAAATACTCTTTCAGCTATTTTCCAATCCTAATATTTTTTTCATCTTAAAACCCGGAATCCCCACAGGAAGGAGTTAAAATAATTGTTAACATTGTAGCTTCCAAAAAAAACTCAAACCAAGTCGACTTGAGTAATCACGACCCAAAGTATATAGCAAATTTAACGATCGAAGTAAGTCATAAATATTTATAAAGGAAAATTCCTTTAAAAAGTTTAATAGAGACTGGAATTTAGATTGTTTTTAATGCTGTAATACAAAAACCCATTTCCGTACATCACAAATTGATTGCGAGACTAAAACTGTGCATCCCTGTAGTCGACGTGATCGCCGGACTTGAACTTGAGGGCCTCCAGGACCTTGATGAAGCGCTCCGTGGTCTGGACGGTGGTCAGCATGGTCTTGGCCTCCCTTTGCTTCCGGAACATTTCGACGACGGCGGGATCGTGGGCCTCCCGCTGCACCTGCACGGTCATCTGGGTGTCGATGACGCCGGGGGCGTAGTTAAGCACCAGGGTGTCCTTCGAGGACTCCTCGGTGGCCAGCACCCGGAAGTACATCTCGCGGGCCGCCTTCACAGTGCAATAGTGAGCCATTGAAGAAATCGGAGCGATGGCAGCCAAAGTGCTGAGATTCACTACCAACTTGGGGATTCCCTGGAAGATTCGCATGAACTCGCAATTCAGCGAGATGGCGGAAAAGACATTCGTGTGATAGTATCGCTGCAGGATGTTCGTATCCCCGATTTCCTTGGCCCTCTTCGAAGTATCGCCCACGGTGCCGGCATTGTGGATGACTATGGCCCGCTCGAAGGTCTTATCTCCGCGCGAGTTATCCAGGATCTGGGTGAAATCCTCCGTCTTGGCCGTCTCCAACTCCAAAGAATACGTGTGAACTGAGAGTTCCGGTATTGTGGCTGAAATCTCTGCTTTGGCCTCATCCAAAAGCGGCTGATTGCGACCCAGAAGAGCCACCACGGATCCTTCGGATTTAATGCGTTTGGCCAACTGTTGGGCAAACTCCCGACCGATTCCACGAGAGGCTCCGGTCACCAGGAGATATGTGCGCTGCTTCAGGTCCATAATTACAGAAAAATCAGACTGAATTACTTTCTATTTTTCCGAGTCAACAGCGGCAACAGTTGGCTGACTTGCTTTCCTAACTCACTTCGGCATTTACCTGATTTGGCAGCTTTTTCACAGCTGACCAAAGCTCCCCGTTTTTGTGGCCAGGAGCGTAAGCGGAAACTGCTTTTATGGGGCCTATTGGACACTTATTTTGTATTTATTCAATAAATATTGGATTTTTTTAAACATAAAAAATTCGTTAATTTATGTAAGTATCCAATCTAAACTTATAATCACTGATTAAAACTAACAGAGTAAATAATTTTTCCAAATCCTCATTCTATCGACATACTTAATTTTTATTTCTTGCCATGCGTTTTCAGAACTACTGTCCATTAATTTTATGAGCGAAGAACCTATTGAACTGATTGCACAATTTATAACTGAGTTATTTAATTTGGAATCGAAGGGGAGCTACATGGGGGGTAATCCCTTCCATTTCCGCCCATGTCCCTCGTTCTCTCACAGCCTCTTTTTTTGCTTGTTTGCTCTCTATTGCCACATTTGTTCTCTCACGCTTTAAGCTTTACTTGAAAGTGGAAAGGTTATCGCCGGCTCTTGCTTAACGATTTAATTTAATTAATTGCCTATGTTTTATTAATCGCATCATTAATGTCGGCACATCGGTATATCAAAAATTCCCGGCTTTATCGTAATACTAAAGCTATGTGGTAAAATGCATAAAATCAACGCAACAAAGTCAATGTCAAGGTCGGCAGTCCAAACAAAAAAAAAAAAAAAAAAAAAAAAGTTGAGATTGAGATTCGCTTTATCTTCTCTCAAAAGCTCCGCAACATTGTAATACAGTTAACTCTTCGAAATCGTCATTATTATTTACTTTGTATTTTACCTCTCCTTTTATGCCGGTATAATTGCACACTTAAAAAAAAACAAACAATTACAAAATGAAAGTGAACACAGACTTTTTCATGGCTCATAGAACCAGGATAAATATACGAAAGTTATTTATAAAACAAAGGTTTAAGGGTTGAGTGTGAAAGTCTTCATGAAATTTTTCAAAGAGTATTTTCACATGCCTGACTATTGAAATATATTGATAAGATAAGCTTTACAACATTGTAGTTGAGTTCAAGTATTAATGATCGTTAATTCGATTATGAAAGCTCACAACATTGTTCGGAACAAAATGCACAGCTTTTAAAACGGACTTGAAGTTTAAAAATATTTTTTGTGTTCGTATACCAAAAGTATGCCTTAGAAATAGAATAAAAATGTATAGGCAAAGTAAGCAACAAAATATATTTGTTGGAAGATCAATTTACGACAAAGAAATATTATCTTACACATAAGAATATCAAACAGGCATTTAACGCATTTTAATATTTAACCTGCTTAAATCTGTAATGGTGTATACTAAATAACTCCAGTACATTTTTGCTGATATTATTGAGGTTATTATTTATATGTTTTGACGCATAATACATTTTAAAGGTTAATTAGAATATTAAGAAATATTTTTGTGGAAAAATTATACAAAAACACTCATGACAGACAAAAACCAGAATTTAACCGCAGTTTTTACACAAAATAACACATAAAAAGTGAAATCCCGGATCAAGTGGCGTCCCATTACGAGTTCTTTTCCGATTTCGACCCGGCAACACCCATCCATATATAATATGAACACGTGTCTTCCGTAGAATTCGATCTTGTGGATTTCCCTTATCATCAAGTCGACGGGGTCTGTCTCAGATTGTTTTGAAATTATATACGTGATGGGTGGTTCTATATATAAAGCTATACGTACAATCATTTTGTATGTGTGTAAATATATATATTCATGTTCCCATCGCTGATTCATAAACTGAACGCCTGTTCAGGAAGGAATACTTAGGGTAATAAACGATTGGGGGCGATCTTTATAAGTAAATCAAATATATGCACATACAGTGTGCGCAAAAAAATTGTTTTTATTTCTGATATATCTGTCGAATCAAAAAAAAGTTGTTGGTTTTTTTTTTTGTATTTAGGTATTTTCTAAATTACCCCGGTCTAATCTAATAGAAAATTTATTCAATATGGTCAAAGTTTTTAAATTCCCTTAATAATGGATCCTAAAGTATTTATAGGTTAAAGAATTCCAAAAATAGACTCTTATAAAAGGCGTTTAAAACAATTCTCCTAAGGAAACTTTCCGTTTTTTTTTTTAAATTTAAAGTAATGTGAATTAATACGTGACAGTCTTTGTGAAAATGCCAGTTCAAAAGTAGCATTCTGAAAAGGAAAAATTCCACCCATTTCCCCCAAAATGAAAATATAATATTTCTTTTTTGTTTTCCTGTTCGTGTGCTTGTTCTTGTTGCACTTCCAGGATTAAAAGCAGGGTCGTCAGCCAGATTTTATTCATTTCCAAGGCAATCAAATCAAAAACTTGCTCCAAATCGTCAACCAAGTACAGAACCGAGTCCATCGGGGACATAGGCCACCGCCACGATGCTACTCATAAAACGAAGGTGTCGTAGTAGTCGACATCGTGCCCGGAGACGAAGGAGATCTCCTCGAGAATATTGATCAGCTTGAGGGTGGCCTGGCGCGGCTGGATCCTGGGCAGCTGGAGCAGCTCCTTCGAGGCGATCAGATCGGCGGGCGTGATCCGATTGCCGTTCACATCGCACTGGCTCTGATGGCTGGCCATCAGGCCGGGCGAGAAGCTGAGTACGTGGACACCGAAGCGATACTCCTCGGCGGCCATGGCGCGGAAGTACATGTCCCTGGCCCGCTTGCAGGAGCAGAGCAGTCCGGCATGGACCAACGGACGAATCATAAGCGAGGAGGTCACATTCACCGCCAGCTTCTCCACCTTCGCCAAGTGTTTCGACTGCAGCCAACTTTGGTTGAGGGCCACCGGTGCATACAACTGCTGCTGGACGTAGCTCTTCCAATCCTCGTCGGTCTGCGGCTCCAGGAGCACATGGGTGGCCGCCTGTCCCTCGTTGTGCACGATTATGGATCGCTCAAAGGAATTCTGCTTTCCCTCCTCGAAATAATCCTGCAGAGCCTGCTCCATTAACTGCACACCATTCGAGTGGGTTTTGTCCAGTCTTCCGGTCTTCACTTTCACAGCATCCGTTTTCAACTCGTTCTGGAGCAGGCTCTCCAGTTCCCGCAGTTGCTGCTGATCCTCGTCCAGGATCAGGGCCAGGGATCCGGTGGCCAGGCGACGGCAGAACTCCAGAGCCAGGGATTGACCCAAAGGATTCGAGCTGCCGCTCAGCACCAAAAAGGTGCGTCTATTTAAATCCATTCTCTTTGCTGACATTATTTTTTGGTTTTTTGTTTTAAAGGATTTCTGAGATCTTGGGATCGAATGCGACTGAAGAACCTTCCACTTGCGATCACTTGGAGCCGTACGACTGTACTGTTGCCGAATTTTAGCGGGCCTCGCCAGCTGGACTCTCTTTCTGCCTGATAAGCTACTTTCCGATGGGCCAAGTAAATATATACTTGGCTGGGCAACCCGGGTTCCGATTCCGTATATAGATGCGCTCTGAGCTCGTGGGGACGTCAGCTCGGCGCTTTTATACAACCCAACTAGCTGATAAGACCCGGCGGGATCATCCGTCTGGGCTTGTTGCCGAGCCATTAACCGCTTGTAATGGTTGGGATTTCGGCAACGCAAACCAGACCCACGTCGGTTGAACCTCTGGATCGGAGTGGAGTCCCTTCCAGTAGTTCGCAACGGGGGCAGAACCTGGTAAATGGTTTTGGGGTTTTACTTGGCTACCATGAACTATTTTTCCATTAAAAAAGTCTTACTGGTAAATACTTTTGAGTTTAACTAATAATTAATAACTATTCTGGCCACAAATTCTTGAACTTGAACCATCACCTAAAATAACGACTCTTAGATTTATATTATTTCACATATATAAAAAAAATAAAGTACAAATAAATAACTTTATTTTGAATTTAGAATGCTTAGAAGTGGTTAATAACAGTCCACTTGAAATGTCAAGTTTTTGTATTGAATATTATTCTAACATTCTTTTAATTAAAAAACATCGAAATCTACTTTATAGAAAATGTATTATTTTTTGATATGAATACAAACGTGGTACATTCTTTGTTCAATATAGTCTAGAAAAGACAATAAATCTCAAGTATTTCTATAATTTCTCCATTTCCGTTTTTAATTATTCTACCATTTCTGGTCAATTATTGTTGGTACTTTTTGTTTATCTACTGATTTATATTAAATTTTTTTCCCAAGCCCCTTCTTTCTTTGCCACTGTTTTTCATGAGCCCAAGAGCTGATCGATCGTGATCGTGGGGTTTGGAAAGTTCTTGTGATATGGCGGTAAGTCAAGGTTGTTTTTTTTTCAGTTTAAGAGATTAACCAAAGATTTTTGTAAACAAATCAGTTGGCAACAATAAATAGTGAGGCACAAGTAAACAGATTAGAGCAAAACAGGCTTATTAAAACTATAACTATTTATATTAATATAAATAGTGGGTATTCCTTAAAAATTTTTTATTGTTCACAATGTCAAAAGTAATAAGTTTTAGAAAATAAGCCAAATATATTTATTAAAATGTTGATGTGGACATCCATATATATTTATATTTCTTCCTCTTTCTCCACCAAACTTAGTCAAATGCAAAACCTTTCCATCAAAACAACGACTAATAAAATCTTCATTTCTACACTTATATATATATTTTGAATCATTCAACAGGTTATCGCACCCAGTCATTGAACTTCAATAGACAACTGAAATGCAAATGATTTTACAATTACATAATACTTATTGCAACAGTATTACTGATTGTAAAAAATCGATTAGTTTAACACGTGTGAGCTCGCTGAAAACCCGTAAACAAACATCAGTTAAATCGCGTGGCTAAAGATACTGCCAAAAACGTGTTTATTTTGATGGAAATCATTAAGTTTTTTTTGGGAAATGTACTTCTGATTATATGCCCACATACCGGGTGTTATCGATCAGAAAGGAAGTGCTACGATCTGCTATCGATAGACTGTGCTATTTCCCAGATTCTCTTGTTTTGACTTTAAATACGCGCATTAACAATTGCGAATTAGGTTAATGGCCTAATTTTGATTCTGCGAAGTCTGCTCCCGATTCCCGGGTCGATCTGAGATGACGCTGACCCATTTAGGAATCGGGAACAAAGCGCCTTCTAATCGCAGGTTTTTTATAATTCAGTACAAGTTCCCCAAATAGAATATTCTGGAACGACAAATCGAATCAATCAACATGGAAACCAAATCAATTCGTTCTATTTTTATAAAGAATGTTACTATGTACATACATATATATAATATTTTCTATGTTTATTTTAATCTTAATAGTTTAGTTTTATTTTGTAACAAAAGGTTTTTGAGTAGATTTTCTTTTAAAAGTTTTTTCTGACCTCTAGCAAAAAGATCCAAGATTTTAATACGATTTCATAAGTATTGGTAAGTGCCATTCGAATGACTAACTTTAACCATTAACCATTAATCCACTAAGTACTAAGCTCATTGTTAACTTTTGACATCGTATCGCCCAAAGTTCGTGGAATTCACCAGTGAGAATAGCATCACATCTGGTTGTTTGTGTAGATTTAGGGGTATTATCAATAGCGAGTGGGGCTTGCAAGCCGAAGCACGTAGCAGCGCGTCTCTTGTGGGCGGCTTGGGACCCTAGGGAAAGTCTATTTCAATGGGGCTTTACCTGAACCTGACCCTGTTATCCAATCAAGGTCGTTCAGCGAGAAAGTGACCCCAAACATCGGTGAGATTTCAATTAACGCGAATAGAGGGCAAAGATTTCATTCACCTCGAGCAAAATGGGAGAGCAGCAACAGCTGCACAAAAACTAATGCATGAGCACAGCTTTCGGAGATCTTCTCGATTTTATCACGGTTATATAAGCCGTGTGGACCGCTCCCACAGTCAGTCAAAACTTTTAGCGAGCCAAGAACAGAGTGAGCCGCAGATTCGATAAGAACACCTACAAAATGCTGGCCTGCAAGCTTCTTCTTTGTCTGGTGATGGGAATGCACTGCATTCAAGTGGTAAGAAAGTGAACAATGATACAAATAAGAAGTATTCAATGAGTGCAAGTGAAAGTGCTTATAAAAGTGACTGAATGAATGATGTAACCGGTAAACGTAAAAAAGGATCGAGAAAGCTTCTTAATAAGTTAAACAACACTGCTTCGATTGGTGGTTAAAACAGATAAATAATGATTTAAAAAACGTTATTCAACCCTTTATTAGGGTTGGCTAGGAAGGATAAAAAAAGTTGCAAAAAAAAAACCTCATCAGCACGATTTAGAATGCTTGTTAATCAAAACAAAAAAAAAAATTAAATAATTTATTGATCAAATAATGATTCTTTCTGTTTCCAAACGGTTGTTGACCTTTTACCTTCAATGCGGTAATTTTTTGTTAAGCTATATTAAGCCGGTACAGACATTAAAGATAGGGAAATACTAAGTGTTGTAAAGGATAAAAACCAATATCCTTTTTATACTTCAGCTAATGGCGGCCTGTGTGTGCTCCGAGAAGGGAACGGACTACTGTGCGGGTTGCCAGGGAGCCACGGTGATCCGTCCGAAGCCCAGATACTACGAGCCCAGTGAGGTGAACCTCTCGCCGATCGGCGACACCTGCTGGTGCAGCAAGCAGCTGATCGAACCGGCACAACTGCCGAAGACCTGCGGAAAAGTACGTGAGCTGTTCCAGTACATGAACGCCTTCAACAACCTCTTGGGTCGTCGGATGCTCGAGGGCGCCATCGAAGCCAAGACGCAGGCGGCCCAGCGTCTGGCCGAGCGGCTTCAGCGTCTGGAGCGGATCGACTGCTTCAAGAGGGGCCCCTCGGGCCATCGCTATCAGCTATAACACCTCATTTATGATTTCCACGATCATCCACAACATTAACCAGTGATGCATAACCAGATAACCAATTCAATCATCATCTTCAGATTGATTCAAACTGTTTTAAATATTATCTTTAAATGAATTCCTTTAACTGTGTACCCTAAGTTACCAATGCCCAGTGTTCTTATCCTCAATATTCCAATGATGATCTTAAGTATCTTACCTAAACAAACTTAATTTCAATTTATTTTGAAAAAGCAATTAAGTATATATTTTAATTCTGACTCTGTTTAATTAACACACACCAGTTAAAACTTTTAAAAGGTTTGGCCTATGGTTTTTATATATTCTATATTCTATATTCTATGCTTGTACAATATTTAAATGTAATCTGTATACTTCAAGTTTGATAAGCTAAATGCATATATTAGACAAAGATTACACCCTTTAAGAGTAATGTACTACATCTTGATGTAGCATGTATCGCACCTTAAAGATATTCTTTGTAACCCAAATCCCAACCTGCACATAGCATAACCCACCATAACTTTAGGTATCATAAGAAGTAACATTAGTTTCTGAAGTTGCAATCAGCAGCCGGTCGCAGTGGCATTCATCCATCGTCATCCCCGTCAGCTGCAGTAACTATTTCCGCATCGGGCGGCATTATCACCGCCCCCCAACTTTGCGTCAGTCATCATCAGTCCACGGCATCGTCATCCATATAAGCCACCTCATATATCGCCGCGTACGTGCTCCTAAGACCCGGAGCCAAGCGGGGCGATAGAACCCATTTAGATACCTCTCCCAAAGATATTCGAAACTGAACCCGAAACTGACTCTCAACTTGATCACTCCACACAGACAACGACCTGCAAGCCCACCTGCTCGTGCTCCTCCGACAGCAGCTATGCCTCCTCTTCTGACTCCGGATCCGTCTACGGGAAGTGAGTAAAGTTATCATACATTATATTTGTCATCATACATCATATTGAGACCTGGAGCTTAAACTAATCACCCGTAATACCTTCCAGAATTGCCTACGCAGCGGAAGCAACGCCGGACAACAGCCCGGCTGCGGATCCCATCAGCGTGAGTCTGGCTGCCCAAGCGGGAAAGGCCATCAGTGTGCCGGAGGCGAAGTTGGCCTACGGATTCGCCCAGAAGCCCATCGACGGCGAGAAGAAGGTGGTGTTCTCCAACGTGCCCGAGGAGAACCTCTTCAAGCTGAAGAGCGAGGTGATCACGCTGAAGAAGCGCACCTACGCCGCCAAGGAGGAGGAAGAGGAGGACTACGTCGAGGAGGAGCAGGCCGCCGACGAGGAGGAGGCACCGCAGCTCACCTACAAACAGCTGGGCTACATAACCGAGCAGTTCAAGAACCCCAAGTTCAAGAAGATCAGCTCCAGACCGAGTTACGCCTACAAGGACTCCTCCAGCGAAGGATACGGATACGGCAAGGTTGCCGGCAAGGTATCCGTCGATTGCGGATTCAAGCCCGGCCGGATAGCCTCATACCGAAAGGCCAAGGCCGAGGAGAGCTACTAATAACTCCAAATGCACAAACCCATTCCATCTAATTCCAATCCTTCCGCTTGTAAATATGTAGTTATATTTAGTTAGCTTTAGAAATATATTTAAACACAATTTATATTTTGTTTTATTTTAAGAAGGGCAGGTTGCTTTAACTAAATTAAATAATTGCTTCAAAGATTGAGGCAGGAATTTTAATAGATCTAAATTATAAATTATAAATTATATTGAAGGAAAGCATTTTACTGGTAACCGTCAAAACAATTCTGGGAGTCCCAATAACATAAACGGTTTGTGAATTACATTTTTCTCCACCATTTAATTTTTCTACTCAATTGCCAATTATCGTATAAACGTCAACGAAGTTCTCATCAGCACGTTTTAATGGTCGTAAAATCTACTATACTTAAAGTGATGACATGAATATTAGATGAGGCAAGGTATTTTCCCGAAACACAATGATTGAATTATGTAAAAAAGTACTAGTTAAATTCGAGAAAGCTTTACTAAAAACTTATATGTTGAACATAAATTATTCTCGATCTTTTAATTAAATTTTCCCACGACTATTATTTGATTTATATAATTCTAGATTCCACGAATACAGTTGAACAAATCTAACTCGAACTTTACATCCACACAAATTTAAATTATTTGAAATAATGGAAAACTAGTTCAATCAGATTTATTTTCACCAACAAAATCTGAACTTAACAGCCATAAATACAAACATTTTTTAAGCCAGTGGTATATTTTTAAATGACATTTTATGTTTACCAATTATATCTTGCTAAATAATTTGGTATTTAAAATAATAACATAGCTTTTTAAAAAGAAAGCAAAGGGCAGCATTTAAAATATTTGTTTGAACTTCATGAGGTAGGTAAAAAAATGGCACTTTTTAGGCATAGATATTATTTTTCCAGAGCTTTTTTGGGTTGTAGCTCTCGTCGACCAAGTTTTACTGTGGATAACTCTGGGTTTGGCGTTTGGATCTCGACTTTTCGAGACACTCGACACTGAAGAAAGCGGCGAACGTCGGGAACATGACTTTTGACGGAAAACATGACCCGCGAACTATTTGAAAAGGTCAGCGAAACCAAAAACAAACAAACCGAGTGATCGGCCGGCGTCTCTGGGGAAGAAGACCTTGCCCAAAGTCAAGTGCATTGGGGTCCAAGCTGGGCGAGATGATATAAAGAATGCGCCGGAGAGCTCTGCGGCTAGTTGCCATAAAGGCAGTTAACCGAGAAGATCACCGAAGATCTAACCGATATGCGACACCCAACGGCTGTGACGATGATCCCTATGATTCTGGGTCTGGGTCTGGCCCTCGTCGCCCTGGTCCACTCCGCTCCCGTCGAGGTCGTCTACACGGGCGAGAGCTGCGCCTGTCCCACCCAACTGGGCTACCAGCTCAACGTACCCAATCCCCCCAAGGCAAAGAAGTACGCCGGCGCCGAGTACGGTTACCGCGTGGAGAAGCCCGTTCAGACCAAGGCCAAGATCAGCTACAGCTTCGACTTCACCGTGGAGCAGCCGAGGACTCCGGCCCCGCCGAAGACCAATCCCGCCAAGCTGTACGCCAAGGTGGACCGGATCACAGTCAACAAAGCAGGTAAGTTGAACAGTCCATGTTTAAAAAGCTAAAGTTCTCTTGAACGGACAGCACCCTCTTGAGCGGACAGATTTTTCGGCCAGTTTTTTAATATAGTGGGTTACTAAGTTTTATAGCTTCTTCTTTCGTAATTAAAATGTTTAATGTTTAAAAATTTAATTGAATGGATAGTATTCTTAAATATCAGTCTTTCTGTTTTTAAAGGCTACACCTTTCTCGCTACTTTAATTACTAGGTTTCTTCCTAATCCTGCTGATTTAAAAAAATGAGCTTTAATGGTTGATCTTTGATTTCTATGTAAACATTTTCAATCCTGATTTCTTTATCTATTGACTACCAGCAGGTCATCTTAAAACATTTCACTTAAAGAACTTCACATAATATTGTTACATATTACAACCCCTGTTTTTACCACGTTGATTAATTCTTTTCCCAGATTGCCAGGCGAAGAGCAAGCCAACGTGCAGCTGTTCGAGTTGTTCCAGCCAGAAGCCCAGGTACGTAGCTCCACCGGTCAGGTCGCCCAATGCGATCCGTCGTCGCCGGGATCTGCGGACACCGGGATCTCTGCTCCGCCGGCGACTAATGAGGCAGCAACAACTGCAGGAGCGTCCGCCGCGATTCGTGAAGCTCTACCACAAGGATCTCACTGCCGCCGAGCAGAAGCAGCACAAGCTGAAGCTCTTTGGCCTGATCCCAGTGGAGCCCGCAGGGAAAGTGACCGAAACGCCCAAGTCAAAGAGGAAGACCAAGAAAACACAACCAAGTTGGATGGGCTTGGGTCGCCGTTTGAGCAAGCGAGACATCAAGGGTGAATACGATCTTCTCGAGCAAGAGCGCTCCAGAATAGATCTCACTGCTCCCGAAATAATTCAATATATGCCGGAGACCCTGAATCCGGACTTCAAGCCCGGTCAGTGCCACATGGGCTGTGGTGCGATGACAGCGCCGGCTCCTCCGCCGGAAGAGCCACTGCCACTGCCACCGCCACCAAAAGAGGAGCAGGTGCCTCCAACCGAGAGTACGGACAATCCAGAGCAACTGAATACGATTCCATCGAAGAGAGCCGCCTTCGGTTACTATCCCCTGCAGATTCCCTCGCCTCTGGTTCCTCCAGAGAGCTACAAGTACGTGGACGACGCTCAACTGCGGAGCCTTCTGTCCACCACTTCGGTTCCAGATCCGCAGGAGTACAGCTCCACGCCGCTGCAATTTGCCGGGGATCTGGAATCGGTGACCAGGAGATCCTATGGACCACCTCTTTTGGGCCTCGGCGGTGGTTATCCCGTGGAGCACGTCTCCGATTCCCAGTTGGATAGTATTATCTCGGGCATAGTGTACAACCATCCGGCCTATCACTACTCCAACGATGGAAGTCTGGTGGATCCGGAACCCGTGCAAAAGCAACAAACCACCGATTTCCTCAAGAAACTCATCGATGGCCGTTTGGGCGGTTGGGGTTTCGATCAGACCACCGAACCGGAGCACAGTCTTCGGGAGGATTACTCCAGACTGCCGGCGAAAACCTACGGCTTCAATAGCCACACCCAGAATGGATACAGTGTGGACACCTACAGTGCGCCGCCAATCACGGATTACCTGAGGGCCTGGTTCTAAATAAAAACCAAATCCCAATAAATAGCTTTAGTACTTAGAAAGTCATAAAAAAGAAAACGAAAATCCAAAACCAAAAAAACAGAATATAATAAATTGAAAAAACATTGTGGCGTTTCTTTTATTTTGTTATTCAAAGTCTTCGTCTTTCTTCTCTTTGCAGCTGCAGCGAAGACGCGGGCTACGGCTACTGAAGACTGAAGAGAGGTCTTACGTATTACCAACCGAAATCGAAAACCAAAAAACACAAAACCATAAACCAAAGACCAAAAAACCAAAAACCCAACCCAAAATGAACCCATGACAACTCAACCAACCCAACCCAAACCATCGATCTGCTGAGCTCGGCTTAAAATCCAGCCGAAAGTAGGCCAGTGGAGCACTTCGCTTTCGGTTCAACATTCGCTCGTATATATGCACATGTACTATAGCTTATACCGATTCCAACCTCCGATTTCTGTTTACGTTTTCCGCCTTTGTCGGCACTTCACAAAGTTGCCCCATTTTACTGGTTTACAATAAAGTTTTTGATGATTAAAAACGCTCGATTCGATGATTTTTCGGGGTAAATGGGGGCTCATTTGACTAGCGATGGATTTATTGACTACATTCTTCCCCTAAAAGTATGCCCTTAAAGTTATGATTCTATTCCAGCCACATTTTTAATCTGATTGCAATCCCATGTTTCATAAAACAAAATGAAATGATATAAACATGTAATACTCATAGATATGAATAGCATTGTTATGAATTTATTGTTCTGTTTTGTATGACGTATTTTGGGTGCCTAATTTTAATAATATTTTTCGTTAATTTAAATACATTTTATATATGTAAGTTTTTGTTTTGAACGCATCGAACCAAGAAAAGGTGTGTTCTTTTTTTTACCCATATTTATTACTATTTTTCAATGGTTTATCATTCAGCGACGAAATTCTTGCAGTTGCATACCATTTTATTGCCAAAACAAATTTCGTAGATATATTGCCAAACACAAGAAAAACCTCTCTACTCTGCGTGACCACAAAAGCAAAACATTTTCAGACGAGTTCGCAAAACTCTTGGGGAAGTAAATAACAATAAATGCCATTGAATGGTGTAAAAAGTATAAATTAACTTTAAGATATATAGATATCGCTTCCTTTATAGAAAAATTGAAATGTGAAATGACAAATACTTTTTAGTTGATATAAATTATGGAATCTTTTATTTAGTTTATATGTAATTTATTGCATCATCAAAGAAAATGTAAACAACTTATTTGATTCAAAATAACTGGAGTATAAATAGCTTGTTAAGAAACTTTAATAAACTACTCAAAATTTATTCAATAAAAGATGAATTAAAATTTCTTTCAATTCAATTTTATGAAATGTCGAGTTAATATTTTAAAACATGTTGATTATTATTATTATAGGTTCATTTTTAAAACCCTTTTCCACAAATTCAAAAATAAATATATAATTTCCAGAACTGGATAAAATGCGTGTTTCAGACTGGTGTTAAGTAACCATAACTTAACCGTTAACTTATCCAGACACTCTCTTGTGAATTATCGCGAACTTTCTTGGGTTTAAGCATAACCTTGTCCAGCGACATGTGAACAATGTTCTACAGCATCCAATTAATGGCACATACACCCGTAGTACTCGCATGAAGAATGGCCAGCCATTCCCAACTAATTGTGCTAAAGAATTCAAACGACCCTGGGTCATTCGGTTGGCTCTTTTTTCCCCCCAACTGACGCATCAAGATCGCCGGAGATTCGTGGATGAGACATCTGCTTGCTGGGTATTGGCATATCTGGTTTTAGATCACGTCCCGGCACGTCGTTTTTTTCGAATTGAGCTTCTTTTTGGGGGTATTTAAGTGGAATCCATGCGACCCGTGGCTCTCAGTCGAAATGGCAGCCGACTGCAGTTGGCCTGTACTTTTACTATTGCTGGTCACCACACTGACCACCAATCGCGCAGAGGTGGGTTAACCAAATAGATTTGCAATAGACACAGATGAATATATAAAAAATATTATCTATTTATTTAGAGTCCGAGTGAATCCACGCCGGGCGTCGAGGAGAACTACAATGGGAGCACCAGTCCAATGCCACCGGTTGAGGCGACCACCAATCGCTTGGCTTCCCGCGAGGACTCCACGTACAGCAAAGTGGCCAAGAGCCAGGAGCAGTACGATGTGATCGATGTGGTGGCCTCCACGGGAGCGATGGTGGGCAAGCCGAAGAGCGGACAGACCACCAGGATCTACACCACCGGCGAGGTGGACGAGAAGTTCTGGCTGAAGCACCTGGGCGATGACTTCAGGCATGCCATTCACCTCCAGGTGGGCGGCACCAATGAGGACTACAACCGACTGATCAACCAGACCCAGAACGGAGTTCACGAGGAGGTGCATCACGAGTACTTGCCGGGAGCCGAGCGACCGGGCAGTGAACCTGCTCCTCCTCCACCTCAAGCTCCTCCTTCTCCTCCTCGCCAAACGAGACCCTTCTATCAGCAGAGCTTGGACAATCGAGCAGTGGCTTTGAAGCAGCAGTACCTCATCCACCAGCAGGCGCAGCAGCCACATCCTGCCCAGCAGCGCTACAACTATGCCCAACAACACGCACAAAACTATGCACCACAGCCACAACCACACACACACACGCACACCCATCGGTATGCACAACAACCAGAGACACACACGCAGTACAGAAACACCTATGCGAAACCGCAACAACAACAACAAGTTTACAAGCCACGCAGCTACATCATCAATTCTAGCGAGGATCAGTACGCCGCCCAATCGAATCCCTCGCCAGTGCGATCCGCTGGAGAGGATCGCCGCCATCACGAGGGGGAGGACGACTCCTTTGGCGGCCAGCTCAACTTCAAGTCGCCGTTCAACGACTACGGCAGTCGACCCACTCGAGATCTCACCTATCTCCTCTACAAACGGGGTCTCTGAAGAGGGGAGCTCACTTTTAAACCCCTCTAAACATAAGACTTGCGGTCCCCAGTCCATTGAGTTCTATAAATGGGGCTGAGCCACTCCACCCACATCACACACCAGACACCAGACATACACACGCAAACACACACATACAACACAACACAAGCCACACAAACATTGAGATTTACGGAATTGTTACAAAAAAGAATAAAAGGAGAAAAAAATATATGCAATGGTTGTGTTTGAAAGTGAAGACGATATCCAAAAAAAAAACATTTCAGTGATTCATAAGTCATAAATATTATGAACAAAATGTTGCTAAAATTAATGACATAGTTTGTTAACTAGCTTACTAAGCACAAATTTATTTATCGGAACGTATTATTTCTGATGCGTAGTATATAAGGTATTCTTTGAGACGAAAAGATCCACCTAAAAGTTATACAACTTCTTAGCCGATTACTAGTTTATTTGCGTATAAGTATACTTATAAGCCTTTTAAAATAGATTTAACAAGGGAAACTAGCTAATTTATAAATCAAAAAAGTAATAAATAAGCTTAAACTTAAAAGGGGAAAAAAGGGTCTTAAAAAAGGAAAAGGAAAAAGAAAAGAAATATGTTTGGTGAATGTTACCTAAATGGTAAAAATCTTAAAATTCAGTCAGTCTCTGGTAAAACCAAAACTAAACGGAAACTGAAACTAATTTATCTTTGGAACTACATCAGCTGAAATGAATGATACTTTTGTGCCATGTAATTTAATTTCATCTGAAATATTCTATATGGAAATCTAGACAAGTTAATCTGCTCGTGTGGGTTATAAACTCAAGTATAAACTTTTATCAGTTCGAAGAACCACCGAAAACTGTTTTGAGTTTAACCAAAAATATCTGTCAAGAAATGAAGAGATACGAGATAATCTTAATAATATAACACTCGAACATTTACACTGTAAATTTTACAGGGAGGTTTTATACTTTTTTTTAAACAAATATGTTTGCTTTTTATAAAGCGTCGAGAAGGTAAAAAATAATATTTTGATTTAATTAAATAGATTTGGTTTCGAATTTCAAATATATCACAGAAAACATTAAAAAGATGAATAATTTTTGGAAGGTGTAAACACTAAACTGGCATTCGTATAGTCCGAAGATCCAATGACATAGAAAAGCACCCAATCCATTAATCATTGAAATGGTATTCCAGAGAGAAGCGCTGCCTGCAGTTTAGAAATCCGTAAGAATTCGAAGAGAAGAGCTCTGAGATCTGAGATCGCAACTGAGATTCGGAACGATAGCACTCGGTCTTCTCAAGAGCTGTGCCAGCGATGATTCAAGCCAAGGCGACTGAGACAGCGACTGGAACTCCGAATTCGACTGGCGATGCCACCAAATGGTGATTGCGACGGGCGGAAAGCCAACGACCATCGTCGTCGTTGGTGTTCTTTGGGTGTTCTCATTGGGGGCTTGGGTTGAGGAGGTTTGTCTTCAGATCTGGGCACGACGATGGCGAGACAAAGATGCGGGCCAAAATCGGAAATGGAGATGGATCACGTAGCCGGCCGTGGCGGTCAGCGATTATAGGCGCTATAAAGAGCCCGATTCGTTGGCAGACAGCGAGCAGTAGACGATCCACACGTGAACGGCAACATGCAACTCGGTCTCTGGTTTGGCATCATCGCCATCGCCGCCGCGCCGGTTAGTTTTTCTCACCTTCCAAATGGGAATACATCCCAAAAAAAAAAAAGAAACCAAAAATCATGTATAATATAAAATTAAAACGATTCCTCATCATTGGCTCTCTCCTGTTTTGCAGCTGGTGAGCGCAAGTTATGGTCCCGCTGGTGGACAGTACCTGTCCGGTCCGAATGCCGGACTCGAGGAGTACGTGAATGCGGCGACGGGCGGCAGCCAGCCGGCCGCCAATCAGATTGCCTCGCAGGCCGAGATCCAGCCCTCGCCGGAGGAGGCGCGTCGTCTGGGTCGCGTCCAGGCCCAGCTGCAGGCTCTCAATGCCGATCCCAACTACCAGAAGCTGAAGAACTCCGAGGACATCGCCGAATCCCTGGCCGAGACCAATCTGGCCAGCAACATTCGCCAGGGCAAGATCAAGGTGGTGTCGCCGCAGTTCGTTGACCAGCATCTGTTCCGCTCCCTGCTGGTGCCGTCGGGCCACAACAACCACCAGGTGATCGCCACCCAGCCCCTGCCGCCCATCATTGTCCACCAGCCCGGTGCTCCGCCAGCCCATGTGAACAGCGGTCCGCCGACCGTGGTGCGCGGCAATCCGGTGATCTACAAGATCAAGCCATCGGTGATCTACCAGCAGGAGGTGATCAACAAGGTGCCCACTCCGCTGAGCCTCAATCCCGTCTACGTGAAGGTCTACAAGCCGGGCAAGAAGATCGAGGCTCCTCTGGCCCCGGTGGTCGCTCCCGTCTACAGCCAGCCGAGGGAGTACAGCCAGCCCCAGGGATACGGAAGCTCCGGAGCTGCCGCCTCTGCCGCCGGTGCCGCCTCCGCCGCCGATGGCAATGGCTACGGCAACGAGGCCCCACTGTACAACAGCCCCGCCCCGTACGGTCAGCCCAGCTACTAGGGCGCTCATCCTGGTCGGAATGGGAATGGGAAGGGGGTTCCTCCTCCGGTTCCTCCTCAGCTGCGACAGCTGGCTTAATTTAAATGTATGCTTTTTTTTTCTTTGCCCGCCGCCGAGTGGCCGAATAAAAAATGGAAAAATCTTAAAACGCAAACGATTTGTGGAAATTCAGTTGGGGGGAAAAAGGGGTTCAAATGAAAACCCATTTGAAGATGCGAACTTCGAAACATTGAAATGCCATGTATTGCAAATAATAAATATATAAATAACATTACAAAAAATATAAGTAAATATATTTTTATAAAAGGAATTTTATTTAATTAGGCATTTAAGCCAGCAAACTGCCTTTTGAATCCTTATTTTACGCTTTATTTAAGGCTAAAATAAAGAACTTATGACATCCTTATCTAAAAACAAGATTCCGCGTTATAAATAAAAATTCCTAAAATTCTGACATGTCCCAAGAATTTATATTTTGCATTAATCTAAAAGATATTTATGAAAATGTATTCCGTACAGAAGATATGGCTTGTATCTGTTACATACTTTACAGAAGATAATTTGAAGATTATGAATATCAGAATGCTGAATGAAATTATTTCACACTCTTGTGATCGTGTGTAAACTTTATTATCACTAAAATAATAAAGATGGTTACATATTATTTCCCTCTTTTATTACAGGTCTACAAAAAAAAAGTAGAATGCATTCACGAAAATAGTTTAAATATATTTAGAAACTTTGAAGCCATTTGATCAACTCGTTGATTATATTAAAAAACTTTTCATTAATATTTTCTTCTGAGCTTTTTTTTTAAAAATTTGTTTGTTTAGAAGCATTTAATAATACATTAAGTATTACTTTTAACAACGTACAAACAAATTAAAGGGGGTAAAATTCAACTAGTAAAAAAACGATTTTGTGTGAAAACTATGAAATAAGTATCAATACAAATCAAAAACTTTCACATCAATTTTAGGAACCATTATAATTTGAATAATTTGAGAGAAAATTTATAAGCTTTGCAAGGGTTTTACAAAACAGATGTTCTTCTTCTTCTATAAAGAATTAAAGTAAATCTCTGACAAATAAAACTATTACCATATTCAAAAACATTGGCTATCCAAAATCCCTTCAAACCTTGTTACACATAAAAACCTTTAGGAAACTTGAATAATTCAAGGACTTGGGCATAGTAACCCACGAATCTGTGACCTGTGAATCTGTGGAAATGCTGTTTTCCTATCCATTCACCACTCGTTGGGTTGGGTTCTCTCTTTCAGACTCCCGGGTCTTGTGTCTTGAGTCTTGTGTCTGCCAATGCGGAACTGTTTTCGCTATCTGCACAGACGTTCGGACCTCGATATGCGACGGAGATTCACAGCCCGGCTGTTGATTCCGATTCTGGCATCAGGTGTTTGTTGCCATTGTTGTAACTGGTTACTGCTTAATGGTTACCGGTCACTGGTTACTGGGTAATGGGCAGTGTGGTTGTGGCTTCTACGTAAGTGGAAGAGACGCCGTGATATGCGCTCGCCGAGATGCGTGCGATCTATCAGCATTTGGCCATGTTTCACTAGCATCGCGTGGGACGGGAGCGGAACAGCCGGCAACGGAGTCGCCATCGGTGCGAATCGCCACAAATGTCACGTAGCCGGAGCCGGAGACGCGTCCGGAGCATATTTAAAGTAGTCGGCCATCAATGGAGGCCAGCAGAAGACAGCAGACAGTCCAATTGGGAGCACGCCAGCGGCCGAAGAGCAACTGGAACTGCAACTGGGAGACAAGATGACGAGATCGACCTACATTTGGGCGCTAGCCGCCTGCCTGATCGTAAGTGTTGGCCCTCGAAGTCTTGGGATCACCTCAAGAAGGCTTTCCCGCTTGGTAGTTCTTTCGGTTCGATAGTTTGCATTATTTTCGGGTTCGTGGAGGATTCTTATAAATCTTACTTGAAAGAAAAACTAACTTCATCCTTTTGTTGTTTAATATTTCAAAGATCATTTCCAAAAGAAGAGCTAAAAAACTGTAGGTTCTTTTAGTTTATTTCTTCTTCAATTCAATTTATTATACATTTAAATTGTTTATTTAAAAAAATTAATAGTTGTCAATCATAGGTCTCTTCTCCAAACTAAAGTTACTACTTTCAAAAAACTACAACTCTTTTTTAAATCACCATTCATTAAAAGTTTCCATTGTGAAATTAACGAAACCACAAAATCAAGCCTAAAATGTCTATAAATTCGACTTCAAAGACACTTTATGAAAACCCCTTTCAATTAAACCAGAGTTAAGCGAATTCTAACCAGTTCCTTTCCCTCGTTTTTGCAGGCCTGTGCGAGCGCCAGCTACGGCGGTCCCCAGGGCTACGGACCCGCACCCGGTGGCCATGGCCATGGCCATGGTGGCCCCTCCGATGGCGGTGCCGATGCCGCTTCGGCGGCTGCAGCTGCTGCCGGCGGTGCCGGTGGAGCTGGTGGCGAGTACGGCGGCTCTGTTGGCGCTGCCGGTGCTCTCGAGTCCGGAGCGGATGCCGCCGGAGTGGCTCAGGCTGGACAGAGCAGCTATGGCTCCGACCAGAACATCCCATACAAGCCGGTGAACACCAAGGGCAACACCCTGACCTCATCGATCACCTACCCGCAGAACAAGGGCGAGATCCTCATCCACCGCCCGGCTCCGATCATTGTCAAGCGTCCGCCCACCAAGGTGCTGGTCAACCATCCCCCCACTGGTGGTGAAGCCCGCGCCCGTTGTGCTGCACAAGCCGCCAGCAATCGTGCTGCGCAAGGTGTACGTGAAGCACCATCCACGTCGCGTCAAGGTTGAGCCCGTGTTCGTCAATGTGGTGAAGCCGCCAGCAGAGAAGTACTTCGTCAACGAGAACAAGCAGGGCTACGGACAGGGATCCCAGTCGCACGGACACGGACACGGTGGCCACGGACACGGCGGACACGGAGGACACGGCGGACACGGACACGGTGGACACGGCGCCGGACCCCACGGTCCCGGCCCCCATGACGGTGGTCGTGCCCTGCCCGCCTACGCTTCTGGTGCCGATTCCGCCGCCGCCAGCGCCGGGTATCAGCTGCTCCAGAGCGGCAACCAGGGTCTGTCCGCTCTCGCCAACATCGCCGGCGGCGAACGCGAGGGTCCCTATGGTCCCGCTCCCAGCCATCAGCACTATAGCGCCGGTCCCTCCGGACATGGCGGCTATGCTCCTCCCTCTTATTAAGCAAGACGCGGCGGAGCTCACGGATTGGGTGACTGCTGCGGCTCCGGAATCCCCTGAAGCGGCTGTCCAGTCACCTCGTCATCCGGCTGATTAGTTACTATGTTTAAAACCAGAAAACAAACCAAAAAAAAAAAAAAAACAAAACAACTCAGCCTGATCTCGCCAAACGCCCATGCCTACGCCCACGTCCACTCATGCACTCAAATCCGCACCCAATTCCACCCACCCATTAAACGGGCAAGGGGGCGTGGCACTCAGGTTTCTTTGCAAACAAATAAAAAATTTGAAAAAATAAGTCATCCAAAGTATTCGTTATTTCTGAGGGTTAGGCGTACTATAAATATGAGTTATTTGAATTGATGGAGTACCATTTAATCTATACTCGAATAGTAACATACATTTTGAAATTACACCTTCGATTAATCTTTTGGGGAAGTAACCATATGACACCAAAAACTCAAGTTGTATTTTGTGCTCTATTCTCACTGTTTAAGCTTCAACCTAAAAATATTCAACTTATAATTGGTAAAAATGTTATGATAATGCTATGATAAATGAAATTTAATTTAAATTTTAGTAAATACTATCTATTAGACAATGTACCCTGGATAAAATAGTTATAGGACATCAAAAAATAAGATCTCAAACATGCCCCGATGAGAGGAAAACTGACTTACCCGTGAAGTGCCGAGAATAGTGTCGCATATAATCAGAAATTGGAAGTGCGAGCTGCCATTACATTCGTCGGTTGTCCTTTCCATTGTTTTAAACGCACAAATAAAATCCCACGCAGTTTTCAATAACAAAGCCATAATAATGGGTAATGTTATGGAGCGATCAGTTGATGACAGGTTAAATCGTAATGTAGGTCGTCGGTGCCGCCCATTTGGCAGTTTGAAAATTCAGCATAAAAATGCGACACTTTGGCACAGCGATTTCAGTCTGTAAGCAGAAATAAATTGAGAGCATTTATAAAACAACCAAGTAAACAAAATTAATAAAGCCAACAAAAACGAATCGGTTTCAAGTTTAAAGCTTTTTCGGCACAGTTTAAGAAAAACAAAAGAAAGGCAAAATGAATCAAGTCGCTTTCCTTCTGATGGTTCTGTGCTTCGCACTCCTCGCCTTTTGTTCTGGACAAGTAATTATCCCTAAACATTTTATGAAAAAGTAAAATAAAAAAGGAAATGATTCTTGTGCAGGGTGTTACAGAAAATCCCTACAACCAAAATTGTCACAGAAATATATTTTGTTTAGTTGAAGATTTTTGAGAGCCAACACGTTACAGGTACGATTTCAAAAATTTTCATTAATTGTAAGGAAAATAATAAGTAAATATCTAATAATTTTGTGGTAGAACATATTTCTGTACACATTTGAATTTAGTTTACCGAAGTCTACTTCAAAACATATCACTTATAACTATGTTTAATGTTTTTTATACCTTTCTTTTTAATTAGCCCTCCGATAAACGGTTGACGCATGATAGCATGGAGGCGTTTCGCTCGTTGACTCAGCTTTTCTTAAGCATTTTCGAAGGCATTAGATTGGGTTAGTTTTAACAATGGTTGTTCCTTATAATACAAAAAAAAAATGAATTGATTCCAATCCTATGGCCTGGATTTACAACATATTAATTTAACTATCTATAAATATTTTTTTTTTTTTTTCAAGTTTTGTAACTTATAAATAAAATAGTATGGTCCTATGGTGAATTAAAATAAATGAACAAAAAAAATCTTTTAAACTAAGCAAGGTGATTTTACTTTTAAATCAATTAAAGGATTTAATCAGAGGGGTCTATCAGTTAAAAGATCTGCATTGGGTCACGCGTTCCTATATGCTGGTGAATCAAAGCAATCCACACCTTCGTTTACTATCTGAAATCGCGCCGAAACACGAGAATACCACGTAATTGCAGCACTTGCAAAAGTCTTTCGTACATTTTGTCTTTTGCGTTACACTCGAATCTTGTTTTATTTATGGTTAACTTTCTGGTACACTTTATATAGGTGAGTCTCTAGCCAAACGGCGAGTATATAAATATATATATAAGAGTATATAGGAGTGCTAGTTATAAGAGTTTTAAATATATCATATAAATAGGTGGTTCGTTGTTTTCTTGCAGGCTGCATTTGCTGACTTTTGTGTGCAAGTGTTTAAAAAAAATCGCATAAAATTGATTTACAAGTTTAAAATGAAGTTAAGTTGACATTTGGGTTAAGTTATGCAATCGATTGTTGTACAGAAGCTGAATGGTAAACGAAAGATCACCATCGATCAGGTGGCATATAAAAAGTTGACTACAAATTTAAAAGTGAGATTAAATTTTAAAAGTCGTTGGTTGGAATGGAATGCACTTGATGGGAATGGCGCCTCTCTCTTCGAAGTGATCTAATTGTCGTCGTCCCGTCTTAGTGATGACGTGGTGCAGCATAGACGGCTACTGGCTGGGATTGGACGGGCACGGGAGCTGGTGGCAGAGGCGGTGCCTGCTGTTGCTGTTGTTGTTGTGGCTGCGGCGGTGGCGGCGGTTCCATATTGAAGCCATTAATCACCTCGTAGGGGGCCACTAGCGGAGCAGCCATTCCCCAGGCATAGGGATTCTTAAAAAACAAGAATACGTTAATGTCAAGTTGTAAAAGTTAAAGAGAAATGGATCAATCTTATGATATAACGTTATTTTGGTTATTTCAATTTAATTAAGAAAACTATTTTATAAATATAATCTTATGATAAACGCTTAAACAAGCATTATATTTTTACAATTCGAATGGAATGTAAGAACGAAAAAATATATTAAGTTAATAATAGGAGTCAAGTTTAAATTTAATTATTAATTTTAGGTTTTTTTATATCGCTATTTTCAATCTAGAGCAACCTGAGTAAAGAACAAACCCTAATAAACCTCTTTTTTGTAATAAAATAAAAGGCAAGTACAAATTAAATTGGAAAATGAATTAGTTAATTACTTAATTAAATTATTTTATCTCCATACCTGCCCTGGTGCTGTCCCCGGTAGCTGAGGAAGCCCCGCCTTGTGGAAAAATATCGGCGGGGGCGGCGGTGGGAGCAGCCCTTGTGGCGACATCAGATGATGCGGCGGTGGCGTGGTGTAGAAATTAAACTGATTGCCATTAGTGCTCGGCGAAGGCGTAGGTGTCGGCAAAAAGGCAGCTGGTCCCAGTGGATCCTTCAGCTCGTGCAGCTGCTCCGGACGCTTGCCGCGTGATTTGCCCGGATTTAAGTTGCGCTTCGAATAGGCGGCTTTCTCCAGCGGCGGTTGTTCCGTGGTATTTCCCACCTCCGGAGAAGGTGGCGGCGTTGCCTCGACTGCCAAATGATCCTCTCCGGCGCCGTTTCTTCCTGAATGTTGGTCCGTGTTGTTTGGCTGATTGTATCCATATAAGGAAAGATCCTCGGGCGGCGGATGGTGGGCCATGCGCCAATGCATATCCACTCCCATGTTGTAGAAGTATCTCAAAGTGCCCATATCCATTGGCAAATCTTCGCCGTTAAGGTGAAGCGAACGACGTGGATCGGTAAGATGGGGAGCAGTTGCCGGCGGAGAAGGTAGCGACATGAACGGAGGCGGTGGCAGAGCGAGAGCTCCGGGTGGCGGCGGACCATAAGCACCAAACGGCATGTAGACACAACCCTCGGCTGGCGGAGGATGCGGTGGTCCCGGCATCGGGAACTGAAACTCCTCGGGCAGAGCCAACGGAGACGAGGGCCAAGGAGGCGGAGCCTGGCCCGGACGACCCGCCAACAGAGGCATAAAGTTCATATACTGAGCGCTCGGCTGAGCAGCGGAACCTGCAGACTCCTGATTTTGGCTAGAGTTCGAGTTCTGGCGCTGAGCCCTCGATCCCTTCGAGCGCTGCAGCTGCTGTTGCTGTTTCTGCGGCTCCTCGCGATCCCGCTGTTCCTCGGCCGTATTCTGATCATGCTGTTCAGGATCCCTTTGCTCCTCTGGCTGGTGGTGCACCTCTTGATAACAGTTCTCAACGGGCATGAAGCCCTGCATCGGCATCAGATCACACTTGTTGGGCTCAAAGTACTGCCCCATTTCAAAAGCCTTGTTCTTTTTCCACTTGGGAATCTTGCTTGATTTGCCCATAAACTTTGGCACTTGCATGCGATTCATTTGGCGCTGATAGCGGAATGGCAACGCCCACGGACGGTACTCTTCCGGCGGCAGGGGATGCAGCGACTCGTAGGGGACCTAGTCCAACAAAAGAATCGTTATTGGTGAGCTATTCTTTGAATGAGAGTAGTTTTATATGCCAAAACCAAGGAGAGATTAGCTTCGAGTGCCGAAGCTGAATGCACCCTTGCAGATTATTCTTATTTTCAGAGCTATTATAGAAAGGTATCCAAATTTTAGAAATTTAACTTATGCGTATACATTTTATACGATATATGAGTTCTCGAAAAGAAATTCAATCGGTCAACTATGGTTCATATCTTCGGATTTAAATATTATATAAGTTCTGCAAGGGTGTAAACAAAACAAAAGAAAAAACAACAATAAAAAAACGGTACCACTATCTTCTCGCCAATCGTCTCCACAAAGACGACGAACAATTTTTTTTTTCCGTTGATGATGCTCTGGATGTGGCAGGTATACATCTCGGCCTTGGGATCCAATTCCACCTTGCACTTGGCGCCCACCTGAAAAACAAACAGCACGACAACGAGACGGGCAAGGATATAAACAAGCTGGACATAAGACGAAGTGTAAACTGTGACAAGTGATGAAGATGAAAGTGTTTAGAGATTTAAAGTCGAATGGTTTGACATGAAACATGCGCTGGTGTGCTCAACAAATATTCTAATTTTATCCGAGTTTACCTTAAAATTATAGTCATTGACATAGACGTTGTAGCGCTTTGCCTCTTTGCGAATGTCGTTCCAACAATCAAATTCGATATTCCGATACATAAAGGTGTCCATGGATTTGGCAACCTTGTAAGGAAAGGGTGTGATGCCTAAAACACAGTATAAGTTATTAGAAATATGAAATAAAAGTTTTACCGACCAAAGGAAACTAAACTAAACTAATCTACATAGTTACAATTTGTACAACTTACCATCGTCTAGTAGCTGGCGTACACAGGACTCCAAACGTTTTGGACACATGGGCAGCTGTTCATTCGGTTCGTGACCATTACTGCCACCCGGCTTCCGATCCTCATGCTGTTTTGAATCCCGCCGGCCTCCTTTTCGACTATTTATGCTCTGATTGCCATTGGCGCTGTGGAAATTGCACAGCATAAAGTTTTCCAAAATACAGTTTGTGTTCTCCGGCAGATCCAGGTTAAAAACGCGACCGTCAGAGCACTGAATGCGTGTCATATAGCCCTTTTCATCAAACTGCACATCGAACTTGTTCCAATCGAAGCAGTGCGGATGCAGCATTACCTCCACGGCAAACGATACGTCAGGCAGTTTGAACAGCTTCTGGTACAGCAACTTGAAGGCAATGGCTGAGAATTCAAAAAACATCATATATATAAAAGATATTTAACATTCATACACTACAACCTACATTGACAAATGGCGGCATTTTCTATATAACCGACTTTATATACTGAATCGAAATGATTCTCGTTGTTGAAGAATACCCGAAAGTTTTCCGGATAGTGACGATTGAAAATAACACTAGTTCCCATGTTGTAGGGCTCATACAGGATCACATTGCGACTGTTATATTTATAGAAATATGGACAATTAAGGAGGTTGTACAAGTCAAAACCGAAATCCATTTACCGATACAAGCAGGACATAGCGCGAAGTTCTGTCATGGTTCCATAAGTCTTGGGCTTGGACATATCCTGCATGTAAGTATCAAAGTCCCCAGGAATGTCCTAAAATATAAAAAACATAATATTAAATAAAAGTAAAACCTATATTCTTTTTATATTTTTATAAATGGTGTTCCAAACATCGAAGAGAAATGTATTTTTTTTTCGGTTTTGTTAAGAAACACCTTTAAGTAGCATGGAACTATTTAATTGGCGTCACAATTAAAAAGAAAATCCCACCCCACCTCACTTCAGGGAAACAATCCCTTTTCACGAATTGTTTCTAATTCTTGAAAGTCGTCAGTTTACATAGGAATTTTCAATGAAAAATGTGAGCAACAGCATTACCTTCTCGAAGATGCGTCGTTTTAGGGTCATGAAGCGGACGCACTCTAACCGAATCTCGTAGTGAAGCATCTGGGTGTCGTACATCTGCTCAGCGATCACCCGGAACAAACTGGAGGCGTCCCGGGCCGTATGCTTTCGGTAAAGACCACGGCTCTCCAAGTATTGGTCATACGGATCAGGCGCCTGTCTGCTTCCGGAAGTAATGGGGCGATGTATTTGCATGTCCATAGCGACTTTTCTGAAAATAATAACATCATCAGTTTTTGGAGTTTTTTCACCAGTTGTTTAATAACATTATACACATTTGTGGTCGAATATAAGCCGCAAATAAATAAGAATCAAAATTTAAGGTTATGGGAGACCTCTGACCTTTTGCTCTCTAAACACTACTCATCCAATCGCTGTTCCAAACACAGAACACAAAAGACTGAATTTGATTCCAAATACACCAGATTTTATATTTGGGTGTCTATATGGAAATTTATTCAAGATTTGAATAAATATCCAACAATTTTTTACTTTTTTCGAGTACATAAGAAATATAGTAAAGCGCAAATTCAAAATGGCGACGTGCAAAGCACAACGAAGATAACCAAGAGGAAACAACGAAAATAATGCTACCAAAAAACAGTTACATAAAAATATGTATCTATAATTTTGTTAAATTATAACAAATCTGTATACCTTTAGCGATATTCGACTGTTGCAGAAATTTCACCGGTCAAAAAACAGTTATTCACAATATTCACTATAAACGGAATAGCCGGAGAAAGAAAATAATAACCACAACGCTGTAAGACTTAAATTCTGTTTACTTTTTTTTTTTTTTTTTAGCAAATTTTCACTTACACTTTTCTATAAATAATTAATAACAGGACTGTGGAACCCGCACTCAGCACCGTTACAAAGAAGCGAAGCAAAGGCAATGATCCTAACCTCCAGAAAAATCGCGAAATTGAATGGAAGCCGAAGAATCGAGAAGAAGCTTCCAGCGGTTAGAAGGATGGTACGAGAGGGAATGAACAAACAGTGATGGGCAAATCTGGCGGCTCTGCCTTTTACTTAATAGGGAAAAACACGAAATACTTACATATAACGTTAGAAAATTTTTAAACAACTCTGATTAACAATTGTTACTGTGCGATTAAATGGATCTTTATTTAGGTATGTTAATAAATAAATAAATCTAGAGGACAAAAAAATTCACAGTAAAAAAATAAACCAAAGCCTCTTTCGAAATTAGCTTAATAATACTGAAGGTAATATATATATTTAAGTAAACTGTCTTAAAGCTTCTGTTTATAAAATCAACATTTTAGGTGCAGCTTGTTATGGGAATAAAAAATGGTACACTTTTTAAACGGCATGTTTTTTTGCGGCTGGAAAACTCCTTTATCGCGGCCTATCGATGACACCGATATCGCACCATCTGTTCCGTGTCATCCCTAAAAGCGCCATTCCGAGTTTTTGCGGCACTTCTTGTTTTTGCTGTTGTTGTTGGCCTGCTTTTTAGGGGGTGGAAAATGCCGCTTTCCCCGCGTCGCGTTGTTGTTGCTGTCTGTGGCGGCTCGCCTCAGTTTCAGTCTCAGTTCGAAATTGCGAGTAAATGAAGCCAGGAGCAAACTTCCAGTTCGCGCTGTTACCGCGACAAAAGTTGTCTGGAAGAGATGTGAGTGTGTGAGTGTGTGTCTTGTGTTCTTTTTTTTAAGTTACCATTTTTGTTTATTGTTAGTAAATGTCGTTATTTGGCTATCTTGCGAGTGTGTAAACGAAACGACTATGATTTTTGTTCTCGGTGTTTCATCTTCTGTACGCCATTATCTTGTGTTTTTCTTCTTCCACCGACGAATAATAACAAAAATAACATCTCAAAATCATCCATTAACAAAAACAACAACACGTGGGCTTAGAAAACACACGTACACACACGAAGAACGGTTCCGTTATGAAATTGGAAGGAGTGCGCAAAACGGAGATGGAGAATGTGCAGTTATTTGATTTTCAAGCCGTAAAAATCAATAGGAGCGACAAAGCACGTGCTTGTACGAGTGCGACAGCAAATCGATAAACCGTTAATCAAGTTTGTTGAACGCAAGTCTCCCTGTCTTGCTTTGTTTGCTCAGCCTCTCTTTCCCTCACCCGTGTGAATGGGGCTCATTTTCGGCCCTTCCTTTAATTTCACCATTTTCAATTAACTGGGTCAACTTGCTTGTGACATAAATTTGTTCTCTTTAATATTTTATTTGGGTGCTATTCGCTTGTCAGTTGGTGTCGAGGTCAATGTCACGGGCATTTTCGCAAAGGCCGTCTGGTAGCCTTCGAACTTTGCCTCGTTTTTGGCAGCAATTAATTGATTAAACTCGACCAATATATCGAGGGTCGCCTTATCAATACACCGCTTATACAACTATCCTGTTCTCTTGTCTATCTTATCGCTAAAAAAACTGGGCACTAGAAACGGAGTTGCCGGCTCTCAGATAAGAGCTCCATTAGCTCCGTCTCTCCCGCTAGCGGGGCTTAACATGTGTCGCTCAAACGCGACTTAACCCTTCATTTGATAAAAATCAACGTTCCGGGTTTCCATTCACACAAGCAAAACCAAAAAGTAAAATATATGAATTTCTTATATTGTTGTATATTAAATGGACTGTTTGAATAATATTCAACATTCATTCGGTCTAGCTTTTTTATAAGCCCTTCATTTTTAAAAATATACATTCAGTTTTGATGGGTTATAAATAACTATAAATAATTTGCTCGGAAACCAAGGGTGGTTGTTTAACTATTTCTTTAGATATATATGTATTTAATCTCTATGATTAATACTTTTTAATGTTTTATTTTAAATAATTTTTTTCGGAAAAAAAATAAAAAATATTTGTAATCACAGATTTTAAGAAAGGCAAATGATAACTTGCATTTTTTTTGCAAATTAAATAGTGAGTATCTGAAAATGGGAACATCTCGAAAGTTGCCTTCTCTGCTTTTGTATTTCTTCGATGCGATTGTTTGCCGGTCGGCGGCAAAGAATTTCCGTTTGCTGCTTTTAGTTGCCTTCGAACATTTTAGCTCGTCGCGTCTTTGCTGAAAAAAAAACAGGGAGAAAGGTAAAGAATAGAGCAAAAGCATCAGTCCAAACCAAACAAAGAGAGTTTGCTGACCAAGAGAACCCGAAAACAATTTGCCAAATGTGAATTTTGCATGTGGACTATCTTTTTTGTTTGGCCACTGCGAACCGGTTATTTTATTATCTCCACTCAATTGAATCGCACACAGTGGTGGAACTTAAAATGTGGAACATCTATTTATTATTGCCTTGTTGTTGAGACCACGATTGTCTGCAAGGCAGTATTACACTTTGTGACGAAATTATTTGAAAAAGTTTATTACCATCGAGTATACTAAGATGTAACATATTACGAATTAGTAACTTTTTTAAACTATGTAAGTCTTGAGATCCCTAGAAATATGCAAACTACAATTCGAAATCTACATTGATACATACAGATGTCGAGAAAATCTGGTACACATGTCCTTTAAAGTTCGGGTGGTTCAAAATTAAGTGTAATGCTGCCTTACCACAAGAATTGTTTTTTTTTATTTAATAATTTTGTTTTACCTAAATTCTTGCTTTTCTTTTGGTTCTCTTTTTCTTTTCACATATTTGCTTTGCCAAACGAATCGGTAAAATACCACTTACCACTTGTTGTGTCAGTCGCAAGATGCAGCCGATTAACAGTAGCGGCGCCAACAGTGGCGGCGAGAAAAATGAGACCCGCATGCGCCGCAGGCCCATACGTAAGCTATTTTTGTCACCTGATCCGCTTTATTATTGTGCTTCACATCCGATTTACTTTAATCACGGCACTGGTTTTAATCTTACTCTTTGGCACTAACATTTTGATTTTGCTATCAATTTAAAAGACATTAACAACCTTGACAGCTAATGCCAATCTACAAGATGCAAGGCCACACTCATAACATTTAAAACAACTTATTAAACAATGGTATTCAATTTGATATAAAAACTAAAAACTGTATTGATTACAAATGATATGTGCTTCTCTTACTATATTTATTAACTTTAAAGCTTTCCCTACCTAATTTTTAAAAGAATTTAAATGCTTGAAATTGTAAATTTCACAGCCAACACTGTGAAATGTAATTTTAATCACTACAAATTAAACAAAATTTATATTGGCCTCTCTCTTTGTGTGTCCCTTTTGTTTAACTTAAGTTTATTTTAGTTTTTATTGTGTTTTTCGCTTTGACATCTTTTATTGCTTTTCCCATAATTTGCTGCACGCTATTTTTAGATCGCAGTAAAATGTATTTCGCAGCAATTAATTTAATGCTAAGTATTAATTTTGGTTCGTTTGATTTTTACACTAATTGCATTATGTGCTAACAATCGGTTTTATTTTCGTGACCCTGAGAACAAAAGTTTAAGGCCAGATTGCAAGCAGTGCAGTGCCCACCCGTGCCGCTGAACTGCTTAGCTTAAATAGTTTTTAAGCTTCTTGGTTGAGTTGGCCCGACTTTACTTGACTCCCGACTTACTGCGATTTGTTTATTTTGTGTAAACACGCCAGCGGTTATTTTTTGTGTTTGTGCAATTGGTTGCAAATGCACTTGCAGTTGCACTTTCATTGCCATTGCCAGATGACGAGGCTTAACGGTTCAGCGCCGTCAGCTGTTTATGCGGAGTTTAATCGATTGCATGTAAACCACAGTGTAGGTCAACCGTTTAGCAAAGAGGTACATTTTTGTTATTAAAATATAATTTTAAATTCACATTCTTTGTCAATAACTTCAAAAATTCAATTATGCTCGATATTAGAAGTCGTATCTGTCAATTTAATTATTTCACTTTGTTGTCTTTAAAAAAATTGCGTTGGAAATAAGTTCAATATAGTTAATCGAAATAACTAAATAAAATAAGTCATAATACAGTTTTACGTTTATGTTTTAAGGTTATTTCCTTAGGCGGTGCTAATGTGTGGAAATAATAGATAACCACTAAAATCATTTACGAGCTATTAACTCAACCGAAGCTGTAAAGGCAAAACACGTCATTCGTGCATTGAGCAACATAATCAATATCTTCTATCGGTTATGACTTGCCCAATGAATCGTGAATTGAATAACTTAACCTAGTAACATTTAGTATGCTATTGTTGAGGTTATTGTTCGCGGCATTGTTTACAAACATTTTCCGTCCAGTTGCAGTTGCATTTATTTGTTATTTGTTTAATTTCATTGCCACTGTCGGCTTTTACACACTTGTCTACCCTTTTTTTAATGGGCATCGGCGCATAACGGTTTTTTGAGTGCCCAGCGCATGAGCATTTAATCATTTTCGATTTATCATTGTTTTTTGCTGTCTTTGTTTACCCTTTTTGAGAGGTTTTTGGCCATTTCGATCTTTGGCTCAAGGGCTTACACGCGCCCACTCACATTAGTACACTTGCGCTTGAAATAATAGGACAGTTCCTATTAATAAAAATTTTATTTAACAATCATTTCATGCAGACATAATTTATATAATAAGTTGGTTTTTTTATTTAAGATATTTTATTTATTTATTTAAGAATTGTCATTTCAAATTCATTCACAAATTCATATTTAACAACAAATTCATGGTGCTACAGTTTTTACCATGTCTGTAAATCCGGGGGTGCTCAAATTGAGTCCATTTGCGGCGATTATGAGCAGCGTTATGTGTAGGTGTTGAAAGCTTTCTAGACTCAAAGTAAAGTGCTCGTTATGACGTCAGTCTGCTGCATGCATGCTGTGTGGTAAACACTCGAGTCAATATTGGCATTAACACCTCATCTTTGGTTTCCAGTTAACAGACAACGTCATTTGTTGTCTTTGGTAAATCTTCGGGAATTAGGACCTTACTGCAAATTGACTATGGGAAATAAATAAATTAATTGGGTCCGCTTTACTACTCTCGCATACTATCAGAATTCTAGTGGTGTCTGTTCTTTAGGACAACTACAGTCGAATTCATTTTATTCCAAGTTGCCAATATTATAAATTTACACATTTTAAACAATATATTTGTATATAGTATATACATATATAGTATTTTAATATAATGATTGGTGAGGGTTTTGACGCACATCAACATTATTTAATAAAAACCAGATTCTTAAACTGGAACGGGTACCCTAAACTTTTTCTTCAAGTATCCATTTCGCACGACCCCCAAAAATCCAATTCACGTTTTTGCGCTCTATCCGAACCTGAAACTATTTTATATATTTAAAAGGTAAAACATAACACATGTGTTTATATAGAGACCTCCATCAAACGCGTTTCTGGAGCAACCAAATAAGAAACTGTGGCTCACTCACTCAGAACTTAGTCGACATTGAGAATCGGTTGGGGGACTTTATCAAAATTGGAACACAAAATTGAGTTTTGATATCTGTAAATCGGTTTTTTTTTTATTATTATTTAATTTCGTTTCGGGGGGGGTGGCTATTAAAATGTCGCTGATTTGCCAAAGAGAACCTGTTGGAAGTGAACTTCGAATTGCATTTATATAGATATATATCCGCCGATTTCAAAATTATGGACAGGCTGCTGGGCGGCCATGGGGGGCGGTGTGGGCGTGGCACATACTGCGGTTACGCCCGGCTCGTGAACACCTGTGATGACGAAAGCCCAGCTGAGGCAGGTATGTCTGTATATTCGCCAGTGAATTGGAGAATTAGAGAATTAAGAAATTGGTGAGAGCGAGGGTAAAGCCGCGAGAGGGAGAGAAAATTATCGGGGAATCGTCGATTCAAAATTGTTTGTTTGTCTGTCTACAAAATGTTTGCTCAGTTAATTGTTGACATTTATTATGATAATCCATTTCTGACGCCTGCTTGATTTTCGGCTGACTCAGTTTGATCAATTCTTCGCTTAGAAGAAGATGCTCTATAGATTTGACTTGACAAACAGCTTTTAAATTTGTCGTTTCTTGATAGTTCTTTAACATTATTCAAGTTAGCTTGATACTTGTAATTATTATTTGAAACATTAAAAGACATTACTGTATATAATTATATACAGCTTATTATTTTAATTTACATGTCATTTCTGTAATGATTGTATAATTCTTTCTCTGAAATAATCTTTTCAATTTACACTAGACTAAGGTTATAATTTGAAATGAGCCCTTTTCACTTGCCACATTATTTAACCCTCAATTAATTTTTGACTATTATTTATCGCTTTGCGTCTGACTCCTTGAGCAATCCGGGAATTGTTGACACTGTCATTAGGTTATTTTATCAAATTTACAATTGACTTTTATTGCCGTTGCTGTTCGCATTTTACAGTCGGCTGCCCTCTAGGAATTGAGTTATCAGCGAAGATCCAAAAAAAAAGAGGTGATCATTTTTCTCCGGGTAGGCGGGCACTGTAAAATAATTAAGCTCAGTCGCAATTCGTTTGAATTGTTTGTTATTTTCGACGTTGATAGAGGTTTCCCCATAATGCCTGCGATAAGCAACAGTCTAGAGCCCCACAGTTCCAGATAATATCCGTCATTTGTGGATGAATGAATACCTCAGTTTGGACACATGAGTCAGTCCTCATTGGGTCAAGACTGTTAATATCAGACACCATATACACCATATCGTCCTGCCTCAATCTTAATCTTCTACTGCGTATTATCAAATGGCGTAGTCAATTCGTCTATCGCAAGACCATAAAAATATTCGAATGTTGACAAATTTCGGATAGATCAAATCGTTTTGAAATTGAGTCAAATTTATGACCGCTCACAAAACAGAAGCGGAAATGGGAATTATAGTTGGGGTCTTAGATTTTATTTGGTAGTTTTATGTTACTAGGTGGGCTCTATAAATTTTTATTTGTCGAGCTATAAATATATGTGGATAATAGGTAAGAAATCTATTTTTTTTATAATTGCCTTTTTTGGCTTGGTTTTTCCTCCTTTCCTTTAATTGTATTACCTTAAATTTCAATAAACAATATTTAGGTTTAAATTCTCTCTAGTAAATAGAACAAAACCATAAATTTAAAATTTTCTACTGTCGAGATTGGTTAACTTAACAATTTAAAAGGAGATAAGAGCAATGCTTTAAGGTTCAGGGTTCTATATTCTATATTAAAACGCGCTCGTAAATTTTGTCTTCATTATTATTTTTAATTTATGTCAAACTTTATTTTTGTATAACTGCTTATCATTGCTTTCCATACTTTGAATAGAAAGATTTCTCTAGACGAATCCAGGTTGGGTAGGTTAAGTATCGCATTTTGTTCTTGCGTATCTGGTAAAGTTATCTTCTTAGAGTTATCAAACCTTCAATGACTCATGCCAAATGTTTCTAGAATGCTTTGGGATTTCTGGTTTCTCAGTGGTTTCAGAACCCCTTAAATTTATCAGAAGATAGTGCAAGCACAGTTTCTATTTTCAATGGCGGGGGGAAATTCCCTTTTCACGATCGAAACCTCACTGCTCCAAGGGAAATTCTCAAAGATAATAAATAACGTGAATGACAACTTTGTGTAATTTTAATGATAACTTTCGATCGGCTATCGATGAGCACTCAAAATTTGTAATGCTCGCGATGAGGAAGTGATAATGAGGTGATCCAATAAAAAAAGACAGTGGCGCTAACTTGTCAACGACCACGTTCGACAATTGTTCAAAAACGAAGGTCAGGGGCAAGGCCATAAGCCAAACCACCCAAAATAAAAAGTTAAATAAAAACATTTCAAACGCCAAACGAGCGAACATTACATAAACGCGTCGAACACACGTATCCGTAGTCC